TTCGATGAATTTATAAACAACTTTCAAAAGGAGATTAGTAGTATTAAACGGGGAGCTACATGAGATTTATAGAAAACCAAGCTATTGCAATATAATAAATTCTATAACATATAGAGTATATTTTATCAATACCAACATGCATCTTTCAAAACCCGCCAGTCAAGTTCCGTATCTTATCCACTTCATCTTGTAATGCTTTCAAGTCGTCTAGGATATTAGCGGTTGACTCATTATTGGAATTACCTGAAGCGTACGTGTTTGGGATCTTTGGAGGCAATGCTGGTGGTTGCTGTTGGTTCTGTTGTGAATAATATTGTTGTTGTGACTGTTGCAGTTGTGGTGGCTGCGGAGATGACACACTCATTCCACTGGCATTTCTTCTTCTGGGAGGAGGAGGGGGTGGAGCAGGTTTATTTGGAATTGGCGATGAATATGACCTGTGACGTGGTACTGGTGGCTTCCCATTTTGTAGTGTATTTTGCAATGTATTTTCCGTGGCTGGACCAGTCATTTGTGAGGTAAAAGCCAGAAGAGATATCTTTGGCAATTCCTGTGGCTGTTGTTGCTGTTGCTGTTGCTGTTGCGATTGCTGCTGCTGTTGAGGTATCGGTGGTGGCGATAGTGATTGTTGTGGTTGTTGCATCTGTTGAACTGCTGATGGTGAAAAAAGTCTCGCCATATCAGCTGGACCTGTTACGTTTGGTCTTAATGGTTTCAAATCAGGTTCATTCGTGTTAAAGTCTGGTTGAAGACTAGAAAACATTTTTGATATTTGGGCTGGGCCCGTCATGTTGGGCTTTAGTAAGTTGTCATTTTGTCCATTGGAATTGCCAAAGTTGGATGGTGGTACTGGCGTGCCTCCAACAGAAACAGTATCAACCGAATTCAAATTTTGAAAATTGTTAATCTCGACATCTTTCAAAACCTCCTTCTCCTCCTCTTGTTCTTGTGGGTTTTGCGGCTGACTACTTTGCATTTGTTTGAGCAATTGGTCCATGGGCAATGTATAATCCAAGGGATTGTGTGAAACTGGTTGTGGGGATTCCATTGGTGTCAAGTAGTTTGAATCATCGTGAACATCGACTTGATCAGAAAACTTAACCTTTTTAGATTTACGTTTGCGTGAGTTGGAGTTGGAGTTGGAGTTGGAATTTGATGATGAGTTGGAACCCGGTCGCTCTCCGGTTAGTAGAAACTGCGTGAAACTATCAATGTCAAGTGGGGCCATTGGTTTGGTGTCGTTATTCAGTTTTCCATCTGGCCCATTATCTCCTTCTCCATCACTTCGGTCCTCATTCGAACTATCCTCTTCGTCATTAAGTCTCTTTTTTGACAAAATCGAAGGCGGAGTAGGTACAGGTGCCACGACTTTAATCAACTTTCTCAGTGGTTTTTCTCCTCTCAAAGTATGACTAATCACCCTTAACAATGCAAAAAAGCCTCCAATATTAATACTTTGACTAATCTTGTGGAAAATCAGCGTTATTTGCTCTTTTGTTGAATCGGCAATTTTAAAGTTGGTGAGAAAACTAAACACATCCCATATTGAAATAGTTCGGCTATTAGTTCTTGCTAGTATATCACTATACCACCTCATGTACGTTTTTGACTCTTCCAATGTTAATTCTTGCGCTGTTAAACTCAAAGGGATGCTGGATTCGTACTCGTCGGATGCGCCATTCTCATAAGGAATCGAATCAACAGACAAACTTGGATGACGATTTGCATTAGGTGGAGCTAGTAGGCTTTCGTAACTGTTATTGTCGCTATGTGTAATCTGAGGTGGCTTATCGGGATACAAATGCTTTATGTGATTGAAATTTAGTCGGGATTTGGTCGGAGTGGGTGGGAACTTGTTGCTATTACTGCTGGGAAGATTGTTGGGACTCACATTATTTCTATTATCTGTAGTATTTACATCGTACCAATTCATTCTCAAAAGTGATTAGTAGTGACGAATGGGGTTGTTAAGTGGAGGATGAAAATGATAATGTTGATATGGTGAGTTGTCCGGTATAAAAGAACGACGAACAAATTTTGGAGAGATTTTTTTTTTTCTTTATTCTTTATTTCCGCGACATTGCAAGTGACGCGTGGATTTGAGTCGCGACATTGGAGACTATGCCAATGGTCACCTACAAGACATATATAGTCTACTATGGTTTATTCCAGTATTTATCATCACTCATCACTATTAAAGAATTGTAATCACATATAAGTCAATCAATCACCGACGGTTTTCTTTTTTTTTTTTTTTTTTTGTGGTCTTTATTAAGAAACGATTAACAAAAGGGAAATGTTACGGTTCGGGTATCCTCTAGACATCCGACTTATCCCACCACACCAATTAATGATGCATAGCTTCTTGCAAAGCAACAGTATCAGCAATATGCCTATTATTGTTTATTCCCACAGGGATGTTCCTTTGAGGGGAAGCAACTCTTTCATGCTCGGATCCAGCCCAGTCAGTATCCTCTTCTAAATCTTGAAGCTTGCCCTTGCCTTTGTCAGTATAGACATCACCAATATTTGATCCTGCCATCTTTTCAACTTCTTGTGCTGATGGCATAAAAATGACTCTCGTACCTGGGGATTTGGCCATGTTTTGTAAAGCATCCAAGTATCTAATTTGCATAGCTGGTTTAGAGGCCAAGATGTCAGCTGCTTTTCTCATTAATTTAGCACTTTCAACTTCAGCCTTGGCATTAATGATTTTACCTTCACCAATTCTCTTGGCTTCAGCAGCCATAGATAACGAAGCTTGAACCTTGTCTGGTAAAGTCAAGTCTTTAATCAAAATGGATTCAATATTGACACCCCAATCAAACGCAGTCTTGGCAATAATTTGCTCAATGGATTCAGCAATTTCTTCTCTTTTTTCAACAACATCTTGTAATATTCTTCCACCAATGACATCTCTCATCGTAGTTTGTGTTCTTTCAATAATGGCATTGTCAATGTTTTGAATGGAAAAGATAGCCTTCATTGGATCGATAATGTTGTAGTAAACCACTGATGTAATAACAACCGACACGTTATCTCTAGTCAAACATTTTTGGGCTGGTATTTCACGAATATTAATCTTGATTGAAACTCTAGTCAATCTCTCACTCCATGTGTTGACATAACTCAAACCTGGTTCAACAGTTCTCGATAATCGACCAAAAGTTTGCACTAAACCAACTTCACCTTGATCAACTTCCTTGTACGGGTTCTCACATAAGAAGCAAAACATACCGCATTGACCAAAACATGAACCTAAACCAGCAATAAATCTTTGATAACCACCGGGTGGAGGTGTCTCGTAAGACTTTGCAAAGTTTTTCAAAACCATATCAGGTTTGATTGTTGGCTCTTCGGAAATCGTGTTTACCTTTTGTTTGTAAGTAGTTGGATCAAATGAATCAGTAGAGTGGGTATCACCCATAGTTTTATAATCGTTGGTGCTTTGCATTGTGGATGGAAAGTAGTTGTTGTTGATGAAGTAAATGGAAAAAATGGAATAAAGCTGAATTCAAACACATGTCAAGTAGGAAATTGTTGACCCTTTTATATTTTCCTTGGCTCAGAAGGATTTGTTATTGACTGGCATCCAGACGTGGGTGGATTATTATGTAATACACTGTTTATTCTTTAAAAGTAGTTTAAGCATTTAGTACTACAGATTAAGTAAGTAGTTATGTAAAACAACGGGAGCCGTACCATATTGAAGAGCCAATAAGGTTTTTGTATCATTCATCTTAATGCAACAAAGTAGGTTTGTGTAACTGATGAGGTAATAACTTACATAATTGCAAAGAACAATAGGTACATGAGGAAAAAAGGCTGATCCAAAACACAATCAGCAGTCAAAGGGCTTGGCAAAAGTGCAACTGCTCGTATTCTAATATCGACCCTCTTTGCAACCTGGGGGTAGGGAACTGGGCCATGAATGCCTACGGGGTAGTCCAGGTCTAACACCTATGAGCATCGAGAGAGACGAGCACTGCATATAGAGGAAGGTTCTGTAAACCAAGAGATATCATCCATAGAGGCATTTGTCACTTGAAAGTGCTGCTCCCCCACATCAAGGTCATTAAAAACTTCTTATCGGTTCCTCTTCAACAGTATCATTCAACAAACAATTGAGCATCAGACGGGAGGCTGTGACTCTCTTGCTTAACCAGTGTTTGATAATACCATCACAAAAACGGAATTAAAATGGAAAAAGACATGATCAGAAAAGGTTTCCTACAATGAACAAAGAAGCGGCAATCATTTGAGCAAAGTAGTCATATCCGTAAGAGATGATGTAATGGTATTCAACCACTGTTTAAGCCCTATGTGACACACACTTTGAGAGGGTAAGACGATTTTATGTACTGCTCATGGAGCCACATCGCACGTGGATATTCTTCAAATGATGTAGCCTCACATCAAGAGAAAGCTTTGTTATCATCTTGTGAAACCTACCAGACAGGATATCAACTTTTAATCATGATTCTACAAAGGGGTGGCTTAGCCTAACTATGTTCGTACTTTATTTAGATCAGAATTTGGGGTTATCTAAGTAGCACAAAAATGAATATGCATAAGCGCAACATTGTATGCCCGTCGGCGTTAAGCGTGTGATAAAAACCGAGCTTCGCGATAGGCACAAACTCGGACCGGGCAATTTACGCTCTATAAAGCTGTGAATTAAGAAAAGCAGTCATTTACCCGATCGCAATTTCCATAATCATTTTGTGGAGCTATTGATTTGATATTGCAAAGTGTTTTGAGAGTCATTTGTGGCTTTGGCTCTAACGAAGCTCAAAGGATTTGAATTTAAATCGGCTCCAATTGCAAATCATTAATACACAAAGCTACAAGCATTTACAAACAAAGCCATTTTTGCAAAGCAGTCATTAGTGACAGTCCCACTGCGGTAAGCGACGGATAGAAACCTCCACAACAAACAGTTTATACAGGTCGACTCAGCCAACATGAGTGACATCTGCAATGCAATAATCACTAAAAGCTTTTGGTACTGGGTTTTAAAGGTAGTCACTACTTGGTGTCGTGGTTTCACGATGGTGTAAAGATCCGATTGGATAGATAAGATTTGGTTCAGGAGTTACATATTCAGTACAATCTCTTATCTCAATCGAGGTATTTGTGACGTCATGAAGCTGATCAAATTGGCCTCTGACAAATTGCTCAATCTTATTGTGATTTTTGTTAATGCTGTTTGAATGAGTACATGTATTTGCTGTGTACAAAGTAATATTCGACTCAGTGATGACAATACTTCATCACCCTTTTCCCTCTATTCTATACACTCAATTTCTTAATCTCTTCCACCAACAAATCAGCATCATTTCCATCATCAGTCAAGCCATTAACCAAATCAAACAACAAATCACGAGGATCTTCCAATCCAATAGACAATCTCAACAATTTCTTGCTAATATGGTCATCACTCATGGCCCTCCATTCAATCAAACTTTCAGCGCCACCCAAACTAGTGGCATGATGAAACAATTTCAATTTGGATGGAAATGATTTTGCGTGTTGTTCAGTATCCAATTCAATTGAAAAAACCGGGGTGTGGCCATTAGGATACTGCTTGGCAATAAAAGCGTCAGTTTGCAATGATCCATGATAAAGTTTATCCAATTGAGGGAATTTGTCTTTGTTGTCATTGAGAAATTTGACTATAATCTCAGCAGTCTTTGCTTGTCTAGCCACACGTAATTCAAACGTTCTCAAACTTCTTACTAATAATGAACTTTCCAAATTGGCGATATTTGTACCAAGTACTAAACGATCCAAAAGTAATTTCTCTTTGATGGCTTGATCTTTAACCAACAACAACCCAGCTAATAAATCAGAATGACCACCAAAGAATTTCGTTGCTGAATGCATAACGATATCAGCACCAAACTCAAATGGGTTCAATAAAGGTGGTGGTGCAAAAGTAGCATCAACTGACAACAATGCCCCCCTGTCATGAGCCTTGGCGGCATATTTCGTAATGTCGAAATAAGTACCATATGGATTCACTGGTGTTTCCAAATGAACTAAATCACCAGATCCAATAGTGGCAAAATTCCCCGTATCAATATCAATTTCCTTGGTTCCGAAATTACGTTTCCAAATATCAAGAATCCCATGACACCCATGATATGCTTGTCCAATAGCAACGGTTTTTGGGTTAACGTGAGTAATCAACCCATTGAATGCTGATAACCCAGAATTGTAAACGATGGTGGGGTAACCAGTAATGGCTTCAACGATAGCTTCAATTTGAGCGGCATTTGGGTGGTTTTCCCGTGAGTATACAAGCGTTGTTGGGTCAGTTAATCCACCGGGAACCAATTCATCAGGATTCGATGAGTAACTATATGTGGTTGTAATGTGAATGGGTGAAATTACATCGTTGGTGGGTTTGATGTGATCACCACCGTGAATTGATTTAGTTGAGAAATGAGACATTTTTCGATGAACGAAGTTTAATTTTGATTGCAAGAGGAGCTTGTAAGACAATTCAGTAGCTTTATATAATAATTGAAAACCTCACTGTGGTCGTCATCAGTAATTCCTTGTTGACTCAATTTTTTGTTTGATTTTCCGGTAGCGCATGGGTAAACTGTGGCTTTTGTTATTCGTTACCACTAACGGAACGATTTTTCCGAATACCTCGCATCGAGACCAATGCGCGTTGTAAATTGCGCGTCCATATTAAACGATCAGTAACTCACGGCGTTTGAGTTGGAAATAATATTATCGTTCGATGACACGCAAAAGCCACTATCGAACTATCCAAAAAGCTAGGTGAAAAAGGTTGCTACAAGAGTGACACTGATGAAGATGCGTTATCTTTGTAATCGAGAGATGACTCGATCACGCAATTGAGAAATGTTTTCAAGCAAATAACTGGTATGAAATAGAGAATGAACCTTCTTTCCCAACCTGCTTTCAACTCTTCACGAACTAAAAAGTCTTTCATTGTGGTTTGCTCAGTCCAGTTTATCCGAGAACTGATACTACACGGAAATGCGCACTAATTTGCGCTTATTGTTGTAATTAAAAGCACAAACGGCGATTTTAAGGTCTAACCGCCAATTACCACGACCTTGAACGCCGTATCCACAACAAGATCCCGCTCTTATCTACACAATGGAGTCCTTTAGATTATTTCAAAACGCCTCACTCTCTTTCACTACGCGTTATGCATAATACAATGTATATTCATTCTAAACGCAACTTGTTCTTTCTCTCATTCTCCTTCTCTGCTTTTCTCTCCCTATTTAGTTGCATGTTCACTGCGTCTCATTCTTCTTCCTAATCGACTAATCAAGTAATAAATACATCCAAGGAACCTAAACAATGCCATAAAAGCAACCGTCCACAAAATCACCGTCAAGAAAATTTCCAGTCGTGTAGTCTTTGTAGTAGTATCTGTGCCATCGTCAGCCGTGCCATCTAATTGATTAAAACCGCCAGTCTCCAACACTACGGCAATGATGACGAAATTGGAAATCATCCAAATGAGTACCGTCATTGATCTGATAAATGCATAATAATCTTCAGTGTTGACTTCAACGTGTTTCTCCGGCGGTGGTGCTGGATCTCTAATTTTTTCCAATTGGTTAAGGTAAGATTGATTGATTTCCTCCTTGAGGATGGGCACACTAACGTCAAAAGTACCATCTTCACGTAATTTTGCTTCACCAAGTGACTTGCCACCAACATCTCCCTTGGTGCCCCAAGACACATCATCAATGTTGCAAAATGCATAAATATTGAGGACATTGATATAAGATGGCGATAGGAGCAAATATTGAATAAATGAAGTAAACATGTGCCATGGTTCAAAGTACAAGAATGATGCAAGGAAATATAAGGCATAAGTTGATGCAGTTGCCACAATCAAGTCCCTAAATTGAGCATTTTCAAAAAACAACAGCACTGAAAACGATTGTTCTTTATAAATTTGGGTGATTGAATGAACAGCAAGGAAAATCGCAGCGAAAATCATATATGCCATCAATATAGCAAAGAAAATCACAATGACAATATAAAATCGTTCAGTACCCTTGGGTTTATTACCAAAACTAAGGACAAATGTCGTTACAATTGACGCGAGATACAACCAAAGGAAAATCACTGAAAGCACATTGCCCGGAGCAAAATTCAAATCTGAGTTGGATAATGATGTCGTCAAGATTCGAAAAACCAAAAAGTAAGAACCAATGGAGAACCACGACACGACCAAATTAATCAATTGATAAAAAAACTCCACATGCAAGAATATTTTGCGACTAAAAGAATGGGAGCTTTTCCAAACTTTGAAAAAATGCACCAATGAGTAAATGGCAGCGAAGAAAGATCCATTAAGCCATCTTCTCCTTTGCAAGATGAATTCAGCTAATCGTTCAGGAACATCAGTTTCGGCTCTTGCAGATTTACAATATCGCAACACCCAATTACATCCTTGTTTTGCCACCAATTCAAAACACAAGATTCGATCTTCAGCCAAGTACATATTTGAAGTAAAGATACCTGCCTCTTCTTTAAGTAAAGTTCGTTTCATTTCGTATTCATCATCTTGAGGATCTAATTCACCCGAGGAATGTAAAAACTCTCCCTTGAAGTATTTTTCCAAGGGTCCCCTACCATTGATATCGTTTTGTAAAGCAATATTTCTATAGGCGGAAAAGGCACCAGGTAACACCGATATAAATCCAAATGAAGATTCGGTTGGCTTATCCAAAATGTTTGAAATCTTGTATTCAAAGTTTTGACCATACACTAAGGGGTTGGTGACAATTTGTCTCTTTTTCAATGAAGCAATGATTTCCCCACATGCACCAGCAACTCGATGATCATTATCAAATTCTTTCCACAATTTGTAAAGTGATTTCCCCGTTGGTTGAGTACCACAATCCAATAGTACTACAATCTTAGGGTCCAATACTTGTCCAATTGCTTGAAAACACCAACGATGTGAATTAATCTTTTTAGCATTGGTTTCTTTTAGACAAAATAGCATTTGTACAGGGACAATTTTTTCGGTTGTGAGTTTGACAACATCATCAGAAACTGAACTGATTCCAACTCTAGTAGTGTATTCATACATGTGAGCTTGCACTTTCTTGTCATCAACTCTACTCTTGGCCAATCCTTCTTGATAAACTCCCAACCCTGCCAACAATGCCTGAGCACGTTCATTAATTTTGGTTCTTCCATCACTAACAATGCAAACAACAATTTTTTTCCAAGAATCTTTACCCCAAGTTGAAGATCTTGATTTAGATTCAAGATATTTGATATTTTTGAAAACACCTTTCAAAGTTCTTCCTAGTAATACATCATCTTCATTATACATTGTGATTACAATCATCATTTCCGTTTGTCTGGGGATAGGATAGTGTACTGGTCTAAGAATATATGCATCACGATAAAAATTTGATGGACCACAAGTGACTGCTGTATATCTCATAAATGCAAACTCTCGCGATAACCCACCATCTTTTTCATCCGCGTTGTAATCAGGGAACTTGGACAACAACTCACCAGCAACTGGACAGTCAAGTACTAAGTGACCGTTGATACCCGATGCTCTAATTGGTTTCTTGGCTCTAACTTCTTCTTGGTCTGGTGGTTGTTCAAATTGGACATTGTCACCAAATGGACTATCGGGTACCATCTCCTCTTCTTCATCAATTAAGTTCTCAACAGGAACAAACTCTGGTTGGACATCATCATCAACATAACTGGCAGTGGCTAAATCATAATGATCACCTTCAAATTGATTATACTGTATTCTTTGATCAAACTCTCTTTCTTCTTGATCATCATCAGAGTATACATGGGGAACAAATGCGTGATTGTAGTTGTTGTCGTACCCTTGATATTGCATCTCGTAATCTTCATGAAACGGGTCACCTGGTACTTGCACTTGTGGTGGTGCATTGAAAATGGGTTGATTATAGTAGCTTGTGTCATGGTGTAAAGACGAAGTTGATAAATTCTGCTGATAAATAGGAGGCGGTACTGAATCATTGAAGTTTATAGAGTTTGACGATGACATATTACGGTGATGATGATGGTTGGTGTAAACTCCTTGGGTTAGTGGTGTAGTACTCATGTGGCTAACATTATGATCCAAAAACTCCAATGACAGATTATCAGCAGCAGCATCGTCATCATCATAGTCATCCGATGGCATTCGATATAGGTTTGAGCTAGTGTTGTTGTTGTAATTTGGGTGTAAGTGGTTTGGATCACCATTTGTTCTATGATAACTCATTCTTGCAACGCGTGTGGGATACTATAACGATCTGTGAGTGTTGTGTGAGTATTGTGAGATAGACGATGAGTTGTTTACGTTATTCTTAGCAGATCTGATGATGATAATGAGGATGGTGGAATATCTGCATATATATATATATATGTATATGATACTTGGAACTTATCTACCTCCTTATATCTCCCTTTGTGCTGGGAATCGATGATGATTTTTTCAGACGTTTGTTTTATATTTTTAGAAGTTTACTGTATTATGGTGTGGTATAGTATGTGTGTATGGATGCATTTGTATTTCCTTTTGGTTTTGTTTACCTTTTTGCTTTTTAGTTTTTTAGTTTTTAGTTTTTGTGTTTCAAGTGTGTTTGGGAATGATCTTCACACACACACACACACACACACTTTCGTGTCTCAGCCTCAATAAATCTATTACATGATTGTTGTATGTCTCAACACGTAAGTTTACGACATCCAATTTGATATATTTTGACGACACTTGATAAAAGATCCACCCCCTTACTATTAGAGAGCAACAAGATTAAGAAAAAGAAAGCGAAAGACAGATAGAGAAGAGCACCCAAGTACGAGAACCAATCTTAGTACTCACTAAAACCACACAAGACTTCAAAGAAAGATTTATGATACTTTGATCTATTTTTAGTCTACTGTATTATAATATACGATGTGTACAACGTACGGATTAGAGACCATTTGACTCAAAGATACACGACACTTATTACACACTATTTCTTGGGCTCATCGCCTCGGTAAAAACTGCGTGCGTGCGTGCGTCATGCTCTCGACGGGGATTGTCTAGAGTGGGGCGGGGGCGAAGTAACAGTACAAGAGAAACAAAAGCAGTATTTATATGCATATGTCGTGAACATTAATGTTTTGACATTTACAAATGCGACATTAACATTTTGTGACACAATACCATGGTAACATTTTCAACGCTTCTTTTTGCAGTCGTTCGAAAATTACCTTTCAACGGTGCTTCTACTATATATCACTCTTTTGTAAATAATCATCATCATTTTGCATTTTAGCACCACTTTATCTTTCTTTTTTCTTCTATTGTCTTCTCTTTACCGTCAAGTTAAAGAAAAGTATAACGTTCTACTGTACATCAGCTTGCAGAGACAATTAGAAGAGTCATTCAACTGAAAAAACATATATAATAAACAGTATAAAGTAGTTTCTTTTCACTCATACTGAATATTGCATTATCTATATGCCTGATTTACATAGTTAATTATATGAGAGTACTGTAGTTACCTGGAAAAGACATTGGAAAAAGATCTCTCCATATATATCGTTGTTTCTTTTCAATGTTGAAAGATATCATTATATCTCATAACCATTAGACTTTAAGGTGCCCTCTTATAAAAAGTGGTTTGAAATTGCCCAATCTTTTCACTTTTTTCTTTGAGAAAAACCGCTTTCCCAAGGAATCAATTCATTCCATCATGTTCAACAAGATACAAACTTATTTATTACGACGTATATTTAAAGATTTAGACTCCAGTCTATTCCAAGAGGGGTCAGCACAAGAATCATACAATGACAAGAAGCTCGGCAAATGTCAAGCTGCTACTGCAATTACTACTACATCCTTCACCAATAGCCACCATTGCAAAAATCAGATCAAAGTCTACAACGAGATCATCAACCTGATTAATCAATACAAAAACTACTTGACTGATGACAATTACAAGTTGATTGTATTGTATTTTGAATACTACCATGTACACATTAAACCAAACAAAGTAGTAGAGGATAACCCCAGACGACATGTACTAAACTATATCTACTACATCTTATCCACAATAGACGACACAGTATCCTACAAAACCATTACTGAAATTGATAATCTACTACACTCATTTTCACCAACTTGTAACTTATCCCAACTAAATGATATACTATCAGATTTGAAATACTTTATCAACAATCAATTCCCCAAACCCAAATTCACCAAAACAACCTTGATTCATACTATTGCTTTAACTTTTGCTTATGAAGTATTTCAATACCCACACATGGATGATAAAATCAATCATACTAATGCAATTAATTCCCAGCAACGTAAGTTGCTAATTCAATTTTCGCGATTTTATTTCAAAACTGCTTGGTTAAACTATACGAAGAATAAATCAACTAGATATATTGCATTGGATGATGTTGCTAAACTGTTTTGTCAATCTGAATTTGATCAAGTTGTGGAGGAAGATGCCACAGAGGAGCCTTTTCTGAGTAATAATACTCGGAAAGACAAATGTAAAACGAATAACCATAATGGTGGTGGACTGGAAGAAATTGATGATCGATTGGTCCAAATGTATAATGCTTGGTCGTTGGCTGAACTAAGAAGTGTTGAAATTATTCAACTGTTGCAAGAAGCTATGCAAGAGTATAGATTTAGAAGACAGGTTACTAATGAAGAGTAAGTACTTGAGATATACTAATATATACATATACATTTTAAATAACAGTGTCAAATAAAAAGACTCGCTTAAAAAAGGAATTGGGATAATGTTTACTTTGCTTGTTTCTTGTCATCCTCCTTCTTCTTCTTCTCATGAGTCTCCTCCATCTCATGAGTCTCTTCCTTCTCCTTCTTCTGCTCTTCCTTCTTCTCATCAGTCACGTCCTTCCCCTTCTTCTTCTCATCAGTCACCTTCTTCTTATCTTTGCTCTTCTTCTCCTTCTTCTCCTTCTTGTCACCCTTGACCTTCTTGTTTAACTCTTCTGCTTTCACAACAACGCTATAATCATAAGGTTTATCAGTAGACCAAATAAACCAAATCATCAAAATCTCCACCAACCAAAGTCCCACCCACTTAACTTCATAATTCTCCAACAATTGTCCAATATTCTCCATCAACTCACCAACATCGAAAACACCACCAATGTTTAACCTAACAAATGCGACATAAATCGATTGTTTACCAAATAAAGTCCAAGCAATTAAATGAATCATGATGGTTACAATCATTGGTTTGGCCAACTTTGTAAATTTCCTCAATTTCCAGCTCAAGTGGAATCCGCAAACAAGACGTAAAAGTTGCATCAAGAACCCACAAATCAATTGCGTTTGTGAAGCATACTTGAACAAGTATTTGAGCAAATCAGAATTTTGATTAATGACAATATTGGCATAAAATTCATTCACCAAAATTGATTTCTTATAAATCAGATACCTTTCATCATTGATCAAGATACTAGTCAAGGGGATTGGTACATTGATGGAATTATCCAATACGATAATAGCAATAAGATTAATCACAAATGCCCATTGGAAAATCAATTTGGAAAACTTGATAAATTTTGCCGTGGAGGGGATATTGGTATACCCTAATCCAAAATAAACTTGAGAAATGATAAATTTCTGCCACTTGTTTAACAAAACTTGAGCAAAATAACCAAAATAATCTTCAGTAAACTTGTAAATGAAATCATTGGGCAAAAACAAGTAGATCAAACGAAGGGCAAACTGTATCAATGTGAAACCGACATATACAATCAATAATTGTGTCAATTGTTGAATCACTGGTGGCAATTTATCAAATTTACGGGCTCTGATTGCTGGGTATAAGTAACTCAACAACACCAAAGTTGTTCCAAACATAATGGCAATGTTTAACGATGCAGCAATGTCATGGAAAACACTAACGGGAGTAAACTCCTCCACAGACATCTCAGCTCGATAATTGGTTGGCTGGATAATATTACCATCATATGTATACAATGGCATATAGATGCAATAGGTACCCGGTTTATCAACTCCATAACTAACATAGCTGGTATCATTATTGACAGTGGTGTAATAAACCAGCTTTGGTAAAGCTTGTCCTATATTGTGCATTTGTAAATTGAACACAACTCGCTTACTACTTGAATCAACCAATAATAAACTCAGTCCATCCACATCATTAACTTGTTGATTGAGATAGGTATGGTTTAAGAAATCATTGAAATTGGGAAGATTTTTGAAATGAACAATATCATTGTAGTTGAAGATCAAAACGGGTATAGTTTCATTATCTCTAGCCAATTCAAATTCAATGTCAAATTTAGTATGCTTGGTGTCGTTGGCGTATAAGCACACAGCATTGTTTTGGTAGTTGAAGAATACCTTGCGGTAGGGCGTTGTTGCCTTGGGTGGAAGTGGGTGTTTGTTGGCCAATGTCAATGACAAGAATTGACTAATGAGGAGGAATAGTAGTTGAAACACTCTCATTTGCCTAATAGATTTATCTTGAGTTGATCAGATGTTTGATGTTTGACTTTTCAATGTGATGGATTACAATTAATCTGAGTTTTGACTTTGACTATTTAAATAATTTCCAAATAAAGTCGTCTTTTGCTTGCTCTAGAATTGACACGTCGATTGATTAATATTTTTTTTTATAAAGAGTCACGAAGGTGATATTATGCATTTCCTACAGTTTTAGAGTAGGGTTGAAATAATATTCGGCTTTGGTCAAGCTTATTTTTTTTTGTGTCAAAGCGTAAGACTCTCAAACGAAGATTGGAATTTTACCCGCGCAGACAAGCGGCACCGGCCACAAGTAATGTGTGTATGAGAGAGCCATTTGATTATATCGACTGCATTGCAACCCAACGCTATACTCAACTGAATCTTTGATGTCCCCCTTGATCTCCTTTGACAAATGACTATTTCATACAACAATGGTGAGTATCTTTCGTGTAAATTGTAGTCGTGCGCTTTGTGTCAATATACTTTAAATCTGCAAGTATCGTGCCATATTTCCATTACCATTCAAAGCTAATCGACTACGTGTCACTCTTATCCCTGTCTACTATACAATCGTTTAATCAGAAAACAGAATAATAACCGATGGTTTTGGCTGAAGTTTGATGTAACAAAAAGTGTGTATTTCATTTTTGCATCCATTTCATAGCAAATGTTTCGTGATACTTTTTATTACGCAGACATGATGTATATTTCTTATTTACAATCACCAACACTTTACAACAGAGACTCTCTACTGAAACAATGAGCCTTCACTTTGAGCATTATATCTCAACCCTTTAATTGGATTCTCTTTCAATATTAAATCAATCGTGCGTAAATCATCATCAGTCAATTCAACAAAATTGCCGAAATTCAATTTTACACGCTCAATAGATGACCCTGAAGGAATGGGCAAAATTCTTGTAACTTGGTCAATCCCCTTGTAGTTATGTTGACCAGAAATCTTCAAGATCCAAGAGAGGGCTAAACTTTCCAAACTTGTATGTTTCACATCATGAGCGAAATCATAAAGTTTCTTCAAGGGGATCAAATTGGCAGCAAAATTTTCTGGTTGGAACTTATCCAATGTATGCTTAAAATGGCCTTGGGGGATTTCTGAAAGGAATGTATCGGCATGTTCAACACAATAATCAGTCAAGATACCCCTGCATAACGGTGAATAAGCGATGATTGGAATTTGCTTTTGGGAAAGGAACGCCAATATTCCATTGTCAATCAAGTCCTGAGAAAATAATGAAAGTTCCAATTCAACACATGAGATTGGTGCTATGGCCGTTGCTGTTTCAATGGATTTGATTCCAACTTCAGATAACGAAATCCCATCAATGGTTCCATTATCTACGTACTCTTTAATGTAGCTGATTGTATCTTTGTATGGCACTTGAGGATCAACCCTAGCAGCTTCAAAAATCAATTTTGGTCCAGAGCCACCATTGCCGTCTTTCTTTGGGAAATAAGAAGCAACATTCTCAATTGATTTGCCAATATATTCTTTAGATCCATCTGGTTTCAAAGTCGCTGGATCGACGCCACCTTTGATTGAAATTACCAAATCTTGATTAATTTTGGGATCATTAGCGAATAAGAATTGTTGAAGCAATTTCAAATTAGCATCATTGGGACCATAAAAATCACCCCCGTTGATGAATTTAACACCATATTCCGGGTGAGAAGTGACAAATTTCAAAGTTTCAATTGATTGTTGGATTGGTGGCGGTTGTGATGTCCATGTCATTGACATGGTTCCGAATCCGAACTTGCCGGGAATCTCAATTGGTTGTGGAGTCATTTTATAAGGAAGATACTTGAATGATGAGGTGGGAAGTGATTCAACTGGAAATGAAGGTGGGATTGTAAAATCTATTTATGTGTCTACAGTGGCTACGCAGGGCCAAAGGTTTATTCGATTCAACGGTTGTACTATTGTTTACATTTTTGACAGGATGAAATTGTCGCTCATTACTCGATCGGGAATTAATTCCGCACCCATCAAATTTCATATGTCGTATCAACAAAGCCAACCACACTTTCTTAGATTCGTTTGCATCCCGGTCCGTCGGCCGTGTTTCATGCTTAGTCTAAAGAGTTCGGAGACAAAGACGGAGTCAAAGGCATACTCTACAAAGCATACGGCCGTAAAAAGTGAATATACATCTTTTATCTATCAAACAGAATTACTCACCACTGCAGTTCCTCTCTCAAAAATAAAATACCTTTTCCTTATCCCATTCCAAATCTTCAAGTAACTCATTAATATGACTCTTCATAGCCGGTGGACCAGACATCAAAATCTTGGTATTATCTTTATCATCAAACATATTCTCAATCATTTCTTTTGACACATACCCAACACCACCAGTCCAATCTTCACTTGGTGTATCGACAGTATAGTACACTGACAATTTAGGGTATTTCTCTGCAATTGAATCCAATTCCAGTTTCAACAAGAGTTGATTTGGAGTCTGACATGCGAAAATTAGCTTGAGCTCAGTTAAGTCTTCAGGGTTGGTAATGGCCCGTGTAATAACTTGCAAGATTGGAGTTATACCAGTTCCGCCAGCAATCAAACCCAAGGTCTTTGTTTCATTAGGCTTATAGTCCAATGTCCCCACTGGTCCCCTAAACTTGACCGTTTGACCAATTTGAACAGTAGCTAATTTACTAGTGACTTTCCCTTGAGGATAATGCTTAACCAAAATATCAAAAAACCCTGAATCAAACTGGTTCGAAATTGGCGAGTAGTATCGCAACTCATCCTTACCATCGATCGTAAACACACATGATAAATGATGACCAGTGGGGATATCCAAAACTTCATCCTCACGACCCAACTTGAATCGATAAATTGCAGTCATTGGAGCCACCATTGTTCTATCAATCAATTCAAAATCACGCCATATCGTTTGATGCATTGATGAACGACGTTGCGTGGCCAAGTAGTATTGAATTGAACATATGACGATGATAAAAGCGATAGTGTATGGCATATAGGACCAACTGAATAGCCAAGTGCCGAATAGGAGCAAGCCGATGGGGATGACTATTCCATGAAGTGGGTTGGCTAATAGCTTCCTCTTGTCGTCTGTGTCTGACATGATAGAGCTTGTTGTTGTATAGAGATGAGTTTGAAAAAATTAGGCACGAGCTATTTTTTTTTTCATCATTGAATGAGTGTTGTTTTGTGTGCACCGTTTTATACCCGATAATGGGAGAGAGATACAACCGAATTCAAAAACATTTCCTAACGATGGTTTTCCCCCAACGCTACTGACACCCAAGCTCTTTCAAATTATCAAGATAAAATTCCAAAAGCACTATACAAAAAATGAATAAAAACTAACCATTATATAAATGAGAAAAAGGGTATATAGAAATAGAGAAGTAACAACAAAACACAATTAAAAATTAGCTAGCGAAAAAGCTTTTTTTCAACTAATACTCTTCTTCTTCTTCTGGAAAAGAGTCAGTTCCAACTTCAACATAATCTCTTTCCAAAGCAGCCAAGTCTTCTCTAGCTTCAGTAAATTCACCTTCTTCCATACCTTCACCAACATACCAATGAACAAAAGCTCTCTTTGAATACATCAAATCAAATTTCTTGTCAATTCTTCTCCAAGCTTCGGCAATAGCAGTGGTGTTGGACAACATACAAACAGCTCTGGATGCACCAGCCAATTCAGATCCCTTTATAGCAGTAGGTGGTTGGTAACAAATACCAATTTTAAAACCAGTTGGACACCAATCAACCAATTGCACGGTTTTCTTGGATTTCACTTGAGCAACAGCATTTTGGACATCACGAGTAACAACATCACCCCTGTATAATAAACAGGTGGCCATATATTTACCCATTCTAGGATCACATTTAACCATTTGATTACCAGGTTCAAAACAAGATTGAGTAATTTCCGAAACTGAATTGGCTTCATGATTGGCTCTGGTTTTGGAAAATACTGGTGCATAACTAACCAATGGGAAATGGATTCTTGGGTAGGGAACCAAATTAGTTTGGAATTCATTCAAATCGACATTCAATGATCCATCGAATCTTAATGAAGCAGTAACTGATGAAACAACTTGGGCAATTAAATTGTTTAATGAGCTGAAATTTGGTCTGGAAATGTCCAAGTTTTTCCTACACATTTCGTAAATGGCTTCATTATCAACCATAAATGTACAATCAGCATGTTCCAAAGTGGTGTGAGTGGTCAAGACAGTATTGTAAGGTTCAACAACTGAAGTAGACACTTGAGGAGCTGGATAAACGGCAAATTCCAATTTAGACTTCTTACCATAATCCAATGATAATTGTTCCAATAATAATGAACCCAACCCAGATCCAGTACCACCACCCAACGAATGAGTGAAGAGAAAACCTTGTAATCCATCACACTGATCACTCATTCTTCTAATTCTGTCCAAAACATCATCCAAAATCTCTCTTCCAACAGTATAATGACCACGAGCATAGTTATTGGCGGCATCTTCCTTACCGGCAATCAATTGTTCCGGGTGGAATAAATCCTTATAAACACCAGTTCTAACTTCATCAATGACATTTGGTTCCAAATCAACATACAATGCACGAGGAACATATTTACCTGATCCAGTTTCACTGAAAAATGTGGAAAATCCTTCTTCACCTCCTTTTGGTCTATCTAATCCTTCTTGCAAATACCCATCAGGTCTGATTCCGTGTTCTTGGGAGTATAATTCCCAACAGGCGTTTCCGATTTGACAACCAGCTTGTCCAACTATAGGATGGCGTTAGTAAGATAGATCTTGAATACAAGAAAAGACGCGCTTTTGAAAGGTAAAGCATAACATTAATTTTAGCAACCACATGGGAAAATTGTCGCGTACAAGTATCCTCTTGTATAGCAACAGTAGTGATACAGTAGTGGTGGATGATCTAGTTGATGGTTTCTGGTTTGATTCCTCAATAGATTTTGATTCGTGTGTGGTGTGATCAATACCTACATTTCGTGTTTCATTTCAAAACACATTATCCTTCATGTTTATGCATCGTCTTTTGTAAGTTACTCTTGTCACATACCGTTGATACTGATAACTTCTCTCATTGTTGATACTTGATGATATTAAGTTGTGATTGTAGGTGGGAAATTCTGATGATTTGTGTATAACAATCAAAAGCTATAAAAGAAGTATAAGCTTGTCTTGGTGTTTGGTGTTTGATTCAGAAAGAAAAATTTGTTTGTTTGTTCCTTTTGTTTACACTTTTTACATAATCTATTACATAATATTACTCAATTGGGATACAGTATTGGACGCTACCAATTACATTATTAATATTCTCAGAGGAAGTAGATGATAAGCAATATCGATAGAGATAAACTCTCCCTTGTAACATTCATTACCCTTACTTCTACGATCAAAACCTTAGAAATTACATTTATTTGCAAACTTTACTATACAAAGCATCCCAAACTCTACTTGATACTAACCACCACCAACGCACAGTAATTTACCACTTCAACCCCAACCATGATTTGACATGCTGTATTATACCCTCAGGATGACGCTTCAATCCCAACTTCTCCTCCAACACTTCGCTAATTGGTCTCTCCCACTTCAATGACTTGTATCCATTAAACAATTTATTCTGAGCCTCAGCCAAAGTCAACAATTCTTTACGATTCAAGCTCGACAACCAATTATAATTGTATCCAAATGATCGTAAATATGACTTCAAATCAGCATTGGAATAAGTCTTGACTATGCTATCCCATTTATCACCCAAGCCATCCTTGGCTTGTTCGGCAGCATCATAAAGCTTATTGTTGAAAATACCCAAATGGTACAATACCGATCTGTATAGATTCTTTAACCAATCTTGAAAAACTGGAGTATACTTGACATAATTGTCTTGAGTGGATTTCCAAGCTTCCTTTGAAGCAGTTTGAATTTTTTCCCCAGCATCTTTACCCAACTCACTGGCTTTTTGTCCATACTCAACCGCCAATTCACCGGCCAATTTCGAATACTCATCATACTTTTTTCCCGCATCTTTTGATGCAGCAGCATATTGTTTTGCAGCTTCTTTTGAAGCCTTGTCCAATGCCTTCAACGCTTCTTCTGAATATTCGTCATACTTTTTACCAGTCAATTTGTAAAACTCATCGTACTTCTTGGAAGCTTCTTTTGATGCAACTTGGTACAGTTCATAAGCTTGTTTACTTAAATCATCAGAATACTCATCATACTTGACCTTGGCTTTTGCCCCAACTTCACTGGCCCATGCACCAAGAGCCGATGAATACTTGGCATATTTGTCCAGTGCGTCCTTAGCGGCAGCTTCATATTGCTTGCCTGCTTCCTTGTACCAATCATCAGCCTTGGCTGAAGCTTCTTTAGACCATTCGTCGTACTTTTTATTGGCAAGCTTGCTATACTCATCATATTTGGCATTGGCAACCTTGATGGCCTCTTCGTATTGCTTGGCAGCTTCAGCTGATAATTCATTAGCCTTCTTATTGGCAGATTTGGAATATTCGGAAAATTGCTTGTTAGCAAGTTTTGACAATCCTTGATACTTCTTATCAGCCAACTTTTTATACTCGTCGTATCTCTTTGCCGCTTCTGCCGATGCCAACTCATACTGCTTACCAGCTTCCTTCTTGGCGTTGTCGGCAGCATCTGCAGCAATAGCAGCATATTCATCATACTTTTTACTAGCTTCAGCTGCTGCTGTTTCATATTGCTTACCAGCACTTCCGAGTAAATTTTCCAAATTATCATTCACCAATTTTGAATACGCATCGTATTGCTTGTTAGCTTCTTCAACAGCACGTTCATAATTCTTACCTGCAGCTTCTGCAACAGCATCAGATTGTTTGTTGTAAAGCTTCTTGTATTGATCATACTTGTAGTTGGCGTCCTTGGCTAAGTCTTCATATTGCTTTCCAGCTTGCTTGGTCAAGTCATCAACCGAGTCGTCAACACTGCTTAAATACTCATTGTATAAATCTTTGCCATGTTGAGCATACTCATCATACTTCTTTGCTAATGCTTGATATTGATCATTGGCATTGTCCAAGACAGCTTGCCCACCTTTGTTAACCTCCTTTTGTCCACGCTGGAACCAAGAGGAGGAAGAAGAAGAAGAAGACTTGCTTTTTTTACCAAGTAAAGTTTGTTGAATTCTTTTCCAATCTTTAATCAATGAGCCGATAGTTGATTTGGCGTATTGAGTACTAGCCAATTTAGCATCATAAACCAAGTTAGAAAACTTTTCTGCATCTTCATTGATTTCCTCCAAGAATCGAGCTGCATATTCGTAACTTTCAGTTTGAATTTCCTGCAAAGCTTCCTCAACGGAATATTCCGCGTGTTTCAATTCATCACGAGCAACTTCGGTTGCCTTTTGGAAATACTCTTCAACGATAATATATGCCTTTTTCAACTTGTCTTCACCAATGGATTCGGCATCAACGACATTTCTCGTCAAGTAATGTTTGAAACTTTCCAAATCGGGTTTGTGCAATCTAATCTGTGAATCAATATTTTCCTTTCCAGATCCATGACTCTTAAATTGCTTTTGAAATGCAGCAATCAAGTCTTGTCTTGAACCTTCAACATTTTGACCTTGTTCACGTAACCATTCCTTGATCGAGTTGGTTGAAATATCGTTATCGACAACATAAGCATCAGCTTCAACATGAATTGGATCACCTCTATGTTCTTTAACCAAGTCAATCAACTGCTTTCTGGTGGTGAAGATGGAATATGGAACTTTACGTACATTTAAAAATTCACGCAATTTATCCTTTGACCAATTTTCAATGCCAACAAAGAATGTGTCATTAATCAAATTCTTGGCTCCTCTGCCACCTTTACCAGACTCACCTTTTGATAACCAAGGTTCACTCTTTTTCTCTGAATGTTTCAACCAAGTTTGAATGTCATCGAGAAGGTAGCTCTTGTAAGTTTGCGCCTTCTTAATCAATGTTTCCTTATCCAAGTCACCAACCCAAACATCTGGTTTGGTATTGATAAATCCATGCAAGTACAACCATTCACGCAATTGTGAATAAGACCAAGATTCAAAAAATTCATCTCTAATTTGTCCAGTTTTGTCAAAAATAGACTTGTCAAATAAATCCAATGAATCAAATAATGCATCCTTGGTGTCAATAATATCATTTGTAGCCTTGTAATTGTACTCCTTGACTTTTTCCACCAAACCCTTTTTTGATGAATTCTTGTCAAATTCTATCTTGTAGTTGTTTAGCCATTTTTTCAAATCATCCTCAGACCACGATTCGTATAACCAATCACCGGGGTAAAAGTTGGAGCCTTTATTCTTTTTTGAAATTGAGCTGTATTTGCTCTTGAGAGTCTTTAGCAAGTCACTCTTGTTTGCTTTTTCATCCACCTTGATTCCATGATGTTTCAAAAACTTAGTTAATGAATCAAAATCCCAACTTTCAAAAAACCACTCCAGAATTGGTTTTTTTTCACTTGAAGAACCAAATAAGTAGCTGAAACTTAAATAGTCTTCCAAATTGTGTTTCTTTGGCTTCAATTGCTTATCCAATTCACTTTTCAACTTGTTGTAACCATTTTCCAACTTTTTGGCTTCAATATTGGCCACTTCAATCAATTTTGCATTATCCCACTTGGGGTCTTGTTTGACCTTGTTGTCTTCCAAGAATTGTTTCAAATCGTTGTTACTCCATTCTTCAAAACCATAATTGGCATGAACCAATTGGATGAATATACAAGCCAACCAAATGAATCTCATTGTTGTGTGTGTCAATTGATTTATAGTAGTTGTCTTATGAGATTCTAGTAGAAATCAGTGAAGAAAATTGTCTGGATTCTCGAAAAGTATTTAAACTGTGGGACGACGAGGAGTAGGAGGGGGAAGGGTCACTGTAGTAGCAACTTTAAAATACATTTGACTTGGTAGCAATCTTACTGCAAACAGTTTAAGGGGTTGTGCATATATACACTGTGGAAGTTTATAGAAAAAAAAGATAGATACCTATTCAACAGCATATAATGTAGACGGCTTAAAGAAAAGTAGTCCAATTGGTCTACTACAAGAGTATGTGATTGATGACTAATATCAACCCACACTGGGCCATGGTATTAAGGCATCGACTTTGGAGCTGTAAAAAGAGTGTGCGTATTTCGATAGCAACCATGATTGTGGTTGTGTGTGCTAAGTTTTGTGTAATTTGTGTCTTTCAATCCACGTGATAATTTCAAATGGTCCTTCAAAGAAAAGATGAAACACTGACAAATACAATAATCCTCGGAAGAAAGAGTAGCTCTAAATAACCCGAGAAACATCTCAATATCTTCAATAGAGCTAAACGTTCAAGATCAATAGCACCTGCACATTGGTCCGTGATTGGGGGAATTGTGGCTCGTGCAAGCAGTTGGAGTTGCTACCACTTACCATCAAAATACACTTCTGGTAGTTTAAAGTTCCTCTCGTTTGGTCTATTATCTACAGGCGATCACTTGTCCATTCCAAAACTAAAAAAAAAAAGGGGCTGGTAAGCTGCAACTGTGTGTAGTACCCTTGGACAATGACACCAGCGACGTCAAACTGACGCCATTTCTCAGTTCAGTGTTCTTCGCAACAATAATCGCAATTACATCCTCATTGGTTAACTATCGACAACGTGGCTAGTCCATATACCACCTTCTCTTTTGCGGGGAAACTTCTCAGAGCATAACAAAATAATCATCATTTTGTTTTGCTGTTTTTTGTCTGTCTGTCGGCTAAAAATTTTATACGCCACATTCTTGGACATGGAGGAACTTTTTTCTTCGCTTATTTTGCACCCAAATCCATCACAAAAGTTTCAATTCTTGTGCCTTATACTTTCACTTTTTTTGCACAATTGCCCCAGAAAAGGAAAGCCCACTCGTCAGCACGAACTCAAAGACAGACATAGACGTAGACTTTCAAATTGTACACTAAATAAAAAGAGAAGACCGACACTTTTACGTCGTTTTTCAACTGTACATTTGTCACATAGATTGATCGATCTATCATTTCTCTAATTTTTAAACTGTCTTTAGGAAATTCGATACGTGAAAAGTTTCAGTTGATGATCTTGCTCGTCGTTATTGTTTTCTGTGAAGATCATCGCCACATAATACGGCCTCAGCAAAGATTAAGGTTGAGAACCCCACCTCGTACCAAGTGGAATAAACCTTTGGAGCAATCCACAAGTTAAAGGAAGAGAGGCGGCCCAGATTTGAAACGAAAAAATGGGATGTAATGTCTCACGACTACTCACAAGATTTCATCAAACTTCAACTTGAAGAGGATGCATTTTTCAACCAATTGAGCTATGGTCATATTAACGCAGACAGAACAATTGAAGTGCTCAGACTGAAACAACAACCTCAAGCGGTGGATTTAAGTAATAGACTAAGCTGCGGCAATGAAAAAGATCAAAAGAAACTTTCATTGGATAATGAGTTTCAATCAATTCAACTTGATTGGTATACGTTGCATTTAAACCAACTAACCGCTTTACGAGCCAAAATCAATCAACAACAACTCAAAGCATATAATAAACTGGTGGATCAATTTAGAAAACGAGAAATACATTGGATTCAACTGTATCGTAAAAGGAAACAGTTGGAGACAAAGAAGAGACAAAAGAAATTGGAAGATAGGACCATGAGATTGGAAAAGATTCGACAGTTGAAACAACGGGTTCGTGATGTAACGAAAAAAATGTCTGTACGTATGCACAATACTTGTGAGGGTGATAACGTAGAGAGACAGAGCTGTTGGGCTAAGAGATTATTAGCTCTCGTTTGGATTGGCAATTATGGCAAAGTGACAACATATTCAAACACAAGCAAATCATGTCAAGACCAAGACGATCATACATTTACCAACAATGAAGCCAAAATACGTGATGATCCTTGGTACTTTCGATGTATCAACTTCGTAAACCACAGATTCAAGCCCAATCACCCCAAAGTTCATCATCATCAACAACAATCAAGTCCCAAGCTCAACAAGCAAAAGCAACAACAACAACAACAATTACTACTACGTCGAGTTTTGCATGTGAATTATCATCGATGCACTCAAATCAAATTGGTCAAAAGCAAGATTTATTTACGATCTCAATTGAAAAAGCATTACCATATGTTGGTGCTCAAGTATCGAGTATACAAAACCAAACTACTACGAATCTGTACATTATTAAAGCATTGGTTCATAAACAAGAAAAGACGAATGAAGAGACTGGGGATTAGACTCAGAAGGCGGTACACGATAGCTGCTGTGTTATGTCAAAATTCAGATACAAACTCCAGTGCAATAATCGACCACAATAAACCTGATCACCTAACATTTTATTGTTCAACAAATGACAACTTTATGCAAACACACCAAATGTTTCTTCGGTTTGAAATGTATAGATTGCATTTATTTTGTCGATATCGCATGCAATTTACTTTCTTGACCATTTAGATAGAGTTAATTACGATTGGTACAGCGACAATAAAATATGTATACAGCTACTAGATGTTGACGTGTAATATACATTATTAGCCGAGTTTTTCTAAATGCAAGCAACATTTGAACAACTAATACTCACTATTTAATAGCAACATAGTGCCTCGCACCCCTCTAGGCCGCTCTACTTCTTGACACCATACTTTCTTCTAAATTTGTCATCAACTTCCAATAAATAATATGTTCCAGCAGGTAAATTCTCAATTGAACCTTTTGGTTTGAAATCTTTTTGTAAATGAGCATCTTCTCTAAGCCCAATAGCATCAACATAAGCTTGTGGTGATTCAATTTTACGTCCTTTGCCCAACTTGTAATCGAAATCCAACACCTTGACAATTTCAGAAACATCACCTTTTAAAACAACTGATAATAAAGTTGATGCTAAACCTGATCCATAGGAGAAAACACCGATTCTCTTGTTTGAAAGATTGGCCCCATTTTGTGAGGCATAGTAAATGACCGATGCTAAAGAAACCCAAGCGGACGCGGTGTACATGTTACCGGTATTTGTTGGAACTTTCAATGCTGGTTCAACACGAGCTTTAGTTTCTTCTTTGGCCAAAGTGACAAAGGTTTTTTCCAAGATTTTATCAGTTAATGAAGCTTCATAGGATAATGCATCGATATGTTGTCTTGTTTGTTCATCAATTAAATCAGTAAATTTTTCAGGACTAGACTTGTAATCATTGTATAATAACCTGGCATAACTTTTAGTGACTAATTTACAAGTTGGAACATGAAATGCGTTATAATCAAAATGATCATACAATCCAACAGTCTTATCTTTATCACCAGTGACTTTACGTGAATAGCTTTTGTAACAATTGTCGATGGCTTTAACATAACAACTCAATGAGAAATGTCCATCAACAGTTGGATACTCACTAGTGAAATCTGGTTTGTAGAAATCGTAAGCATGTTCCATAAATGACCCTCTAATTGAATCAAACACAATAGGAGCATCAGGACCAATCCATAAGGCAACAGCACCTACACCACCAGTAGGTCTGGCTGCACCCTTGTCGTAAATAGCAATATCTCCCGCAACAACGATGGCATCTCGACCATCCCAACTAGAACTTTCAATCCAGTTTACAGCATTAATGACAGCCGAAGTTCCTCCATAACAAGCATTAACAGTATCAACACCTTCGATATCGGAGTTGTCACCAAATAATTGCATCAATACTGATTTAACTGATTTCGATTTATCCAACAATGTTTCAGTACCAACTTCCAATCTACCAATGTGGTCAGTGTTGATGGCATAATGTGATAACAAGTTGGACAATACAGTTAAACTGATGGAGTAGATATCTTCAGTATCATTAACAAATGCCATATTGGTTTGTCCTAACCCAATGGTGTATTTACCTTGAGGAATGCCATCAAATTTTTCCAATTCAGCTTGATTGACTGCTTGACCTGGAATGTACACTTCGATACCTTTGATACCAATGTTTTGAGGGGATTTAGTCATCATGTAAAAGTGATATATGCCTGATAGTTATTTTTAATATGAAGTGAAAGAAAGAAAAGGAGTGGTAAGTGTGTTTATGTCTGTGTGTGTAATTTGGTATGTGTATATATCAATGTGTGTGCTTGTGTGTGTGTTGTGTTGAAAAATAAATTTTTCTTCTTCTAAACGACGGACCTGCATATAAAATGGAAAAAAAAGAAATCTTTCGAGAGGCGAATGATTGATAGAGAGAGACGTGTGTGTGTCGAGTGTTGGAAGTGCTACCACGTAGAGAGACCATGGAGTGGAGATACTTCCAATGGTATCTCAAGATGCTTATAGGTTTAAAGTGAGAATATCAAGACTAAATATCCTGGTATTAAGGTGAGTTGAAGATGCTACGCTATAAATTCAAAGAGAGTTGTGAAGGATGCATTCTTATACGACAGAACAGTTGATATAACCATCTATTGTTTCATATTACGTAATCCACGTATAAATCCATTACTATACACACGGACACACACGACGAGATTTTTTTTTTTTGGTCTCAAGCCTCATGTCGCGAATTCACTCATTGTCGTTACAATTTACAAACTACACGACATTGGAAAATATCGTACGATGTGATCTTACTTTTTGCAACTAAAATATTGTTTTGTATAAAATGACCAGTTTTCACCACAAAAAATCCCTTTTATCCCAAAAATAGAACAGGCGGAGCTAGCCAAGAAAATACTTCAAACTCATGACAAGCTCCTACTTGTCCTTTACCCCCTTTTCTCATTTAGCCTTTGGTAATTTGCGAACTACAAAGTGTATATAAAATGATATTTGCTTTCTCTTCTTGACAGAGTTGTATTGTAGAGGGTCCTTCTTTTCCACAAAAACAAATTCCCCACATTATTCAATATGAGATACTTTGGATGCTTATTATTACTTGCCACACTGGCTTTTGCAAATTTTGATTTATTCAAGAGAGATGATTGTAATAAAATGAATATTGCCGCTTGCCGAGATGCTATCAGAATTAAAGAAACCAATTGTGACATGTACGACAATGACAGTGACTATGAATCAGACACGGAGCAAGAATTCTATGCCAAAATACAAGAAGATCGTTGTGAATGTAGCTTGGATGATGAGTATTATGTTAAATGGAGTCAATGTGCTAAAGAGTGTGGTGCTAGAGTCGAGTTGCAGCCAGAGTTGCTCAAGAGTTCAGTTTGTTCAAAAGCTCTGAGGGTCCCACCCAATTCACAATTTGCCAATTATGTTTCGTCAATGGATCGAGTAGGAACACCGGCTTGGTCAAGGACAACTGATCTGAGCTCACTGAGAAACGCAGACAGTAGTTCATCACAAGTTGCATCATCCACTTCTGATTCTGGTAGTAGCTCTGAAGAGTCAAGCGGTTCAGCTAATTCAAGCTCTGCCGGTGAATCAACTACATCAAATGGTTCCTCAACTAGTGCTGCAAGCAGAACTGAACCGGAATCAACTACAGAGAGCTCCTCAGATACCACAGACGAATCGAGTACAGACGGTTCTTCTAGTAACGACTCTGCCACAACAGAATCCACCACAACTTCTTCAGAGAGTTCATCCACTAACTTTGCAGTTACAGCCGGTTGTGGCTCACTCCTTTCTTTGATTTTGTTATCGTTGTTGTGAATAAATGTGGCACCAATGACTAAATAGCTCTATATAGCTTGTATAGTTTAATTTGAAAAGCTGTTCAAAAGAATTCAACTAACACTAACAAAGGAGTAGGGAAGTGTATTTTCCCACATTGCAGGTGAATCGTATGTTTAATCATTCAGAAAGTTTACTTTTGTAAAAGCTTGGCCAATTATATGCCTCGAATGAGTTAAAGTTAAAACGCATGCAAAAATTCGACAATAGAACAAAATGGGGAAAGTAAGTGGCTCCTATTCAAGCATCGTAGCACTTCGCTCAAGATAGTATTGCGTCACAGGATCATATTCATTTCCCCTCACCCCGAATGTGTCTTAATGACAACATCTGCTTAAAATATTTACACATAATAGCATTCATTCTTATTAAAAGAAATACATCGGAATTACCAAAAGTGTATTCACATACTTTTAGTTCAGGTCAAAAGTATTATGACTAACAAAGTGTTTACACTTTTCTTCTCTTTCGTAGTTTTTATATAAAACGAGCTGGGGGGTTTTCAAAAGAATTTGTTTTTTATTTTTTTTTTTTTATTTTCTAATTCACCAAATCCCATCTCAATATATTGCAATCACTTTTCATCATAAAATGGTTTTTGGAATCGTATTCTTATTATTTGTGTCGCTTGTGGTTGGTCATCTAGAATTGCTCAAAAGGGATGAGTATTGTGAATTCTTGAACTTTGAAGTTTGTCGAATCAGGGACAAAATTAGATACTTTAGTTGCGAATTACCTTATAGCGACCTTAATGATGATAATGATGATTATATCTATGAGGATCACTCTGTTAGTGAGCAAAAATTTATCAGATACATGTATCAGTGTATGTGCAAATTAGATCATGATTTTTTTCTCATTTGGAGTGAATGCAATAGACAATGTGGGTTTGACGGAAGCGGTGTTGGCGTGACCCCGGAAGCTATTCAAAGTACAGTATGTTCAATAGCTCTGGGAGCTACTGAGTCTTCATACATTGAAGATTACGTTTCATCAATGGATGCAGAAATATCACGAGCTCAGACGGACACAGAGGGAAGTTACCACATAAGTGATTGGGGTGCATACAATGATATATACAATAGTACTGATTATTCTTCACAAGTTTCTTCAATTTTGAAGTCTATATCAGATTCAAAAAACAAAAGCGAGTCAACAAAGTCTTCCACAGCTACGACAACAAAGGGGTCTTCTAGTAACATCGCCGTTACAGTTGGTTGTGGCTCGTTGTTTTCATTAGCCTTGTTGGCTTTATTGTGATTAATTACTATTACTTTTTATATTTAACATAGCTATATAAACACCTTTGCCAATTTTTATCTCCTCTATCTCTAGCCGGTGCATTGTTCAAGTGTACAATGTTATATTTTGGATGCAAAAGATCAAAATTCTGTTCCTCATGCGGATCCGAGAGGGAGAGAGGAAAAAATAATCGGCGTTAGGTAAGTCCGATTCGGAGAAATGCCACATTTGACATATCTGAGATCATTTACACGACAAATGGGTATAGAAAGCATCGGTCCTTTGTTAATGTGGAACCCTTGTAGTTATCGGTTTGTGTAAGGTAAGGCACAAAATGTATCTATTGAGTCTGGTAATTGGACCAGGCAATGTGGTTGTGTCGTAAAACCACCTTTGTGTTTTGCCAAAATATTTCGCGACAATGAATTGTAATTACACTAAGAGAAGCTTTTTGAAAATGCAACTATAGACGCAACAGGTGAGCAAGGAAAGTTGTAGCCCATTTTCACCCCCCTGACAAATTGATTTCTTTCATTGCACATTGAGTATCACTTCAACTATAGGTAATGATATTCACCACTAAATCTAGAGGAGGTGAAGTCCCCGACTCCTTGAAACCATTCACCACTAATAAATTCATTCACAAGACATGGGCCGGTACATTCTATTGTCAACCACAAGCCATATTTCAGCCTCGCAATATTGACGAAATTAAAGAATTGATTAAGCAGGCCAGATTACATCACAAGACTATTATGACTGTTGGTTCTGGCCATTCACCAAGTGATTTAACCATGACAAAGGAATGGTTGTGCAATTTGGACAAGTTTAATCATGTGTTGCATCAAGAAGAGCATTGGGGCCCAGTGCTGGAGGGAAGTACTGAAAAGGAGGTTAAGTTTGTTGATTTGACTGTTGAAGCTGGATGTCGTGTTTTTGAATTGAATGAGTACTTGAAACAACACGATTTGGCTATCCAGAATCTTGGTTCAATTAGTGATCAATCGATTGCCGGGTTGATATCTACTGGTACCCATGGATCTACTCCTTATCATGGATTGGTTTCACAACAAGTTGTCTCTATAACTTTTTTAAACTCTGCGGGGGAATCAATAACTTGTTCTTCAATTGAAAAATCAAACTATTTCAGAGCTATCCTTCTTTCATTGGGTAAGCTTGGTATCATTACTCATGTTACTTTACGTACGTGTCCTAGATACACCATCAAATCAGTGCAAGAGATTATCCATTTCGACACATTGTTGTCTCAATGGAATACTATTTGGTTAGATTCGGAATTTATAAGAATTTGGTGGTTTCCGTATACTGATAAATGTGTACTTTGGCGTGCCAACAAGTCGGAAGACGCCATATCACCACCAAGAGAATCATGGTATGGATCTACATTTGGTCGGTTTTTTTATCAATCATTACTTTGGATTTCGGTACACTTGTGGCCACTGTTAACTCCTCATGTTGAAAGATTCATTTTTGAACAACAATATGGGAAAGTGGAGACATTGGGCCAGGGGGATGTTGCCGTGCAAAATTCAGTTGAAGCTTTGAATATGGATTGTTTGTTCTCACAATTTGTTAATGAATGGTCAGCTCCATTGGTTAATGGAGTTGATGTCTTGACACAATTGAAACAGGTTATTACAAATGCAACTGCATCAAGAGAGTTCTACGTTCACGCACCAATTGAAGTTAGATGCTCTAATGTCACTCAATGCAATGAACCTTTTGTGGATGATGAAGGTAAAGCGTCATTATATCCTTCTCAAGGTTGGTTATCAAAGAGATCAAAGACAAGTGCCGGCCCAATTCCAGGAAACAATTTACGTCCATATTTGGATAACTCACCACGCTTACCTCATAAACAAACAAACTCGCATCCAACAAATGATGAATTAACCGTGTTTATTAATGCAACAATGTATCGACCATTTGGCACCAACGTGTCCACTCATCAATGGTATCAAGTTTTTGAAAATATCATGATTAAAGCAGATGGAAAACCACACTGGGCCAAGAATTTTATTGGTGTAGAGGCGGAAAAACAAAGCGATGCTGATGTTGAAGATGATTTACATCAACAGTTGGAATTTGGCGGGAAGCCATTTTATTCGATGATTGGATTCAAGAAGTTGATGCAGAGTTGGTTTGGTCAGGATCTTGTTGAGTTTAATAGAGTTCGTAAATTGACCGATCCTGATGGCGTTTTCCTTTCAGGGAGATTGTGGGCTGATAGAAATGGTATTTTGTTGGACTAGGAGAAGGAGAAACTCATACATATATATTGAAACAAAGCTACTCTATCAGCGATTTCCACTATATATATTAAATATGCCTATCCTACTTGAATGGAGCTTTTAATGGATCAATGACAACACCTTGTTTGGTAATGACTCTAGGCATTGTCAATTTCTGATGCGTTTCTCGACTAGTCCATTCTTGTCCCACTGGCATACGCAACGAACGTTCATATTGTTCTCTAGTTTCAAAAGGATATGGAACATCCAGTGATTGATATTTTAGAATCTTTTTGTTTAATTTTTCATTTATAATGACATTGGATAGATTCTTGTCTTTACGTTTATCGCGTTGGGCAACTCCATCAATCTTGCGTATGAATTTACGCTTCTTATTTCTGTTCCCTTTTGAAGACCCCCCAGCCCAATCACCCCATCCTGGCAAGGTTACATCTTCTTCTTTGTCATCTTCATCTTCAATCATACGTTTCTTCTCCAGCTGGAATTCGCTAATTACATCATCACCAATAAATGCTTCTTTGATTAATTCCTTTTGTTTGAACATTGCTGGTACTGAATCGGTATCAATATCTTCTCCTTCATCCGGATCATGTTCATCTTTATGGACATCGGAAATAGCTAGGGTATTGTTGATATCAATGAGAGACTCAGTGTCATTGTGGCTCTTTTGCTTACGTTTGGCTATTTTGGCGGCTGCTTTAGCAAGCTTGGATGAATTTTCATCAATCATAGTGGTGATTTTAGTTGATTTCTGTCGTGGTTCGTTATTAGAAGTGGATGTAGACGAAGCGAGCCAAGGATTGGATTCATCAACTTGAATTTTTTCAACTATTACTTTATCACATCCATCATCTTCAGGAGCTTGTTCAAAAACCTGTACTTTATTGACTTTGGCATTAAGCGACTTGGCATTATCATCCTCAACTTGATTTTTGATTTCCTCATTCAAGTCCATATCATCGATAGCAGCCGCATTATACACCCGTCTACCGGTATTTTTCTTGATATTAACCAGCCCATTATCTTCCTCAAATAAATCAATACCGGTGTCTTCCCCATTTTCCAATCGTCTCAATTGCTCGATCTGTTTAAGATTCTCTTCTTTTTTCCTCTTTTCAGCATTCTTCATAAAATCCATGGCCATGACCCCCTTGCCAATTTTGCTTCGATCCACAATTTCATCATCTTTAGCATATTCGCGCTCAAGTCGATCCAAATTGTCGTCACTATAAATTCCTTCATCATCATCGTCGTTCCCTCCTCTTTTTCCTAATTGCTTCTCCCTTAATCGCTCACCCTGCCTCAACATCTCTTCCAATTCTTCTCTATTTGATGCATCTTTTGATAATCCACTTTTGATCATTGATTGTGCCCATTTCAGTTGAGTCTTGTGTTTCAAACTCATTCTTTCTTTAGCTCTCTCCATATCGTGGTCTTCTTCTTCATCAACATCTTCTGCCTCATCACCCAATGCTTGATTTCTCAATCTTTCTCTCTTTTTGATCTTGTGGTACTGCTTTGATTTAATCTTTTTCAATCTTTTGGCTCTACGTTCATCTCTAAACATCAACTCCCTCATGAGTCTTAATTCATGAGTACGTTTGCGCAACTCCTCAGGTGACATTTTAGCCATGGCTATTTCTTCAAATGTAGCTTCCTTTTTATCGTCCACTAGTGCAGACTGCGTGAGTAAATCATTAACCTTCTTTTCGAGGTTGGTTGTTGGGGTATGATTATCTGCTCGGAATGTCAATGCTGAATCGTTGATTTGATCCGGTTGTTGCATGGGAAATTTCAATACTTCAGCTTGTCTGTTTTGCTGAACCGTGTCACTCCATTTACTCACTTCCTTTTTGGCTAAGTCATAAGCAGCGCCACGATCGTTTCTTTGCTGGATACGTTTGGGTAATGGTGTAGCAACTGCTTTCGCATCTTGGTCAATGAGGATATTGTCAACACCACTGACATCTTTCATCATGTCTGACAATGACAATTTTTGACCATTGGAAGGTACACTGAACTCATTCTCATTTCGAGTTTCAGCAACAAACTTTTTACGCTCTTTAGGTTTCGACAACTCTAGTTCCTTCTTCAACAATCCTGTGGTCTTGACAAGATCAACTTCATTATTTTCATCGTCTGACGCATGTGCAAAGACATCTTCATCGTCTGATTCGTCCTCTTCTGATTCAGACTCCAGGTCAGATGTGGATGCTTTGGTGGTATCACCCCAATCTTCCTCCACTCCGTTCGGATCTTCTTCATCGTCATCATCGTCATCACTTTCTTCATCTCCACTGGAGGAGCTCTCAGATTCCCATTCATCATTAAGCACTAATTCATTGGACTCTTTATTGCCTCCTTTAACTTGTGCTAGATCACGATCACGATCATCCATATCCCAAGCTTCAGATAAGGTTACCAACTGTCCCTCATCAATACTATCATATGCATTTTCATCATCATCAACGTCTATGCCGCTCTCACTGTCACTGTCTTGTCCTAGTTTTCGTTTCTTAGCCTTGTCTCTTATCGTTTGCGAAAACTTACTATTCAATACATCATAATCGTCATCACTTGCCAACGCTTCATCGGAATCAATCTCTTCATCAAGTAAATCTTCATCTTGTTGTCCATCGTTTAAAAACTTTCTTGCATCTAATACACCTTCTTCAAATGGAACATCATTGTCTGATTCATCATCATCAAAGTCGCCTGGGTGATTCTTTCTTTCTTGTCTCTCGGCGATTTGGTAGGCGTCGATAATCTTCCTTGAGCTTCTGGTTTTACCACTCTTTTTCATTCCCTTGCTTTTCTTTGCCATGGTTGGTTGTGTGTAGCTTGTCAGAAGAAGTAGAAGATGGAGATGCTCTTCTCACCAACTTCTCTTTTTTTTCTTTTTTCATCTGAGGGGATTTTGTGCAACCATCTTCATTATCCAACATTTGGCCATGATATGCTCTTCTAACGAAGGAGATATCAGCAATGGCGAAGGATCATTGTGTTGAGCTCGAAAGCGCCGTAAAACAAATTACAAATGGAAAACATTCATTATATGGCCAATTACCATTCATTTTAGCTTCTATTCGGGCACCTACAAGATCACAAACACTACGCATGCTTAAGTTTCCTCTTCTACTATGTCAAGCATGTATAACGCCTACTTACAATGAATCTAAAATATCATTAATCTCATCGGCACTCAACTTTTTAAACCTCGGACCTTCCACATTAGTACCAGTAAAACCCAATAATTGTTCTTGTGGATCACTAATAACAGCAATATCTAAATTGTCACCAATCAACTCTCCGTCAACACTTTCCTTCAATGCTAAGAGTGACACATGAACAGCATCCTCCAATTGCAAATTCTCATTCCATCTCTTTTCGAGGAAAGTTTTGGCGCTATTTGCCGTCTTCCCTATGGCAGTTGCCTTCCATGGAAAATACGAACCACTAGGGTCAACTTGATACAATTGAAATTTCTCCGAAAACTCATCATATCCACCAACTAATAGTGATACACCAAATGGTCTTATACCTCCTGATTGTGTACTTTCTTGCATGACTTTAGCAATTTCTTGAACCATGATACGTACTGGTGGATACTCATTATAGATTAATTTGTAGTTGGTTTGAGCCAATTTACGAGCTTTGTCAACCAATACTCGAAAATCTGGTCCCATTCCACTATAGGTCATACCAATGTTTGGAGTTATATATTCAACTTTATTGTTGACATCTGATTTATTGAGTATCGAGTTCGATTTACGTTCCGTGGCCAAAACAACACCATTATCACATTTGATTCCAATTGTAGTTACACCTTGTTTGACTGCATTGAGGGCGTATTCAATTTGTACTAATTTACCACTAGATTGAACAGAGTTAGTACATTTGCCTCTGGGGGTGGTTTATACAAGCGGGTGGCCTGTTTTCGCTTCTTCAATTCAGTACATACCTAGGTGAGAATGTAGTCAATGAGAATGAATATCTATCAGCCATTGCGATTGAGTTGCAAGCGGATCCAAAACACAAGTAGAAGTTTATACTCTAGTGTCGTTTTATTCGCCTTCGATCTCAATTTTTCTGGTTTGGTGCAAAAAAGAATTTTTGAAACTTCTTACACGACAAGTACATGCTCGACTTTCTTTTGTAATTTCAAAATCTATATCAATTTAAACTCTATAAATCTCTCACTACATCTAATTTTTACTCCTCTTCATCATCAGTGTCGACTGGTTTTGGTGTTCCCTTAGGCGAACTCAACCACTCAATGTACCTCAATCTTCTTCTTTCAGCTTGTGCTTTCTTTTCATTTCTAGTCATCTTCTTCTTTCTAGTTCTGACTTTGATATTAGCAGGAGAATCATCATCATCAGCACGTTTCTTGATCTCAGGTGCTGGAGACCCTTCAGCCGATTCATTTCCTCCATCTTCAAATCTCTGCGAATCAACAGCAACAGTTCCTTTTTGAACAACCTGTCCATTTTCAACATGCCATTGCTCAGGACACAATGCTCCGACGAATTCATTGTTGTGTGAGATCATAACAACACCACCTGACCATTCTCTAATTGCGATGGCCAAACCTCCCAAAGAATCACGGTCTAAATAGTTTGTAGGTTCATCCAAGACCAACAAGTGAGGATTATTCCACATTGCACCGGCAATAACAACTTTGACCAATTGACCACCAGACAAGGATCCCATAGGTGTATGATCAGCAATGTCTCCATCTAAACCAACATCCTCAAAATGTTTACGAATAACTTTCGGACTCAATTCTCTGTATCCCAAACCTTCCCTTGAAGCTTCGTGATCATCAAACTTTTGTATAAGTTTGTCAAATCCTTCTTTTAGTAAAGTTTCCCTTGGGACCCAGGAGTTGTACTTTGGCAACCAATACTTCCACTTGACCTCGTATTGGAAGGATTTCTTCAACTTTTGTCTTCCGACAATAGCCTCAACTTGTCTTTTACCCCTACCGTCACCAATATCAATCTCCTTTTCCATCATTTCTTTCTCTTCATCAGATATTTTTCTTGACTCTTTTAACAAAACTTCTCGATCATCACCAAATCTATAACGCCATTGCAAATATTGATTAGCTGTCTTTTCCCTATGTTGTTCAACATGTTGCAAAGCGTGTTGAGCAATGTACCCGATCCTCAAATTTGGATGTTTTTCGACTTTACCCTCAGCTGGGATTAACTCACCAGTAAGCAACTTAATCAAGGTAGATTTACCAGCACCATTGGGCCCAACGATGGCCACTCTTGAAGATAATGACAACGAACAAGAAACGTTATTCAAAGATGGTTTGGCGGCACCGGGATATGTGAACGTCACATTCGACATACGAGCAACTGACCTTGTACTTGATTTGACACCGGTAAGGATCCCTGGTGGCGGGAAAGCCATCTTGACGTTGGAATCAGTCAATGTGTAATAAGATTTTCCTTCTGGTTTGACCTTGACAAATTCAGATAAGTTACCCTTGTAGTATGCTAATTTCTTGTTTTCATAATGGATGATGTCAGTACACACGGCATCAAGAAATCCAGAATCGTGGGATACTATCAACGATGTAATTTCAGTATGGTCAATAAGGTATTGTTCCAACCATTTGACATTTCCAACATCCAAATGATTCGTAGGCTCATCCAACAATAATACATCAGCATGCATCAACATTGCTCTGGCTAATTCCAATTTCATCTTCCATCCACCAGACAAAGATCCCACATTCTTCAACAAGGTCTCTTCAGAAAACCCAACATCAAACAAAGCAGACTTGATTTCATCTTTTGCAACATTGGCCAATTCAGGGTCAGAAGCAATAAAGCTAACCAAGTCCATATCTGCTTCCGATCCTTGCAATCTATGCTCAACAAAACATGTTTTTAACTCATCGGCAGAAGGGAATCCCTCCAATTGACCTTTCGAGATGGCTCTCATCAAGGTGGATTTACCGGCACCATTTCTGCCGCATAACCCATACCTATGTCCCTTCAAAAGTCTCAAGTTTGTTTTGTTCAACAACATACGAGAACCATATGCCAAAGAAAAATCGGCATTGACGATTTCAATTGCACCATCATCATTAACACCATCCAGAGTGGATTCTGGGTTGAACAAATGCTTAACATTGGCAGTGACCGCCTGAGCATACGCTTCGTCCTTGGATATCATTGTCAAATATTCAGTCAATCTCTTCCAATCGTTGACATGAGCATCAACTTGAAGGACTTTGCCTAGATATTCCAAGTAGCTACTGTTGACACATGATGGCGCTTTCAACTCTTTTGGTAAATTATCAGTGTAAAAGTTTTCTGCTTCCTTTAAACTGATTCTCCCATGAAACTTACCATCCGTTTGTTCGGCCTCAGCATCCTTCAATACTTTGTATGCCTTATCAGCCAACTCTCTGACCTCGGGCAAAGAGGCATTATTGACGACTTTCTCGACACCAGGTAAAAGGATGGGGATGAATGTCTCAATCTCTCTCTTATTATTAACCAATCTTGTCAAGTTTTCAGTAACCATAACAGTTTGCCTCAATTGTTCATTCGATGAAGATGACATTTTCAAGGACTTGTCCAAAATGGGAACCAACAAAGATAATGCTGGTTCAGTAACCTCTGCAACAAAAGTGACTGACGAAAGGTTCTTGATGCACTCGGGGACTTGTTTGGGGTCAGCCAACGTATCAACAATCAAATCATACTTGTTTTGCAAATCTAAATTGTCCAACACCTTGACAAATTTTTTCAATGTGGATAATCCCGACTTTGACAATTCAGGTTTAAAATCGGTAGATAAATCTGTCAATACCGGAACCACATCAACAAACTTTAATTCCAAGATATCAGCGGGGATTGTATCGATGATTTTATTGAAATTTTCCAAAGCTGCAACTTTACAGTTCCATTTGGCACCTGATTTAAAGATTGATAAATACTCGTCCAATACCACTGATCCTAAAGCTTCCACAGGATAGATTCCAAATAATGCATCTGTAGCAGACTTAGCTGCCTTCACCACATTCTTATCCTTATCGGTGAACATGTCGTATGCTGTTGCAAAGAATTGCAAAAGAAGCCATTCCTTTGGAGTTTGTCCACCAAATTGGACTGCCAATTGCTGAATAACAAGTAACGCACCTTCTTTGACCAAAGGTGAATTTTTCGGTTTCAATAAAGATTTCAAAATATCATTTAATTTCCATTCATTGATAATTGCCAAGTCGTTTTGTTCAGCGATTTGGGTCACAATCGTGTTAACCTCGGTCTTGACCTCACCAATCTTACTTGCTTTTTCTATATTGGTCAAATTTTCATGAAATGGGACATCAATATTCAACTTTGAAAGTGCAGTGTTCAAAGAAGTTAAAGAAGTAGTGGATGCATTTGGGTTAGGCGTGCTTCTTCCACTTGTAGGGAGTGAGTCAATAGGTGAGGCAACAGATGAGCTTTGGTTACTTTGCGACAGCTTGTTGTAATGCCTGTTCTGATTATAGCCCTGGTATTGTTGTCCTTGGTAAGGTTGTCCTTGATATTGTTGACTTTGGGTGGGTTGATAACCTTGGTACTGTTGTGGCTGGTACTGGCCTGGTACAAATGTGTTATTAAAATTGTATTGCTGCCCACCAGTATTGGCATTTCTGTATCCGAACGTTTTCGGCTTTTGTTGAGCCTGTTGTTGCTTCACAAAGTCATCGAAGGATTTGGACATGCCGACTTTTGGGGTTGTAGAATATTGGATACAAATCAAAAGAGATCTTTCAAAGAAGAGTTCTGATTAGAGAGATGCCATTCATTTTTGTGCCACGTGAAGTAAAAAAAATTTTCCAGTTACATACTGAAAAAAAAGCCGCACGCGGGATTGGACATTATCCATCCATTGAGCTTTGAGCTTATACACTTGAAACTTGCTTCAGTAATAAATTCACTTTACACTTTTGATCTCCAATTTGGTATATCACATCGTAACTTCCCAAGCGTGGAACGCTGTCATTCTTGTTTCGATTTTTGCTGAGTGAAGATGATGCAGATTTTGTAGATTTCTTTGGTGAAGATGGTGGTGGAGACTTTGATGCATCACGGTTCCAGCCAACAAATGTGATATCTGACCCTCCTTTATTTTTGGTAAGAAATTTTCTATTGAAACTGCCAATTTCCTTGCATTGAAGTTGTTTATCAATGGTAATTTGGTATGCTTTTGACAAGAATGATTTTGTTCCGTTGGAAAATCCACCAATGGCTAAGCCAAGCACCCTCCCTTCATCCCCGGATGCAGTCATGTCTATTATAGCACTAGCATTTATTTGTGAAAAACTGCTCTTTGCTGGGATCAAAACGTTTCCTTGACCTCCTCCAGCAGGTAGCACGATTATATCTTTCTCAACAATGATATGGGTGTCGTGAGGCAATGCGAAAATGTTTTGAACATCTTTGGGTTGGCTTATGGTCACGTCCTTGGTGGATGTATTCCCATCCATTGATGTTGTGATAGTCGTCTTATCGTCAAGAGTGGTAAGCACGATATTGACTCCATCGTTTTCAAATGATCTGGTTGAAGCATTCTCGTGCTTTGCCTCTATTTCAGGTTGTACCTGTTGTATATCCCCACCATCTATAACTGTGACATCACTCTCATTAGTGATGGAACGCTCCAATACCTCCTCCATACAATCACCTGCTTTTTCAGCTTTATTGTTATTTCCATCATCATCATCATCATCATCATCATTGAAAAATTGGGATATAAGATTAGATTTTGGTGAATTGGGGCCACGCCCAAACACGAAATCGTCTTCACTATTATCAATCATTTCTTCAATTTCACGCTGATTTGCTTCGGATATGTTCAATTCGCCCAATCTAGTTGATGGCGACCTTAGCAACGATATAATCTCCTTCATAGAGTCTTTCAATTGCTGTCTAGACTTCTTGATCGATTCCAAATCTGGCTCTGATGGGGTGTTTGTAGCAAGGGGCTCTCCTCTTGCCAGATTGTCCCTGTTCTTGCTTTTTAATAGTCTATTTTCCTTCTCCAAGCTTTCAATCCTCGCTTGTTGTTTTTGATTGGCATATTTCAAAGTTTTAATCTCACCTTCCAAGTGCAAAATTTTGTACTTCATCTCTGACTTTTCCAAATTGGTCATGATCTTGAACCTCTCTAGGTTTGTAAATTCTGACGTGAGGTAATTGATTACTCCTGGTAGAGTATAAGCTGGTTCATTCAGATTTTGTGGTGACTGGCTACTGGCTTGATCTTTCCATTGTGTTTGCGAATTCATTGGTCGAGTAGATCGTGGGGGCATTTGCTTTAGAATGAAATAGAAAGATGGATTAAGGCTCTATTCTAGTGATCTTGTGTATGTTGTATTGTATTATTTGTATTATAAATTGTCCTTCTACACAATAATTATTTTTCTGCATTCTTCTTTGCGCTTTCATAAATCCAATCATTCAAGCCATATCTATTTCTAGCAATCTCAATAGCATAAAATTGCATCCTCACAGCAAACATCGTTGTATCTTGACCATACTCTTGGTCGGCTTTCAATCTCAAAAGTGTACCAAAGTTGAACTCTTCAATATCGCTAAAACTCTCGATAAAACTTCTCCATTTGGCTTTACCTTGTGAGGATTTCATTTCATCCTCATTAATTGAAGCAGCTGCTGACTTTTCCTTAAACTCTGGGAAGTCCAATAACAACTTGCTAAAGATGTCATCGTCATATTTAGTGAGTCTCAATTGCGATCCGGGGACCTTCTCCAATAATGACCAATATGTTTCAGCTTGATGCACTGCCTTCACGGCAAATTGCATTTCGATCTCCTCCATATTCTCGGCCTTTTCAGGGTCGATTGCTTGACCTCCAACTATAAATTCCGACATCGTTGTTATCGTTGTTCTTCTTGTTGCTGTTGTTGCTTGAAAGAAGCGAAAATAAAGTAGGAGATTTCAAAATGGAAAAGATGAGAAGAGAGCGGAAAATCCGGTGGAGCTACCATTTATAGGAACCCATTCCCTTTTTGCAATCGATGGCAATTCGTACCGGTACAAGAAAACTCATTTCATGACAGACTACAAACAAATGATCAAGGAACATGTAACTACAAACCGAAAACAGTTAAAAATAAAAACAATCAAGCTACTCAACTTACAATTTCAGGGAAGGCTTCAGCAACGCATTTAATACCCAATCAGCCTCTCTAATTCCACTATCATAGGCACCATGAACACACCCAGTGCCTTTCAGAACCGTATGTTCACCAGCAAATCTAATATTGCTGCCTTCAAGGCCCAAACTTTCATGTTCCATCGCGTTCAAAAGTGCTAGATCCGCAGTTTCTGCTGGTATGGCAGTATACGAACCTCTAATGAATGGGTTTTTTGTCCAATCGGTGACGAGAGTATTGACCGGATCCTCAATCGGCTTGATCGCAATCTTCTCAAGCATTGGTTTAAAGTACGTCCAAGCTTCGTTTGGATGGGACTCGAGATAGTTTGTCAACGGAGAAGGGGTGAGAATTGCCAAACTACCGCCAAGCTTATTTGGGTACAACTTGGCATAATTGACCACAAGTGCAGGAAAAGTAAATGGGGGTGGGAGCTTTTCTAATGCGTGATCCACCTCTGAAGCTTCAACTTTGTTTGGGAAAACTTGGAAACGTTCTTCTTTGTTGTCCCACCATATACGGTCAAATTCGAAAAACACTTTTCCCAAAGCAGCAAACCCCAAATTATCAATCACCCCTTTCAAAGGTTTTGGCAATGGTGGACTCCAGGTAATTCCATATTCATCATTAGAGTCCAACTTCAAGATTGATAAAGGAACCGTGACTATCAAAAAGTCAGTCTCAACTGTCAACCCATTCTTTGTTTCTACCATAATTGACTTTTTGGCATGCATTTCTTGAGTGATTGACCTTACAGGTTGTTTCAAAAGGAAACATGAATCAGGAATCTCTTTTTTTAAAGTGTCAATAAGAAACGTAAAACCCTTTTTGTTGAGTAAATTACGTCCCTCATGTTTCAAGAGTGCCATCCGACCACTAGCTTTGACAGACGGAATTCCGTGCCAAATCTCTAAGAGTCGCATCCCTCTATTGAGGTATTCTTTTTGTTCTTCTGTGAGAAGCTTTTCGTGTGCTTTGATATACTCTGTGACCACTTCATCACAAGAAAGATCAGGTGTCTCATCATTGAAAAACAAAGGAAAGAACTGAGAAGCCTCCTCCAATGCCCGATTTAATTTCGAGCTTGAAACATCTAAAACCCCATCTTTGGTAAATGTGGGTGCATCCAAATCGTCATAGTACACATCTCCCACCTTCACCAATCCTTTTTCTTGCAAATCACGTAGTGGAGTATTGGCCAATGTGTCATGATACCACAACGCTCCAAGAGCATATTTGATTCCCAATTTAGAATCTTCGATTTTGGTGTCCTGAAGACGACCTCCAACGCGATCCTGAGCTTCGAGAATCAATAAGTCATTCTTGTCAAGTTTTCCGGATGAAAGCAACACTTCTGCAGCCTTTAAGCCTGACACACCGGCACCAATGATAACAACCTTAGCAGATTTAGACATGATTGGCTTGTGCTTATAAGTTTGGAAATTTGCTGAGAGTTGACCATCTTGAGAAAAATTTGGCACATATTTATATCGACACCAGCGGCTAGTTCGGTTGTACAACCCCATCGATTCACTTCGAAAGGCGAGTGTCAGCTACTTTGTGGCAACTGACTGGATTTCATGATTGCTGTTTTCTTCCATACACGAGTACATTTTTTAAGGATAGCTGTAAGTTTTCTAAAATGATTCTATTGCAATTTCACGATCTATAGAAATTCTCTTTCCACGTTATTACCTAAAACGGTAGGGGGAGGAAAGTCCCATAGAAAAGAAACGGAGTTAACTGCGGACGTAAATTTGCAACCTTAGAGCACACAAACAAATGAAACTTGCGTCATTTTAACTACAAAAGGAAACACTCATTCCGTGCCTTGCTGGCCCTTCACAATAGTTACAAGTGTGACCTGTTCAACGTTAACTTTGATCGTCAATTGATCAGTTGAACTCATTTCAGCTACACCCTGTTTTGTCTCAGTTTAATACCAAGAAGATTCTTCAAAGTCAATGTGTACTCTCCAACAAAGAGCCTCTACTTACATACATATAAACATACATAGACGCGATAGATTGAGAGCCAAAATTAATTACCTTTTAATGCATTCAACACCCAGTTAGCCTCCCTTTTACCGCTGTCGTAAGCACCATGAACACACCCAGCACCTTCGGCAATGGTATGTTCACCCGCAAATCTAATAACCGCATTTCCAAGTTCCACCCCCTCTGGCTCGCCAGAGCTTGAGTGCTTGGCATCTATTTTTGTGAGCAACACACTATATGAGCCCCTAATATACGGGTTTGTAGTCCATTGAGAAGTTATTGTACTTATAGGATCTTGCACCGGCTTGGTTGCAATTTTTTCAAGCATTGGCTTAAAATAAGTCCAGGACTGATCTGGGTGTGACTCAAGATATTCAGTCAATGGTGCTGGCGTGAGAATCACCAAACTTCCACCTTTATTGTACAATCTAGAGTAATTGACAGCCAATGCAGGAAACGAAAATGGTCTTGGTGTACCATCAGATCTAAACCAGTCACTGGAATCAATTTGATCTGGGAAAATCAAAAAGTGATCCTCGTTTTCGTTCCACCATACATTGTTGAATTCGAAAATCACCTTACCTAAAGCAGCAAAATCAACAGTGTTTATATAATCCAGCGTTTGAGAGGGCAACGAAGGAGTCCATTTTATTCCATAGTCATCATCTTCTTTCAACTTCAAAATTGACAATGGAACAGTCACAATCAAATAATCCGCCTCGACTTTTAAGCCTGATTTCGTTTCCACTTCTACTTTCTTCTTGGAATTTTCAAGTTGATTAACAAATCTTACCCCCTCGTTAAAAAGGATACATGATTCTGGGATCTTCTCCTTCAATAACTCAATGAGAAATGTGTATCCCTTTTTATTCAACAAATTACGTCCAGTATGACTCTCCATCGCCATTTTGCCATTGGCTTTCTCGGCAGGCACACCATACCAAAGCTCAAAGTATCTCATTGTTCTTCTGATATACTTCTTTTGTTCGGGTGTAAGAAAATGCAGATGTTTATTGACATATTCCTGAACCACTTGATCACATGAAGCATCAGAGTGATTTTTCTTGAAATACAAACCAAAGAATTGACCAACCTCTTCCATTACCCTGTTTAGCTTTATCCCTGACACATCCAATAATCCATCACTTGTGTACGCTGGACCATCTTTGTCGTCGTAGTAGACATCATCATCGTTCAACAATCCCGCGTCGAGTAACTCGTGTAGCACGCTATTTACCAATGAATCGTGATACCACAATGCCCCAAGAGCATAGGGGATTCCGAGCTTGGATTGGTTGAGATGAGAATCTTGGATACGACCTCCTATATGATCCTGCGCTTCTAAAACAACAAGTTCATCTTTACCTATTTTGCCGGATGAGATTAATGTTTCGGCAGCTTTCAAACCTGAGACACCTGCACCGACAATGGCAACTTTAACTGATTTTTTCATTGGTAAATGGGGACTAAAAGCTCAATTGAATGTGTAAGAACTAGGAGGACACAGAATTTTTCATTGTCATTGTAGACAAATATGCGGTCGGAGGAAAACCCTCTTACCGGCGCGGCATCAATCCCGCCATAGACGAGCTCTCATGTCGTTGCACCAATCAGATCACATCATAAAACATGTCCAATCAATTGCATTTGTAGCCAGATTGTTGGAAGCATCTTTACGCTTAGAAACACTATCGCTACACCAAACATACCATTACTCTTAAATATTCACTATTTACAAGACATCAATTCTTTCAACCTATTTATAAAGAAATCCAAACATTCCCTTTTGCTTTGCTTCTCTCTCTGCTTTTGGGATATACGCCTCTGACATTTCAGTAATTTTCAAGGCACTGTCGGGAGCCAATGCTTCTCTTCCAATAACATCAACAAAGTTACCCTCTGGATCTAAAACGTAAAAGAAAATTGAATGATCAACTAAATAATCTTGGCCTGGTTTGACATCTGGTGGGGTTGAAAAGTAAACTCTGTATTTTTTACAAGCATTCTTGACTTCCTCATAATCACCAGTCAATCCGATAATGCCTGGGTGGAAATCCTTCAAGTACGTTTCCACAACTTTAGGGGTGTCTCTATTTGGATCACAGGTGATGAAAATCGGTTGGATTTCAACTTTGTTCTGTTTGAGGATATCCAACATATCTCCCAACTTGTCAAGCTCTTCGGGGCACACATCAGGACAATGAGTAAATCCGAAATATAAAATTGAAAACTTCTTTCCTTTTGGATCAACAAGGTTCTTTTCCGTGAATGGGTTCCCATTGGTGTCAATCAAATTAAAAGGTCCTCCAATCAATGGGGTTCCAACCTTTCTGTTTTGCTCCATTTCCTTGTGACGTTGTAGTCTGGCTTTCTCTTGTTGGAAAAAGTATGTACCTATACCACCAAATACGAGAAGGACAACTACGGCTTTCCAGGTAGCAAACTCCAACCCACTGCCCTTGTTGAATTGTTTCATTGACTCTTTTGAACCACCAATTGCAACTCTACTCAAGGGTCTTCTTTTTGGTTCATCTGACTTTGGCTCATCTTGAGAGTTGGATTTGGGGGACTCCTGTAATTTGAGAAGGGAAGACGAGAATGGTCTCACCAATGGCAAACGAATAGGTCTAATTGACCTGGTTTGTTTAAAGATAGCTCTCATTATCATTGGTTATTGGCCGTTTTTGAGGAACTGAGAATAAGGAAATTAATGCGTTTTTTTATAGAATGTTTATTTTGCATGATTTCCACTCTACACGACCCAATAATTTCAAAAATCACCAGATGTGCAGAAGCAAAATGAATTCAATAGAATTTTGATAACGAAAGGAAGTTTGTCTTCGTAAGGTGTTAAATGCGGGGAAAGCGGCTATATGAAAGCAATACTAACTCCCCTTCCCCTTCCCATTTGTTGCGTTCATGAAAGGATCAATCGGGGGCATCGAAGGTTGTGGATTTTTCTCTTCTCGCAATAAAATCTCTTCTTCACAGCACGTTTGACAACGAAGATGGAAAAAATTGCCAGTTTGTTAAAATGGGCCAGTGACAATGGTGCCACTATCTCAAGCAATCTAGAATTCAAGGAAATCAAACCCAATTATTTTGGGGCTATTTCAAAATCCAATGGTAAAGCCTCAATTCAAATTCCGAGGGAGTTGGTGGTTACATGTGATAAGGGCATTGACCTATACAAGGATACATACAAAAATGCAAATCACAGCTCTTTGTTGAAGATCTATCTTTGCTACTCGAGAACTCAACAGAGCTTTCATCAACCGTACTTGGATACACTTCCCTCGCTTCAAGCGATTGATTCGCCGTACATATGGTCGGCTGAGGACAAGGCATTACTTAAAGGTACAAACTTGGGAAACTCCTTAAAAGAGAACATTTCCTCGTTAGTTGAAGAATGGTGGAATGCAATTAATCTTTTACCCGAGGATGTGCCAAAACCAGAGCAACATTTTATCAACTTGAAATTTTATTATGAAAACAAGTTTTACACCGACGACGATTATTATAGCTACTTTAACGAAGTTGATACCAGCAACTGGACTAGTTTTCCCAATTATCTTTGGGCATCACTCGTGCTCAAAAGTAGGGCTTTTCCTGCATACATTATAGACCCCAGCTTACCTAAAAACGAACCAATGTTGTTACCTGTTGTGGATTTGTTGAATCATAATCCCAAAACGAAAGTTCAGTGGAGTGGTACAGATGGCGGGTTTCTTTTTCAATCCGATGATGCATCCTCGGGGGAGGAGCTTTTCAACAACTACGGTCAAAAGGGAAACGAAGAATTGTTGTTGGCATATGGGTTTGCTATTGAAAATAACCCTGCAGACTCGGCCGCTTTAAAAATAAAGATTCCAGACTCAAAGTTGCAGGTGGTGAAAGATTTGGGCATAAAATTGCCATCTATACACGATTATACAAATTCAGTAATTGACCAAGTCTCTGACACAAAGCAAGAACACAACGAGAGTGTTCTTTTCTATATTAACCAGGAACAAATTCCAAAAAGCTTGATCGAATTGTTTCAGGCTTTGGTGCAAAACCAATGGGAATCGGGATTTACTTTGCGTATGCAACTAGCAGGCTTGAACCATCTTAGAGCAGCGTTGGAGACAAAAAAGAAATTGATAAACTTGAACGTCCCTAGTGATACGGCAAAACATCAATACATCTGTTGGTATGTTGAATCACAAAATACAATTTTTGCTTCAGCAATCAAGATCATCAAGAGACAAGAAAAACAGCTTCTTGGTGAATTCAAATCCGATTTGATTTCTTTAAAAAGTGTTTACAAAAACGATATCAAGTTTCAACAATCGTTACTTTTCTTAGGCTTTAGCTCATACGAGTCAATTTTAGAGTCAGAATTCCAAGATCAATGTTGGTTACTATGGTTGAATCGGTGCTATAACAAAAAGCATTACAAAGATGAGTGCCTTCCACAATGGATTCACGAATTGTTTGTGCATCTAAGAAAAGTGACTGATATTTCAGCCCAAGAGGTACTAAATTTTAAACCAATTCACGATGCTATTCTTCCTGACTTGGTTAAAGCCGTTCCAGAAATTTACGCAGTAGGAGATTGGTCAGTTGCTGAGCTAATAGTCGCCGGCAAATTACTCGACATGATATCTTTCACGCGTGGCAAAGAGCAAGAATGTATCATTGTACATCAAGACTACGAAACGTAAAATAGCTTGTGTAATATATAAAGTAGACTTATATGTAAATTGTTTTTTTATATCTAATCCTGTTTAATACCACCAGCACCACTAACTTCAGCGCTTTCAACAGAGGCCTTGTCTGTTTGTACACCGGCACCTCCGGTCAACATCTCCATGAAACCAGGTGCGGTTTTGAAAGGTCTTTTCAAATCACCAGTGGCTGGAGATCCATAAAGGTGGATCTTGACAATGTTTGATTCCAAAGCTGACTTGACACCAGAAACACTTTGCATAATCAATGGGTTGGTGTATTTCATGTAGAGATGCATGAAACCCATCATGGCCAAACCAGTGAAAATACCTTTGACTTGGCTGTTGACTTGTTGCAAATCGTATTCCTTGACAGTGGTGACAACTGCTCTTGGCTCAGTTTCACCACTCATAGGGTTAGCTGGTTCAACGTATTTAATAGTTGTCAAATCATTCTTTTGATTGATTTTAAATCTAACGATAAAGTATACGAGGAAGGTGATGACTTGGCATGAAATGTAAAAAGCTCTAACGTAAAACAAAATAGTTGGGTCTTCCAAGTCCAACTTCTTGGCAACCTGCATACCAATAAGCATGATGGCAATGTTTGTAACAGCTGGATTCATCTTGTGTTGTGGAACTAGTTGGTCGTGATGTACAAGAGTGTTGTTTGGTGATGAAAAATTATTTCGATTGTCCTGAACAGCGCCTTCACAATTTTTTTTTTTTCTTTTTTCTTTTCCTTTTCGGCGGCTTAAGGATGAACAACAATCGGAGCGAAGACAAGAGGAAAGAGGGTGTATACGTCTACAATGTTTTGAAGTTAAAGGCGGAGACGACTTGAATCGATTTAAGTAGTTTACCTAAACACCAGTGAGAACTAATCTTCTACAACCACCACAGGCCTTACATTCCTCTTGATGCTTGAGCATGAGCTCTTGAGCCTTTGTTGGGTTCTCAACCTCTTTTGGCTCTGGCCATGACAAGTACTCGTTGGTGTAATTTGGCTTATAGTCTTCTGGCAAAATTTCCAATCTCTTACCATAGTTGTTAACCTTGTTCCAATCACGGTGAACATTGTACAAAGAATCGGAAAAGTATGCAAAACATCTTTCAAACTTCTTTTTGTTCAATTCAGAAGTCATTTGGGGTTTAAAGTTACCGTACTCTTCCCAAGCCTGTTGAGGATTTGCCAAGACGAAATCAGTGGCAGACTTGATAGCTTTCAAGAAGGCCCTGATTTTTTCCGGGTTTTCAGCAATAAATTTGTCATTGGCAATGTACAAGATAGTACAGAAACAACAGCATCCTAATTCAGCCAATTTATCAATTCTCAACATCTTGGCTTCATTCGGATTCTTTCCTTGCTTTTTCAAAGCTTCTTCCATTTCAACTTGTTGGATACATTCAATACCAATACCGCAATCAATGCTACCTTCCAAAATGTACTTTGCAACATTCATACCACATCTAACGGCAGTGTAATCATCTGGAGTCATACCATAGTGTTTTGTCAATTCATCTATTTGAATTTTTCCAAATTCACCAACGTATCCAATACGCTTGCCCTTGAGAGATTGGAAATCAGTAGTGATACCTGACGATTCCAAATAGCAAACACCGGTGAATGGCTCATCCAACAATGAACCAATTGAGGTAACTGGGAAACCTCTAGCTTTAGCAGCCAATGTATGAACCATAGCCTTTAAGCCCATGTCAACTTTACCAGAACCAATCAATTCGGTAACATCAGATGGGTTGGATGGTTCAAGGATAGCAACATCCAAACCTTCTCTTTTGAAGTAGCCTTTAGTTTGAGCTAAAAAGATAGGAATGTGGTAGGGAGTTGCTTCCCAGTTAAGCAAAAAAGTGATTTTGTTAGTAGACATTGTGATCGATTGTTGGTGGTGGATATTTCATTTACCTGATGAAGGGACGAAATTGTTGCCCATTTATACACTCAGGAAACATAGAGTAAATCGCTGTAAGAGCATATTCGGAAGGAGTTTGAGTACTTTGCAATAATCGAATTCAAGGGAGGGTGAGAGCGTATGCACTAAGAGTTCCATTCAATGCGCATGAGAAACATGCCGGCAATAATGATTAACCACCACACAAAGCAAGATAACGCCCGATTTGACTGAGCTAGGGTTATTTTACACTTTTGGCCAGGCAGAGAACCTCTCTATACAGTTAAAGGAATGAGAGAAACGGGAGAAGGAAAATCGAGTCTACGGTGTTACGATGCAATTACAGAAATTATTTTCTTCACTCTATGTACGAATAGCATGCTTCGAAGAAGTTGCTTTCCAATTTCAAAGACTTGATAAATGTAGACTCGTATAGTGAAGTGGATCTATGGTCCCCATTGGCTTCTAATCTAAGACAACGTTCAACTTCATCGTTCAAAAATCGAACCCACTCCACGAAGTTGTCACCGCTGTGTAAATCAATCCAGGTTTGAAACTTGCTGGGCAAATCTTTGGCAATGTTGTTTGTTTCTTGATTGTATTGAACCCATTCTAAGTACACTTTCTCCATAACAAAGCAAAAAGTGATCAATTCGGAATAGGAAGACGATTCGTTGATCAAGTACTTTAAGTAATCAATGTATTGATTGACCTCTGGCAAGACAAGTGATTCATTCTTCATTTTAGTCACAGTTGAGAGGTCCAATTTTTCCAAATCTTGCAATGTATCAGCAAAATAAGTATTTTCATCCTCTGCTAGAAAACCAATTTGCTTAGCCAATCTGATTGACGCTTTTGGATCATCACATAGGGCCAAGGTCTTTCCAAGAATGTTGAGACTATAATTGAAGAATTGTAAATCTTGAGTGAGGTAGACATACAACTTACTGTCAGAAAGTGATCCCAGGCACAACTCATTTGTGAGTGGGTGTCTGGTTGCTCTATTGTATTCCTCTCGGTTCTTGTCAATCAACTGTTGAAGGTAAGTCATCACACGTGCTAGTTTGGTCGCGATAGTAGTGTTGGGTTTGGGAAAGGATTTTCAATTTAACCCTTGTTTCTCATGCGTTTATGGGGTATTTCAGGTTGCAAAAACGATTTATGCGCTTACAAGGAATAATATATATAAATTATCTCTGACCCCAACAAGCTAATATAGGACGTAATGAGGACAGAGGGCTATTCTCCAAGTATACTAGGATATTTGCCTATGCATTGAAATGAGCATCGCCCAGTTGTGTGCTCTGGATTATGCTCCTCACCTCTAATAATGTCAAGAAAATCCTTTCGAACAGTTTCCTGTAACATAATTGCCCACAATCAAAAAGAGCCATGGCTTCGGAAAAAAGTGCCAGTCACATTGGCAGCCTCTGTGTTGCGACAAAGTGCTCTGTTCCTTAATGGGTTGCTTGCTCTTAGTTGGCTTCAGTACTGTATATAACAACCAATCGACCAATAAATTCATTCATTGATAAGGAAACTGAATCTCTTTCTTTTCACCAATTCAACCAAAGATGACAGGACTTACGCAATCCCAGCTTGACACATTTCACAATGAAGGGATGGTGTGTATCGAAAACTTCTTGACCCCTAAACAAACGTCGCAACTTTTGAACCAAGCGAAGAAGTTACTTGCACAATGCGACTTATCCAACCACCCCAAGACAACATTCAAGACTTCAGACGATGACCATATTGGGGATCGATACTTTTACGAATCGGCTGACAAGATATCTTATTTTTTTGACACTGATGCTTTTGATGTAGATGGTAATTTGACAATTGAACTTTCGAAAGCAATAAATAAAATTGGCCATGGTCTTCATATTGACGACCCATTGTTTGAAGAAATCACCTTTGATGATAAAGTGAAAGCAATCGCTCGGGACTTGAAGTTTGTTGAGCCACAAGTTTTACAAAGTATGTGTATTTTCAAACAGCCGGTAGATAACAAAAGCACTGAACGTGATAATGCAGTTCCACCACATAATGATGCCACTTTCCTATTCACAGATCCACAGACTGCTATTGGGTTCTGGATTGCTTTGGAAGACTGCACTGAGGAAAATGGCTGTTTATCGTATATACCAGGCACACACAAGACATACCCAGTATCGAAAAGGTTTGTGAGGAAAGATGGCCTAAACCTGGGATGCACATTTGAACAATTACAAAAAGATAAACCAGTGGAAGGAAAGTACAAATTGGTACCATGCGAAGCAGGATCTTTGATATTGATTCACAATTCTGTTCTTCATAAACTGGAAAAGAACAAGAGCGACAAGTCCAGATACGCTTATGCGTTCCATGTTATTGATGGAGTTGCCAAGTATGATGAGAAAAACTGGTTGCAAGTGCCTTATGAAGGTGGGTCAAACTTCCTGAGATTGTATTAGGCGTTCTACAAATGGGTGCTCTACAAAATAAATACAATTGCAAATGGTGTACTATATACTATGTAATATAATGATTAGCAAGTCAGCGAATGTGCTTCGTTGACTAGTTCTCCTTGCCAACTATAGTACTTTGACATATCAACGTGATGTTTTCTACCAGTCGAAGCATCATACATGCTGCAACCATACAATGCAGCATATGGTGGAGTATAAAGATGAAGCGAAACACTAACTTCATCCTTCAATGGATTGGTAATTTTGTGAAGTCCGATAGTATCGGAAATGTAACCAACTTCGTCACGGTACAATGGGGTTTCCTTCTTGCACTTTAATTGTTCTCCGGTACGTTCTGGGATGTCATATAAGGATTCTCTAAGTTCTCCTTTCAAAATCTTCATACAACAATGGGCGTTAGCGTGGTCATGAATGGCACTCGATTTACCGGGAGACCATAAAAGAATCAACAAGTTTGCATTACCGTTCAAATTTATGATACCATTCCGTGAGTAGTTTCTTGATTGATCGTGAAGTGCCAAGTGTGACCAATCAATGTCATTTGATTCGTAGTTCTCCATTAGCTGCTTAACTTTTTCAACATCAATATCCTCTGAAGATAAACCTTTTCCAGCTAAGAGTTCCTTCAAGTCCAAAATGAGTTTGTAGAAACTAGAGGATTTGTCAACGTTGTCAATAGTTGTGCCATTTATTTCATGACCGTGGTCCATCGATAACTTTAATTCGGCAGGCTGAGAGTATGGGAATGACCTAGGTGTACTGGCGGCGGCAGCAGCAGCTGAGCATGAAACTGCTTGTGTTTGATTCGTGGAGGTATTGTTTCTGTCGATAATATTTGATGGATTTAAAAGCATTGTGTATTGTGGCTGTAGGATTTATAGTTGCGAAGTGTGGTTCAAATAAAGGAAACGTGAAACGTTAATAGACAAATGCAAGGCAGATGAGTGTTTTAAATAGCAAAATGCAAAAATAGAAATAGTATAGTTCTTACCACGAGAGATAAAGGAAGAAGGGGAAATCCAACTGATTTATATACCAAATTTCTGATATAGTATGCCCGCCAAAATATTAATTTTTTCTCGTTAGGTAAACAAAAGGATATATGCAAGAGCGGCCATTTCCAACCAATGAGAAAGTTTTTTCCATTAAGGGATGAGTCGGCTGCTACCAATTCCTTTGTTCAAAAATGGGAAAAATGCTTGACGACTTTAGACCGCCGCCGACAAAATTCTCTTTGCACCCCCGCTTTGCTTGAAACTAAAACAACAAAAAATCAAACCACTTATGATCGGTTGTTTCTACATGGGGAATGATAAACAGAACTTGACTATGTGTTGCATATTGTACTCAGAGAGGTGGCATCATGGCACCATAATAGCTACAATGTAATGTAACAGGGATACACAATTACCCGTGGGAAGAGAAAGCCAACATGTTCATTGCAATCAATACAATGCCCAGACATAAAACAATCAAGCACAACCATCAACCAATCAGTAGAGCTGATCCAAACAATAAACTGGTGACATCAGCATTTGCCAATTGCATTGTTTCGAATTACAAGAAATAGGAGAGGGAGAATTATGCGCACCGCTTCTTAAAACACAAGAATATTTAGGCTGTGATAAATTTTTGAGAGTAGCGTAGTACCCCTTTCTCGAGGTGGTCTTCAACTCTGCTTGATTTATTTCTACCTTGTTGTTAATTTAATGAGCTTCGGTAACCCCTCTTTCAACTCTTTCGTCAGCTTTGCAAAGAGTGCATATACTAGGAATGTTTGAAAAGTACACGTATACCAAATAAATTAGCCCAATTTAACACAAAAGCAAATGAAAAAAAGAATGACCGCCTTTCAATATTTACATTACCATCGGCGCCGCTAGGTGGGAATACCAAATTGAGTAATTTTGAATTGACTCACAATCAAATATAATACCTCACTTTAGATTTTGCAGAATATAAACTATAAGTTAAAAAGCTAAACCCCATCTAACCACGGGGTAGCTTGTCAAACCGCTTTGCCATAGTGGTCTGATTCAAAGAAGAGACCGGTGTTTACTTTGGAAAGTGTAGTTTAAAAGTATTGGCGAAGCGATGATTCAATCACCACCCGCTTACTACCATATTCGTCAATAAGCGACTTTAATACAAAAGTTTTGCAAATTTAGATCCTACTTGTCCCAAAGCCGTGCAGGTAAAGGATTACGTATAGCGGAGGTATAGACAACATAAGCTAGAAAGTTGCGAGCAATGTTTCGTAGTTGGGAAAGGGCGAGAGTTTTTTTTTGAACATTATCCCTCATAAAGTCAGATAACCGTCACAAACTTTAACAAATGTCAGAGACAAGTGTTATCATCTCAAATCGGAACAGCGGCCCCGCTTGTGTAAAAGTAATTGCTATGTTACTATGAAGTATGCCCGCTCAAAATGCATCCATGCCGCACTACAAATAAATGGCAAGCGGAAGCAAAAGGGAGAAAAAAAAAATTGTGGATCCCCCTCCTCTTCTTTCTATAAGAAGACAACTTCAACCCTCATTTCTTTCACGTCAAGGGTTTCTTACCACTCAACTGTCCACGATTACAGACCCTAGCCATTATATTTTTTTGCAACCACTTGATGCATAGTTTATAAAACCCCGTTGCCCCAGAAATAATACATCACAACGGCTCTAGCATATTTTGTGTGTTGATTAAATTATTTTTCATTGTTTAAAGAGAATTGCAACATATCAGGTGACGTGATGAGTAGCCACACTAATTCGGATACGTCCTCGGCACATGGCGAAGTTGTGGGTCGCAAAACTGTGAGCGATGAAGATGCAAATAGTGGAAAAGCTGGCGCAAAACTGTCAAAAGGCGATGCAGAAGAAGAAGAAGAAGCTGATAAAAATTCACAACACTCCTCTAGCACTGCAAAAACACAACAACTGTCATTACATCAAAATCAAAATGCTAATAGGTTAAATAACATGGACTACGATTCACTTATTTCTTCTATTCCTTCAACGTCAAAAGAATATGAACACTTGCAAGCACAGCTACGAGGGTCAGAACCAATACCCAAAGAGGAGTCGTGGTACAAACGGTTCATAGTGGGTAATTTGGTCAAACAATTTGTCCCGGCTTATTTTGTCTCTGTGATGGGTACAGGTATATCTTCGACTATCTTGTATCACTTCCCATTTCCTGCTCATTGGTTGGAGGTGTGTTCTTACATCATGTTTGGTATTTGTTGCATCTTATTCATCGTCAATGTGATACTTTTCGTCATGCAATGCATCTATTTCCCTGCAAAATTGAGGCAATACCATATCGATCCTTTGCAAGCATCATATATGGGCTGTTTTTCGATGGGGTTCACCACAATTGTCAATTACATCTCATTCATTACTAAAAGTCATCACATGTATCTTGTATGGACCTTGTGGTGGATATCTGTCGCCTCAGCCGTTTACACTGCATTCCCAATTGTTTATTTTAGTTTCTTTTCAAAATTGAATGCAGTGGAGTCAGACTCAAAGTTGAATGCCACATTGCTACTCCCCATTGTTGCGTTAACTGTGACCTCGTCCTCGGGACATTTAATCGAGTTGAACTTGTATACATTGAATGAAACTGTAATCACCATGGTTGTCAGTTACATGCTATGGGCATTGTCCATTTGTTTGGCATTTGCAATTATCACTATATACATATGGAGATTGATCATGCACAAGATCCCCCCTACGCAGCTCGTATTTACCGGATTTTTACCAGTTGGGTTCTTGGGACAATCTTCGTACAGCATTTATCTATTCGGCAACAATTTGAACGAACTCATACCAGAGGAGCTCATATATGGGAAAATTTTTCTTTGTATTGGAGGATTTCTTGGCCTATTCATACTTTCGTTTGGTTACTATATGACATTCATAGCTGTCGTGTCAATCTTTTCCAAAATACGACCATTTGCCACAAATCCCAACACCAATCACACCAATAAATACGGTCTTTTGAAACACCATAAAGGATTTTGGGCAATGACGTTCCCTTTATGTACCATGTCGTTGTCAAACACTGAAGTTGGGAAAGGCGGTGTTGGGAACTACCCATTGTTGGCGTTTAAAGTTATGGGCGCAGTTTTTGCAGTCGCGGGTATTGGGGTGACAATCGCTTGTCTTGTTGGGGTTGCTATCTACTCTTATGGGATTGTAAAGAGCGAGTTGGAAGTAAAATTTAAAAAGTATAAAGAGGAGATACTGGTGTAGATCGAAGGGGGTAACTTTAATAGAATAATTTGTATGTCAAAAGGGGCATTTCATAGATCTCTCGGCTTTTAAAAAGATTACGCGCAGGGTCAACACGATTTTGAAAAACTTGGACCCAAAGTTCAACAACAATGTCATCAAAGAAGGAGGAAGTATACAGGACTGGGCCATATAGGTCATACATTGTTGAGTCGCAAAGACGAAAGACTAATACCCTCACCAAAAAGGATGTGGCAATAATCCTCTTGATCACATCTGTTTCCTTCCTACGTATCTACAAAATCTACCAACCAGCAAATATCGTCTTTGATGAGATCCACATTTTACGATATGTTCAACACTACTTCAAAGGTACCTTTTTTGTTGATGTGCACCCTCCATTGGGTAGACTCATTTACTTTTTATTGGCTAAATTGACCTATTTCGATCCTGAGATTGACTTTGAAGTCATCGGACAACCGTACCACGGTGTACCGTACGCAATTATGAGGCTATTCTCAGGAATTTGTGGCATCCTATCTGTGAATGTAGCATATTTGACCATGCGTCTTGATTCGGATTACTGGGTTTCATTGTTCACGGCGGTAATAGTGTTGTTTGAAAATTCGTTGGTCACACAATCAAGATTCATTTTGTTAGATTCACCCTTGATATTGGGCCAGGCTTTAACCATTTACTACTTTAAGCTATCATGTAAGACAGAGCCGGAGAGGAGATTGTGGTGGAGATATCTTTTCGCAACTGGTTTGTCGTTAGCATGGACAATATCAATGAAATTGACTGGATTTTACACCCTTTTATGGGTGGGAATCTTTTCCATGTTTGATTCGTACCAATTGCTTGGTGATTTGACTATCTCCACTTGCAGATGGTTTAGAATCGCATTCTATAAACTATTAGTATTGTTGGTTCTACCGTTGACAATCTATTTATCATTATGGAAGGTACATTTTGATTTGTTACCATTCGAAGGTCCAAATAGCGGATTGATTTCTCCTCGTCTTAGATCAACGTTCAAAGACTATACGACGTCTCCAGTGGAGGTACTATATGGAAGCACTGTCACAATCAAGCACAATAATCTTGAGAAATACCTTCATTCACATGACCAAACTTACCCCAGAGGCACCCAATTACAACAAGTGACACTATATGGTCACGAGGATCCCAATAACGAGTGGATAGTTGAGTTGCCACGCAAGTTTTACGAACACAAGCATTTCAACCAAAGTCGACAAGTCAAAGATGGTGAATTCATTAGGTTGTATCATAAAGCAACTGGGAGGTACCTCCACGTAAGTGATGTTCGACCTCCCATTTCAGAACATGATTATTCAAAAGAGGTGAATTGTAATGCAACTAGGGGATTGATGGGGAATACTGAGTACGAATTTAGGTTGCGGATCTTGAACAAAAAACCACACGCCACGAACAATTTACCAATGATCAAACTTCGTGCTACGGAGACGGTTTTCATGCTAGTGAGCAGAGACCACAGATGTAATTTAATAAGTCATCATGACAAACTTCCCAGCTGGGGAAATTATCAGAATGAAGTATTGTGCGTCCTGGAATCAACCATTCCTAATTCATTATGGTACATTGAAACCAATCTGCACCCATTGTTGAACGAATTCACGTCACATGTGAATTTTGGCCAGGTATCCTTTTTGACAAAAGTTTGGGACCTTCATCAGGCCATGTTTAGAGTAAATGCCGACTTTACTACCCCACATAAATATAGTTCACGACCTGAAGCTTGGTCATTTGTACTCAAGGGCATCGCATATTTCCAAAGTTTGCCACAATACACAAGCTTGACTGAACACACAAGTCAAATATACTTTTTGGGCAATGTTATAACATACATCCTCAGCTTCATCGTGGTTGTCGTATCTTTAATCAAGCTTGTATTTCATGGGTTGCGAAACTTAAATCCTTACGTGACATATCTTGATCCTGACACAAAGAGGAGATTTTACACCAATGCATTGCAGTATGTTGCTGGATTTGTGCTTCACTATTGGCCGTACTTTTTCATTAGACGTAACCTTTATGCACACCATTACTTGCCAGCATTGTACTTTGCTATATTGAATTTAGGCGAGTACTTAAACTATCAAATGAAGTACATTCGAGTTCCCTTGATGATTGCAATCCTTTCAAGTGCTATTCACTGTTTCATCGAGTTTATCCCCCTCATTTATGGAACCGAGTGGACTGTTGCCAGTTGTGTAGCTCATAAATGGTTTTCTGGCTGGAATATGGACTGTATGACATATGGAGGTTAGACTTTGTCACGACTAATTCGTACATTGAATTACACAACATCCTAGACTTTTCACATCCTTGCTTGCGAGATACCAGTAGCCAACTCTTTGATCAAATCATCCACTTTCACCAACAATTCATTCTTTTCTTTAATCTTTGCCTGTCTTTCCTGCTCCACTTGCTTCAACTCTTGACTTAAATCAGCAATCAATTTCATTTGAGCTTCGGGAGTAACACCTATACCCGGCAAGGAATCAATCAACATGTTGATCTGTCTGCTTTTCAAAACGATATCTGTTGCCAATTCATCTAGCGTGCTTTCAAAATCATCCTCTGCAGCCTCAGGCGGTTTCAGTGATCCCTTGGCATCTTCATTAGCTTCATCTTTAGGCAGTTGTTGTACCGACTGAGGTGACTGCTGTTGTTGTTGTTGTTGTTGCTGCTGCTGCTGTTGCAGTTGAGGTGCTGGCGCATTAGCTGCTCTGTTTGAAACCGACGTTGGATCATCATCCAACAATGCTGGCTTTGAGTAAACATTGACATAGTGAACAGTAGCATTGAGCTGCTCAACAAGCTGATCTAGACATATCTGTAGTTGTGTTAGCCTATCTGACATAAGTGATTGATACTACTAGCGTTGTGCACTGTTGCTGTTGTTGTTGTTGTTGTTGATTTCTACAGTGTCTTTAAACTATAAATTGTGACATGGAAAGAAGGCGACACTAACAAGTCGTGTACTTTGGAACTGTGTTTTATTCTTTTCTTTCTGATTCTTTTGTGAATCACAAGATAAGAAAGGGAAGTCAAGGGGGTTATTTTTGAAAATCATCCACAGTTTCGCAAGAAGAAAGAAAATCTGTCCATACTTGCACCCCATAGTCCAAGCTACAGAACTGATCTACAATCCTTGGTTGAACGATGCCCCCACGAAGACTTGTTGCGCCAGTGTGGCAGGACGATAACGACGTTGCAGAGTGTTTCTTGTGTCACACGACTTACAGTATATTCCATAGGCGGCACCATTGCAGAAAGTGTGGCAAAGTGGTTTGTGGTGATTGCTCATCTCAAGAGATGCATTATTTCGATAATACACCTATAGCGACACCACCACCACCGGACGTGTCATATCCAAATGACAATGGCAATAGATCGAGGGTACGATTATCGAAACCTAGTGAGCAGTACAAGACTTGTGATGAATGTGCTAATGAGATAATTATGATCCGACGAGCTTTATTTGATGAGCCGAACTCTGTTGTAAATCAAAGTGATGAGGACAACACAAATGGGATCAAGTACACGTCACGAGAACACACGCATCAACTACCGTGTTCTTCATCAACCACGTCATTGAACAGGCGAAATCATGATGGAACAAGTGATAGTAATCTATGTCCCGTTTGTGCAACTGATCTTTTAAAAGAGTATATTTCAGATCGTAAGAATGTGGAACTCATATCAAATGACGATTTTGAAAAATTCAAGGAACAACACATTAGCGAATGTCTTGTGGCGTTTGATTTCAATACTGATCATTCAACTAGATTTTCACCCGAACTGAATGCAAGGAATAAAATGTTGGTGTACAATATACCACCGATTCCCAAACCGCAGTATGAGAACATCGATGTTGTGGGATCAGCAAGCACTAGTGTGGATACATCACTAGTACCTCCAGAGAAAATCGAGGAGGCTGAGTGTGTTATATGTCTTGAGGATCTAAAGCCAGGAGACAAAGTTGGTAGATTAGAGTGTTTATGTGTTTTCCACTACAAATGCATCAAGGATTGGTTCAACAAAAAGGGTTATGGCGAATGCCCGGTTCATTTCTTACATAAATAACTATTACTAAATACAGAGATTTTTTTTTTTTTTGGTTCTGAGTCTTTATCTTTCTTCACGATCATCGTCTCTTCTCCTCCTGCCTCTCTTGTCGTGTATTTCCTTTGTTTGTCTAATAGCCTCTGCCGTAGCCTTGTCTACATGAATGTGCAACGCATCAAGCACTTCTTTGGAAGGTTTGTCCTCTTTGGGGAGCTTCTTTCCCAACGCATTCTCGATTCGCAAATACATTTCCAAGTCATATTGTGTAATCAAAGAGATCGACTTACCTGATCTTCCTGCTCTGGCAGTTCTTCCTACTCTGTGGATATACGCTTTCGAGTCTGTTGGGATATCATAGTTGATAACAACATCAACCAGGGGTATATCCAAACCTCTAGCGGCAACATCAGTGGCCACCAAAATGTTCGCCTTGCCCGATTTGAATTTATTCAATGAACCCAATCTCTGAGCTTGTGATAATTGACCATGCAATGGAACTGCATTGAATCCCAATATTCGAGCCAACAAAGCTGTTCTTTGTGCATGTGCAACAGTCCTCGTAAATACTATGATTGATTTCCCCATAAACTCATTCAACAAATGAATCAATATGGTGTTTTTGTATCCGTCATTGACCAACATCATCGATTGTACCAAATTGTCGGCGGTCTGGTATTTCGTCGACACTGCGACTCTAACTGGATTGTGTAAACTGGCTCTTTGCAATTTTTCAATCTTGTTTGTCATTGTTGCTGAAAACAAATATGTAGTACGCTTTGGCGGAATCACTTTCAAAATTTTATCCAATGCTGGACCAAAGTCCATATCTAATAACCGATCAGCTTCATCCATGACAAGGTATTTTAGATTTTTTAAACTAAATCCCTTTGTATGCTCCAAATGGTCCATTATTCTACCTGGTGTTGCTACTACGATGTGCGGTTTTCTCATCAAATCTCTTGCTTGATCCATCATATCCATACCACCAACAATACATACTGATCTTAATCCCATTGTGGTACCAAGAGCATCAAATGTGTCCTTGATTTGAAACGCTAACTCCCTAGTTGGAGCAAGAACCAATCCGAAATAAGGTGTTTGAGCATGCCAGAGAGCTTGCAAAATGGGAATTGCGAATGCTGCTGTTTTACCTGATCCAGTGACTGCTAAACCGATAATATCTTTTCCTTCAAGAGCGTGTGGTATGGCTTCTGATTGGATTGGAGTGGGCTTGGTAAATTTCATTTGTTGGATAGCTTCAAGCAAGTCTGGGACTAGGTTTAGTTCGGCAAATGTGTTGAACTTGAGTTCAGCATCAGGATCAATAGTAGTTTCAGTGGTTGCTGCAACAGAAGAACTTGCAGTTTTATCTCCATCAGAGGATTCTTTTGATTCCTGCAATTGTTTCTGCTTGAGTAACGCCTGTTTCTTGATCTTTTCAGCTAGTTTCTTTGTAGCATCTGATGATTTGCTCTTTTTGTGGATACCCTTTGAGGACATTGTTTCTAGATATGAATGAAGATTAGTGGTAACAAGAAGGAGTGGGATTTTTGAATGTTTTTTTTTTTTTTTTGGTTTGTGTATTTTTCAAATTTGCCGATGAGATGAATTTGATTTTCAACCAAAGTTAACCACATCCTTACGAACACATCTACGTTATCTACACCATGGCCAAGAGAAAAACAAAGAGAAGAACTCATCAGAAACCAAGTGAGGAGGAGGCTGCTAAAATTCCCAAATCCATGGTGATCCATCTAGGCTCATCCTTGAAGAATCACTCACTATCCCAACTTGTATCTGACTTTCGAAATGTCATGCAACCGCATACAGCTATCAACTTACGAGAACGTAAATCCAATAAATTGAAAGATTTCATAGTCATGTGTGGGCCATTGCATGTGTCTGACTTGTTCATTTTCAATCAAACCTCATCGGGAAACATTACATTGCGTATGGGTAAATTACCAAGGGGTCCTACATTGCAGTTTATGGTCAACACTTACTCCTTGTGTAAGGATGTAAGAAAAATATTGAAACATCCAAAATCTGTTGGCAAGGATAGTGCTGAATTCCACCAGCCGCCATTGTTGGTGTTGAATGGGTTTTCCAACAATGTCAAGGAGATGCCGATGCATGAAAAATTAATGGTCACCATGTTTCAAAATATGTTTCCACCAATTCAACCACAAAACACCAAGGTCAATACAATCAAGAGAGTGTTGCTCATTTCCAAGGATAAAACTACCGGGCAAATTGAACTCAGGCATTACTCAATAAATACAAAACTCGTTGAAGAGAGTAAAAGTGTAAAGAAACTTATTCAATCACATCACAATTTAAAGAAAAAATTGCCCAAGATGACCAATGCTCAGGATGTTGCTGATTTGATTTTGGATCCTTATGCAATCGGAGGATTGACTTCGGATAGTGAAGTGGAAGATGACGCTGTTGTTGAAGTGCAACATGAGGAGTTTCTCAAAAGACAATCACAACAAAATGAGAATCAACCACAGCAGCAAGAATCAATCACAACTTCAAAAAAGAGAGCCATCAAGTTAATCGAATTGGGACCAAGGATAAACATGTCATTGTTGAAGATTGAGGAAGGTTTAGTTGGATCATCAAAAACACTTTATCACTCATCTGTATCCAAGTCGACAGAAGAAGCGCAAAAGCTTGATGCTAAACACAAGTTGAAAGAAAAGTTGAAGCAAGAGAGGAGAGCAAAACAACAAGCAGCGGTGCAAGCCAAGCTCGATAAGAAGAAGGCAAAGAAAGACAGGAAAAAGACAAGATTTGCTGGTGAAGGTGGTGAAGACAAGGCTGATGATGGGTCTAGTGGTGACGAGGGCGCTGATGAAGATGAAGACATGCCTGAAATTAATGCCGAAGATTACGAAAATGATAGTGACTTGTATAGTGATGTAGAGGTATAGACTAACATGTGATCTCCAAAACTGGACTTTAGTTGGACCTGGCTATTCATTTTCTAATTCAAACGTTAATTTATCAATCTTACGTCGTATGTTAATCAATTGAACACTCGTTCTCAAAGCACGATCAAAGTCTTCTTGACTTGACTTGAGTGGTGGTGGAGTCAATGCCCCAAACTGTAAGATCGGATCTTTATATGTAGCGTTGTTGGTCTTTTCAGTGGTGGAGGTGGTGGTGGTAGTGGTGGGCTTTTCATTTGGTTTTTTTCGATTCTTCAATTGTCCCGCCGACTGTAAAGTAGATTCATCGCCATTGTCATCCTCTGCAGCATCGATACGTCTGTCAATAAATCTGAACTCGTCCGAATTTTTACAGAGGTCAACCACCTTGCAAGCATCATAGCTCCTCATGTCGAATGTATCCTTGCCAAATTTTGTCTTTTCACTATGAAAATTAGCTCGACTTAGATTGAGAAACCCATTTATGAAATGCAGACGATAGATGGTTGTTAACTCTTGATACTCGTTTAACAGATTGAGGAGCTGGATAGTTTTTTCATCTTGATCTGGGGCCGACATTGCGTGGGTTGAGAATGACAGTGGGACCGATGAAGGAGCTTTTTTTTCCGCGCACCAACTTTCTTTCTGTGTCCAGGACCCCCAACTGGAAGATCCAAATTGGACAAATTATCTACAACTATATCCAACTTCTATATTTTATAATTTATACAACTTTTTCAATCTACTGAACTCTTCCTCGGGCAAAATCAGATTGAATCCAAATGCAGATTCACTCGAAGCAGGTGAGTTTGACGAGTGGATCAATTTAACTTCAGCATCACTTCTTTCCTTTTGTTGCATAAGGTGGCCAAATTCATAAAGACAGTAAATCATTTCCTCCTCTCCAATCTGTCTTTTACCAACTCTGTCTCTAGCATATACGATTTCGCTCAAATCATGAAGAATGTTTGCCGTGAGACCCCAAACATCGTATATTTTCTCATTGGTCTCTTCGTCCGTTCGAGATCCGAGTCTGCCCCATGACGACAAGTCTTGTTTCCCTTTCCGATCTTTGGGCTGTAATGATGTACTTCTCATGGGAGATGCTGACCTCGAGGAAGATGCAGATCTAAGTGGAGTCATGTTAGGTGGTGTAATCCTTCCCTTGTCAGACATATCCAACTCCTCTCCCAATTCCTCATCTTCCAGTGCTGATAAGTCCTTTATATGTTTTAACCATTCCACCTCGTTGGGATTGTTTTGTAAAAACGTGTATGAACGTAATGACCAAGGTATACCACCCCATTTCATATTGTAAGATACACGTTCCAATGCTTCTCTTGCCGGCTCATCAACAACAGGATATAGAAAATCCTTCAATGGACATGAAAATATCGAAGAGCTCTCGCCTGGATTCAAAACGAGATTCAATTTAGATGCAATTGTAGTTTCAACATCGCCCTCATTACTAAATTTCATAAACCCAACACATGGTCTCACACAAGAAAAAGTACGTGATAGATAGCTAGGCAATAACGTAATGTGTTCAATACTAATGCCCAATTTTGCTAAAGCATCATCATTGGATGACAATCCAATCTCTTCGTGCATCTCTCTTCGACTCACCATCCATTCCGATTCAAGTCCATTGTCGGCTTTTCCTCCTGGTAACGCTACGTGACCCGGGAAATTCCTTAGTCTGGATGATCTTTTAGTTAGGAGAACTCTTAGCTCACCCATGTTGCCCAAAAAGAGCAAAATGAATACAGCTGACCTTCTTGTTATGGGGAGTTTGTGCCATACTGACATCTTACTACCACGATAAGCAGGAGCCACATAATCACGAAGTTGCGCCACAAGATCTGTCTCGGGACCCATCGTCATCCTGTTCAGTCGTTGTTGTTTGCAGAGTGTGAACTGGTTGGGTTGGTAATAAGTAGTTGAAAAAATCAGATGCAAGAAGCGGTAGAGCATTATTATGTTTTGGATGAGAGAGAAGAACAGTGCGAGTCTTCATTATTTTTGTAACCGCGGTTCCGGCAGTATAAATTTCAAACGCAAACTTACATATATAGTGCAAGGCTATGTGGCATCGTATAAAAAAGAGCAAATGAATATACGACTGATGTGGTTGTTGTAGTTTCATGTTGGTGTGTGACTCATTTTACCCCGACTTTTAGGACTTCACAAACCTTTCTCACAAAGAGAAGCTAATAGTTAGTATTCCCCGCCTTATGAATTACGAGGAGAGATCTTTTTTTGGTATGAGGGGAAATTATTGCAAAAACAGTAAAAGCACGATTTACGGCTGTGACAATTGCACATGAAACAAATAACGAAAGGGAATTCTTTGGTCATGTATGAAAGCAGACCGCAATTCACATGGCGTTTTGGGGCATGATGTTCGAAGGATGCTTTACAATGAGTACTGTAAATGAGCAGCTTCCCCTCTCAGCCAAAAAAAAAATTTGAAATGCAACATTAAACAGCAAAGTTCGTCCTACGGAATCTTATTGGGATAAGAACAACGTAGTTGGGTGCAAAATCAAATGAAGAGAAGATTTTGGTTGATTTTATTGTCGATTTGTGTAATTGTAGGTATTACTATGAAAGTTTGCAACAATTTCAGAGCAAATTGTATACTCAGATAAATTAGAAACAGATTATTGCGAAAAATGACCAAGCTGTAGTCTAGCCAGCCAACACTTATAATCAAGAGCAACATAAACACATTCAGTGTACATTTATCTAGTTTGTTGATAGTGGATGTAAGCAAGATCCATTGGCATCACCAACCCCCCAAACCCCAAACACGCGAAATCTTAAATGGCACTATGAAGAAGGTTGCAAAAGCGATTGCACATTACATCACGGGTGAGTGTTAGAAGAATCTTTATCTCACTTTCACAACTTACATACCAAAAAGAGACCATGAGGCTGGAAACTGTTACAATCAAAACAGTACACATCAATGCTCTCGCATTAGATCTCGCCAAGATTTCTTTTGCATCTGATCACAACGTCTCGGAAATGTAATACCAGTGTGATGGTGGCTGAATAAAATCAGACAGAAGAGTAAGAAATTGCAAACTGGCAAAACCTTGTACGGCGAATGCAAATTTTTTTTTTTTTGCATTTTGTTCTATAAATATATTTTTCCGTAATTTTCCTTTGCTGCGGACTTAACTCGTTTTGTAACATGTCAGCATCGGTTACAAATTGTACTTTTTTAAGCATATTCTCTTAAAGTAAAGTATAAACAAAGAGAATATGTCAAAGTGAAGAAGAGAGTTAATTCTGCGACTACTGCGTAAAGTGCATCTCTATTGGACATTAGAGATTATTGCTCTTGCATAGGATAACGTTTAAACTGTAAAGCTAAAGGAAAGGAGAAACTAACTTTAAATAAGATTGGGGAAGTTGCTATCGAAGTTACTGAAACAAAAGGTTGCTAAAAATAAAAAGTGTTAAGACATTTGATATTCTATTGTTAGATACTTCGAAACAAATTTTTAGCCGCTTATGCTGTCAGACAAACTCATTTTGATATTGCCGCTATAGAGTATGCCACTTAACGAGCTCTTCTCAATGCAAATGGCTGAAATCGCTTCCCTTTGGTCACCGTACCCCATACTTTTACTTCAACGTCAACTGAGTGCCGTCTTTCATAGTTGTAATACGTGAAAACAGTTGGCTACATCTCTACAAAGCAATGGTAAGAGAAACCTGTCAAAAATGAAGATATTACGAATGGAGGTAGAGGCTTAGACATCGACATCGCATTTGTCTAAAACTGAAAGCCGTGATGTTTATTTTTAGAGTCTCAGAAATCCACACACTGTTTTCATGATAAACTCATAACCCATCGTCACCATCACTGAAATTCGTTTCTTTTTATAACCTTTTTGTTCTCTACTTTGTGTTAGTTCATATAGCTTATGTGTAATTACAAGTTCTCTATAATGGTATTTCATTGTTTTCGAGTTTCATTTGACAGTTTTCCATGCATCCATATACATATATATATATATATATCGGTTGTGAAATCAACACTCTCTTCTTAGTTTTGTTTTCATCTGGTGATAGTTTGTTTGTTTAATCGCCAATTTCCTTAGAATAAAGGATTGAAAAATCATCATCAACTATGCTCACCTATCACATATTATTTTGGTTCATTTCCCTATTCCCATTATGCCAATGTTGGTCTCCAACAAACTCATATGCTCCTGGGAAAGTAAAATGCCCCAGCTCTGATATCTTAAGAGTTGCCAATAGTATTTCAGATGAAGAAGATGAGTGGTTACAAGGAAGAGATAAGGTTACCAACAAGAAGATCGTCGAGTTTCTCAAGTACGCTAATATGACAGATATTGATCCTGAAGATTATGGAAAGCTAAATAGAAGTATACACATTGGATTAGCATTTTCTGGTGGTGGTTACCGTGCCATGTTGAATGGAGCGGGCCAACTAAGTGCTTTAGACGAAAGAACTAAGGGTCCAGATGGAGGAAAAGCAAAAGGATTGAATGGTTTGCTTCAAGCAAGTACTTATATTGCCGGTTTATCTGGTGGTAGCTGGCTTGTTGGGTCTGTTGTATTTAATAACTTCACCTCAATTCAAGATATCGTTGACCGCAAAACCAAGATTTGGGATTTGGAACACTCTATTGTGAACTACGGGGGATTGAATGTGTATAAGACCTACAAATACTACAAGGGGATCTCAGACGACTTGAACAAAAAAGAGGATGCTGGCTATGAACTTTCATTGACTGATACATGGGGTAGAGCATTGGCACATCAATTCCTCACCACACTCAATGATACAGGAGCTTCCCTTACAATGAGCTCTCTTCAGGACTGGGATGTGTTTAAAAACTACGAAATGCCATTCCCAATATTTGTCAGTGACACAAGGTCACCCAATAGTCGAATCATTAGTCTCAATTCCACATTGACTGAATTCAACCCGTTCGAAATGGGAAGTTATGATGCGAGCTTGTATCAGTTCACCAAGCTCAAGTACTTGGGAACTGAGTTGGAGGATGGAGATACCAATGGAACATGTATTGGCGGATTTGACAATGCTGGGTACATCATGGGAACATCTTCCACGTTGTTTAACCAATTTGTGTTACAAATCAATACCACTTCGTTATCGTCGACAATCAAATCCATCATCACCTCGTTGTTAAAGAAAGTGGATCAAGCTGAAAATGACGTTGCAGTGTATGAACCAAATCCATTTTACAAAACAGACGTGGGTACTTCATCCCATATTGCCAACAATGAAACCTTGACTCTTGTTGACGGTGGTGAAGATGGTCAAAATATTCCATTGTCCCCATTAATTCAGCCAGTTAGAAGCGTTGATGTTATTTTTGCATTCGACAATTCGGCAGACACTAATCAATACTGGCCAAACGGAACCTCATTAACTCAGACTTTCAATAGACAATTTTCACCGACTGGAAATGGTACGATCTTCCCATATGTCCCCGATGTCAATACCTTCATCAACTTGAACTTGACTGCAAGACCAACTTTCTTTGGATGTGATGCGAAAAACTTGTCCTCATTGCTTCAACATCGAAACATAAGTACCTACAGTAATCAGTCAAGCTCATATTCCATTTATGATTCGCCATTGATTGTATACACCGCTAATCGTCCATTTTCATACTGGTCCAATACATCCACATTCGACTTGAAATATGATGATGATGAACGCAACTCAATGATTAGGAATGGGTTTGAAGTTGCATCAAGAAACAATTTGACATTAGATTCCGAATGGCCAGCTTGTGTTGGATGTGCAATCATTAGAAGACTGCAAGAGAGAAATGGTGAAGAACAAACTGAACAATGTAAGAGATGCTTTGAAAAGTACTGCTGGGATGGAAGTTTGGACACTGATGATGAAAATAGGTTGAATTTCACCTCGGAGGGTACCACTAGTGGTAATGAAGGCACAAAAGTTGGTGCAGCAAACATGGTTTCATTCAGTTGGACTTTATGGTTGAGCTCAATGGTTATTCTGAGCTTGCTTGTATTCCAACAATTCTAGATAAGTAAATAAAAAGAACAACAAAAATTCGTTGTTTAAAGAGGCGGGTTTTGATATTGTCTGGGAATAGTGACGTCACGTAGCCACCTCTTTTGCAACTAGGGTCTTGTGGCTGCAATCAAGTGCAAAAATTTGGTCTTGTCAGACACAACAAGTCCAGGCTTGTGACAGTTCACTGTGTAGAGTCATACGCGCTACGTTTTCAAGAGACTCTTGCATGCGTGGTTATCGTTACTGCCTGGTGGAAATGTTCTCTCCCAAGAAGACCGATCTTAGAAGATGATTCAATATTGCCCCACTTCTTTGTTGGTCCCTGTTTCTAAATTTAGAGTAGGCAGACCCACAGCCTTCTTGATCTTAACAAATGGCACCAAAGTCAGCGCTCTATCTATTTGGTGGCTTAAAAGCGGAACTAAATCGTCGTTCGCATATAAACGTCAATGGTTATTTCGGTTGCAACGGGAAAATCTTCGGTTTTAGTTTAGATTATCACCGACAGATATTTATATATAAGGAAATCGATTTTCCACTTCCGTCCATGGACCATTAATTTAGATTATTCAGAAATAACACCTCTAACTTGTGTCATTCAGTATCAGATCCCTGGTGAAAACACCTCACTCTACAAGAATGCATTGGTGTCAAATTATATTCTCGGCGCTAATATTTATCCACACCGCGCAATCTTGGTCCCCAACAGATTCTTATGCTCCAGGTAAAGTTCAGTGTCCCAATTCTGACATCTTGAGAGTTGCTGATAGTATATCTGAAGAAGAGAAATCATGGCTTAGCGGAAGAGACAAAGTGACTAATGAAAAGCTTGTTGAGTTTCTCAAGTATGCCAACATGTCTCAGATCGATCCAGAGGACTATGGCAACATGAACAAGAGCATTCACATTGGATTAGCGTTTTCCGGTGGTGGATATCGTGCTATGTTGAATGGAGCGGGCCAGATGAGTGCCTTGGATGAGAGGACTAGCGGTCCAGATGGCGGAAATGCAAGTGGTTTAAATGGTCTTCTCCAAGCAAGTACTTATATTGCTGGTTTATCCGGTGGAAGTTGGCTAGTTGGATCCATCGTGTTCAACAATTTTACATCTGTGGAAGATATTGTAAATCAGAAAACTGATATTTGGAACTTAAAACACTCAATTGTCAACTATGGTGGTATCAATGTTGTGAAAACATATGAATACTACAAAGGTATATTAGACGATATAGATGATAAAGAGGATGCTGGATACGATTTGTCCTTTACAGATGTATGGGGGAGGGCATTAGCACACCAATTTCTTACTACACTTAACGACACAGGCGCATCTTTAACATTTAGTTCGGTTCAAGATTGGGATGTGTTCAAGAATCACGAAATGCCTTTCCCAATATTCATTAGTGACACACGAGCAGAGGGGACTAAAATCATTAATTTGAATTCAAGTTTGACAGAATTTAACCCGTTTGAGATGGGAAGTTTCGACAAGAGTATTTACCAATTTGCAAAAATTAAATACTTGGGTACCGAGTTGAGTGATGGAGATACCAATGGAACGTGTATTGGTGGATATGATAACGCTGGCTATATCATGGGTACTTCTTCCACGTTGTTTAATCAATTTTTATTGCAGATCAACACCACATCGTTGCCATCAATTGTGAAGAGAGTTGTTACTTCATTATTGGATCGTGTGAGCAACCACGAAAATGATGTTGCAGTATATGATCCAAATCCATTTTACGATACCAGCGTCGGAACTTCAAGCAACTTGGCAGGAAATGAAACCTTGGTTTTGGTTGATGGCGGTGAAGATGGACAGAACGTTCCCTTGTGGCCACTTATTCAACCTGCTCGTGATGTTGATGTTGTTTTCGCATTTGATAACTCAGCTGATACCGATGGCTATTGGCCCAATGGTACATCGTTGATCAAAAGCTATGAAAGGCAATTTGTTAATGCAGGTAATGGTACCATTTTCCCATACGTGCCAGATGCAAATTCGTTTATCAATTTGAACTTGACTGCTAAACCTACGTTTTTTGGATGCGATGCTAGAAACTTGTCATCGTTACTCCACAATAATAACACCAACAGCAATCTGTCTAGCTCTTATACTGTTTATGATTCACCATTGATTGTGTACATTGCCAACAGACCATTTTCATACTGGACCAACACATCCACATTTAAGTTGCTGTACGATGATGACGAACGTAACCCAATTATCCAAAACGGATTTGAAGTTGCCTCGAGAAACAACTTGACATTGGATCCTGAATGGCCAGCTTGTGTTGGATGTGCCATCATTAGAAGACTGCAAGAAAGAAATGGAGAGGAACAATCCGACCAATGTAAGCAATGCTTTGAAAGGTATTGTTGGGATGGAAGTTTGGATTCAGAAGGAACCAAGTTGAACTTTACTGAAACAGGAACCACCAATGGAGAGGAAAGTAGTTTAGAAAGTGCCTCGACATCTTCTAGCACATCAAGCTCATCATCTAGCTCTTCACATGGCGGAAAGAAGAACGATGCTAGTGCAAAGTCATTCAGTTGGAGTTTGTTGTTTGGTTTGCTCTTGATGGTAGGGTTCGTGGGCGTAGATCAATTCTAAAGATTTGATACAGCTGTATAGAACAAGCATACGATATTGAAGACAAGTACTGTGATAACGATGTGCGAAATTTGCATACCATACACTATGCAAGAGCGTAATTTGTCTCCTAATCTAGTCATTAATTCCTAAGCGCAAACTAAAAGAATACGTTCGAATTTACATAACTCTTATAAAAAAAACCCTGAATCGAACGTTACTTTCTCTATCCACCTCTTCCACAACATTACCAAGTCATGCCGTTCAAAACAAATGCATCAATTACCCAATTTGGAGGTCAATTGTTAAAATTGACTCATGACTCCAAACTTACTAAAACTCCCATGAATGTCAATGTATTTATTCCGCCAAGTTCCAAAGCCGCTAAGATCCCCGTGTTGCTTTATCTTTCCGGATTGACATGTACACCAGAGAATGCCAGTGACAAGTCCTTCTTCCAATACTGGGCTAGCAAGTATGGGTTTGCGTTAGTCTTTCCCGACACTTCCCCAAGAGGAGCCGACATTAAAGGAGAAGACGATAGCTGGGATTTTGGTACAGGCGCTGGGTTCTACGTCAATGCAACTCAGGCTCCTTGGTCTACCAACTACAATATGTATTCGTATGTACATGAAGAATTGATTGACGACTTGAGTGAAGTGTACAAGGCATTGGATTTTGATAATATATCAATCACTGGTCATTCAATGGGTGGTATGGGAGCTTTAGTTGGGTTCTTGAGAAAACCAAGAAACTATAAATCGGTGAGTGCATTTGCACCAATTGCTAATCCTAGTATTGTTCCATGGGGTGAGAAGAATTTCGGTGGATATTTGGGCAACGATAAGAACAAATGGGCGGAGTATGATCCAACTGAGTTGGTTAAACATTTCAATGGTGATGATACATCAACCATATTGATCCATCAAGGTTTGAAGGACAACTTTTACGAAAGAGAATTGAAACCAGAAAACTTTGTCAACGCTGCCAAAGGTTACAAAGGAGAGGTTGATTTGAAATTAGTTGATGGATATGACCACTCTTATTACTTTATTAGTTCATTTGTGGAGGAACACGCTAAACACCATGCTAAATATTTGGGATTATTATAACTAAACACGGTTGAACCGAGACTCTAAAGAATTGCTAGTTGAATTTGGTTATCCAGGTAGTATACCATGCTGATTTCTTATCAGTATGTATAGATTTAGCCAACTTGGCAAGCTTAACGGAATAAATGGATATGTCTTTGGAAATTGATTCGACTTCTTTAGTGATTTCTCTGTTCAACATCAAGTCGACGATCAACTTGTCAATCAAATTGGTGATAGTTTTTTGCAAATTGTTGATTTCATCTACTTGAAGACCTGTAGTTGTTTTAGGTAATGACTTTTTAAACGATGCAAGGAGTAGTTTCACCAATTCAATCTCCTTTAACAGTTTCTCAGCATATGCCTTGAGCTCTGCCGAATGTTCTTCGTCATCGCTCTCCACCTCCAGGTTTAACTTTTCCTCATCATCCTCGTGTTCTTCATCATCACTAAGTCCAAATGGATCATCAATATCTACTGGATTTTCGACCCACTCAACAAACTCTTCAAATCCATCATCAATCAACCCGATACTCTGTTTTATTTTTGATGTGAGTAGATTCAAAGCGCCATTATTTATCAATGTCGTGAGAGAATCACAATTCGACCAAATTTTTCCCACAGAAACCAACCTCGCCGAATCTTCTTTTTCATCGTAGATGTATGTAAGCTCATTAGCCAATTCGTGATTGGACTCTATTAGTTGTCTAACTTGATGAACAATCTCATTGTAAAACAAGTTCGAAATTTGCTTGGCTTGGAGTTGTGATACAACCGACACCAACAAGATAAGTGATTCTGAGAGTTTCTCCAATGTGGTGTAAGCAGTAGATTCTTGTTTTGCCAACGTTTCGGGCTTGAAAATTATCCCCACTTTTGTTACATGGGCTTTGATCAACTTGACTAGTTTCAGTAGCTCATCCAATGGGTTGTCCACTTTTGACGCCTTGATTTGGGATATCTGTTCACTTGTTAAATTGGTGATCCAGTATTGCGTGGCATCTTTAAACGATGCCAATAAAGCTTTCAAATCGTTTGACATTGGGGATAGATGATTCTACAATTAGTTGATGCATAGACAATATTTTTTTTTTTTCGTACATACTTTCTCTACCACTCATCGTCATCGTCATCATCACTATGTGCAACTTTACCCTTACGCTTATTCAAAGCAACAGATAATGCATCTGCTAAACTAGCCGGAGGAGCGCCAGCAGCAGTTCCTCCACCACCACTAGAAGTATCGTTACTCTGCACTGGTTCTCCTTTCGCTTCTTGTAATAATACACTTGGCTTTTCCAACTGTGATTTGTCAGTCTTTTTCAATGAGCCTACACCAGCGCCTCTGATAGACGATAAAAGCGCATCTCTTCCAGCGTCCCCTGTAGATTCGGTAAATGTTCCACTCGACATGTCTGGTGGAGGAGGTGCAGGCGGAGCCGGTGTAGATCCACTTGGCATTGCTGACATTGCTGACATTGCTGGAGGAGGAGGAGGAGGTGGTGGTGGAGGAGCAGCAGCGGCCGCTGATTGACCGTAGGGTTGCGTTTGATGTTGTTGTGATGGAGGAACAGCCATGGGTCTTGGTTGAAGTGGGGGTGGTACTGGTGCGCTTGGTTGTTGTTGAGAAGGAGGTTGTTGTGAGAACGCATTTCGTGGGGGAGCCTGTGGAGGGCCGCTGGGATGCGGGACCAGACTTCGTGGAGGAGGCGGAGGAGGAGCCGCACCTCTCGATGCCCTCGGAGGTGGCGCTGGAGGAGGTTGCGAGCCATTGGTCCCCGTGCGTGTGGGTGTAATAGGAGATGCTCTCGGAGGTGGAGCTGGGACGTTAACATTGGTGTTGATTGAATGGTTGGCTCTAGGTGGAGGTGGTGGTGCATTGCCCCTACTTGGAGGCGCTGGTGGTGGGACTCCACCTCTTGCTGGCGGAGATGGTGCATTTTGCAGTGCTTGTTGTGCCTGATTCAACTGTGGTGGTGGAGGAACTTGATGAGCTGTGGTTGATAAAGGTGGTGGAACAGCAAATTTTCTCTGCGTGTTTGGTGGTGTTTGATTTTGCGGTGAGGGGGAAGGTTGATACTGCTGTTGTTGTGGTGGATTTTGTTGTTGCTGAGATGGTGGCACTGGAAGAGGCCTATCACTTGACGATGTGGAAGTCGATCTAACGGGCGGGGCTACTGCCAATGGTGGTGGAACTCTAAACACACGTTTAGCAGGTTCAGCTGGAGCTTCAGATGCAGGCTCCGTTGCCGGTGTAGGTGTTGGAGACGATTCTACTTCCGGTGTTGGTGAACTGATAGATTGATTTGAAGATGTCGGTAACGAAGGCGATGACGTTTGCGGTGCCAGTGGCGGCGGTGGTGGCGCCTTCTTGTGTTTCATACTAGGTCTCGATTCTGGTATTGAAGCGGTTTCTTCTGCGTTTTCCACACCAACAGCCTTTTCGTGTGCTCTTTGATATTTTCGTGGTATTGGAGGTTCTAATCCAACAAGAGGTCCTCCTTGTTGTGCAATATAATCTTTGATGAATTGTCTATTATCAACAATCATGTCTTCAGTGATACCAGCAGACTCCAATTCAGCATAGAGTGACCTCCATTCGGGCGGAGGGACGTCATCATAATACAATACCCCTTTTGTCCTTCTTTGTCGTTGTGCGGTGTTGACATCCATGAATTCACCCCTCGGCCCAGGTGCTGTGTGGCCCTTAGGTTCAGCTCTTTCCTTCAAAGCAATTGCATTCTTATTTTTAACGGTTGCACTTGACCCATGTTTCTGACGATGTGTAACTCGTTTGAAAAAATGGGAGGCGTCATTGGTATCTTCAAATAGTAAGCCCACAAGACAATCTTCAATTTCAAAAGTATGAAAGTATTTACGATCTTGATTGTACTCAAAATCAACATAAAGTTCTTGATCCCACAAGACTCCTCGGTGTCCTGTTATATCAACAAGCTTGAGAAAAAAAGTGTGGCCCACTAAATCATCAACAAGGGCAATGGCGCCCATCAATCCTGTGTAAACCCATTTTGTCGGGTCAGGGTAAGCAATGTACAAACGTGCTACCGTAGCATCAATGATTTTGTTGCTTGCTTTGGGAATCGTTCTTTTGATCTTCTCCTTATCTTGAGTTGTAAGGATACCCATTATTGCTCAATTGATACTGTACTGGAGACTAATTCTGGGTAAAGGTTTCGAAGACTAGGGTAGTGCGGAGTTGAACAAAAAATATTTGTACTTTGCTGCCGCTGTCTCCTTTTCTATGGAGACAAAAAAATTTTCCACATCTGCACGAACATCTTTAGCAAAGAATCATTACAAACCTATGTCCGGACGTCAAGGTGGAAAGGCTAAGCCATTGAAGGCTCCGAAGAAGAAGCAGCATGACGAAGATGAAGATGATGCTGCTTTCAAGGCTAAACAAAAAGCAGATGCTGCTGCAAAGAAGGCGATGGCAGAAAAAGCAAAAAAGGGTGGACCATTAGTTGGTGGTGGTATCAAGAAAAGTGGTAAGAAGTAATTGAAGGAAGTGGGAGATAACAGGAAGGAAGTTTGTGAATCAACGACGAGAAGTTGCGTCAAATAGTGGGGGAACGTTGCCATTTGGATCAATATTGGTATGTTGGAGTGGCTTTACAATGGACTACGCAAATGAGGATATAGAGTTGACAAAACTACATTTAGTTATGTTCTGTAAAATCTCTCTTGCTCTTATAATATATCCTGGGGAAATTACGTATGCCACATTTTAGTTTCATTCCTAATCTTTACTCGTGACACCCTTCATTTAGCTGTGACTGTTTCCCGATTTACCCATTGCCAACTCCAAAGTAAAACGGGAAGCACGAGTGTGTACAATCATGAATCAAGCTTTGTGCTAATTCAAATGAGGATATCATTTTGAAAGAAATTCCTTGCGATTAATGAAACAATCAGTTTAATATCTTTAGCGTATCACTTCCTACATGAAATCGTGCGTTTCTAGGATCTTGGACACCACACACACACACACCTATCCTGTCCCCTAATCAAGTTGCAGTATTCTGTGGTATTCGTGTTTTCATTGTGGTTTGGTTGTAAAAAAAATAAAAACCAACTGGTAGCTACTCACCCATTTCCTAATTGAGTTTAATTAAACAGAGAGAAGATTTCAATCAGCGCGTTATGACACAAAAGCGCAAGTGGTATATAAAAATTTCATCAATTTGAATAATCCCAACCATTCACGATGTTTAAAAATATATTCGGATGAAAAAGTACATACTGTCTGATCTTCCTTTATTTATTTTTTGCTAATCCTCAACTTCAACTACAGAAAATCACGACATCCTCAGCCTTGCGACTACTCTACATCACCTACAATGCAATTGACTCCAACATCCACACCCACGAAAAAGAGAACTATTCGAGATATCTCAAACACATTCCATGACATTGATGCCGAACTACCTTTAACTCCAACAAAAACGCCCAACAAAAAACAAGTATTTAATTTTAGTACTCAGCAAGATGGTGAACCTTCATGTAAAAGGAAGTTGGTTTTTACTCCCACAACACCATCATCATCACCAGTTAAACCACCATTGACACCCAAGTCATCCACATTTAGAAAGACTTCGATATATTCCCAAGCTAAAGCATTGTTTCAGAGAGGTAGTAAAAACGAAAGAACAAACGACAATTTACAATTACCAAGTCGAGAGGAGGAGGCCAGTCTTATCAATAATTTCATTTTAAAGAATTTGGAAACTACTCAATCAAATAGTTTATATATTTCAGGACCACCGGGTACTGGTAAGACAGCCCAGGTAAATTTGAGCTTATCCAAGTATGAATCCGACAAAAGAGTGAAAATTGTACGAATCAATTGTATGACTTTGAGGAATCCTGAACTGATTTTCCATGAAATTTATGCATCTTTGGTTAATCAAATTAGTATATCATTCACCAAAAAGAAGACTTATGATGATTTTTATCAAGTTGTCGATAGCTGCAACGAGTTTAAACACATTGTGTTATTTCTCGATGAATTAGATTCATTGTTGACTAATAATCAACAAGTATTGTTCAAATTGTTTCAATTGTCAAGCTCACAATGTAAAGTAAGCACTCGAACCAAGATAATATTAATTGGAATTTCAAACACACTTGATTTGAACAACAAGTTTCTTCCCAAATTGTTTACCAATAATATGATTCCGGAATCAGTACAATTTTTGCCATATTCAGCAGCACAAATAAAATCAATCATATTGGCCAAAGTAGCCGATTTTCCCACAACCATTTTCCATCCTATGGCCTTGCAATTTTGCTGTCAGAAAGCAGCTTCAATTTCAGGAGATTTACGAAAAGCATTTGATATTTGCTATAAAAGCATTGAGCTTGTAGAAATGGAGCAAAGAGGTGAAAGTATAGACAAATCCATTGTTAAACCAGTTTTGATATCGCATGTTGCCAAAGTATGTGCTGATTCATTTAGTACTAAAATGGCATTATCATCACTTAGTGTGTTGCATAAGTCAATCTTGTGTCAATTGTTTAATTTTCAATTGATCAAACCAGATGGGATTACAGTCACAATGTTTTTTGATTACTACCAGAAGCAACAACAGGATCACCAAATGCTGCTGAACTTGTTGGGCGGTGTCAAGTCTAGTGAGTTTTTGGAGATATTGACGATGTTGGAGAGTAACAATTGCGTTGTAATGGAGTCTCTGGGACATAAAAACAATAATCATGATAATAGTAAAAAAGTGATTAAACTAAACGTTGACTACGATGAATTGGTGAAATCAATTGAAGGTATCGGGTTCTTGAAGAAAATGTTGAAACATTCAAGAGGTGCCTTGTAAATGAGCTTGTGTGTAGTACTAATAAAACTAATGGATTAATACACAAAGAAAGTCCTTGGTTTGATTGTTTGTTATACTCTTTTGTTTGCACTGTGCTGGTGACTGTTTGTCAGATATATCTTTTAGATAATGTTACATCGATGTCAATTTAGCAAAGTTTTGGTTGTGCTTAGGGGAGCAATGGGGAAGGGGGCCGGCGGGTGTTGTTTCCTACACCAAGAATTATATATTGTACGGTGCACACATGCCAGTGGAGTATGAACTTCAACATCAAATTTGTGGACACCATATAAGATACAGCTATAACAAAATTGTCAATACTTTACATGAGTTGACCAGGTGTGTTGTTATTACATGTGCAAGCTGCAAACCGAAGGTGGTCAATAAAATAATTTATTGTAGCCACCAAAGCAGACACGAAATAAGAGTGTATAGTTAAGCATATGGTTCATAGAAACGCCTCTTTGGTTACTCATTGTGCAATTTTACTTTAGTAAAGGGAATAATGTACACTGTTTCATTTTCCATTGATCACAATTGGTAGCTGTGCAGTTTAAGGGAATAAGTATTAGGTAATAATGCTGGCTAGTATTACGTCATATATTACATAATAATACTGTGAGTGAGTGTGCTGTGCTGTGCTATGTGTTTGTCTCTGTCTGTTAAACACAAGAAAAACCTTTTTTATTTTTTAATACACCAAACAAAATTTTCTATTTTCCCCTTCCAACTTCTGTCTTTTATTTATACCCACCCCTTTACTAACACTGCTATTAGTTATCATCTTGAAGCCTTATACCTTCAAACCCACCTGCGTCTTTCCACTCACATCAAGATATATTGGCGGACTACTCATCTAACACATACACACTGAAGACTATACAAGAGTAAATTTTATTAGAATTTATGTCACCTTTAATTAGTCATTCACAAAGTCTATCACATTAATCAACAAATATACCTTACAAATCCATCAAGAAAAAAAAGAAGACTGATCATAATCACAGGGAGTGGAAAAAGCTACATACGCTCAACATCTCGAGCCAGACATCATCAGTTTGATCGATTCTTAAAGCAACCCAAAAAATTCAGCGCTTATACTCCAACCAAACGACTGCACATCCAATCAAATCATAGATGTCTTTTTCAAATTCGAATAGAGGCGGCGGCAGGTTTGGTTACCCAGGAAGTAAGGATTGGATAAATAGTAGCAAATCGCGAAGGAAGAACTTTTATTCATCGTCATCAACCGCAGCTGCAGCAGGAGCAGAAACAGGATCCATACCGAACTCAACTATATCTACAACGCCATCTAATGAAACTTCAACTATACCGAATTTGTCGCGACGAGATTTCAAAAGTAATGGGCCTGGGTCATCATCATTAACACATCTGAAGGACCCACAACCTGGCAGAAACGGATCATCTTATTCATCAAACTATTATTCAAACCTGACGTATGGAGGCTATGACAATGGCCTGTATCGTTCGGACAACTGGAGGAAAGCAAATGGAGAGTCACGACGGCTGTCGGGAAGCCAGAAACCTACATTATCAGGATCATCCTCTGGATCACTAACGTCAAACTCATCACCCGGCAGTGGATACAAGAATGGGCGTTATGACTCTTACTCGACAGATCCAAGTTTCCATGGCTCAAGATGGAAGAGTGGCGGACGTAATTTTGCCGCGTCGTCAACGAGATATTCAGCCAAAGATCGAATACGAAATGGGAGGCCTTCTTTGAGCAACCTGTATCTGCCCAATAGCAATAATGTACCATTAGGATCAGCATCAGCAAAAGGGCCCGATTCATTTAACCCATCAACAAATGTTTCAGGATACAAATACTACGACCCTCCAAAAGCTTACGGACCTTACTATTCAAGCACATACTCAAAGGATAAAAGTTCATCGCTTTCGCAACTGCGTCTTCCATATTCAAATCCCAGGCCATACAAATCAAGATACGGAGCTAGATATGGTGGAAGTACTTTGATAAATCCAACCGAGAAAAGAGCCAAGGAAAAAGAACTTGACGGCGACCAGGATAGTCAGATCGATTATGACGCTAATGACGATGTTGACAACAGTCGTATTAATAAGCAAACTGAGGATGACACCCAAAGTGAAGTAACTGAAAATGAGGAGCGAAGTCTCGAGATCAAGGCACGTATAACGCAAGAGTTTGATGAAGCAACTGAAACGCAGGAGGATATGTCACAACCAGTGGCTGAGGAGAGTTTGGAACTGGCACGAACCTCTGCTGAACCAGAGCTGAAGGACGACTTGATGAATGAACTGTATTTGAAGAAGGTGAAAATTGAAACGCCTCCAGTCACAGCTGAAGTGGACACGAAAGCTTTAATAGAGTATGACGAGACAAGTGCAGGAGATGGATCTGAGGATGTATATCGGTACCCACTTCCTGAGATTCCATGCAAGTATGAGGAAATGAAAAAGGAGTTTCAACAATCGGAACAAAGCTCGTTGAAATATCTATTGTCCACTCCAATTGATAAATTGTCTGATTATCCATTTTTTGTCAATAATTATGAAGAGTTTCACAGAAAAAAAAGGGCGATTCTTACAAGTATATTAAAAGAAAGAAACACCAATGTTGAAGCTAAATCCGCAGCATTGTTGAAAGAATACAATGAAATGCTGAAAAAATGGGAGGAGAAGAGACTGAAAATGGATCAACAACTTCGAGTGTTGCACCCATCAGATGACGAAATGAGAAGAGAACTCGATTCAAGTGACATGAGGAAACAAAATCAGCAACAGCAATCCGTTGGAAACATTTCTAATGGCTCACCACACGTTGGCTCTTTTGACTTGCCTACCGTATCCAGTCGACGCAGTAGTAGAAGACATGGGGATTTAGTTACTACAGAGGCGGAATTCCAAGAGATTCTACTCACTTTGGGTCAACAACAAGAAGATCCCCTTTTGAAAGCACAAAGAGTAGCAGCAGCTATCCCAGATATGATTTTGGATCCAGTTGAGAAAAATGAGCTTAAATATATGGATTCCAACAATATAGTCAAGGACACACAGGCATGGGCCAAAAGAGTTGATACAGATTTCCACAACACATTTTCCGAAAAGGAACATGAATTATTTACAGAAGCCTTTTGTTTGTTTCCCAAACGGTTCGGTGCTATATCGAGGTACATGGGTGGGTTACGAACTTCTGCCGAATGTGTTCTCCATTATTACATGACTAAAAAGAGTGTCAATTATAAGCAGTTGCTTATTCAACGTCGTAAAGCTAGCAAAAAGGGCAAGAGGTTGAAAAGCACAAGTCGGCCAAAGTCCACACCACAACATCCCGTGGATCAAGTTGAAGGTTATGGAGTAGCTCCCAATAGCGATGTGTCGGAATTCAACTTGGAGACGGTTTCGGTACAGAATGGTGTACCATCTGAGTTGGAAACCCATGTAATGATCCCAGTTGCTGAATCTACGGAAACGCCAATCGAAAATGGTCGCAAAAAGCGTGTTACTGGAGCTAAAACCACGGAGAAGAGGAAGCAAAAGGCTGATTTGGAGGTGACGGAAGATGGGCAAAAGGCTACTGAAAAGAAGCGTAGAAAGACTGCAAAGAAGTCTGTGTCTGCTGATGGAGTTGCAAAACCAGAAAAAAAGAAACGGGTCAGCAAGAAACAAGCAGCAGAAGAGGCTTTTGCAGCGGCAAGTGTAACACAGAGTGCTCCTATGGTGAACACAGATCTGACCAAAGTTTCTATTGGTGCTTTGACCAATGTTCTGAATAGCTCTGCATCGGCAATCCAATCTGAGATTTATACTGGAACTGCTCCAGTTACACTGCAATATGTGTATCAATTGCAACAACAGGTACCACTGTTTCTGCAACAACAGTATCCACAATCGATTAATGAGCAAAAGATTCAACCACAGCAACAATATGACCAGCAACAACAATATTGGCAACTGCAACTGCAACTGCAGAAACAACAGGAACAGCAACTGCAGAAGCAACAGGAGCAGCAACAGCAACAGCAGCAGCAACAGCAACAACAACAACAGCAACAACAACAACAGCAACAGCAGCAACAACAGCTTTATGCCCAATACGCAATTCAATACCAACCGCCCCACCAATCACGGCTGCCATCTTTTGCTCCTCAACCTTCGGCCCCAGTATTTCCATCAATACGAAATCTACTCTCAGAACAAGAACCAGCAGTATATCAACAAGTCAAGTATGCACCAGCTTCTAATTCACAAATACAACAAATACAGCAACAACAACCCCAACCGCTACCACTATATCAACAAGCCGTACCTCATCCGCAATCAGCAACAGCGCAACAACAGCAACAACAGTCACATCGCAAAAGCTCCATCATGAGCCTTTTAAACTCTGATGATAAACCAGCAGCAGCGGTCCCTCAGCAGAGAGCGAAAACCAATTTACGTGACTTGTTAAATTAGTGCATCCCTAGGGGTTTTAGCTATGATTCACATGCTCGTTTATCTTTTCTATTTAGTTCGTTTCTGTTTATACTTTGATGATGTATTATATATTTAATGATGACTTTGGCATAACGCCGTATAATGTTTGTTGAATATGCTCACGTGAATTACGTCACGTGCAACTCTAGTTCTATTCTTTTTCAGAAACAAGAAATGAAAAAGTTTTTCAAAGGGAAGTTAGGACAACGCAGGACGAACATCAAAGTCATGTCGAGATCGTTACTATCTCGATTAAGTGGGTTGAGCCTACGCTCAAGCAAGAGATACTTTAGCTACACGCCGGCTGCAAGTGAAGAAATAATCGTCACCACTACATCGACAACCACAACTACAACCACCACCACAGAATCCACAAACAACAATGTCACTTTTGATGAGCAACTTCCACGCACTAATTCATTCAGCAGAAACCATAAGCCCACTCAATCATATTTGCCTCATCAAGTGACTGAGAACTTGACTGTGTCTGAATTAAACAAAATACGTACAACTCCCACTTTGATGACATTTTATGGCGGAAATCCCATACATGAAAGCAATATGAATCACTTGAGGATGTTGTTGCGTAAATATCAATATTTACCAACTAAACCACTCAGCGATGAGGAATTGCAGAGTAGGAAATTTTTAGGGTATGAAGCTTACAAGGAACGTACACAATCAGGAACAAGAGTAAAGAAAATCCATTATCGAGATTTGATATCGAGTTTGAATCGATTGAGAACCATTGATTCCCAATTGATGCCCGTTGAAGTTATAAATACATTGAATAGTTACTACTCCACGTCAATCAACAAGACAGCCATGAGTAAGAAAATCAAACAATTGGATGAATTTGGTCGTGCCAAGGCTCAAGCAAAGAGGAAAGCAGCATTAGCTAAAATCTACTTGGTTAAGGGTGATGGATCAATCTTGATCAATGGTAAAAGCGCAGTTGAATATTTCACAAATGTTTATGCTAGAAAGAATTTGGTGTACCCTTTCCAAGTAGTTGAACAAGAAGGCCAATACAATGTATTTGCTGAAGTAAGTGGTGGTGGATATACTGGTCAAAGCGAAGCTGTCATGTACGCCATAGCTAAAGCTCTTGTTGTTTTCAATCCATTATTGAAACCTAGATTGTCTAAAGCTGGATTGATGACCAGTGATGCAAGAGTCGTTGAGAGAAAGAAGCCAGGTAAGGTCAAAGCTAGAAAATCGCCAACTTGGGTCAAACGTTAGAATAAATTTGGAATTCCTTGCATGTATATAATTGTCTAAATTTACGTGTTTGTGTGTGTGTGTGTGTGTTATTTTATTCTCTTGTCTATAATGAGTCTAAGTAGGATAATACGGATTCGATTTCACCCTTTTCGTATTTGGTAATTTTACCTTGAAACAAACCCTTTCCACCACCTTTCAAATTAGTGATTTTCAGCTTTAGTTCAGTGGCAATGTCATTGGTTTTGGGCCCTGATATTTTCACCATACCTCCATTAGAAGTTTGGTTACCATTGATCAAAATAAGAGTATGTTTGTTGGTGATATCGACACCGGAGTCCTTATTGGCGTTGATAATTGTAGCTAATTCCTTCTGCACTGTTGTTAAGTAATCTGGATTATTCTCTTCTCGATAAACATAAGCAATCCCATCATCGGTCGCTTTCAACTTGTTAAATATTTCAGTAGCTTTTAAATTGGCCAATTCCTTAGTCAAATTAGCAATTGTCGAATTGGCTTTTCTGTAATTAGTATTCAATTGGTCGATTTTAGTAACAACGTCATCAATCTGACAAGATAATTGTGTTCCTGAAACTGTTTTCAAAATGTCAAAATATTCACCCGCAATATTGGCCACTCTTGTTCCACAAGTGAAATATAAACGAGAATGGCCACCACGAATTGAAGTCTGATTTAACAATACAATCGATCCAATTTGAGCAGTGTTGGACAAATGTGTACCACAACATGGGTTTGAATCAATGTCGTCGCCAATCTTGACTATACGCACAACACCTTTACTTTGATCATAATCATCTGGTAAATGGCTGGTGTCGATTTCAACTCCATGATCATCTCGAGTCACTACATGGATTGGATGTGCTTCAAATATGAGCTCATTCACTCGTTGTTGCACTTGTTGCACCACTTCATCAGACACTTTTTCTGGTAATTCAATGTAATTAATTATATCACCCATAGACCACGATAATGTGTCAAGTTTCAATGTATCAAATACAGCAGAAAGTAAATGCTGTCCAGTATGCTGTTGCATAATATCCAATCTGCGATCCCAATCCACTTGGAGTTTCACTTGGGTGCCGGGTTCTAGTGGTTCATCAACAATATGAACTGCTTTCAACTTGTCACGTAAGATGGCATTGACTTCGACTGTTTTGGGCTCAGAAGCAACAGCAGCACCATTGTTGAGGATAGTGATGGTACCTTTATCAAATGGTTGACCACCTCCTTCTGGAAACAAGACTGTATCCTCGAATTCAACCCCGTACTTCAACTCTTTTGGTGAATCTTTTTTGTTCTTGTTTTGTTTCTCCTTGGCTGTGGCTGGAGGGATGAATTCATAGCTTGAAACGACTTTTGTGTTTAAAGTTTTAAGAAATGAGTTCTTTTGGCAAGCTAATGCTCCTACTATAGTTGACGTGGCAGCAGTCATGGTTGTTTGATGAAAAAAATCACAGTAATGGGTTCTTGATGTTTCTGACTAATTTTTCAAATTTCATTTGGTACAAGATTGCTTAGATAAGCAAGAGTTTCTTTTTATGCGCATCTATAATTCCGTTCCGTGGGAATGTGAATGCTCTCTCTATAAAAAACTATTTCCTACTCAAAGTGATACCAAGGATGATGGAAGATGCAAGCACGGCCAATACACCAGGGACCAACACTTCATTGGCAATTCCAGGTACTAATGAGTCTGATTTGGTTACCTTTTTAATGGGTTTGAGTTCATCAACCGATGGATGTTGGTGAGGATTGTGTAAATACAAATCAGCCTTTTCGTTGCCTAATCTTCGATTTATGCGAACACACTCAACCAAGTCGCTATCAGTGGTGATTGACACGACATCCCCTTCATCATCGATATAGCTTATTGCAACCTCGTTGTTGGTAGATGCAGACCCATCTTCGTTATCTTCACTGGGCTTAATAACGTTCAACTTTATAAAATCCTTCTCATTTAACTTTGAATGAATCGATTTCCTCAACGCAAGTACCCCATCGTTTGGTTTCAAAGTGATACGATGAACTCTACCTTCTATTGCTGGTGATTTAAATTTGAAAATATACGGTGAATCATCCTGCTGAACACTGTTGGACAAGCTTGCTGCAGCAGTGGAGCCTTTCATTGGCGACTCATCAACATATGATATGGAATCAGATGGTTTGATGTCGACATTGAATGATTGAAACTCTGACGGAGTAACATCTGGTGCATTCGCAGCTGCACTTTCCTCCATGAAGGAATCTGAATGCACAGATTCATTGTCATCTAAAGATGTCCAGAATTTATTCCAAGCTGGGCCCTCGCTACCTTGTTCCGGTGCATCAAGAGACAGTGGCAAGTCTTTAGCTTCCAATTGTTTAATCTGGGTCAATGTAGCATAAGTCAATTTCAAAACATCCACCATACCAATGATATCTTCATCAGTATTTACAACTGGCAAGTTCAAATAATGTCCATCAAACATTTTCCTCAACGCTTCTTGAATCGGTAAATTGGCATACGCGACATCTGGATGAGATGTCATTACCCTCACTACCGAACAGTTTTTGGGATCCAATCCAGCTGCAATAACTCTTAAAACAACATCCTTTGAAGTGAATATCCCTGTGACCTCCTGGTTAGTATCTTTGACCAAAACTGCAGTAGTTTTGTTCTCTTTCATCAAAACAGTAGCTTCGTAAACTGACGTTTTAACACTAACATATATCGGTTCAGTGGTTTCATCAAGAACATTATCCAATGTGGGGCCATTCATTTTATTTTTCAATGTTTCAAAGTATTGAAACACATGTGGAGGTTGATCTTGTACTCCAATCTCATTATGAACGGAAGTCCATGCTTCATATAATGTTTTTGACTGAGCATGCATTCTTTCCAATTTTTCCATTTGTTGTGCATAACATTTGGTTATATCCAAAACACCAACAATTTGGTTATCATTGTCCAATACTGGCAAATGTCTAAACCCTCTTTCCACCATTAAATTCAATGCCTCAGACGCTGGGTTATTTGCATTGGCACAGATTGGATCCGCAGTCATGATTTGGTCAATAGTGACTGAATTTGCTGTTAACCCTGATCCAACGATACGAAATGCCAAATCTTTGGCAGTGAAAATACCCAAAAGTTCGCCAATATCATTGACCACCAACACACAGTTTTCACGGGTTGCTGTCATCATTTGTGAAACTTCATGCACGGTGGCAGTGGTTTTGCAAATAATGGGGTCACTTGGCTTTAATGACAAGACAGTACCAGGGATTGCCTTTTTATATCTGGTTATTCTACTACCGTTTTTCTTTTTTTTGCTCAAGTCGTGTTCGATTCTCCTCCTTATAGCCTCATCTCTCTTTGATTGTCTTTTTCTTAGATCCAGTTGGTGGTAATTGGACGATGTGGTAGTTAAAGATGGCGATGATTTTTGTGGTGATAAGTTATGTGATTGCATTGTGAACATAGACTCGACGGTGTAGCTTTGAATAAGGTAAGGGTATACGAGTGTTGAGATTCTATAGTCCTGTGCAAGTGCTAACTTTTTCAGTAATTAGCTTAGTTGGAGTAATCTCTTGAGAGTGGTGACTGATACGTACAAGGTTCTTTTTGTTATGAGATCAAATCCAAATGCAGTAATTCAAAAATAGTTACACAAAACAAAAGAAAGAAACGCCCAATGTAGTAAGATGGGGCTCATGGGTGAAATACATCTGGAGGCGGCAGATACACTCTTCCAAGAGTAGTCAATGGTCTCCGGGTGTCTCATAAGACGTGTTATTTAGTCTTCAAGAGAGTCTTGGCGTATATTGGTGCGTCTCTCAGACAATGTAGTTGTCTCAACGTTTGATGTGATACTCTGACGCTATCAACACCGAAAAATATTTTTTGCTTTCAATCTCCTCGGTAGAAACACAACAGGCTATTCCAATGACATTATTTGAGCTAACAGAGAAGATAAAAACAACCATTGACAAATCCCTGTATGATCCGCGTGAAAAGGCGAAACTACTTCAACTGGAGTACATCGGTTACAAGGAGTTGATAACTTTCTATCAAGAATGTCATCCAACGCCATCTCTTTTGTCATTGATCAAACAAACAAAACTATATATACCTCCATATGAGACATTCAAACAACCAAAAACCAAAGAGTACATGCGAATGATGGAAAGACTACGTCTTGAAGCACAAGAAGCCGAGTACAAGAAGTTGATTAATCCCGCACCTCAACATTCAACCTTGTATGATACCTCTAATCAAGAATATATATCACCAGTGCAAGCTCACAAGGAATTGAAAAACCAGTTGACTACTATTGTCAATGTTTTCATAAGTGTTGGTAGTGTTTCATATGCCGTATGGTATTGGACTGCATCCAGTTGGGGTTTGAAAGATAGCTATCGTGTATTGTTGACGGTATTTTTTGGATTATTGGTATTGGTTGCTGAAGTTGTGGTGTATATGGGATACTTGAATAAAGTGGAGGAAGCTAGACTGAGGGAGTATAACAAGAAGGAAGTCAAGAAAGTAATCAAGTCATACAATGTGGTGATGGATTGACACAATTGCAATGAAGGAGAGAAGTATTACACCACAACACCACACTACACCACATTAAAGGGAGAACAAGGGAGGGTGTTTTTTTTTTGCAACACACATACACACACACACACACACTTTGATTCTACTTACTACCGTCAACAAACCAACTCTCACTTAGTGTATTGAATAATGAGAGCATACTCCCAATCCTTCTCAATCAACTCGATTGTTGCATTTGTATTGAAATTCCCATTGATTGGGTACATTATTGGGTTTTTTGAGGATTATGTGATTTCAATTGTTAGAACAGGTCCTGTCCCCAAACACGTTGCCATGATCATGGATGGTAATAGGACTTATGCCAAGAAGCATAGATTACCCTTGAAGGAGGGCCACTTTGCTGGTGCAAATGCTTTAGTCAAGGTATGTTTTTGCAAATGAGTACGAGTCATTTGATATTGTTACTAACTTTGACTCTCTTCAAAGGTTCTCGAATGTTGTTACAAAGTTGGTATCGAACAGGTTACAATCTATGCGTTCTCCTTGGAAAACTTCAACAGAACTAAAGAAGAAGTAGACACTCTATTTGGCTTGCTTCGTGATAAATTGAAGATGATTTCTGATTATGAGGATTCATATGCTCGATACAACAAGGTTAGGATTAGAGTCATTGGTAATAGAGGTTTCATTCCACCAGATATCTTGAAAGATTTAGAATACATTGAAGAAGTTACCAAAAACAAGTCGTCCAAAAAAATTCTCAATGTGTGCTTTCCTTATACTGCCAGGGATGAGATTACTCATGCTGTTAGATCAGTTGCCAAGAAGAGGATCGAAGGTAAGATTACCAGTCGTGATGTAATCGACGCCAAAGTTATTGAATCCAATTTTTATTTTGGTGATGATGTACCACCTTTGGACATTTTGATTCGTACTAGTGGTCATACCAGATTGAGTGATTTCTTGTTGTGGCAATGCAACACTAATTGCACTATTGAATTCCCCGATGTTTTGTGGCCTGATTTTGGTTTCATTAGCATCATGTCAATCTTGTTCAAATGGAGTTACTACAAAACTTTACAATTGGAAGAGGAGGCAATTAGAGGTAAAGAACCACAAGTGCAGGATACAATCTCAACTGTGTTGTTGAAGGAGTTGCCACAACCCCCACCAGTTGCAACCGTCACTCAGAATTAATCAATGGTTCTGTAATCAAAATTGGTTTTTTCAATTGCTATTTACATAATCTAAGAATACAAGTCCTAAGCCTCTTGTTCTGCTTTTTGCTCCAATCTCTCAAGCTCTTTCAACAATTTAGAAAACTCCTTTTGCTTTTCATACTCATCTCTTGATTCATTAAGGTATACATTCTTGGCCTGAAAATCACTTTGTCTCAAAACAATGGCATTGGGGTTCCTTTCACTGCTCCACCTCTTATTAACAACTTTTTCAACTTCATAATATAACGAAAGCAAATCATGACTACAACTAATGACATAATCATTCAATTCAAATCCTAAATTGGATTGCAATTGCTTAACAAACGCAAACCTCAATTTCAAATCATGTAAATCAATAGACTCATAATCATTAAGCTCTATGTCAGTATCAGTTCCCGTTACATCTTTATAAGTTTGATTCACGACGTTTTGTAACTTGGCTTTATCATCATAAAACAGTTCCAAATCTTTAGCATGTAAAAACTTGACATTCTTCCAATCACGTACTTTGAACTCGGGCTTCACTTTATTCTGTTGTTTCTTTGCCAAATACTGAGGAGAATTTTCACGAGTTAAATGAGTAATCTTGGTGAGTTCTTTATCTATATAGTCATCTTGTTTTTCAATTATATCGGATCGTTTCTGTTGACTGGTTATTTTCGATTTCTTGTTGCCGAATAAATCACCAAACCATGAGTTAGAAACGGCGGATGTGGACAAGGGTCGACTGGACGTGAGGATACGTTTCGATAGCATACGTGTCGGTGAAATATTGGGATATACGAATCTTTATACTGAAAGTTGAAAAAAAAAAAAAAAAAAAAAAAAACTTGAAAAAACTGAAGAAAGTATTTTCACGACATCGAATTTAATTGTCGCGACACTACAAACGAATCCTTCCGACATCATTATTCATTAAATATTAGCTCCACTTATAAACCTAGATAATCTTCTTTTTCTTCATAAAGGCAACAGTAAAGAGCAATAGCGTAAAGTATAAACCAACTCCAACTCCTACTTGCTGTGTGAAGTCGTTAGAAGCTACTTGTTTAGCGCTCTCATGCCTATTGGGCACTTCAAATGCTTCAACCTGTCGTTTAAACTCACCATTAGAACTATCACTGTTACTATTGCTACCTCCAGATGTGGTTTGTGGAGCAGTTGTCGTATACACTGATGTTGAGTATACTTCAGTTGGGATCGTCGTCTGATGAGGTGATGAATCTGATGCTGACCCAGTTGGGTCAGATGTAGCAGATGTAACAGTAACTTCACCAATATCACACCATCCTTTAACTGGAATGCAATTGAAATACTTGCACCACTTGCAATTTTCAGACAGGTCGTAATTATCATTAAAGAAATTTTTGCAAAGAAGGGCAAAATAAACAATAATCAATGCCAACGCAACAACTCTAGCTCCACACCAAAGTAAAAATGGAATTTGCAACTTGTCTTCATATGCATACATCGGGTTCCAGTTATTGACAAATTGTTGCCACGTGGTTGGGTCTCGTGAGTATGTGATTATACCATCCTTATATACCCAAAATGGATCCTTGAGTAACAAGACTGCTGTGAGTATACCCATGGCGAATCCTCCCAAGTGACTAAAATTGTCAAGTCCTGGAAGTAAACCCAACACCAAGGATATGATAATTTCACAAATCATGAAAAAAATGAACAATTTGTAATGAGTGGTGCCATACATGTTGGTATTTTTCCTTCCCGCGTAGATAAACAAGATTATGTTTGTAGCCACTATGCCAAAAAGGGCACCAGAAGCACCAGTTGAAGCTATTCCTTGAGGAGTGAAATTGGCACCAAGAAGAAACCCAGATATACCACTAACAATGTAGATGATTGCATATTTCAAGATCCCGATATTTCTTTCAATTGAAGCGCCCATTGTCAATTGTAACAACAAATTGAATATAATGTGAAGAAACCCGGCATGAAGGAAAATAGGAATGAAAATTCGATACCATTGATTAGGAGCATATTTTGTTCCATCGTCATATGTCGGTAACCCTGATAATCCACATAATTCACTCAATGAGCAAGTAAATGTATCCTCTGATGTGGAATTTGCACAAGGAAACAAAATTGTTGTATCATCAGTGATTCCCGTGATTCGATGCATACAGGGTACATAACGTGCGCCCATATTTATAAACAAGTATGTCGATGGACCCAACATTGGATTGAAGTATGGTTTAGTTTGAAACCCTGATCCCGTAAGTATAGCCATTTTGATTAATTCAACAATAAACACAATAACCTGTATTAGTGTTACAACCATGGTGAAATAAGGTAATCTAGTGTAATGGAAACGTGGTTTGCTTCGAAGTGTACGAAGTCGATTTCGTTCATTACGTTTCATCTTTTTCTCCAAATCATATTCTGGGCCCCTTTTTTTATGGTGTGGGACTGCTGCTAATTCCTCATCATTTACTACAAATGGGTTTGCTGTAGCTGTTGATCGTTCAGGTAAATCTGTAGAGCTTTGGTGGTAGGCATTTTCAATAAATGGGTTTCGATAATTACCATATTGTTCCAGTTGTCGATCCGTTGGCTGGCGGGAAAAATCAGACAATTCATAGTCATTTGTTTGGCTTGATTCCTGTTTTTCAAGTTTTGATGGAACATTTGTATCTAGTAGTGTACGCAGCAGTGACTGATATGGGTGGGTTTGTGGGTGGGGGGAGCTATATGTTGGCAACAATGGTAGAGGAAGCGAATGCTGCAGACTCTGGCCTTCGTTAATGTTTAAAAGGGGGAGTTGTGACAGAGAGCTGCGATAAGGATGTGATGAAGTGTTTGTATGAACTGGTGGAGGTTGTAGGTGATCAAAACTATCATCACTCAGTTCTTCGACTGGGTACTGATGTCGTTTTGGGTAATAACTATCGTAGCTGCTAGATGCTCCGTTCATGGTAGATGATCACCTGTAAAATAAAGTTTAATCAAATTGCGATAAAAACTGAAGATGTAGTAAGGGGAAATAGTGAGTTGAAACAAGGCTGAGTTTTGTGATGCTTTCCTGAATACACACACACACACAGTAAGACCAGTCCTCGTAGCGAATGTGTTTCTATTTGTGTGGAGTGATCCAGTTGTTTGACTGTGAAATAAAGTAGGTTGAATGATCAATAACAAGGGGGGCGAGTCTATTAAAGTAAAGTTTATTAATGGTCTTACTTCTCTCTCTCTCACTCTACACGTCCTCGAGTAAAAAAAAAAAGGAAATTTTGTCGTGTGGTTTGTACCAATTGTTTTCTGTTTTAACACAAAAACAAAACAAATATGTAACACACGAAAAGAAATTGTTAAAAATAGAAAAATTATGGTAGTGCGCCAAAGTACAAAACTCACTCACCCCCCTTACATACATACTTACTTACTTACTTACTTACTTATATATAACCATCAATACTAAGCCTCATACAAGGTACACTTTCAACGGGTGTTGAGAAGCTTATAGTTTCTAACTAAATGACAAAGACTGTTTTTGCCTCACGCCATAGCATCTACCCATAGCCGTCTCGTTGTTTTGAGAGAGTTCCATCTGCAATACATATGTAGCAATAAGCACGTCTGCATTATCTGGTATCACAAAACGTTCTCGTGAATGGTCTCGGAAGAACTATTGTGTATGCTGATCGAGGAGTTGAAAAAGGCGTGGAAAGCTTCTGTAGATGACCTTCATTGGCATCAATGTACATCTTTTACGCTCATTTATGTTGCATGACGTAATGACGGTTGTTTGCTAATTTCAATACTACGCTTTTACACATTAGAGTCGTTGCTGTCTTTAGAGTGAGCTCTCGGTCCTTATAATGAATGACTGCAGGGCAGTTCTACTGAGAAGAACCTGGAAGTCTGCATTGCTCTATCTGCAAATTCAACCGACATTTTCTTGCTCACTGAAAATTTGCATCAACTTTAAAGTAAATATGTATCCAATCACTTTTTATTTTTTAGCAATTAAAATATAGAAAATCTAAATTCTCGTAGCAAAGATGGAGACTTTTGTTACGTCTTGAGTAATATTGAATAGACACAGTATATTACAAGGGTGCACTACAAAACGTATACTTCTGACATCAACCACTGGTGCCAATTGAGAACTGGTTATTTAACGACACTTGACACTTATTATTTGAGCCACAGTTTCTGAATGTAAGCATGTTAATTTCGCAGGTGTTCAATTAAAGTAGAGCGATTGCATCATCATAACGAAAGAGTTTTATGAGTCAAGATAAGCTCACTTTGTCTCAGCTATACACTCCACAGTTCCCCCACAATTTAGTTGCGGATTGATATGACAAGATGCATCAAGCAATTCGTAGTTGTATTTGCTACCACCAGTTGGGTCAACTGTGCTAATTCCGCAAATCCACCACACATACAAAGTCTATCAAACGAAAAAAACCAAATGGACGTCAACAACATCCTTCCTGTGAGTTTGTTGTGGCTGCAGCTAAAATTAACAAATCACAATATGTGTTTTAAATAAGTCATCAAGTGAAAAGTTAAACGCTTCGGGTGGGACCTCACGCCGGCCGAAGTTGCATGCTAACGCAAATAGATTGTTTTGAATACGTTGCCATTGTTTGTCCTCACGCTTTATCTCGCACCCACATATTTTACTTTTACACACACGAGCCACAGTTTTTTGCAACCGAAGAAAAAAAAAGAAAAACAAATCTCACCCACAATTTCACACAATAAGAAACACAATTACAGTGCTTTGCTTATGTGAACCGACCCATGTGCATAACCCACACCGGCCTCCCGGGTCCCGGATGGGGAATTGTGCCATTGTCCTGTGAAAGATAAACACACACACTTAGATGTCCTCAGATTTTGTGGTTGTATATATCGCCTAAATTTGTGTGTTTATAGTATGCATGAAATACGAATAACATATATACGGATAAACGGTTTGCAGAGGGGCGTGGGGGGGGGGGGGGGTTATACAATGCAAGTGTGCTCCACTCTATATAAAAGGTTGCATCAATCTCCCAGATCTTTCCATTGAGTTTATTTTTCCTGCAAGTGAAGCTAGCTAGTCTAAAGATCTGTTACATCTATTATCGCTGGCGATAAAGAGACAATAAAAAGCTATTAGTCATAAATAATTTTTTCACTATGGCTTCTTCAGATACAGCAGTCAAGTTGTTAAACCAAGCTTCCGGTTATGGAGTCCTAGTTGGTGTTGGTGGAGGATTCGCCCTTGGTATGATTCTAGTCACTTTTTTCTTGCGGAAATATTTAAAAGAAGACAACACCAGTACTGAAACATTTTCAGTAGCAAATAGATCGGTGGGGACATTACTTAGTGCATCAGCGGTATATTCGAGTTGGAGTTGGGCTACTGAGTTGTTGTGGTGTACAACAATGGTTTACAATTATGGTATTCAAAGTTCATACTATTACATGTCGGGTTTAGCTGTACAAATTGCCGTGATGGCCATGGTGGGGATCCATGCCAAAAAAAAGATCCCCAAGGCTCATACATCATTGGAGATTATTGAATTGAGGTATGGTAAATCAGCACATATTTTGTACATGTTTCTTTGTCTTACAAACAACTTGTTGTCGTGTTCAAGTATGATTTTGGGAGCAGCTGGTGCTATTTCAATAATTGCTGGTAATTTGCACATTGTTGCTGCAACGATATTGACGATTTTTTCAGTCTTGTGTTACTCGATATATGGTGGGTTGAAAGCTACGTTTTTGACGGATTTCGCTCACACTTTGATCTTGTTGATTGTATTGTGTTATTTAAACACGGCGGTGTTGACCAATGTAGGCGGTTTGGATGCATTGTATGATGCATTGGCAAATTTTGGTGGAACTAGAGAGATTCCCGGAAATTATGCAAATAGTGTTATTACTGGCAAATCACAAGGTGCTATCATATTTGGATTGATTTTGACTGCTGGTAATTTTGGTTTATCAGTAATGGATAGCTCCTTTTGGCAAAAGACATTTTCAGCATCGCCAAGAGCCACTGTACCAGCTTATTTAACTGCTGCTGTTTTGATTGCATCCAATGTATGGCCCTTGGGTGCCATTATTGGTGGTGCTGCAATTGTATTGGAAAGCTCACCGAAATTCCCCACTTATCCACGCAAAATGACTCAATATGAAGTTGATTCTGGATTTGCATTGCCCTATGCATTGATGGCTACGTTGGGCAAAGGGGCCGTTGGTGGATTATTGTTGATTGTTTATCTTGCTGTAACATCAACGGTGTCGGCGCAAATGGTTTCAGTTTCTTCAATCTTGACTTTTGACATTTACAAGAAGTACATCAATACCAATGCTCATAACAAGTCATTAATTCTTGTGTCACATGTTGGATGCATTATTTTCACTTTTGGAGCTGCGGGGTTTTCCATCATGTTGCACTATGTTGGTGTTAACATGACGTGGTTTGGGTATTTCTACCCCTTGATTATTTGTCCTGGTGTTATTCCTTTGATATTGTCAATAACTTGGGACCGTCAAAATTGGTATGCTGCTTTTATTTCACCAATATTGGGCATCGTTTTTGGGTTTATTGTGTGGACTACCACTGCTTATAAGCTAAGTGGTGCTGTGAATATCACCACATTGGGTGGCCAATTGCCGGCGTTATATGGTGCATTAACTGCTTTGTTTTTGCCAGGAATTTCAAGTATAATTATCTCATTGGTGTATCCGAAAAAGTTTGATTGGAGTGTATTGCAACAAGCACATCTTTTAGTTGATGAAGATGTGTCAAGTGAAAATTCAGGTGACGATGTTGACGAGGAGAAACAGGAAATTGCCAACTCTGATAAAGGTGACAACATTGAAGGAATTGATGATGGTCATCATCATAACAAGGAGGATGTTGAAGTCCAAGTTGATTCTGATCAATCATCATCTTCAAACAATTTAGAATCACAAACAACCATTGCTGGTGTTGAACAATTGACACCAAAGCAGCTAGATTTCTGGATCAAGATTGCCACTGGTGCTGCCATATTCATATTGTTGATCAATTGGGTCTTGTGGCCGTTGCCTTTGTACCGAGACTGGATTTTCAGTAGAGCCTATTTCAAGGGGTATGTAACTGTTGGATTAATGTGGTTGTATGCCACTTTGCTAATCATTGGTATTGGTCCATTGATTTCAGGAAGACACACAATCGCTTTGATTGCAAGGAATGTTTATCGTGATTATATAAAGAGATGGTAAAGAGATGGTAAAGAGGTGGTAAAGAGTATAGAAGCTTCATAACCAAAAGAATAAAGTATCCAATAATATCTCTGAATATAAATTGAGAAAAAAAAAAACAAAACAGTACCAATAAATTGAGAAAGAACAGAACGAAAGGGGAATTTCAAATGTAGCGATTTTATTGTCATTCATCATGCATCAATCAATTTGACATAATTCGATGGACAAATACCAACTTGTCCATTGACTCTTCTTGCTTGCCACCATTTTCCGTCTATATCGTCAACCTCTAGAATCTCATCCTTGACAAAACTAATCTCATTGATATCATCTGGATTGGCATCATAACTGTACAATGCCTTTGCCTTGTATCTAAAAGTGATACCTGTACCTGTTCCTGTTCCAGTACCAGTTCCAGTTCCAGTACCTGTACCAGTGGACGTATCATTATAATAGGGCGTTGGTTTAGCACCGAGTAAATCACGTACTCCATTGCTGCTATTATAAGTACCAACTTGGTTTGGTGCAAGTGGTGCCGAACCTGTAGCTTGTGTGGGACGCAAGGAGCCACTAGTTGGTTGCGATGACAATCTATTATTATTGTTGTTATCACCAAGCATATTAGTAGATCCTTGGTTCGACAACCTTCTTGACGTTGTTGAAGGTAAGTTGGTACTTGATCCAAATCGTTTAAATTCTTGAGTTGTTCCAAGATCATCTTCGTATGATTCATTTTTAAGTGCTGGAGAACGACCCAATTGTTCATGAGCATGGTTTCTGTAACTAAAACTATCAATAAATTGGTTTGTGGGCGATTCGGGATGTCCTCCAAAGTACAAAATCCAAATCAAGTTTAAAATACTCAGCAAGATACAACCAGCAGCACAACACAAATTGCCTGATGAATTTGAATTATAAATCAAATTATTGGTTGAGTTTGTACTGTAAATAAATGCAATACTAACCAATCCAACCAATGTGAATTTGTAAAGTTCAATATTGTTATTAATGTATAGCAAGCAAATGATGAAAATAATACAAATTTGATAAGCAATGCCCCACCATGTGAAATGAGGAAACTCACTCTGTGTAGATGCTGCAGCACCTCCTAGTGAGACTATCCATGACATCAATCCAAATGAAATAGTGGCCATGGCGAATGGATCGCCCGTGAGATTAGATATCCTGAATCCCATAACGAGTGGTTAGAATGGGAGAAACTTGATGTTTAAATGATAGTTGGCGAAAAGAAGAAAGGAAGGTTTTTGTATTTTGTTTATTGTTTTTCTTTAAATTTTTTTTTTTCCACCCAAGTGTGAGAAAGAAGGTGACTAATAGTAACGTGATGGTGAAAGTTGATGGTGAAAGTTGATGGTGAAAGTTGATGATGATGATGATGATGACAGTGAGCACAATGATCTAGATCTCCTCCACCAGTGTCTTGAATCTGTCTTTTTAAAGAACAAAAATAAAAAAATAAAAAAAAAAAAAAATTAATAAATATATATATATATATATATATATACATATATACAAAAAGGAGAAAAACAATAAGGGAGAGAGAGAGAGAGAGAGAGAGAGAGAGAATTAAAAAAATTTCTTTCCTGTTTGTCTAAATTGGGTTTCTTGTTCTTTAACAAAAAAAAAATAAAAAAATAAAAAAAAAAAGAACAAAGCGTGTTTTATTATTACTATTACTATTACTATTACTATTACTATTACTATTACAATTACTATTACTATCAGTATTACTATTACTATATTAGTGTTAGTATTACTATTGTTATGGTTATTATTGTTATGGTTTTTTTTTTACTATAGGGTTTGTGCTGTTTAGATTTTTAGTGTGGACTGGGGTGGTCGTGTACAGATCGCACAGTAAGAAGAAGAAGAAGAAGAAGAAGACGAAAAAATGGTGTCACTTGATTTTGTGTGTCGAATAATACACGACTTCTCTCTATATAAAAGGAAGAGGCACATTGGTACATCAAAATGATAAACATAGTGTGGTTGTTTTTAGTTGAAAGGGTTTGTTTTTTTTCTTTCCCACAGTGACAGGACGTAGCTGACGACAACGTGCTATCACAGGCTTCGGGAGCCATAGCGATAATTGTTCTTCTCTTTTTTGTTTTTCTTTTTATTTTCAAGGAAACAGTGGCTACTCAGTGTTACGAGTTATGAAGATAAATTTCGAATTGATCTCGCCGTGCTATTGTATGCCAACTGAAAGGGGGATGTGGGATCTGCACCAAAAAGGGAATGTGACACTTTTAGTCCAAGAGTTTGTATAACCCTCTGTTTTGCGTCCGATATCTCTCTGCTTCTCCCGTCATATTAGAGCTAGAGCTAGAGCTAGAGCTAAAGCTAGAGCTAGAGCTATCACGCTTGTCGGAGTTGTAACACCAAAAGAGTAAGTCTAGAACTTTCGTATATTTCGCAACGTTTCCTAATCTTTTTGTGCTTTATCCGTTGGTTTCTACCAACAACTCCGGCTACATATTCAACGGGATCAGTTCGACTTTTGCCGAGCTACTATGTAGCTGTTAGTGATACCAATTTAAATTAAATAGGCTCGATATGTAAGCTGATACCACCGGGGAGGTGGTGGTTTTGCCCTTCACGGAGAACTCTTAATAAACCTCATTGAATTTCGCACAACCCTCTGTGGCTAACCTAACCTGAAACACCGGCAAACACTCATTCGTAACCGGAAAAGGTTGAGCGCATGATTCTGTCTGATGTGTTAGAACCCGTTTCTTTGCGTCCTTTTGAGTTGGCAGCCAGTTTGAGAAAAAAGAGACAAAAGAAAGAAAAAAAAATTATTAAAGCGTTTATAAACACACATACATCCGAAGAACTTATCCCGTACACAGCACATTGAATTGCTGTTACTTCAAGAGCAACACTGAGCCATGGCCTCAGAGCACAAGTCATTACTTACAGTAGTTGAAGATTTGACTCGTGTGAGGTCCGATATTTCTCAACTTCAAGCCACATTCAAAAAGGTTTTGGAAACAACCCCCAGTTGGGAGCGATACCTTTACCTACTAGATCTAGTCAATACCAATGGACAAAACCTGGGAGAGACACTTGTTGCCATTGAAAGACTAAAAACTGTTATATTCTTACCACAGACAAAGGTTGCAGTACGATTGAAACAATTGTATGAACTGGGGAAATTGCCAGTATTGACAACATTGTCAAGAATCAATTTCAAGGCAACTGTGCAAGAGGAAGCTAAACTAAAGTTGGATATTCTTGCGTTTCTCAACCTAGATCCTACTGACAAGCCGAGAGAAATAACTAATGGAAAAGTTGGCCACGCGTCAAATTGGAAACCTATTGATTACTATTCTTATCCCCCTACTCTACCTTTGATAATCGATCAGTTGTTGCTTCTTCGAGTTACTACTGATAAATCGTATCGACAATTGGTGGATTATGTTGAGCTGACATCAGCAAAGTACACAAATACTCATAATGGAAAATTGATTATACAAGGTAGAGCAATTCTCAAGTATTTATTATTGGAAATGTTGGATGACAAATTCCCCAACTTATTCGAACAAGATTTGAAATTTATACTCGAACGATTAATGTCTTTGGAGCTACTAGCGAAGTTTGCTTTTGCATATAATTTGGTTGATCCTGTCAAGTACAATTTATCAGATGATAGTAATGATGAGCAAAATCTCGAAATATGTGGAGGAATTTTTGCTGCTTACGTGGCTGGGCTTCAAGTGGAGCATTATGAACTAGAGAAAATCAAAGTATGGTTGAACAAATTGTATAAACCAATGGTGATGGATTTATTTGCTTCATCCCAGCCAGTGGCTAATGTCGCCATGGTTGAGTTTCAAACATTGGTGAAGCTGATTACGTGTTTGAATAGATTGCCGTATGAAAATATCCAATATGATGCTGTTGAAGTGAAAACCGACCAAATTGTTGCCCAGATTAAAGTGGAGGGGGAAATACTCGGAACAGGAGTATCCTCGACAAGCTTTGAAGAGGCGAGAGATCGAGCCGCCTTTGACATGATGGACACAAAAGACAAGTTAATTAAACTTTTCTCCATTGTCAAGCATAGCTATTTACAAAATCGGTCCGATTACGTTTCTGAAACAATTAGATCAGAAGTCTTGTCCCCACAAATGATTGAGCCCGACATGGATTTGCCACCAAGTCGTCCTTCTGTTCCTTTTGGCTATGAATACCCACAAATGAATAAACCAAAAACTCACTCTCCTCATATGATTCACCCGTTACCAGGACAAGTGCCAAGAAATGATCCGTATCCTGAGCCTTCACAACAAATGACTAGGTACGGGCAGAGTCCACCAAAACCACAGCCACTACTACCACTACCACCGCCACCACAACATCAACAACAACAACAACATCATCATCATCATCAGCAGCAGCAGCAGCAGCAATTAGCTTACCCTCACCATTCAAACCAAGATTCACCATATGCTCTTCGATCCTCATCACCACCCAATGTGTATCAACAATTACAAAATCCCACAAACAACTATCCATCTCAATACGACTACGGATTCACTGAACCGGTTCCCCATATCCCCTTGTCACACAAAGATATTGACAAGCAAGCGAAAACCGCATTACACGCAATGTTGAAAGCTAGACACTCGAATGAATATGAAGTAACGCAACGTGAAACTGAATACAAGACCATTGCATTTTACACCAAGTGTTTTGTTGATGGTCACGTTTTGGGAACTGGTGTAGATACGAATAAGAAGAATTCGTCACAAAAGGCAGCCATGGCGGCTTTGAGCAATACGACAGCATTGAGGCGATTAGGCATATTAGATTGAAATGTGTGGGATGAAAAGTGTGTATAGATGAGACCATGAGCTTAGAGTAACATCGGGTAAAGACCCCATCGATACTTTATGTACAAAGTGAATCCATGAATCCATTTATTAACATCGAAAGAAGAACTGAAATTAATATATATATATATACACAGCGACAATTTCTCTAATTAAACTGAATCCCCCTCGGATAACGCAACTTGATTGAACCTCAATTATCGTAAATTTCCTGAATTGTTCTCTTTTTCCCATTCAGTTGAGATTGTGATTGTGATTGTGACTCTTGTGATGATTGATCTAGTTGTGCAGCATGGCCTTGCAAATTCCCATTCGATGAAGCACCACCATTATTGGTCACTCCAGTGAACGATGGCATTGGACTCAGTACTGAACCGGGTGTATTTGCACTTTTCAAGAAATCATCGACATTAAACTGACCGTCGTCATCGTAATCGGGATAGCCTGATAATTGTGGAGTTTGACCCATGTGAATGTCACCACCATTGATGTTTGGCATAGGTGGAGGGGGTATTTGATACGGTAGTTGCTGCTGTCTCTGTTGGTGTTGTTGTTGTTGTTGTTGTTGTTGTTGTTGTTGTTGCTGCTGTTGTTGTGAAAGCTTCTCAATCCAATCTTGTACTTGCTCAATCGATTGATCAGAGCTTCGAATCTGATTTTCAAGTTGGTCAATATCGGATCCATGATGAGAACCACCGTTAGCAGCGTCAACAGCTGCACCATTCACCAAATCTTGATGAAGTCTGCTTGTATTCGCCGATGATTGGCGACGTCTCTTAATAGACTCGATCGACGGTGAAGAGTAAGACTTGACGGTGTTTGGTCTGTTTGTAAGCAATAATCTCGGCCTCCTGACAAATTGTTGCTCTTCTTGTGCATCCAAAGAATCTCTTTGGTCAGATGAAGCTGATGACGGAGACTGGTATGTAGGGTTTTGTACTCCTTCTGGTTGTTGCTGAGAACGACGGTATGGAATATCAGTGTATTGACCATTGGCACCCGACGATGGCGTTTGTGGTTTGATTGTAGAATCATTGTATACAGCAGCTAGAAATTTGAGAATCTTGTTGATGGTGCGACCCTGCTGTTGGGTTCTTTCTCGGTTGATATAGTTTGCATTATACATATTTTGATTATCTTGTCGTATGCGCAAAATCTCTTCATTCAATCTTGTTTGATTTTGCTTAATTTGACTCAACTCGGAAAGTATAAAACTCAAATCGCCAGTGGGCATGGTATGGGGGTCAGTCAATTGTTGCGATTCATCTTGTGATACTGACTTGTTTCTGACAATGTTATCGAGCAAATCTTCTCTACCACGTATAAAATTTGGGTTTTCAAATTGCCAAACTTCATCGCCACCGCTCTTGTCGTCATTCGGGTACAAAGTACCATTGGTTATATCTTGAACCTTGTGGAATCCATACATGTTCAATTGTCTAACGAAACTCGACATGTTTTGATGCTTAAAATAAGCAGGAAGAATCTTGTGCACAAAATCCTCACGTTTAAACACTTGGAAAGTTCTTCCATCTTCGTTCCAGCGAATATATTCGTCATTAGATTTATCATTGACCATAGACCATATCTTCATCACAAAAGCAGGTCTAGTTTTGGGTCCATTGTTTTCCTTTCTCTTTTTGGATGGTTGTGATGGTGGTTGTGGCTTTATTTCTGGCAACAACAGATCTCCCAAATCAAGCTTGAATGGGGTAGACACTGGCATAGTCAAAGGTTTAAGCTCAGGGAAAGTCATGTCATCAAAATCAATATGGTTCTTGTTGAATAGTTGCAAGTCGTGACCCTTTTGTTCCGAGTCTTGAGCTGTTTGGTCTGCAGGAGAATCATCAGTGACAAACAAGGGACTTTGACCAGTTGATGGTGGAAACCTGCGTTGAGGAGTTTGTTGAAGTAGGTCAAGTTGATCATTTTGAGATGGAATCTGTAAGTTACGTGGCAGTTGTTGCTGTTGATGCAGTGCTTGTGATGGTGAGTTTTTCAATTCTTCAATCTTCATTGAATTGTCATCAAAACCATACAACAGTTGATGGCTCAACAACGGAGTGAGGCTTTGAGGAATATCCGCATAATGTGGCAGTTGTGGCAGTTGCTGCTGTTGCAAATGGTCTTGTGGAAATAACGGATGATTGGCCATAGCGTTAATGTTCATCATGGTGTGAGCCTTTTTTTTTTTCTTTTTTCTTTGCGTCTAGACCGGTTTATAATGTGATGACGATGATGATAATTTGACAGTGTCGTGTAATTTTAAAATATGACACTGGAAAATCTTACTAAAGTCGGCTAGCGGCAATCAATCAATTGTACAATGAAATAATTCGAGTTAGGTTCAATTGGTTATAGTTCAATGTTGATGTTGTAATTGAGGTGAGTTGTTGAGAAATGTGAATTGAACTTTGGAATTTTCTGGGGGGTATTTATATTCTTTGTCAACAATAGTTGAGTAGGTTATATGAAATGGCACATAAACACAGCCAGTCACTCATAAACAATAGAATCTTGGATTCTTTTAAATCCAATGCAAGTTTCTTCCTCTCTCTCTTTCCCCTGGTAGCGATGAGAAGTTTGTGTTATCCATTAATTCCAGGCGTGGCTATTTTGAGTGAGGTTAAGCAAATAGCCATTTTTCTTTTTAGCAGCAAACAAAGGAAAAGAAGGATTATGCACAATATTGACGGTTTAACCGCCAAATAGAAATGAGAGTTTATTTAATGCGTTTTGTACTTTGTTGCATGCGCAATTTCTTAAAAAAAGTGAGAGAACATAATTCACTCGGAAATCTACAAAAAAAGGAATTAAAATATATTGAGGAGTTTTTTCTTTTGTTTGCAGTGGAAAAATGGCTATCAGGATCATCAAAAATATACGTGACATACAGCTCGTGGATGGAAAAATGATGGCTATCTACAAGGAGGATTATATTGTCATGACCAAATGTTGAAACCCCTTTGATGATACAGGGTCATCCTCGTGCTCCGTCTTTCAACAATAGATACAATGAGTTTTCAACTTGTACCAAAGCTAAGTTCAGTTCGACGCATGTGTAGCGATAAGATAAGAGCCATGGAATCGGTGTCGACTTACTCATTGTGGAAGTTTGTGCTTCTCTTTTTCATCGTCCATGCTTCCAGGCGCTATCTTTAGACTAAGATAACAACTGTTAGTGCTTGATAGCGACTGGTAAGTTTTCATCCAATTAACGAAGCTATAAAATCTCCTGTAACTGATTATTTCCAATCTTTGTTCGTCTTCTGTGTCACTAATTACGCCAACTTCATGGAAGCCAAATACGATAATTTGCGGATCTAACGCAAACTTTCCATTCGCAATGTGTAGTTTAGTCGTTGCAAATCCCCGCCCTGGGTGTAAGTTAGACAAAATGAACTAACACAAATTTTGACAATGCCCTTTGCGATCGGAGCAATCATACGTTTTTATTCCTGTTGAGTTTGGGGGGCTAGCATAGCAAACCATGGTCCTAATCGAACAAGATTACCATTATTTCTGTATTCTTTTCTCTCTCTCAGATGTCGTGAGTACTTGCCTCTTGTTTGAGATATAGCCAGTTATGCATTTATAATATCATCTTGTGTTTTCCCAAATGAGACAACCTAACTCTTTTATACATCGTGAAAAAACCCTTGTAGTAAACACCAAGATGAGAAATCACCCGACATATACACTTTGTGCAATGTTGGGCTCATAACCTTTTACACTTATTACCTCCCCAAAGGTTGCTTTCTATTCCAAACTTTTTTTAATATATCGAATAAAAGGGGAGGCTGAGGAGAACTGAATGCACTAAAAGAGTTTACTTTAACCCTGAGGGAGTTCATCAACGCACTCCACATTGTGGTAAGCACGAAAGTCTTGTCATCTACGATCCAGCTATTCAAACTTTGATGAAAATGGATTTAAAAGAATAATGATGAGAATCTTCAGATTCTCTCTCTCCCTCCCCTTTTTTAATTTTCTGCAACATAGCAATCACAATTGCAGGGAGTCCTGGAATCAAATTAAGAATCGCAGGTGATCTAAAATGGGCACACCATGCAGGTACTCTCTTTACATATTTTTAACCGCTGTTCATATGAAGCCGATACTTCCTACACCCACTCAGGATCCCCAACATGTGGCTCTAGATTTACAAACGAAATATTCGAAAAAATAAACAAGTGGATGAATTCAAAAACAACTATTTAGTTTGGTGTGATACGTATTTATGCAAGCAGCCGAGAAAGGCGTTAACCGTTTTCCGTTAGCTTAAAGATACAAATCCTTTCTAGGCCAACCCGTAGGTTTAACAACATCCAAACCATAGTTTGGTTGAGGCTTATCGAGTCCTTTAATTTGTAAAGCAAATGGGTTTCTATCCTCATCTTGTTTCAAGTTGGCCAATGTATGGTTCACTTCTCTGTGTTTGGACTCATCAGCTCTGATTCTCAAAATCAAATCTTTGAAACTTGACTCTTCTGATAATGATGGCCAATAATTGACAGCAATTGTAGGGATCAACATGCTTTGAAAGTCTTTAAGCTTGTTCGGATCGTCTAACTCATCAAGCAAGTGGGTGTATGTTCTCACTGCCTCTTCTTCTAAGTACCCAACAAATCTGTGACAGTACTTGGGGTTGGTCAAATAGCAGAAGAAGAACAAGTTGGTGAAAACTCCCTGACCGAGATAAATAATGGTCTTGGTGAACCATGATGGTTGACCAATCTTGATGAATGTAAGCAAATGCATCCTTTCATTGTAAGCCTCATCTTGCAAAGTCTCAATCCATGCTTTATCCCGTTTCAATAATCTTAAGGAATGCAATGTTCTCAAAAATGAGGCAACCGATCCAGGAACACCAGCAATCAGCTCCAAAAAGATCACACGAGTCATCCATTTACCCTCTGTCATCTCATATCTTGTACCTACATACTTGTCAAGTGGCTCACCTTCTTTAGGAACTTTGTAACCAGTAACAAAGTCAAAACAAGCACGACAAAACATAGTTCCGTGGTATGCAATCTTATCACCAATAGTTTCGGGCTTTCTATGCGCAACTTTGACTCTGTAACATCCAGCTTCAGTATAAATAACGTGTGGGTAAGCAGGTTTAGTTAAAAACTTTTGATCATCATGCTTTTCAATATCTGATTCATTGTAAATCTTGGTTGCAATATCAAAAATGCCGTTTCGTTGTGGGACTGTACGTGGTTCTTCAATTGCTTGTTTGTTCAATGGTAAATTCGAGTCATCATGATGTGTTGGAGTTTGATTGGTGATTGTTTGCGGTTTCGTGGTTGTGTTTGACACAAATCGAATTGTGGGGGTATATAAGCGTGATGTGACTTGTGGAAGTCTATAACGAGTAGCAGTTCTCAACATTGGATAGATTTGGTTGATTGGGAACAGACCATGATAGATGGAAGTACAACGTAGATGCTATTCAAGGGGAGAGGGATATTTATATCATTCTAATTTTGTTTCTTGTATATAGTTTGGAATTCTGAGGAATAAAAAGAAAGATCGATGGGAAAGCTTTTGTGCAACCTCCCATACAAAAAACATGCACCATGCACTCCGAGAGAATTCCTAGTTGAGGTGTTTTGGAGGAAGAAAATGCCTCATAATACAGTCTGATTGTTATCTATAAGGCTTACATTATATTATATAGATAGCTATGCGTGATCTAATTCTCGAAGTCTAAAGAAGAAAGGTATAATGATTGCTTTGAGTAAGCACGTGATGCGGCGTAAAGCCAACCTCTAAAGGGGTTACGGCTGGCCATTCCAGCACAAGAGCTCAATTGAGAAGTTGTATTCGCATACCAAATCTCTACTTGATGGACTGGGTACACCACCATTTGGCTCTATAATTCAGTAGTTCGGTTTATGCGACGTGATGGAAACATCGTGGTCAGCTTTGGAGCATAATAATTATGATTGCAAAAATATCATTCGAGAGTGTAGGTGGTTCAAAGTTGGCAAATCACAAGGGTACACTCACACATACTTAACTATTGTTGAAGCTCTACACCTACAGATAAAAGATCAAAAAGTCTACCCATTTGAATTAAACCACTATTTAGTTTTGGTACTATGTACTGAAGAAAGCAAAAGGTGGAGGTTGAGATTAGTATATGTTGCCTAAAGGTATAATTCCTTCTTCTCCCAACCGGTAGGTCTAACAACATCCAAACCATAGTTTGGTTGAGGCTTATCGAGTCCTTTAATTTGTAAAGCAAATGGGTTTCTATCCTCATCTTGTTTCAAGTTGGCCAATGTATGGTTCACTTCTCTGTGTTTGGACTCATCAGCTCTGATTCTCAAAATCAAATCTTTGAAACTCGAATCTTTTGATAACGATGACCAATAATTGACGGCAATTGTAGGAATCTGTATTTTCTGGAAACCATTGAGTTTATTGGGGTCTTCCATTTCATCAAGCAAGTGGGTGTATGTTCTCACTGCCTCTTCTTCTAAGTACCCAACAAATCTGTGACAGTACTTTGGATTGGCTAAGTAACAGAAGAAGAACAAGTTGGTGAAAACTCCCTGACCGAGATAAATGATGGTCTTGGTGAACCATGATGGTTGACCAATTTTCATAAAAGTTAACAAATGCATCCTTTCATTGTAAGCCTCATCTTGCAAAGTCTCAATCCAAGCCTTGTCTCTCCTCAACAATCTCAATGAATGCAATGTTCTCAAAAACGAAGCAACTGACCCTGGAACACCAGCAACCAGCTCCAAGAAAATAACCCGAGTCAACCATTTACCCTCTGTCATCTCGTACCTGGTACCTTTGTACTTATCAAGTGACTCGCCTTCTTTGGGAACTTTGTAACCGGTAACAAAGTCAAAGCATCCACGACAGAACTTAATTCCATGATACGCAATCTTGTCCCCAAAAGTTCTTGGCTCTCTATGAGCAACCTCGACTTTCTGACATCCAGCTTCAGTGAAACCAACATGTGGATAAGCAGGCTTGGTCAAAAACTTCACATCATCGTGCTTTTCAATATCTGAGGCATTGTAAATCTTTGTTGCAATATCAAAAATACCGTTTCTTTGGGGAACAGTACCTGGTGTTTGTTCTGACTGTTTATCTAGTGGTAAATTGGAGTCATTATGATGTGTCTGGATTTGAGTACTGATTGTCCGAGGTTTCGTGGTTGTGCTTGACACGAATCGAATTGCGGGGATGCATAAATGTGAGGTAGCTTGTGGAAGTCTATAACAAGTAGCTGTTTTCAACATTGGTAATAATAGTTGTGTAGTATAGTTTCCACATGAAAATCAATTCCACTGGATGGTATTCTCAACGGTGGTATTTATAGTTTGAATTCCAAACATATTCCACGCCAAAGATTTGTAGAATTTCACTTCAATTATCCCACCAAGCACCACGAGCAGCCAAATAGCTTCGTAGTTTATGTTGTCTGTAGAAAGGGTGTACCTTGTTAGTCACAACATTCTCTCCGTTCATTTCCGACGGGAGAATGGTGTAATACTCAATGAAAGGGCCACACGGAGCATACTTCCTGGTTGCAAAAACCCAATTGTGTCACTGCATTTGACCAATCAACAAGCGTTTATTGCAAACACGGCAGAACACAGTCATAGCGAGCACCAGTACCCTGTTTCTGCCTCATGTAAAGATGGATATAATCGGGTGAAAGTAAGTAAAATGGTTTTCAACAAATACAGAGTGAGCAATTTCCTATACCCAATAGGGTACAAAACATGACCCTAATACTTAGACAAGACATTTCTTTGATTTGTGAGTAGTCATCTTTTAGCTGCAACCGTTATAACACTTGCTTGTAGTGTATATGTGTGGCTGCAACATTAATAAGCTACTTAAGGTCTTGCTTCCACCTTGATGGATAAATCCGGGAGGTACATTGAAAAATTTAGGAGAAATAAGGAAGAACAGGAGAAACGTAAATGCAGAATGTTAGTGTTTACTCGTATAATCATAGTATACGGAGTTTAATCTCCATAAACTCCTAATATGAATGATCAAAAATAGTAAGTACAAGAAACCACTCGGAACAACAAACAATATATGCAGGACAACTTAAAAAGTTCTCTCCGGAATTAGCATTGCCGCGTAATTATTATTTTTCGTCTCGGAGAAAAGGGGTAGTGCACGGGTGGTAAGAAAATTGGAAACTTATCAATAAAAGGGTGGTGATGATTCAACGGAGTAGACTATGTGATGACTCTAAATAGCTCGGGAAGAAAGATACTAGCTAGAAGTGACACGGTTGGGGAATATGGTTTTGCATTTGCGATGTTTGTCAGATACAGAACGAAGCCAAGCTAACCACATGAGTTGGACGAACGGAGCCAATGCGTAGTAGGTGCGACTTTGCTTTAGTCTAATTGATCGAGACTCTACGCACAAACTTAATTAAAGATACGTGTCGTTGTCTCTAGATTCCAACATTTTTTCACACGTGCTGAGTGTTTAGCCAATATCGCAAAAGCTAATTACGCGACACTGCTTTCACGACATTGAAGTAGGCGCAGTAAAATTCAATTCAAACTCGAGCGGATCACAACTCTTTCCCCCACGCAAAGTTTATGTTCCGCTTTTCGTGCATGAGAGATTAGGGCGATGGTTTCGGCGACTTTTACACTCTGATTGTTGTCGCTTCATATAATCAATCACATATTATAGGAGACGAACACTACGTTATCATTAAACTAGCTATGGGTAAATATGTACCAAACACAAGCAACGGTAAAAGTTGAAAATTAATTTGACGCGTAAATCTATCCCTTTTCTCACATAAAAATCCTTCGCGCACATTCCCCCAAATTCCCTCACATTCCTTTGACTTCACTGTTAAAGATTATTGTTCGCAAAATTTTTTTTTTCCTTTTTGCGCCTATCACTTTGCTCACTTTGGTGCATATACGGAAAAACAAAGGCGCTGAAGAAATTGCGTTTTCAAAAAAAAAAATTTCTTTGAATAGTTTCCATATTGCAATCTATTTGACCATAAGCCAACTATCATTTACTCCTTGAGTATTGCTCAGTCTTGTCAGTAACTATTGGGTGCATACACAGCGGTTTAGTTATTAGCCTATCCCCACCTTTCCGTATTTGAAATTTTTCATTTGTATATTCACGTTGACGCTGTTTCCAAATCATATGTCATCCGGAGTGATCGACTTGGGCGTACGACAGCCAAACAATACCGATAGCAACCACAAAAATACCACTTCCAGCACGACCCCTACCACTTCTTCCACGACCGTCGTCCACAACAATAAACGAATTTATAGTAAAGGTGGTTGTCGAGAGTGTAAGAGACGTAAAATTAAATGTGATGAAGGAAAACCCGCATGCTGGCAATGTCTTCGATTGAAAAAAGACTGCTCATACCCGGCACTAGGAGAAAAGGTACTAAGAGTTCTGAAGAGACAACAAAAGTTACAAGCTGGTGAGTCCTTGTTGCCTGACAAAGAGCGTAGGGTGTATGAGATACTGAAAGTGCCATATATTGCCACCAACCCGTTGTCGGTAATGTCGAATCAAGATCCAACGGCGGGAAGAAAGCTTTTGTATAATATGGATGCGTCGAGGCCAACACCCAGCACTCACGAATCTGCCCATCAAGGATTTAATGAGGTTCAAGGCAACTCACATCTTACGCCTTCATTTCAACAGCAAGCGCAGTTTAGGCCACTAGAAGGATATTCTCATGAGCAACTATCGACAAATGTTGGAAATACACAGCCGCAATCACAGCTTCCACCTATACAGAGATTAAATCAGCCAAATTTGCCAAGATTGTACCAAAGTCGCATCTTGCCGATTCAACAAAATGGGTCCGATTCAACTCCGTTCAAATACTATTTTCGACAGGATCCTCTTGGAGTTGTACTACCACCACCACAAACGTCAAGTCATACAAGCTCTACGATGAACGGTCCAATGTTTCCTAATCAGATTAGGTACGATTTACCACCACGGCCCGTTGAAAGGCCATCAAGCAGTGCTGGTGTTGCCAATTTGTTGAACAAACCGGAGGATGCTGAAGTTGCGACTCTGAACATGCAAGCGTTACTGTCACAAGAACCAACCAATACTGATCAGAGAGAAGAAACACCAGTTGTGCCTCCAACAACAAATGATTCACAAGCTGCCATACCGACTCCTTCATCAAATGAGAGAGCGCCTTTTCCTGAATCTCCTGCTGTTCTTGGTGATGATGTAATGTTTGAAGTAAGTGATTTGAACTTGTTAGCTACAGATCTTCAGAATATGGTCAATGGAATTCTCTACAACATCACCCCTGAATTCAAGGAAAAAGCCAAAGATATGGAAACCACTGAGGTCAAGAAAACCATGCCCTTTGTTGACAAGTTGAAAAAACATGTTCCTGTAGATTTTATCAAGTTAGAGAATGCTCAAAACCAAAGTTATTTGCAAGAATTTTATTACAATACATCAAGCATTGTGTTGCCATTTGCATCATATGACAAGGAAAAACAGGTATACTTTAATCCTGCTAGAGATTTGTTATTGACCACTGCGGCAAATACTGACTACGTATTAGCTGCGGTATTGGCAAACGGAGCCCATTCAAGATTCATGAAAACGAGAAACATTGAGGATGAGGAGTTTTACTATTTGTATTTGAACGATTGTCTCAAGTTGTTACATCCAGCAATTGCCGACAATACGAAATTGTCGGCAAAGATTGAAAGCGTGTTGTTGACCGTGCTTTTGCTAACCGCTACTAATGCAGCTGACCCAAAGCAGGATTGGCGTCCTCATTTACGCGGTGCGAAAGATTTGCTTATGAAGAGCTTTAGCAAAAATGCAAAACCATCCAAAGTATTTGTGTTTTGTAAGGCATGGTTTGTTACATTGGAAGTGTTGGCGGGAATCAGTTCAAGAAAAGGTGGTACATTGCAAACGGAGGAGGAAATGGATGAATTGTTCAACTTGAATACTGAATATGATGTCAAAGTGTTGAAGGATCTTGGTGTTATATTGGACAATGGGTTCAATATCATGGGTGGGTATCATCACGACAGTTATGCTGCATTCCGTGAGTTGATCAAAATTTTGAATAGAAAGAGAAATGGCACATTAGATGTGAAGGATTCTATTCAGTATGTGGAATTATTTGCCAAATTTGAAACTTTGCGAGAGATTGATTTTGTCAAAGATCCAACGGCTGCAGGTGGTATCCTAGTTGAAGATGTTGGGAATAGTGTCATTTCATGGGCGGATGCAAGCCATAAGCTGTACATGGCAGCTTCAATGATTACTCTTCTTCAGACTTGTTTTGATGAATCGTATACCTCGCCTCAAATTCAAGTGTTGACAAACCATATTATTGATTTAATTTCCTTTGTTATGAACTATGTCCCATTTGCTCCATCATCGAAATATAAAGCTGATAATGGACTCATGATGCTCCAATGGCCTGTATTAATTGCGGGTCAAAACTTGGAAACAAGCGATGACAAGGAGAAGGAAATTGTTCGTGTGTTTTTTGAGCATCTGTCGAGGGTCGGATCAGGAGGTGCGTTAATTGCTTTGAATCGCATCAAGAGAGTATGGAAGAAAAGATCAGACCCGACTTTTGTCGATGATGGTTATGAATCAGAGGATCTACTTTCATATTAGACTGATGAACGAATTTTGATTTTTTTTGTGTGTATATTTTGTATTAGTTTATTTTATCCAATTCGAGAAGTTCGAACCAATTGATCAGTCCACCTGCCAATTGTAGGCGCTTATTGAATGTGGTGGAGTTGTTAACCTCATTGGTAACTACTTTAACCGGAGACCAATCAAACTCACCCTGTAATTTCATGTTCTGCAAATGCCATCCAATCCGTTCCGCTCCAAGCCTAGCGCCATCTAAATTGGCTGATGTTGGACCCACTTGCAATGCGGCGTTCTTACCAACCACATACAAGGGAACCTCTTTGTTCCACTGCAAATTGTCGGTGATGGCAGGATATCCGTTACAGACGTCAATTGGATATTGATCAAGCATGGTTTGTAAAAAGGGCAAAGATTCAATGTCAGCTTGAATGCCTGTGGCATAGTAGATGTAGTCAATTTCATCCACAGCTGTAACACAGCTACCTTTGTTCTGAAAAAGCAATCTCCAAGATCCATTTTCCCACTCTTGTGCCACAACTTGGGTTTCAGTCAACCAATTCAAACGGCCACTTTTGACATGTTGTTTTAGTTTCTTGTAATACTCGGGATTAATTGATCCACCTTCTCTTGCATCATTCATCATCTCATATTTCAACTCATTAGTGTCTAGATTGTAGAAACTGGACTTTTTCACATTTTTGTACTTGGCAACCCAATCAAGGTGAAAATCAAAATGTTTAATCTTGATGCCTGAGCGGAACAAGAGGTGAGCTTTATTCACTGTGGAATCGAGACATGCAACATGAGCCAACTGCGCAGATGTCAAACCACCACCTACGATGACAATATTTTTGCGCTTGGGGTTGGCAAAGTACTGTGGATCAAGGAATTTGACCTGGTCAGAAAACAAATGGGTTGTGTGACACGAACCATGGGGAAATTGTGCTTTGGGGCATATTGAAAGGGGGTAATTTATCTTGCCTTTATGTCCACTTGCAACAACCGCAAATTTGCAGCCGTAAACTTTACCCGACATTGTACGAATGACAAATCCCTTGCCTAATTCCTCGCCAGATTGAATTAACTTGTGCTCCATGTCCACGACTTCGTCATTCACAATGCTATTCTTTAATCCATATCGCTCAACGACTTCCTCACAATAATCATGAAATAAATTTGTCCCTGGCCTATAATAATCCTTCCAATCACGCATATTAATGTCGACTATACCATCATTCAGCTTCAACTTTTGCTTGATCCTTTTTTGCTTGTGCTTGGAAAATTCTTTACCAACCACATTTGTTATCTCCATCAACTCGTTTTCTCTGCGATTCAAATGTGCAAAGCTAATCATACCATCAATATCACTGGGATCAACGTGGAAAAACATTGGCGATCTTAGATACGGAATCTGGCATGCATTGAATTGAGCGTCCCATTGAGCCATGAAATTATCACCCCTAGCATCAATGACAAGCAAATCTTCGGGACGAAACTTGTCGTAGTCAAATCTATAGTTACTCTTGACCTTGTTTGTCTTGTGTCCGCGTTGCTTCAACCAGTGGAAACGTTGGTGTTCATCTTCAGTGAATAGAGAGCCGGGATGATTTTCGCATAACCGCGATGCTACTGCCAAACCACAAGTGCCGCCACCGATTATGATACCTTCACGAAAATTGTCAAGATCAATCTGCACTGGTTCGTCATCACACATAGCAAATAATACGGTGTCTAATTTGTCACATTGCAAGTTCGCCCCTTTAATAACTCTTTTATAGTGGTTGCAAAAAAATAGTAAAAAAAAAAAGTGAGCGATAACCACTATACCCATAACCACTTTAGTGACAAAAAGTTAATTTCCAACATATACTGCACCTACACAGATTATCTATTTGGTAAATCCTTCTATCAAAGCAAGTAATCCAACAGCGCCAGGATCAGGAATTCCACCCTCAGCCTCAAATTCCTTCTTGTCAACATAACTAGCTCTACCAAATGAGGCTTCTAAATTCTTAGTCTCTTCGCACCCTTTACGAGCAGCTTCTACAGCTTTCAGTAAGTCCTTTGTCTTTTGAAATGTATCAACAAATGGTTGCAAAGTATCAACCAACGTTCTTCCACCAACTCTAGCCTTTGTGTACTTGAATAATCCATCATGTAATGCTTTATAAAAAGCGTCAGCAACAGTGTCAATATCAACTTTCTCAGCATTTTTTAAATGTTGAACCAATGCGGTTAGGAAAATGGAGTAAATGCCGCCTGATGTTCCACCCATACTATCTTCTACAAACTCTGTGATTTGCGAAAGTGAAGCAACTGGATCCGACAAATGCTCTTTGAATTGTGAATCGTCCTTGAGTGCTTTGAGAATTGCATTGGCACCAGCTGCCAAAGTCTCACCACAATCCCCATCTCCAACCAATGTGTCGTAGTGAGTTATTTTTGGCTCTTCTTTCAATAGCTTCTCCAAACTATTCTTTAAATGTTCTTCAAAAAATTTTGCATCGACCGATAGCTTAGAGGTCAACAATTTCTGATGTTTCATTGGTGACTCAACAAATCTATTCGGTTGATCATCCCAATACTTTGAGGCATACGATTTAGGTTTCCAACCTGGTGCATTTGTAGGGGTATCCAAAAGCCTCAAGACATCCTCAGCCGAATAAGTAAGCTTTTTCTTGTCAATGTTGCTCAAATTTAATAATGTAATTGAAAACCCTGGGGAGTTGAATGAAGTGACAAAATCGCTCACCAAAATCCTCTTTGGCTTCTTCTTCAATGGTATGTTTTGCAATACATGCTCAGTGATAGCGTACAACTCGAATGAGGATGTACCACCAATGTTGTTCACGAGAAGAACAAAGTCATCATCTGAATCGAATTCGACATAATGACGATCTTTATCTTCTGGCGATAACAATTTATGAAGCATGTCTTTGATCAAATCATCCAATTTAGGAATAGGCTTGATCTTTGTTCCAGGTTCATTGTGGATTCCCAAACCCAATTCAACCTCATCACTTGCATTGAACTCGATATCTTGCTCAGCTTTACCGGGAACGGAAGTACGGTCCAAACTTGCAGCCAAAGTTACTAAATTGTCATTCACTGCATGGCCCAAGTTAGCCACTGTTTCCAAATCAGCTTTCTCCTCTGTTGATGCTGCCCCCAAAACTTTGTGGACCACGGCAGTTCCTGCTAAGCCTCTTCTTCCAACCATCTTGTTTTGCTCTCTTCCAACTGCAACATCGTCACTAACAGCCACCAATTCTACTTTGTACCCTTCGCTCTTTGCTCTCTCTGCCACCAACCCAAAATGTAAAACATCGCCAGTATAGTTTTTCACAACTATAATGGTCCCCTTGTCTTTATTTGACTTTTTCTTTATAGCAGCCATAATTTGTTTAGTTGATGGCGATGCGAATATATGTCCACTCACAGCTGCATCTAATAAGTTTTCCCCCACGTATCCGCCGTGCAATGGTTCGTGGCCAGCACCACCGCCACTAATAACGGTAATTTTCTTCGATGTATCGGAATGTGGATTGAAAACGACTTTCTCATCAGTTATAAGCCCAACATAGGGATTGGAAGCTACTAATCCTTTAAGTTGGGTCAATACAATATCCTCGTTGTTGTTGTATTTCCAGTGCTTTGCAATTGTCATTTGTTGAGTAAATTAATGAGTAAAGAAAAAGGGTAAAAACTTACAATTGCTTGAAATATACTTTTGGCAAATGGGTTTTTCGGAGCTTCAGAAAGCGGCGCACCACACTATGACATCATAAAGATGATTGTGCAAACACTAAAAAATCCAAAATTATGTCGTAGAGCTTACCTCTTTGCCAACAGCGATAATACTCTACACGAAGCAATTGCTCACTCGATATAGAATAGAATCATATATATCAGAGAATGGCCCCTTTCCGATTATCTCGGTGCGCACAGCACAAGGGAGTCAAGAGAAAGACCAAAACCAACGACTAAACGTCGTGGTCAACGCACAATCAAAGATCACGAACTCGCCTGTCAAAGCCACTTCAGGTTTAGCTTTGCCACCTGTAACTACCATTTATAGGTGCACTTGGAAGCCCATTGCCCATATCACTCAACAATAACATGATCCTCTTTCACGTGAGTGGAAAAAAATAAAGTACAAACTCACATCATAACAAAATCTTCACCCCCAATTACCAAATGCCACCACGAAGGTTCAAGAGGGATTACAGCCGTGGCGGATGTCGAGAGTGCAAACGCCGAAAAATCAAATGCAATGAAGCTAAACCGCACTGTTCTGAATGCACGCGATTGGGAAAAGATTGTTCATACCCGGCCATTGGTGAAAGAGTGATACGAGGTTCGAAAAAGGATATTGACGAAAAGAAGGAGCCATCTCCTATAGAGGAGTCGCGAGAGAAAAGAATGTGGACAGTTCAAATGTATATGGGACCAGATCAACCAAAAAAGAAGTTGAAGTGGGACAAGGTATCGTCCGTGACAAGCCCAGAAGAGGCCCAACTCAATGAAGAAAATTTGAATAGGGAGCACGGCAACATCGTACAAAGTGTTCTGGATGAAGCTCACGAGGGCACCAACGTGTTACAGAACTATCAGTATGAAGAGCCAATGAACTCTGGAAATGAGTCAAAGGAGATTTCAAACTTGCAAGATTTCGTTCCGCCACCTTCTTTGCTTCTGGGTGATGTTTACAGTAACGATGATTTGAATTTGTTGGCTGCGGATTTAAACAATATTGTCAACGATATCATGTTTAGCTCAAACATGGCTCAGCCAGGTGACTACCAGTTTGACTTTTTCAATCCCGAATTGGAGACATCTCCTTATTTGGATGATATACCCAAAAACATTCCCTATGACTATATCAAATTGAAAACAGAAGACGAACGGCGATATATGACCCAATTTTACGAAGACTTTGCTCTGCAAATCTTGCCATTTGGTGCCGATTATAAAGACGGTGGGTCGTTGTACAGCAATCCCTTTCGTGATGTGATAATGAAATACGCGGCAAGGGAAACCTATCTTCTTGCAGCTGTGTTATCACAAGGTGCGCGATTAGCGTCAGAGTTACAACATGATGATAAAAGCCGTCAACGTGATATGGATAACTGCGGGAACTATTTATCAACATGTTTGAAATTGCTTGGCCCAGCATTGAGTAGAAACCAAGAAAAGCAAGTGAAGGGTGATTTGACATCAAACATTGAAAGTATATTAGTCACGGTTTTGTTGTTGGCGTCGTCTAGTGCCAGTAATGAAAGACAGAGTTGGCGCCCGCATTTGAAGGGAGCTAAAGACATCATCATCAAAGCCACAAGCAGCAAAATACGACTGTCCCCCACCTTGATTGTATGTAAATTGTGGTTTGCGGATTTTGAGATCTTAGCAGGATTGAGCTCCGAATTGGGTGGCACTCTTCGAACAAGGGAGGAGATGGATGTTGTGCTAAACTTTGACGACCCCTACGAGCAATCTGTATTGAGAGAATTTGGCCTTATTCAGGACGATGGATTTTGTATAGTAATGGGGTATCACATCGATTGTCTTGAGTATTTCAAAGAGATTTCCGATTTCTTGAGGCGTAAAAGAAACAATCCGGAGGAAGTGCCCGATCCACTCCAATGTGCAAAATTGATTGGTGGATTTCACAGCCAATATAACAAAACGTTTGCGACGATAGAGACAAGGCCCGATGGACAAACTGCTCATGGCTTATTGTGCGACATGGTACACAAATCGAACGGAAAGCTAGAGATGATTTCGTGGTTGGATATATCACAACAAGCATATTCTCTTGCTGGTTTGGTTACCGTATTTACAAGGATGTTGGAAATTCCGGTCAATTCTCCCCAAGTAAAAGGTTTAGTTGCCAGGTTAGTTTTCTTGGTCAAAGTGTTTGAAAATTCTATATCCCAAGGGAACATGCGGTTTCCATTCGCTTTTCTGATGATACAGTGGCCGATGTCTATTGCTGGGTTTGCGTGCACTGAAACATCAGAGCATTCAGTGACTGAAAACTTTTTCAGGTTATGTTACAGGACAGGTTCTTATAGTGCAAACTTGACATTGGAAAGGATCAAAAAAGTGTGGGAGCTACGAGTTGCCGGAAAGTCAGTGGACAACGTTGATGATGGGGTCAATGTAGATAGAATAACGTACTAAATGTGAATAGACGAAGAAGTGAAACCGACTATGGTGCCAAAGATAATCCCTGTAATGGATTCGTATTTCGCAAGAAAATGATTCCGTATACGGTAGCGACAATATCTCCTAATTTGAAACTTCTGTCAAATTGAATGCGCGGTTAACTAAACGACACACAATCATCTAACCATCAAACTTCCAACAGATGATTGCATAATGCTGCCAAAAAGGTTCAAAAGACATTACAGTCGAGGAGGGTGTCGAGAATGTAAACGTCGAAAAATAAAATGTGATGAATCAAAACCATTTTGTTCAGAATGTTCAAGATTGGGCAAGGAATGTTCTTATCCTCAAATTGGCGAAAAAGTAGCCCGTGGATCGAATAAAGAAGAAGGGACGAAAAAGCCTCGATTCGCGAAGCGAGTATGGAATTTCCAAATGTATATGGGCCCTCAAAATCCTGGTAAAAAGATGAAGTGGGACAATGCCTTCCTTGAAGAGAGTGGTAACGAAGTTGCACCTTCTAAAGAGAATAACACCACACAAAAGGGGAAAAGCAGTTTTCAGAACGTAAACGAAGATTTGGTATCCACCCAAATTCAGCACGACCCCAATGGTACCACCCAAATTCAGCACGACCCCAATGGCACCACCCATCTGATTGATTCAGTTAGCCCTTCCTCACTATGGTCAGGAGATCTTTACAATGGTGAAGATCTCAACTTGTTGGCAACCGATTTGAACAATCTTGTCAATGACCTTATGTTCAACACAAAAATGGCCCCAGTGGCAGGTAATGTTCAAGAGTTTGCTGATCCTGAGGCAGAAGTAACGTCTTGTTTGTACGATTTGCCTGAAATTGTTCCTGAGGGCTATATGATTGGAAAAACAGATGACGAAAGGCGATACATGAGGCAGTTTTGTGAGCGATTCACCCTTCAAAAATTGCCCTTTGGTGTTGATAATCGTAACCCTGGTTCTTACAGAAACGCCATTAGAGAAGTTGTTATGCAGCATGCAGTGAAAGAGCCATTTTTGCTTGCAGCGGTACTATCACAGGGAGCGTATTCAGCTTCGGAATTTCCGATCAATGAAAAACAGCGCCAGCATGATTTGGAAAATTGTGGGAAATATTTGACAAACTGCTTACAATTGTTGGTGCCTGCATTAAGTCAGACTCATAAAAAACAAGTGAAGGGAGATTTAACATCCAATATTGAAAATATATTACTCACGGTTCTATCAATCGCGATGTCTAATGCGTGTAATGAGAAGCAAGGTTGGCGACCACACTTGGAAGGGGCAAAAGAAATCATCATGAAGGCTACCAATAGCAAAATACGACTGTCCCCCACATTAATTGTATGTAAATTATGGTTTGCGGATTTTGAGATCTTAGCAGGATTGAGCTCCGAATTAGGTGGTACTCTTCGAACAAAAGAGCAAATGGACTTGGTGTTCAACTTTGATCCTTACGAGCAACTGGTTTTAAAGGATTATGGGTTGATACAAGACAATGGCTTCTGTGTCGTTACAGGATATCATATCGGATGTCTCGAATATTTAAGAGAACTTTGTGATTTACTACGACGAAAAAAACGCAACTCTAATGAGCAGTCCGATCCGTTCGAGTACATGCATTTGATCAGCGGTTTGTACACCCAGTATCAGATTCGGTTTGCTCGTGTGGAAACAACACCCGATGGCCCGGTGTTGCGGGGCCCCTTGTGCGATAAAGTACTAAAGTCAGATGGCAAGTTTGAAACTGTATCTTGGATGGATCTTTCACAGCAGGCGTTTACGTTAGCTGGGTTGATTACTGTCTTCACGCGATTGTTAAACAATCCTTACGACGCAACACACTTGAAGGGGCTAGTCACAAAAGTGGTTGATTTGATCAAAGTGTTTCAAAATTGTAAACCGGTCGATAGTACACGGTTTCCGGTTGCATTTCTGATGATACAATGGCCAATATCAGTTGCAGGGTGGGCATGTACTGAACCACTGCAGTATTCTGTTATTGAAAACTTTTTCGAAATGTGTTCCCAAACGGGATCAAATAGTGCAAATATGGCTCTAGAACGTATCAAAAAAGTTTGGGAGCTACGAGATACAGGAGAGACTGTAGATGGCGTTGATGGAGTAAAGGTGGATATCATATCGTACTGACATAAGTAGTGTGTATAATGAAGACAATATAAACATTCTGTGTTGAAAACGGGAAGTCTTAGCGATGGTCCCGAAAAAGAAAAAGAAAAGAACGCACGAAAAATCATCACGCATCAAAATCCCTTTTTGCTGAAAAGGACCATTGGAGTAACCCACAGAGACGGGGGGAAAAAAAATTAACCAAGTGTGCTGCCAAAAACAAAAAATGTCCAGCTTGTTGTCATCTCCACTGTCAGTCCAACAAAGCAGTTCCAAACGTTCCAAAACTTTTACTGGTTGCTTTACATGTCGTACAAGGAAGATCAAATGTGACTTGAAGAAACCACTGTGTGATAAGTGCATTAAGGCTAAGTTGACATGTGCCGGCTACGATGTCAAGCTTCGATGGTCGCAACCGATTCAATTCGCACCATTGAACAATGGGGATGTAAAAGGTTTGCAAGTCAAGTTCCCCACGTATGAAGATGGAGATGGTCAGGATGATGCAGACATCGATGCTGGTATTGATGCACCTGAGTATTTTCATCGACGATTTGTCGATTTTGTCAAATGGAATGAACCGTATACGACATATGATCAGATGAATCGAGACCTTGCACACTTGCAGAATAACAGATTGACGTCAAGATTGAAACCACGTGGGGATACCAAGATGAAGGGCCCATTTGGTGTTTTTCAAGGAATGGCAAACAAACGTGATGGAGATGAGGTGGAGCCGGTGCAAGAAGTGAAAAAGAGAAGGATTGTTGATGAACGAAATGGATTCTCAGTTGACGAAACATCCGTAGCTTCATCAAGAAATTCAAACAGGAGTAATGGCATTGCCGTGCTTGGTGATGCTCCACCACAGGATCAATTTTGGTTGTCGAATGAGTTGAAGGATGCTGCGTTGGTCACTGCGGCTGCTTTGAATACTCATTTTTTGGACATTATGAACAACTTTGATACCAATGACAATGTGTTGCCGCGATCAAGTAATGAAGGGAACAGTACAGCAAATGATGCCAACTTCAATTTGAATAACCCTGACTTGTTTAATTTGGTATTTCATAACAAGGGTCAAAACTTTAGTAGCATTCAATCAGAACCTGCAAATCCCAACTCAAATATGTCAATGACAAACTTACTAAATCAGCCAGAACATCTTGTCGATCCTATTTACTATTCCAATTTCTCCAACTTTTTTTACAACAATCCGTACCAAATGAATGAAAATTTGGAAATCCAATTACACGCACAATCCACAAGTGCAGATGACACCGAGTATGTTGATGGAGATCATTCTAACGATAGTAAATTGTTGGCTTCAATAATGAAGATTGTACAAAGTCCGCTCAATGTCAACTTTGACTTAACACTACCAACAAGGCAGTCACACGTAGGCATTCCGTTAACTGCATTACAGGTTCAGCCATTGACGCGGTATTTATTAAATTATTATGTGACAGATGTTGCCGATTTAATGACGGTGATACCCCTAACTGAAAACCCTTGGAAGGCGATCTATTTTCCAAGAGCGTTAATGGCGATTGGCGAACTACTGGCTTTAGGTAAAACTTCGATGGCTAAAAATGCATTGTTGAATGCATTGCTAGCAGTTTCTGCATTCAATTTGCAATCAAAATTTCCCAAGAATTCGCAACCAATGCGATTTTATTTGAATTTGGGAATTGCATTGCGTAACCAAGCAAGCTTGTTCGTTAAAAAATTGTTGAATCTGAAGAACGATGTACAATCTGGTATTGAACATTGTGTTACACAAGAAAAGTACAAGGATGTGCTTTGTGCCGTGATGACGATGATTAGTGTTGATTTGGTTTGGGGAACTATGCAAGATACGGGGTTATACATTGCTTGGTGTGGTAAGGTCATTGTTGCCAAAATGGCAATCAAAAAGAAACTTTCGCCAAAGGCAAGGATATTGCATCGTATATTCTCTTCTTTGAAATTGATTCAAGACTCAACATGTTTAAATTTCGAAAGCATTAAGGAGAATTATGAGTCGACGACTGGTATTGGTGGATACGATGTTAATGGAGACAAATTTGGCAATGAGAAAGAACGAAGTAAAGACAGCAACAAAGGAAGAATAGACTTTATTGTCAACAATTCCTTTTCTGACAAAACCAACAGCTCATTTCAAACTACTGATACCACCACATCTCCCCAATTCGTAAACAAAAAGTTGATCAATACCAAAAAGAATGATGAAAATTTTGCCACTGATGCATTGTATGGTTTGCCAAACTCGTTGATTTTGTTATTTAGTGAGACGGTTGAATTATTGAGGATACGAATATACTACACCACGTCGAAAAAGGCTTTGCCTGGTGATTATAAAACCAGAGTTGATGCGTTGAACAAAAAGTTGAATGCGTGGATATTGGATTGGAAATTGTACAAGGGACAACCAATGGTTCCCAATGAGGCTGTCGAAAAGCGAGTAACCCGCAGTGATGACAAACGAAGCACGCCTAGTACCAATCCTGAAGATGATGACAGCACAAGTAAAGAATTCTATTCTCCAATGCATGAAGTCACATACCATCACATCATGTCATTTTATCATGCGCTTGTCATTTATTTTAGTCGATTCATTAAAGATATTTCACCCACCAAATTACAAACTAGAGTTGTGAGAACCCTCAATCACTTGAACTCTATTCAGGATCTTATTGCTAAAGATGAAGCAGCAATTATTCCCTTATTTTGGCAAGGTTTCATAGCCGGGTGTGAAGCACTCTCAACTGATTTACAAATGGGTTTTAAGAAATGGGGTGCTGATATTGCTCAATATTTGGGTTCGTATTGGGGTGCAAGGCAAATCATGTTGGAAGTGTGGCGTAGAAAAAGTTTAAAGGAGGCCAGGGATGATTGGGTCAGTGTTGTCCAGGATTGGGAAATGAACTTGATGTTGAATTAGAGCATAGAGAAAAAATAGGACATTTTTTGTTTTAGTGAGTGTTGGTGGAGAATCGTAGAAGATGAAACTCTTGTAGGCTTTGGTGGCTGGATTGTGACTCGTTATACCAGAACTATAGGAAGAGACAATCGAAAACCAATAAGGCAGTTTTAGACCGCGAGTTTCCCATTGATTTCAAAGGGAGAGAGGCTTTGAGAAATGGAAATTTTCTATGGTTGATGGTCAGTATATGGGGCTGACGAGGCAAAGCGAGCAGTACTGCCAGTTTTATTACGCGTAAGAAAAAGCAATGTTAAAGCCTATGATCAACGATTCTAGAATTAAACACCTCCTTTCGATGCAAGAAAAATAAAATAAAAAAAAAAAAGGAAACTGAACTAGGCTTACGCGTTTATTGTTTTGAAAAACCTTCAAAAACAAAAACAACGCGTCAAAATGTTTGTGTTTGTTTTCTTGTGTGAGAAGCCGCACACGACTAGAAACATACGCTCAATATGCATGAACCTAACCCTTTTCCCCCAACCGGCGTATAACACAATTAACGCCAAACTGAGAGCTATTATGAGTTACTTTTCACTTCCAAAACATAACTTGTACCTGAACGCGTTAAATCTTTCAAATCTCGTTTACATAATTTTACCCAATTAGTCACTCGTGTTTTTTCCTAAGTCAATAAAGGTTTGACAAGGCTTGTAAATGACCAATACTTTGATACTGTAGTACGTTTAGACGATCTGACGCCCTTGACGCCCATTGAGGCTTTTTTGGTTGTTTGTATTTGTTTATTTATTTGTTTTTTCAAGGGTCAACTTCTGGCGTCAAAATACTTCTTCCTTCCCCCCTTTGACGTTTATAATTCGTTTCAAGTTATTACACGGTAATGTTGAATAAAGTATACACCCACATAGCCCAATTGTATACTCATGAAAAAAAAAACTATTATAAATATCCAATGGATTCCAACCTCGAAATAATATTCCTAAGATGTTACCAACCTTTATTCGAGAGTTTCAACATCAAAAGCTAGTCATAAGCCAATACTTCCAACTAACGTTTACATTCGTTTCACATTATACACATTAATACTACACAATGCAATACTCAACTTTATTAATCATTGCTTCAGCATTAGTAGCCAAATCTTATGGTGCAACCACTTCTACTGCTTTGCAAACTGTCACTAATCACCAATCAACTGAAGTCACCATTACTTCATGTTCAAATGAAGCTTGTGTCACTACTTCCAACTCATTAGTTCCATCAATTGCTACAACTACTGTTGAAGGTGTTGAAACTGTCTACACTACTTATTGCCCATTGTCAAGTGAGGAAGCTGGTGAAGTAGCTCCAACTACTTCCCAACCAAGCACTTTAGCCGGTGAATCATCTGCTGCTCCAGGACCATCATCAACTGAAACTGTTGTTACTACTACCGTTCAAGGTGTTGAAACTATCTACACTACTTACTGTCCATTGTCAAGCGAGGAAGCTGCTACTACTGCTCCAGCTGCTGAATCAACCCCAGCTGCTGAATCAACCCCAGCTGCTGAATCAACCCCAGCTGCTGAATCTACTCCAGCTGCTGAATCAACCCCAGCTGCTGCCGAATCCAACCCAAGCACTCTTGCCGGTGAAGCAACCACCCCAGCATCCGAATCAGACCAATACGTTGATGTCACTGTAACTCCAACTGTTTCTTCCACTGAAAACGTTGAGGCCACTGAGACTGCTCAATCAACTTTGTTCACTTCATCAGCTGCTGCTGGAAATTCATCAACTGAAGCTGGTGTTTCCACTTATGAAGCTGGTGCTCAAAGAGTAGCTGTTGGTTTTGCTGCTGTCGCTGGTTTGGCAGCTGCTTTGGTATAAGCCGAGTAGAGTAGAGTCTGGAGAAAAATCTTGATGATGTTTCTGTTATTTTTTTATTGTTTTATAGAGGAGTTGTAATTAACTCGCTTGATGTTTCTGTATACTTAAGGTAATTTTTATAAAAAGGTTCTAATTGAAGAAATAAAAAAGTAGTAATGTGGCGAGATACAGTTTAGCTTTAGTAGTTTCTAGTTTTAAACGTTTATTTTCTCTGGTACTCTAAATCTCAACTTGTTTCCCTGTGCATAAACATGATTCAACATGAATTCAAACTCTCCCTTCAGCAGCAACTCAACATACCGTTTATATAACAACAACGCCGTCCTTGCATCTTCAATAGAATCGTGATTACCTGTTTGCACATCCTGTTTCAACATCACATACGCCAAAAACTTGAGACTCAATTGACGCTTCATATCGGGCTTGTAATATAAATCAGCAGTATCTCTAATTTGACGTTGTGGTACTTGCAAGTTGATGGTACGAAAATCGGTGTAAAGTCCATGACCAATGAAAATGACTCCCAAGTTTAAAAGAAGCCATAGCTTACGATATGCAGTTTGTAAAGTAACCAAGTTTTTCGAGGATTTGTAAAAATTTAAATCATCTTGTTCAATACCACTGAAATTGGTGGTGTAGTCATAAATGGGTTCTGTATGGACAATGTAATCGTCAATAAATGCTTCGCCGTAACGCGGACTGTTGTTATCTCCACGTAAAACTGAGACTCTAGCAAGAGATAATTCTCGTGGTTTAATTAGCTTCTTTGCTCCATTCAAGCTGATTTCCAATTGTTCCGGCTTCATGGTAACAAATTCGGCGTCAATGGCGACCATGGTTCCAACAGTTGGTGCTTCCTGTCGAGTTAGGAGCTTATACTCCTTTTTGTATGATTCTCTAATGGCACCAGCAAAATGATCACGATACAAGATGGAATCGTTGCCTGTGAAGCTCTTCATGTATTCAAATCCTGGCATAGTTGATTCTTGGTAAATGACAATCACTGGTTTTTTCCAAGATGAATTCAAATTGAACACTTCTTCTTTTGGTATTGGAGTCACCAAATAATCATTAAAAAAAATCCATTCATTTTTGACTTTAACAAATGACACTAAATTATGAGCCCCAGTTCTTGATAAGTCATTTTGATGACTGATTTCGCACACGTATCCCAACAACTCATATTTCGTGTACGAACTAGACACTGGCATTGTCGGTTTGAAATTTAATGCGGTATTACCACCAGACTTGACAGCATAAAATTCTGGTACAAGCCATTGCTTCAAATTATTTATGATTTTGAATTCTTCATTAGTTAGATTGACATTGAGAACAAGTACTGGTGGAAGGTGAGTTATACCAGTTCTAATTTCTAATGAATGTGGATACGAGTGTTGATGTTGTTGGCATGGTATAGTCTTGAATTGATTTGTTGAATAATCCAAATAGGTCAATATGTTTACATTTTTGCGAATGTTGAAAATATTGATATCATGTTGGTGCTCACTTTGCTGCAGCTTTTGTGACTTGTTTGAATGAGGGCTCACCAAAATGCTCATTTTATTTAACATGTTACTAGGTGGGGTGATAAGCTCCAATGAAAATAGAGACCCCGACTGTTTATCATAAATGGGGCAAGATTCTCCGTTTCCCTTGATTTCGATTTGATATTTCAATTCAGTGATGTTGAAATTTGAGGAATGTTGACGTTTGAAATCGTGATCTAATCGAGTCAAGAGATAATTATTGAATGATATGATCAACTCTCTAACTTCATGAGCATTCAAATTCATCTGCTCATTCAAATTGACAAGGCCCTTGGCATGCTCATCATGGTTCATCACCGAACTGAAATTCAAAGTCTTGACGTTGCGTGATTTCGCCTTGTACATCATATCGAACAAGTACCCCAACTCATTCAATATAGATGATCCTTGTGGGTTATCTTCATCAATGATAGTCTTGGCATCATTAGGAAGCCATTCGCTGTTTAATGTATTAACAACTTGGTTATAAAACAATGACTGGAAACGATAAACCTGTAGCAAGGAATTGATATACGAGTTATCACTATGATTTTCTAATCCACAATAGTTTTCGGTGCGATTGTAGTACCCAAAATCAAAATCTTTAACCCCAAATTTCGAATACTGAATTTGCAAACGCGAGTAGCATTTGGGGATCTTCAGATCGGATTCAGCTTGGAAGAATGTATCATCAAGTGGTGTTAGTTTATGAGAATCCTTAACGTCATTCTGTTCACTTAAAAACTTGGGTATTTGAGTATCCTTGACGTTGTTTAATGAATAATATGGCTGTTCGATATTTCCGGGACCAAATCTGAGTGAATCATATTTGAAAAATTGATGCGGATGTTGTTCGCTTATTGCGAGAAGTTCTTCATCGATACGTTCTGGCATTTTCGCCGTCTCTTTAACAAATTTCATGTCAATCGGCCAATTAGATAAAAGCAGTTCCTTGTAATATGGCATCCCCACTGAGGACAACGGTACATTTTCATCGATACTAATAAATCCATCATTTTGGTTAATGATATCAGGGCGCTCAATACTTTGTGGGAAGTTGACAATATCTTTGCTCATACCTCCCAAGTAGGTCATTGACCATAAATGTAAGTTCGAAATGCCATCGTTGAACATGAGAAGATCGCCCGAGTCACTAATGTGCAAATCACATAGTTTGGGGATCCTCGAATTGGGTGATTGTGGTGGAATTGCTGTCTCAACTTCTGCATGGTACATATGTACATTAGTCTGATCAAAAAGATCAATAAAATGGAGATGGCCGTGAATTGATGCCACAATAACAATATTTGGCAACTTGGGGTGGAATCTTACTGACGATGCACCCGCAGGGAAAGCCACTGGAGCAACTGCACGCATGGTTCGGATATCGTAGATATTCACCAATGGGTCAATAATGTAGTCTGACGAAGTTTGACTAAAGAAGTGTCTTCTTGGTCTTAATGATGAGCCACATGTAGCAATATAGTTTCCCTTGATGTCCAATCCTGTAATTGCACCATTATGTGCCTCAAAAGTCTTCAAAGATGAATTAGAGATTGGATCAAATAAATTAAGTGATCCGTTGCCTCCTCCAACAGTAAGATACTTTGGTGTACTATTGATGAGACTCACTTTCCCATCATAGTCAAGTTTATCCAACACCGTAGGCTTACTCATATCAAATTTTAACAACCCAGAATCGGTACCCACAGCAATCTCGCTAGATGAATTCCCATTGAATGTCATTGAGTTTAGGTTCACAAAGTCATCTTTACTCTCGCCAAACGAGCCCCCATCAAAGCCAGCTTTGGGAAGTCCTCGTCGATTATTGAATACAAGTTGGTCTCGCAGCAAAGATAAAATTCCATCCTTGTGGGACAAGATTTGCAGTATTGGTTGGTTTACAGAACTTGTTTGGAATTTAGTATATGGATACAATTGAGTATGAAATGGTGATGTAGGTTGACCAAGTGTAACTGATTGTAAATACCCAAGGGAATCACCGCACCAAATTAAATTTTGGACCGTGTCAAACTTGGTGGTAGTGATGATTGGCTGTGAATCACTGTGAAAGCCATTGTTGGGGGTATTGAGTATTGGTATATTCGCTACTTCGCTCCATCCGTCCATCACTAAGCCGCTTGTTGTTGAAATGAGAAGTCGATGATGCTTTGTGAACAATTTTTGTTTATTTCTGGACGTTAAATGTCGTAAACGAGTTTTAGTGTCGCTAATATGGAAAATGCGACATCACATTGCATGTTGGTCTATACACGACTCTAAATTTTGCTCCTTTGGGGACTAAAGAAGGAAATTGAAATAATTATTCGTCGAAATCACCCGACTTGTTTTAAGGTGGAGCCTATTGATGTTCAATATGTCATTGTCGATAGTCAGTGGACCGACTCAGATTTTCTAGGGCTTCTTTCCCCCCTAGAACTTGCAGAGCTATGACCTTTTCAATGCATGGGTATGAACAGTTCATTTGATCGATTAAACTGTTTCCATGAAGGATACATGATCAGTGACAAGTTATCGTCTTGAAAAATCATCAAATTGCAATCAGTTTTGTTGCAACGTTCGATGGTTTTACGAGGTGATTGGCTCTGTTTGAATTGTTTATATGGTGCAGTATTTTTTATGTAATCACGCCTTTGTTTGTTGATTGGGTTGTTTCTATCTAGCGTTGGTCGCGTTTGTCTTGAGATTTGTTAAGGACTTAATGTGCTGTTTTGGAATAATCCCATTGTTTGTTCATATTTGAATAGTATAGCTGGAGCCAAGATTAAGTTAGTTCTATCCAGCTCATTATTGACTTCCAAACCTTATTCGTGGACCCGATCGATAAAGCTCACCAGTGTGTTGGCAAAAGGAGTTTTGGGAGAATCAAGTATGTAATTATAAATGTACAATTGAGGTGTTGTTGTTGTGTGTAACGTTTCCACTTCATAATTGTAGAGTTGACTTTCTTGCTCTTGCCTTCTATGATCTGGCCATATCCGGTTGCAAGCGAGTGCGATATTGTTCGCTACACTTAGTTGGCTGAATTGCCAATTGTAAAAGTGTTATTTTTTTTCTGAATGATTTTTGCAGTCAAACGGCGGGAAAGACGATTGATCTCAATAAATATCACAACTTTTAACAGAGTAAGATAAAGATGAAAAACTTTAAGAGTTGGTTTGAACTACCGTCTAGAAGTCAGACCGGTTATATTCGAGGTAAAGGAATGAGAGGAAGGCGGTTGTGAAAGTTTTTTTATAAATGCATATGATTAGTCGAGTACAAGTATTAGGTGGGGGAAGGTATGCGTGTCCCAATTTCATGTCATTCCTTTGGAAGCATGGAAGGGTGTGTCACACTCCCACTTCGGTTACAAGAATGAGCCATGTCAGTCATTTGTTAATGACTGATGTCACGCATTTTTTTCTACGATAACATATAAGTTAGTCAGTTGTGCATATAATGGAAAGCAATTGATTTTTGCACGTGCCCAGAGATTATAACTGAGTGATAAGAATTTGTATAACACAACACGTACACAAAATGAAGTTATTACATAATATATTATGTAATTGTTTATACTAGTTTTATGTATTGTATTGTGGTTATCATTTTTATATCAGTCACAAGAAACTCACCACGAGGTTTGTAGATATATAAACAAATATACTTACTTCTTTCTTTCATTACTATTATTCCACTACAAACAAACCACTCTTTCGTTACACATTTGCTATTTATATTCAGACGACGCACTATGTACTCATCCACATCATTCACCAACTACTTTTCTTCCCTTCTCGGTGCCACCACCACCACCACAGCCAAAACAGCCGACCCGGCAAAAGAGAAACAACATGACTCAACTCCTATCCCCAAGTCATTTATCATCAGCACGCCCGAAGAGAAAATCATTCGTATTAATATGAAGAGTGTTAGACTCAAAGCTGATGATGGAAACAGCAAGAGCAACGCCAAAGGCAAAGATAATGGAAACAACGGGAAAGACGGAGTGGACACTTCTGCGGGTGCCGCTGAAACCGAAGTCGATGGCGACGATGAGGATTTCATATCGATTAACAAACGCCAATTGACTTATGCCGAAGTAGCTGCAATTGCTGTTAAACTGGGTAGAAAGTAAAAGATTGTTCAGAGTGGTTTTTTGCTAGAGAAATAAACGTAGAGATAAAGCTAAAGTATAATGTTTGTATAATTTGTGAATCAAAAGTATAAACCAGTGCGGAAGTACACCTGTAGATATACGTACTTTATCTTGTTGCTTGCTTTGCTCTTTACTTGAATGTGGTTCAAGACTATTGTGGAAAACGTGGCTGGTTTCTCGGTTAGTCGGATATAAAATCGAGGCGACCCTCTTTCTTACCCCACTTTTTCTATGCAAGTTGATAAGATAAAAGTACGGCATCAAGTACAAACACACATCATTATGGTGTGCGTAAATGTAGAAGGGAATAACCTAGTCCATCCTATGGCATGTCCCAATTCATGAAAAAAAAAAAAAAGCTATATATATAGGTACCTGTTTCTATAAAAAATGTACTCCCAGTTAAATTCATCGACACCAATTTTAAATACTCTCCAACTTTTGTTCATCTCTAGTCCTCTTTCCCGAACAATCAAGTAATCTAACATCAGTAACACATGAAATGATAGGTCGTCGTTGCGATCCACCACTGCCACCGCCACCACCATTAAACATTTTGATTTTTTGCAACTTGCGCCAAAATATCAACTTGATTTTATCCTTCTTCGTATGCAACTTACTCCGACGAGAACCAGTCTTTTTAAAACCTCGTAACTTGTTCCTAAATGAAAACCGCTTATTTAACACAGAAGCTTCGTTTGTCGCATTAATGTTTGGGTCTTCTCTTTCAAACTCAATAAAACTTAAATCAACAACATCAAAATCAACCACATTGGACCTAGCCCACATTTGACCAATCATGCCATCAGGAACAGTACAAGTATACAAATTCCTCCACGTAATTGATTTTGTCAATTCAAACCGTATTGTAAAAGATTCACTAGCGAAAAGGATATTCAACCCCAAGGACAAATCCAATGTATTTATAAAAGATGCAAACACGGTTGATTGGACATCGATACTGCCGCCGTCTCCAAATTGTTGATTGAGGCATTTTGATATGGGGAAATGAACTTGTGTTTGTGTGGGTGGGTATGGTGTAGACATAAAGATCCATTTATTCTGATGTGAGGAAAAAGAGGTGGTGGTGGAGGTGGTGGGGAATAACTTTGATGAGTGGATAATGACTCCCGTATTGTTGTTTAGTTTGTAAATATAATTAGGATTGATCAAGTATCGTGGTGATAGATGTGATAACGAAGATATTGAAAACAAGTGTAATGACAGTGCATCATCTTCAAGATAATCTTTCCTCAGTTTTTCAATAGTCGAATCTTTCAAAATGCTATATGTTGATATAATGGGTGGCTGTGCGTGATAAGGATGGGGATGTTGTAGTAGTGACTTATCTTCTTCTTGCTTCGCTATTTCTAGTTCTCGTTGTTGTTTACGACGAGGTAATCTGAATGCAAATGAAACTGAAATGGTACTAAATGATACATATGTTGTAACCATCATCATGTATATGGTGAAGTACCATATATGCATAAGTATTGCATGGTAGAATTAAGGAGGAGGTGATGATGTATTATGCAATATAATAGTGTAGAAGGGGGAAGGTTGTTTGGTTGTTTGTTGTCACTGTTGTATCCTCCTCTCTCGGGTTAAAGGTTAGGTATTCTTTCAGAAAGAGTTGAATTTATCAGATAATGGTCTTATGAGGTATTTAAAGCCTAGAGCTTAGAGATGGGTGTCACTGGGAATTTGTGTACAAGCGTACTAACAGATAAGCATATCAAACTAAAGTTGAGGGGGTCTAAACTACACAAAAGCACATTACTGGAAGCAATACTCTTCTGAACAGCAAAGTACTTTCATTGACAGAAACAGATATAAAAATGTGTCTGTTCCAGAGGCACAAGTATTGTCTTATTCTTCTCACTTGACGTCACCTTCAACGCCCTAGTATGGTTACTTTTGACGCTGTTACATTACTTTTATTTTACCCACTCACTTACATTTCTTGACCCCATCTTCTTCTTCTTCTTCTTCTTATAACTTCCAGGTTAGTTACAATTAATTAATATTGAAAACAGTATATAAAGTTACTTTATACATAATGAGGTACTGCAAAAACGTATTCCCCCATCCAACGTGAAAGAATCAAACAAAACAAAAGTAAAAAAAGCAGCAATAATTGTCTTTCCAAGAATCGAAATTCCCAACACTCGATATTCAAACTAACCAACTTCTCTTCTGCTTCTCTAATTATCCTCATTGATCAAATTCAAGTACTGTTGCTCTTCGTCGTCAACATTTAAAGGGCTCCTATACTCTTGATACCCTTGATCTCCAATAGGTTTACCAATCAAGTTATTCCACAAATTGTTCAATATGCTCAATGATGTTTTACCAATAGTTATAGGAAACTGCTTATAACTGCCCAATACAAATTTCAATGCTTCCCATACTTCATAAATTGCCAATTTCAATTCTTGATCAAAAGTACGATTCCTAGTGGGGATTTGATATATTTCGAAAATGGATTTCTTGTGTTGTGGTGGATCACGATTGGAAGGGGATTTAGAAGATGATGACCCTGCGTCCTTTTTATATGTTGATGATTGAGGTTGATCTGTTTCTCTATGTTGTTGAGGCTGTTTTGGAAGGGAATTGACAAATGGAAAATGGAATCCTTGTCCCAATGATCCCTCATTATGGTTATTATTAAATTGCCCTGGTTGTGCTTTTCCCTCAGCAACATCTTGTAAATGTTTAATATACATTTGTTTGAAATTGTTGATTATAGCAATTGATTTCGATAATCGATCAAACGTGTTTATCAATGCAACAATTTCAATTCTTCTGAATTTCAAATTTGGTTGATTCATTGACCCATCATCTTCAAAAAGAATCTTTAAAGCAGTTCCATACCCAATAGTTTGTATTTTCCCCCACATTCTACATCTATCACAACCAACACAATCCATTATGGCGGAAATGTTTTTAAAACGAGCACGGAACTCTTGCTTCAAATTAGGATCTTTTGTTGGATCAAACAAGGTGGATGTATTAAACAATGTATTTGATCCCAAGGCAGGAATGATATCTTGCAATAACAACTCATCATAAACTTCAGTGTTTTCGAATAAATCATTATTTTCCAACAAATGTTGTTTTTGGGCTGGGGTTATATCATCATACCCCAGTTGAATAAATTGTCTCACTGGTAAAATCTCATTCAATTTAACCAATGACTGGGCCACAAGTGCATAATTGAAATAGATATTGGCCAATCGATCATTGTATAGCCCAACTCTTTGCATAAACACTTGTAGATTGGGATAAAATTCTCCAGTTTGCGAATCCAAATATTCATTAGATAAATGAACTGCAATTGATGCATGCATACCACTAACTAATCGATAAAATAAATTTTTTTCAATACATTTTTCCTTGGGTTGATTAGGTTTCATTGACATTGGATTAGTATTGGGGAAACAATTTTCCAGATAGATGGCTTTCCAAACATCAAAACTTTGATTACCTCCATATCCAGTGAATCGTTCTGGGTTTTGTAATAAATTGACATAGACACAATTGTGTTCATGTTCATCATCAAAATACGAATAATCTAAATCTTCACATTGTTCAATTTGTTCAGTTTCAATAGAATTGTCAATAGTGTCACTAACATCTGCACCACCATTGCCATTGCCGTCTCTTTTTCCCGATTCCATGGCCAATTTAATTTTACCCAATTTTGATGGCTTCAAATTATCATTAGTGATTTGACTCCAATTGAAATCATCAATCACTTCAACAGCACAATTTTCGGTGGCGCAAAAATGTTGAGCATTCCAAAACTTGCATTGTTTATCCAAATCAACTTTGAAATAACAGAAATATGGCGTTTTCACCAACTCGGTAACCAGTGATCTAATTTGTTGATTTAACTGATCAAGGTAGGCAAATGTTGTGTTACATGAAGATGTAATGATTTGTGAACAAAATTCTGGTGAGTCAAATGCATGAAACTGTGCTTTAGGGAGTATATGTGGGTTCAGTTGTGATGATGAAGAAGAAGATGCTAATATGGTTGTTGTTATGAAACTAATTAGTAGAATGATCCATTGAGGTAGATGCATGATGGGAAAAAACAATAAACTGAAATTAAAGAAAATGCAATTAAATATATGGATGGGTTGATGCTTTAGGTGTGGTATAGAACTGAGTCGGGTTTGGGTCTAAGTGTAGTAATGTCTATCAGTTGGTTGGTTTTATGATTAGTTGATGATTACTAAAGTATTTTGCAGAAGATCTTTTGGTTGATGAAATTCTTTTATTCTTTTTTTTTTTTTTTTTCGTCTGCGTCTGGACTCTTCCTACTTTAAGTTTGTCTTGTGACTTTTCAAATAATAAGATATTCTTATTCTTATTCTGATCCGTAGTTGTAGTAAAGTAAACGCTTTGAGTATTTATTATAAAAGAGCAACAAATACTGATGTATTAGAATTCTATTTTAGAATGAACACGTAATAACTCTATGGTTAGTTACACTAATTTATTTTTGACAGATTTAACTGTTGTACTGTATATAAGCACAATACACAACTTGAAAGGCAAAATCATTCCATTTTTAATTTCTTTTTTTTTCCAATTTCTAGCGCATTTGGTAGTAGTTGGCTGTCTTTCGGCCGAAGAATGTTCCGATTATCGACTGTCTTTAATATACGAAGTATATATTGTATCTTTATGAACACGTAATTCATAAGCTGTACACATGAAACACCCACTGATTGCACTACTTCTATGACGTTCTATACAACCACAGCTCTTCATTTTTATACATTACCCTCCTTGAAAAAATAAACTTATCTCTTTACGTTGCTCCCCCCCCCCCCATTTTTTTGCACCCAACTCACAACACTAAAGAAAAAACTATAGATACAACAAACACCACAACAACTAATCAAATTTAATCTTTTTTGCCGTCTTGGTCATGTCAACATCCTTATAAAAAGCACCATACACCGAATGCGTCTTTTTCTTTGTATGGCCACCAAATTTCAACAATTGTTCTGGTACTGGTTGATTAGCACCCCGTAATATATTACACAAGGCACCACTAAGATGTTTTTCATCTTCAGTAAACAACGTATGAGCAACACCACTCTGTCCTGCTCTCCCAGTCCTCCCAATTCTATGAACATAATCTTCAATTGTTAAAGGGAATGTCAAATTAATGACATATTTGACATTGGGGATATCCAACCCACGTGCAGCAACATCTGTTGCTAGTAACAAGTTGCAGTCACCCAGTTTGAATGAATTGAGAGCTTGGGTACGTTGTTGTTGTGATAAGTCACCGTGGATCGCGGCAACTTTAAACTTGTTGCGACGCAATAATGATTCAATTCGTGATGCTTCCTTTTTGTACAAGGCAAATACCAAAATCTTATTATCATGACCATCACTGCCATGTTGATACTTGTTCAAAAGTGATATGAGTTTCAGTTCTTTTTGAAATTTATCATCCAATACTTCCACAATCTGAGTAATTCGTTTATTAGCACTCAATTCATCACGATCTCCAATGGTTAATTTGACCGGATTGTGCATAAACGCATTGGCCAATTCCCGAACTTCTTTGGGCCAAGTGGCAGTAAACATCAATGTTTGTCTATTGTGAGCATTTGTGGATCCAATTATATGCTTAATATCTTCTTCAAACCCCTTTTCCAACATACGGTCAGCTTCATCAAGCACCAAATAATTAATCAGACTCAAATCAACGGCTCCATCATTAATTAAGTCAACTAAACGACCAGGTGTAGCAACGATTACATTGGCCCCCTGTCTAATCTTGTTTATTTGATCATCCTTGGAAACACCTCCATAAATGGCAACACATGATATTGATGTATTTTTAGTCAATTCTTGTAAATTATCGTAAATCTGTAATGCCAATTCACGGGTAGGGGATATACACAATACACTCAATCCAGGATTCTCTTCGCCACTGGTAATAATATTGTTGATTGCCGGCACACCAAATGCAAATGTTTTTCCTGACCCCGTTTCGGCTACTCCAATTACATCTTTACCATCAAGTAAAAATGGCCACGAGATGGATTGGATTGGTGTAGGTTTGGCAAACTTCGTCAATTTGGAAGCAATGGTTGGGTCCAAGCTTATTTGGTCAAATGCAAGAATTGGTCTATAATTGAGATGTTGTGAATCTTCAATGGTTACTTCATTGGTGGATAAAAACTCATCAATAGATGATTGTGGTGTATTTGTCAATTTCGATGATTGAAAATACCTGGAAGATGAGAGGGAAGGGGCACTATCCTTGGAAAAAGGTTCAGTTCGAGAATCTGTTACACCATCCTGTTTTTGCTCATCCTTTACCAGGTGTTTCTTCTTCTTGTTATTATACTTCTCTTTATTCTTCTTTTCCTTCTTTTCAATCAATTCCTTCTCCTTCATTGCCTTTTCTTCCTTCTTTTTGGCCTTTTTTTCCTTCTTGGCCAACTTCTTGGCTTGTTTCCTTTCCAATTTCAATCTCTTCTTCTCCAGAATCTCTCCGGCAACACCGTCTACTGCTGCATCTTCTTCGTGCTTTCTTTTTTTTTCTGAACCCATCTCGAATATCACTATGCTTGGATTCAAGTGAAGAGTTATCAATGTAGAGTATAATTTTTTCTCAAGATGCTCATCGGATGTTTTTGATTTTCGTTTTCTTCCAAAATTGTCGCAACAGCTACATTCGAGACAATTAACTCTTTCATGACATTGCAAAATACCTCCCAAGTTGCAAAAAGGTGATCAAAGATCCCATTATTTTCAAATAAATATATTGTTGATGTTATTTACAAATTATATATAAACATCACCACCAAATTCACCCTTCAACTTCTTCAGTCTATTCATTCAATAACCCACCTATCGTCAATGCTCTCTTTTGTTGACCTGTTCCTCCTCTTCTACCCAGTGGCGATGGGGTACCGGAAGCATCACCAGTTGTATTACCAACGGTAGTGGTTGTTGTTGTATCAGCAGTAGTATCACCTCCTCCTTCGCTATCATTTTGGTTGCTGAGAGTAGAAGTTCCTGGAGGGGCACTAGTTTCTTTCTTGTATGTGGCAGTAAAATCAATGGCCATGGGTGTAGGCGTCCTCTTTGATGCACCACAGCTGGAACAACATCCACTGGAAGCGGATGCATTGGGTTGACGATGAATTGGTGGTAGTGTTGGTGGCGGAACTTGCTGCTGCGGTTGTTGTGATTCAACTGTTTGATACTGATGTGTTTGATGATACATTGCTGGCTGAGGTGCTGGAGAAACCTGTAGCGGTAATTGCATTTGCATTGGTTGTAACTGTGTTTGTACATGAAAAGATTGTGCTGGTGCTTGTGCTTGTACTTGTGGTGATGGTGCTAGTGCTAATGCTTGTGCTGGCATCGGTGGCATTGGTGGCATTGGTGGTGGTGGGCCTGGAAGTGGGCCTGGTCCATTTGGTAATCGACCGTTACCACTATACCTGGGATACAACGAATAGGGCATCATTTGCGCACCAGTCGTCACTACCAGTACCGGTAGTTGTTTCAGCTGAAATTGTTGATGTGTCAGTGGAGGTGGAGGTGTTGAGCCTTGACTTGTTTGTCCTAATGGAGACGCCCTCTGGAATGGAATTGAATATGAGAATGGTGGTAGTCTACTGTACGATGGTGACATTGGTCTATTATGGAAAGAAGAAGTTGATGAAGGTGGTGGTGGTGTTGCACTATTCGATACTTGTGTCTGTACTTGTGCTTGTGATTGTACTGCCAAAGCAAGTGGCATGTGTGTTTTTGGCAATGAAGGAGATACCTGAATTGATGTTCCAGTTGTTGTTGCTGGTGATGCTGGTGTCGGTGACGTGGCTGTTCCCCGCGGAGAAGTTTCACTAACTGATCTTTTAACATCCTTTGACTCTTCCTTTGATTTATGATCAGATACATTTCTCTTTCTCCGTTTGATTGTTGACCGTTTCATCTTGATTGGTCGATGTGATCCATGTAAGCGATAAAACAATCCACATGCATTACAAATGGTATTACCGGCATCATCTCTTCTCCATAAAGGTGTTATCGTCGTATCACAATTGAAACAAGCAATAGCTAACGAATTTTCATCGGTAGAATCAGTATTAGATGGTGCAGATGCACTAGTTGCAGACTGTTCCGAGTCTTGCTTGCCAATATCATCGCGATAATTATTATTATTAGTCAGTGATTTAGTTGGTGCATTAGTTTCACCAGCTCTTCTTGTAACATCTTCTTCCTTCGCGGACATATCGGGTTTTAGTATAGCATCTTCAATCTTGGGCGACTTGTCCAGTTGCAGATGCAGTTGCAACAACTGTTTCTTGGCTACTATTCGATTGTTATAAGCAGGACAACCACGACAAGCAGCTGATCCACCAGTTCCATTACACCGTCCATCACCTTTACATGAGCCCAATTCTTCCCTTGAGATGGCAATTGTATTTGGTGGTCGCTTCAAATTTACTGGACGATGGGTATGGTTTGATCTCAAGTAAAGACCACATGCGTTACATATAAGAGTTCCATCGGGTGCTCGTCGCCAAAGTGGTGTTTTGGTAGTTCCACAATTGGAACATTGTTGGCCATCTTCCGGAGTCGGTAGCAGCGTTGTTTGCTGGTTTTGGGCGCTCGAGGATGCTTTTGGTGATGGTGATGCTGGTTGTTGTGTATTTAAAAATGATGTTTCCGGTGACTTGGTCTTGTTTGATGGTGTCGGCAGCTGTGTAGGTTCAGTTTTTATCAATTGTTGTTCGTGTATAGGCATTATATTTTGAAATGTTTGTGTGTTATATTGAAGTCATGAGGCAAGAACACTGTAAGGCGATTTACAATAATGGGCTAGGTGTAAAGTTGGATGGTGTTGTTTGTAGTGGGTTCTGACAAATTTGTTTTTGAAATAAGTGGATTTCAAAAATGTAACCCAGCTATAATTTTCTTCGGTGTTTTTTTTCTGTTGTTTTCGGATCCTCAGCTCAATTTGCTCCTAGTCCCGAAAACTTGCTAACTTTGTCAAATAAGGTTACCCTTTAGAATGATGGTAAGTTAGCTCAAGTTGATTTAAGTTAAAACTCTAAAAAAAAAAAAAAAAAGTCTCGTGTGTTACCAAAAAAAAAATTGGTGATATGTAAGCTCAATAAAGCAATGGATGCAATAGGTAGATTAAAATATGAGGTTTCTTCTGGTTGATAAATCCTGTTGACGAGCTTGGTTTAGCTTGTGATTAGGCTGTTTGTTAATGTGGTGTGATTAAAGTGGTAGAATAAAAGAAGAAAAAAAAATATCACCAAATTTACTGTTTGGTGTATAATTCTGTTCTTTGTAAGTTTTGTAGCTATCAAGAAAGGAATACCTGATGAGGGGAAGACAGTATAAGATGGTGAGTGTTGATGTGTGTCCCGTTGTGATAGTATAATAAGTTTATGAAAAATATTCCATTCAATTCAGTTGTATTTTTTTCAAGTTTTTATTACTAATGGCTGAGTGTTGCATTATATACTTATGTATTACTTAGTAGTTCTATCTAAGTGGCTTATTTTGTTTTTGTTCTAGTCGATCCGGTTCTGTGATCACAATAATACAGTATGAGTACTGTTAAAGTTCATTTACATCAGAGAGTGTGTATAACAGAGTTGGTACTTTACGAACAGAACACATAGGTAATTATGAGAGTAAACTTGTTGATGGCAAGTCTATTGACAATCTTCGATAGATGGGTTATTCATTACAGACAAGGTAAAGAGAAGATCTCGTCTGATTCCATTTTACTCTTTCCTCATTTTAGATACTATATGCCATCTTCTCCTAATTGAGTATTAGTTACGAGTTGATGACAATACAAAAAATACTCTATTTTTTTTTCACTTACTTTTTGTGTCTGATCAAATAGATTAAATACACCAGTTTTCCACCAATCACATCACAACTATTAATAATCCATCATATGCACATACACAAACTTACACACACACTCAAGTAAAACCACATACTACTAGTTTGGGAAATCGAGCTTTTAAATTTCTTGGCACGTGCCAAAACTGTTTATCTAAGCGATCTAGCATTATATATTATCCACATTGCAAAGCGTTTCTATTGTTACAACCACTCCATAGACCATACAAAAGTTTCAGAACACTTACAAGCGCAGTGTACTGCTCAATAGCTTTAACGGCTTTTCAAAATGAGAGACCAGTTGTAATAAATTAGAGAAGCAGTATTAAACTCTACAGTGATTTGCTGTTTACATAACTCTTGCCACCACTTTGTTGCAAAAACTTCAAAAAAACCGTGATAGAAAGTAATCGTGAGTTCAAAAATCTTCACTAAATGGAACAATCGAGGTAAACATAATGTGAAGTATTACTAATGTACTCACACTTCGAATTTCTTGCATGCAAGCGACAATCATAGCAGAGTAAGGTTGCTTCTTTTTCATTCTCTATTTAGAAAGTCACGCGATAGTCATGTGACTGCAGTATGTACAAACTTGCAAAAAAAAAAATGACGCGTTTGTTGTGATTATTTTGTTGGTGCACCCCCGACAACTTCCACCCCCCTTTACAAGTATCAGTTCATGATGCTAAGGACTGCTCTTTTTTTACAAAGAGAGATAGGAACAGATAGTAGCATCAAGTGACAGTTGCTACGACAATCTGTTTTCGGCTACATTTTATAATATAGTCTATTTTAGCTGACTGTTGCAACCCTTTCAAAAGAGACAAATACTAAGCCGTTCCATAAACAAATGGCGTCGTTTAAAATCCTAGAGCCCATAAGACACCATCCGCCGGTATTAAAGGTGGTACTGAATCCATCCACCATACCATAGCATATCTATCCTTGGAAGCTCTTCTATTCTCTGCTAGGTCAAAGATCTTTTTCGTTTATATTCTCTTTGTTTACGTCACGTCTTTATAAATTCTGTTGTTGTTGTTGTTGTTTTGTGATTATTCTCAACATAAAAAAAAACCGAAGTATAAACAAAACAAACAAAAATACATTACAGTCAATTAAGGGTTGCACAGTTAATTTATATCTACCCACCCACCAATCCATCCTCCTTTTAATCATCACTCACATATAGACAATTTGGGCCACGCATCTGATCGGTTACTCATAGCACATAGTGGCACAGACAGAAAGTGGAGGGAGAGATTATTGACAATACCACACCAACAGACTCACTTGCTCCCACCATGAGGAATCGTCTGCTGCAAACCAAACACAGTGCCAATGGTGACCTTAATGCTGATAGTGCCAGGAAAGAGACAACCTCCATGGATCTAACACCAACCTCCAGCATTACTCCTCATCGAAATCGACCACAGTCTCAGTTTAGTTCACAGCAAGCCCTGCGACTTCATAAACAAACAGCATCATCCATGTCTCAACAAACACCACATGTACAACAATTGGATTATTTCACAAACAATCATTTTTCAAGGTCTTTTAACAGTTTGATTTTGGATGATAACAGTACTGAAGCTACATCAAAAAAGACTATAAACAAGTCCCCACCATTCAATGTCAAGACAGATTACTTGAATGACAGCATAGACACATTTCTTGATGAAGATGAAATAGCCAATGACACTGATATTGACGACGACGGTGATGATAATAATTACGACGACGACGACTTTAAAGAAAGTGATGCCGAGCTTAGTGACAAAATTTACAGAGACAACGATGCTAACCTCAAAATTACTCCCGATAAGACCTCCTCTAGTGAATCCAGACAGCTAAGTTCATTCGCAACTCTGAGTCAGCAGTTTGCCAGACCGTCATTGGGACGTGACTCTTCCAATTCAACAATACGAAACTCACAGAGCTCAATCAAACGGTCTTCGAAGTATATCAACCTTTCAATTGACTCTAGTCTACGAACATTAGATGGTGGAAAGATGCCAGATGAAATTGACAAGATTAGTTTAAATGAAATTGACGTCAAGGTCAACGACTATTCATCACCTGCCTCATCATCGTCACGTCGAGTTGAGGGCAACAATCCGCTACTACCGTCCACAAGCAATCAATTTAAACGACCTCATAAATTAATCAGTCAGTCACCATCTCCATCATCAGCAAAGGTGAAATTAACGACACTATCATCATCATCACCTCCACAATCCAACTTGCATTCTCCATCACAATTAGGCATTAAACATTTCAGGGGCTACAAAATAAATGAAAATATAGTATCCCCGATTCGAAATCGAAATGCCGAAAGTCCACTATCCAAAACCCATGTTTTTGGTCAAGCTAATAAGCTACGGAAACCCAATACACCAATAATACATTCAGCTATTGAAAATGTCCAACATGAATTATCTCATACTGATTTTGATAATGACATATTTGACAGCCCGTCAAAGAATAGGAAACTGTCAAATTCCAATCAATCTTCAATCATAATGTACCAAGGTAGTCCAAAACCAGCCACGATCAAGCATGTACTGAGTATTACTCCATTTGATGACAAGGAAAATAATGATCTGTTTCGGTTCGTCAAACCTTTACAAACGGCATTTTCATCAAATGGGTTGTTGAAAAAGAATATGGTTCAACACACAAAATCAACATCAACAAAGCCACCACCCGAAACGCCAATGAAACGAAATCCACTAACCATGATCAACACAAATAAACCGCTCTATTTACGGTTTGATCACGACAATAATGGCGATTTGTCACATATAGTGGAGCAAGATGAACATGATCATCCGATAGAAGTTGGGAGAGATATTGGTGTTGATGATACTTTGAATCTAAGTGACATTCAAAGGTCACATTTCAAAATCATGCCTTCTTCACTGGAAGTGTCAAACAAAGTTGTCGAGCTGCAACAACACGACTTGGAAGTGATTTTTACCTCGGATATAGAACTCGATGATGAAGGGTCAATGATACCGGAGACTCCAACAAAGAAACATTTTGGCCAAGTACATCATCACCAGCCTGTGCTGGCTACTACTCACCTTGCTGCTTCACCATCAGCTCCATCGAAGCAACTACCACCATCATCAACTGTTATGAAACTCGATAAACTTGATAAACTACAATTTTACCCAAGACCTAAGGGCTACAAGTTTGGCACACCTTCAACACCAGTTCATTGGGGGTTGGACAATGCAAAAGATCCTCTTTTGAAAGACAACCCTGTGGAATTGCCACCATTGAATGAAAACGATCAATTACGATTGAGTCAACACCACCACCACCACCACCATCTGTTCCTCAACGCTTATCCTGCTAAAATCGATGAGCATTTAATCAACAAATTTGGAATGAAGAACTTGAAATACATTGGACATGGTGAATTCAGCATATGTTTTGAATGTGTGTTTAACGAGGAGAAATTTGCCATCAAGAGAACCAAAAAGCCAATTATTGGCAAGTTGGACAAACAAACGATAATGAGGGAAATTGATGCCCTTAGGACTCTTTCAAGTATCAAAGATAATGAAGATGAAAATTTGGCTGAAGAACAACAGGGCAAAGAAAATCTAGTTTATTTCATTGAAGCTTGGGATTTTGACAATTATTATTACATCATGACGGAATATTGTGAAGGTGGAACCCTTTATGATTTTTTGGAAGATAACAAACATTACAAGATTGATGAGTATAGGATATGGAAAATGATTATTGAATTGGCCAATGGATTACGATTTATTCATCTGAAGAATTATCTTCATCTTGATTTGAAACCAGCAAACATATTCATTACATTTGAAGGGTATTTAAAAATTGGTGATTTTGGTTTAGCTACGAAACTACCGATTTTAGAAAAGGATTTTGATTTGGAAGGTGATCGTAATTATATTGCTCCTGAATTGATTGATGACAAGATTTATACCCCATTTGCTGATATTTTCAGTCTTGGACTAATCATTTTGGAAATTGCTGCCAATATCATTTTGCCTGATAACGGGACTCCATGGAGGAAATTACGTAGTGGAGATTTAAGTGATGCCGGTCAATTATCCAGTGATAACATTTCCATGTTTTTACAAACACATAATAAACCAGAGACTTCAAGTTCGTCAAATACAAATTTCAGCTCATCGGCACATTCATTATCATTGAATCCGCATTTCAAATCACGCTCAACGATTGAAAATAATGGTAGTAATGATAATACCATTGACGTTGTTGCTGTTCATGACTTGATCCCAACTTGGGCTCCATCTTTCTTGGTGGGAGAGTCGAATGCATTGGATGTGTTGGTAAATAAAATGTTGAAGCCAAACCCATTTGATAGACCCAGTGCTAGTGCCATTTTGGAAATGGACGAATGTGTCTTGATTGAAAATAGAAGGAAATGTGGTGCTACGATTTTTGAAGGTGAATTTGGAAGTCCCCCCGATGATGAAACGCAATAAGAAAAAGAGAAAGAAAAAGAGAGGAAAAGCATAGGGGCCCACTGCATATAGGTCTATGACTGTAATAAGAAAAACGTGTGATGAATTAATGTAAAACACGCTAATAATGTAACTATTCCTTAAACAATGCATCGTTCGACAACGGATCCTTTTGCAACACTTGACTTCTCTTTTTAATCTTTCTTTCCAAAGCCGCCTCAGCTCTACTTCTAGCTTGTTGGGCCGATTGTTGTTTGATTTGCGCTCTAACGAAGTTAGGCGAGACATATTCCTTATTTTCATAAATCTTGGGACCACCAAAGGAGCCTTCCAAAATAGTTATCAAGGTCAAAACCAACCTCGGTCCAATTTCAACCAAATTCAACGAATCAACATCAACTTCGTCACCAACTTCATTCTCCTTTGTCTCCAACGTTTCATTAATTTGATAATTTCTAATCCAAATCTTGCCATCAACTACAGCAAATGTCATTACGTGATCAATAAATGGTTTCAGTTTTCTGGCATTGGGCGGCACACCAAATGTTTGGATAAACATCTCCTTCAACAACTTGAAATGATCAGCAACTTCAAACGACTTATCGAATGACAACACTGGCCTTGAACCCTTTAAGCAATTACCAATGAAATTTAATTCATCCAACGTATGTAAATTTTGCACATGGAATTTAACAGTGGGACCATTGGGTGGTTTAGCAATCCAAAGATATAAATCTTGATGTTTCCTACATTCGAAAAAGAAAATATTGTTACAATTGTATAATTCAGCAACTTCATTCAATTGATAAAGTTGCTTTTTGGTGTCGAATTTAGGTTCTTTTCTTGCATGTGGTAATAAATTGAGTAAATCGGAAATTAGGTGACGATGTCTATAGGTGATTCCACGCGAGGATATGACTAGTAAACGCTGTCTGTTTATGTGCTTGGTTTTGTCCAGGGTGTCTTTTGATGACTTGGATTGTAATGCTTTGTAAATTGCTGACATGGTGAGGAGCTTGTCTGATGAGGAGCTTTAGTTGAAGGTTTTGAATTTTTTTTTTGGTGTGAGAGAAATTTCTCGATGAGGTTGGAATTATGTTGCACAAAAATGGATGAAAAGTTGGATGGAGCATCGTCTGCTTTCGAAAGAAGAGCATAAGAGTTGAGGGGTGGGTGGGGAATGCTTTATGCGGATGTATCGTAAATTTACTGTGAGTTTCACTGCATTTATTCCAAAGTTCACAAATGTAAAGATAGGGTCTAATTTTTGAATGTAAAGTTGCTCTTTCCGCAATAATACAAATGGCTGCAAATCTGGTCGACAATGATTCTCAATCGCCTCCCTCTTTTTCCTTCTTTCTCTAACTACAATAACTATCACCCCCCAGCCCGGGTACGACATGAAGGTGGGAAGGACTGGCATTTTGCGATACAAGTCGATCAACCTCCAAGTTCCCTTCCATTTGCCGACATCATGCACAACTCCGTGGTTCAGGGGGGGGGGTTTATAAGGAGAGAGAAATGTATTTTTTTACTCAGGCTAATCTTAGATGTGGAGCAAAAAAATAAAAAGATTGAACCGTTTTTCTCCAACATATTTTGGTAGTTGTGAAATTTGAGATCGGGCCCCCACTCGTCAGGCAGCATAGGTATTTTTTGCTATTCCCGATGGACGGGTGATTCGGAGTGTCTTCATAGAGTAAAGCTACATTAAATGAGGTATAGCATTTGTTTTGTCTTCCAACCAGAGGGATTTTGCATTGGAACTAACGAATAATTTAACCAACTTAGTGATATTATATTGAGTTACTAGTATAAATACTCCGTAAAATATATATTAGCACATTCTATATATTGTAGACGACTCATACCGCAACATCGTGTTTAGCTAACCATTCCTTAACAAATTTGTCTTCTTCTGGTGATGAAGCATTGATTGAAGGGTGAGCAGGTTTAACGGTCCATGGTTTTGGAATGACTAATAATACTACTGAACCCAACGTGGCGAGGGCTAATTGATGTGGTTGAACGGTTTTACCAAAGATGTGATAAGCAGCACCCATTGTTATAGATCTATAATGTAGTTGTTGTATACGTTACTTGAGTTGTTTTGATGGGTTTCTCTATTTTGTTGACAGATTTTTTTTCTTTTTCTTTTGTCTTTTTAGGTTCATCAAAAATCGCTTTATGAGAATTTTTAATCAATTTGTTTTTAAAGATACTGGCACTTTAATGGTGTGGTGTACGCTAGTTTATATTATACACTGCTTTGAAGCTAGAGAGACAATCAGCTACAATATGCTCCAACTTCTTTCGAAGTGTAGCTTACAACATACTATGGATTAGTAGTAAATAACCGAGGTCGTGTAAGTTATACCATTCAATTGTTTTTGTCTTTTTCATTGGTCAATACACTAAATTATCACAACGCTACCAATTAATGCAAACATAACAAACATTCTTTTCTCTGCTCTTGTGGCTGCAAATTATGATAAACTAGTAACAGAATGCCACAACCATTCAATTTTTTTAAAAAGAACTTTCCCAATTGACATACCAAGAATACATACATACACACACATACACACACAACGACGGAGTTATGGAGAGTTCGATTAACTTAACAGCATCGAAATTAGATCTTTTAACATTAGAAGAACTAAGAGACCCTAATTTAATCAGTCGGTATCCACCACTTTTCCAACGAAGGCAAAACTATGTGGATATAAAATGTGATTCGTTAACCAAGATTGGCCGTCCCTTCCCACAACCGCAACAGCAACAACAACAACATCAACAACAACAACAACAACAACATAACAGATCTAAAGTATATGAAACAACTCACCTGTCCTTGTTCAACTGTTCCCAAACACTACCACTGCCACATCAACAGAAGCCACAACAACTTGCACAGCCAGGATTCTCCTCTGGCTCCAAGGAAACTATAGAAAGGAAACCACATCGGAGTCTAACCACCTTCTTCAAACTTTCTTCTAAAAAATCCAAACAACTAGAACGACAAGAAACGTTACGGAGATCAATCAGCAGGCCATATTATCAAGTTAAAGACCAAAAGGAACCTGAACAGCCAAACCATCATTCAGAAACGATCGAACCAATATACGTTCACCCATTATATCCTTTCAAAACCAAGCGATCCATCAAAATCAAAAAGGATCCATCAATATCACCAACAAATAGATCAGACAATGGAGCAACTTTGGCAAGGTCTTCTAATTCACAACACCGAGTAAGATTAGTTCGAGGTCAGAATCATCTCCTTCTCCCACCGTCACCCGGACAACAACAACAACTATCAGCTATTAATAGCCTAGTTGTACCTCCTGTTGGATCAAGTCAAGTGATTGGTAATCCTGCAGAGTACTCAAGCACAATTGTCCATCCCAATATGCGACAAGCGCAAATAAGTCATAATAATAGACAACAAGCAGACTTTATACGATATGACATGATGAATTTGGATAATGGTAATGCATTATCACCAATTATTGATGAATCTGAATTTACATCGGCACAATTGAATCAACCAAGTCAAAATAACATTAACAATTTGAATGAAATATTGATTCCAACTTCAACATTCTTTGTCCCCACCACTAGTGATTCTGATGAAAGTTATTATAGCGTTGAAGATGAAGTTCCACATTTTGCGACCGTAAGCAACACAAATGATATTAGAGTACATGCTCGGTCGCAGCAGCACCATCACCATCGTCATCATCATCATCATCATCGCCACCTTCGTCAAGTGTCGTCTCCATTGTACAGATTCAACGACGATGAAACGGCAAGGTATGCCCTGCTGCCATTTGCCACACAAAGCCATTCTCCTGTGAGAGGGAGGTGACTTCAAGCATCGTTGCGGAATATGTGTATTGTGTTTTTCGTATAGGAGATTAGTGTGTATGAATGTATTGGCTCTATCTTCTCTTCTCTTTCCTCTCTTTTTTATTCCTTTGCGATTCGCATCTCGCTCTCTTTTCTGATGAGAATGCCAAAAATATTCCATCAGCATCCCATCGTTACTACTACACAAGAAATGACCGTACAAGCGAATAGAAAAAGACTCTCCACAGGTCTCACTGTCACTTCCAAAGTCTTTGTTCGTTCAAGGAATGGAGGTGCGTTGAAGATTGTTCGTGAGCACTATTTGAGAAACGATATACCGTGCTACTCATCAGCTTGTACTCATTGTCAAGAAATAGTTAAACCAGATGCTAATGGCAACCTTCCCAGATTCATCCTATCTGCCAATCCAGCAAAGACTACCGATGGAAAACCTCACTACGTTATATTGGATACCAACATTGTCCTTCACGCCATCGATATTCTTGAAAGTACTCAATGTTTTTACGATGTCATTGTCCCTCAAACAGTGTTGGAGGAGGTTAAAAACAGGTCATTCCCAATATACCAAAGGTTGAGAAATTTGGTTAAACTGGAAGACAAAAGGTTCGTTGTTTTCCATAATGAATATAACGAAGGCACCTATGTCACCAGGGAAAAGAATGAGTCAATCAATGATAGAAATGATAGAGCAATTAGGGAAGTTGTGTCGTGGTACCAGAAACACTTGCCCGCTATAGAAATGATATTGGTGTGTAATGATGCCGATAGTAAAGCCAAGGCAGCAAAAGAAAATTTGAACGTCAAAACATTGGTTGAATACCTTGATTGTTTGCCCAATGGTGAAGACTTGAAAGAGTTGATACCGGCAGACTTTAGCAGTTTTGAAGGCAAAAAGGGAGAAGACGAGGTCACGTTCCCTGAATACTACTCGAATGCCAGAATCATGGCGGGGATCAAGAATGGAACCTTATACCAAGGGGTTTTGAACATATCTTCTTACAACTACTTGCAGGGTGAAGTAAATGTATCAGCATTCAAAAAGCCATTGCTTATACAAGGATCAAGAAATTTGAATCGTGCATTCAACTCAGATTCAGTAATTGTTGAGCTTTTACCAAAGGATAAATGGAAGGAACCATCAACTACGATTATTGAAGAAGAGACGATTGGAGTCAATGATAATCCTGATGATGGTGGCGAGGACAACGGAAATGTCGCCGCTTCTGAAGGTGTTGTATCAGACAAAGAGCGTCTCTTGTTAGCTCAAGAAGCAATGAAGACAACCAAAGGTTCAACAGAGGAGAAGAGGCTTCAGCCAACTGCTAAAGTTGTAGGTATAGCGAGAAGATCATGGAGATATTATGTTGGACAAATAGCACCAACATCAGTGAGCCAAGAAGATTCAGGAAACTCTGCCAAAAATTGTTTCGTAATCTTGATGGATAAAACGTTGCCAAAAATTAGAATCAGAACTAGAAAAGCTAAAGAATATCTTGGCCAAAGGATTGTTGTGGTTGTTGATTCATGGCCCAGTGATTCCAAATACCCCAATGGACATTTTGTGAGGGCTTTGGGTGAAGTTGAAAGTGCCGAAGCCGAAACTGAAGCACTTTTGTTGGAGCATGACGTTGAATATAGACCATTTTCGAAAAACGTTTTGGATTGTTTGCCCAAGGAAGGCGATAATTGGGTTGTTCCAGATATTGCCAACACAGATGACACTCAATTACAAAAGAGAGTTGATCTTAGAGATAAACTTGTTTGCTCCATAGATCCACCAAATTGTGTCGATATTGACGATGCTTTGCATGCGCAAAAGTTACCCAATGGAAATTACGAAGTTGGTGTTCATATTGCCGATGTCACTCATTTCGTTAAAGCAGGCACCGCTTTGGATCAAGAAGGTGCTTCTAGAGGTACCTCAGTATATCTTGTTGACAAGAGAATTGATATGTTGCCTATGCTATTAGGAACAAATCTATGTTCGTTGAAACCATTTGTTGATCGTTTTGCCTTTAGTGTCATTTGGGAAGTTGATGAAGATGCCAACATTGTTAATGTCAAGTTCATGAAGTCTATTATTAAATCAAGACAAGCTTTCTCCTATGAACAAGCGCAATTACGTATAGATGATCCAAATCAAAATGATGACTTGACCAACTCAATGAGAATCTTGTTGAAATTGTCGAAAAAATTGAAACAAAAGAGATTGGATGCAGGTGCTTTGAATTTAGCTTCACCTGAAGTTAAAGTCCACATGGATAGTGAAACTTCTGATCCTCAGGAAGTTGAAATTAAAAAGCTATTAGAGACTAATTCATTGGTGGAGGAGTTTATGTTGTTTGCCAATATTTCCGTTGCTCGAAAGATTTATGACGCTTATCCCCAAACTGCAATGTTGAGAAGACATGCAGCCCCACCAGCTACTAATTTTGAAACCTTGAATGATATGCTCAATGTAAGGAAAAATGGCTTATCCATCTCAACTGAGTCTTCGAAAGCATTGGCCGACTCTTTAGATCGATGTGTCGATCACAATGATCCGTATTTCAATACCTTGATTAGAATTATGTCAACCAGATGTATGATGGCTGCCGAATATTTCCCTTCAGGGTCATATGGGTATCCTGAATTTAGACACTATGGATTAGCAGTTGACATCTACACACATTTCACTTCACCAATTAGAAGATATTGTGATGTCGTTGCTCATAGACAATTGGCTGGTGCCATCGGGTACGAGAATTTGGACTTAAGTCATAGAGATAAGAATAAGATGGAGATGATTGTGAGAAATATCAATAAGCGTCACAGAAATGCCCAGTTTGCTGGAAGAGCCAGTATTGAATATTATGTTGGACAAGTTATGAGAAGTAATGAAGCTGAACATGAAGGGTATGTTATCAAGAGTTTCAATAATGGTATAGTGGTGTTGGTGCCTAAATTTGGTGTTGAAGGACTCATCAAGCTTGAGACCATGGGTGATGTAAACAGTGCCAATTATGATGAAGACAAGTACGAATTGACATTTACTGATCTTAATGGCAACAAGAGGACTGTGGGAGTTTTTGACAAGGTCAAGGTCGATGTTAAGTCAGTTAAAGATGAAGTTAGCGGAAAGAGAAAAGTGCAGCTCATGTTAAAGTAAAGGCACCCCCTTCACATGAAAGTATATTTGTACAAAAGTAGTGCATTTATTAGTGGCCGTAATCATAACATCATTTTTATTTACTAATGTAATCAACCAACTGATTAATATTGATGATTTTAATATCGTGTTCTTTACTAAACTTGACACAATCATCGAGTCTCATCATTAATCCATCCTCATCTCTCACCAATTCACAAATGACAGCTGCTGGCTGCAATCCAGTCAATTCACACAATTGCACAGCGGCTTCAGTATGGCCTCTTCTCTTGTTTAATAATCCAGGAACAGCTCTCAATGGAACTATATGACCCGGTTTTATGAAATCATTAGGTTTGGAGTCCTTATTGGCAAGTGATCGGACAGTGAGGGCACGATCATGAGCAGAAATACCAGTGGTTGTGCCATCGGCATAATCACAAGTGACAGTGTATGCAGTTCCATGTCTATCAGTTTGATGTTCAATCATGGGGCGCAAGTCCAACTTGTCGGCTCTTTCCGTAGACAATGGTGCACAAACGTACCCTGATGAATGACGCACCAAGAATGCCATTTGTTCTTGAGTTATTAGCTCTGCAGCCGTGATTAAGTCACCTTCATTTTCTCGATCTTCGTCATCCATTACAACCAAAAATTCACCTTTTTTGAAAGCAGCGAGGGCTTCTTCGATTGGCGTGAAAACTTGTGTCATTTTGATCATTTGTTATGCTTCGAGACGGGCGGGGAGATCTGCGATGATGGAACAATGTAGGATGTGAAGGATTAGATTTTGGCCAAGCTTTTGGGTGGAATCCGTTTTTTTTTGCAATTAGGAATCAGCCTTTGAGATTATGAATGATGGATTTTTTTCAAACTATTTATATGTTGAGGAAATTCCTTTCTCCTGCAAGGTACAAAATCGAATGTAAAGGAGTTAGTCAAACAATGAATAGAAGAGGTGTCTTCCGAGATCGTTGTATGGAACCAGATGCGGACAAATTACTTTAATGTTGTATTTTCGGTAATTCGGTATATCTGCTATACAATGTACCGCTGTTCCACTACCCCCACTAAAAATACTTTTCAGCGCAGAAAACAAAATCAGATGTCATTGTGTACGACATTCTCTTTGTCATTACTAACAAAAATGTCGCCTATATGTCGCACTACTTCCAATTACCAATTGCATTACTAACTGATGACTGATGGGGGGATCTCGTCTACAAAGAGCTCCAATTAACAGGTTTTGAATTGTACATCGATTCAAGAGATCATGTATCTATATATTTGTTATCAACGAATAAATTCAACGGTTTTTTCTAGGCAGTATTGATATCAATGTGTTTTAGATCTAAGTCAATATTTAGACAATAAGAGCAATGGGAAGCCAATTATCATCACCGCCTGAAGTAGTTCACCAATTTCCGCTACTCGGTGAAGCGATCAAATATTTGGCCCACGTAATCTCCGTTTCTATATACCCCCAGACAATGGGTCAATTGTTGAAGTAACCGCCACGATGATTCAAAATGAAATTTTTCATTTAGGAAACAATGATTCAGTTGTAGTAGATTCGATATTTTGTGTAAGACAGTTTATTCGAACAATAAAGTGAATTCCCGTCCACGGTGATTTGATCGCGGTCAAACAAGGTGCTACGACAGAGTGGCTTAAATCATACCAGTTCCTTCTATTCAATGTCAGAAATAACGCAGGATAGCAACGGGTTTAGCAAGTCGTTTGCAGTAACACATGCAGATCACGAGTTCTTTTTCCATTTGATACTGTTTGCCAATAAACAGATCCTAAACATTTCCATCGATGGTATACTAGACACAACATTCAAGATACCTGTTTCTACAAAAGCATCGATCAACTATGAATCTATGATGGATTTAATTGAGAGAGAAGATGTTGACGACGACGGTCAGGAGTTTACTTCTGCAGGTCAATTGCCACCAGAACCACAGATGATTATTGGTAATTACTCAAATATGAAAATATCAATAGTGGCTAGTCAAGTGGGAAAACTCATGTCAATTCACTCGCCGCGAGAAGTTATACTATCGATAGCATCTAAATGGTTTGGTAAAGGAGACCAAGTTTGTGAAGATGACTTTGACAAGTTATCATTCATACTAGAGAATGTAAAGAAATTATTATGAGGAATTGACTGTATATATATCATTTTAAATATTAGAGACGAAATCTATCAAACCCTGCTCTAATTCTTTTGTCTAGACTTGGGTGCAACTTTTCTTTCTTGTTGACCATAAACTAACTTGTGAGGTTTCATAAACTTATCAACGATCTCATCATCAACTTTGCTTCTCCTCTCTTGGTATGCTCCTACAAATTCTTGCAACACCGCAATACATTCCTTCTTCATCTCACCCGATAGTATCTCACCTTTTCTATAACCTTCAGCCAATTTCTCCAATTTTTCATCATCATAACTAAAGAATGACAAGTATTGGTATGCAACATCAACATCAACATTACCTCCGTACTTTCTATGATCCTCCATCAATGCTTGACCACCAGAAAATGCGAACTTGTTAATCTTCTTTTGTATTTGTTTTGGTGTATCATCCATGAAAATGGAAGTGGTTGTATCTGAAGCAGACATCTTGGTCGAGGCTCCTTGTAATGCCGGAAAGAATTTGGCATGAATCAATGCTGGCTTTGAAAATTTTAACTTATCAGCGACATCTCTGCATACTCTGAAATAAGGATCTTGGTCAATAGCACAAGGAATCAAACATGGTGTTTTTGGTGGTAAGCCTAACACATCAGGGAAAGATGACGGAAATGCTGTTGCAATTTGAATACTGGCAAAATGAATCTTTCCGATACAATCAGTATCGGTAAAGCCAAAAACAGCTTTTGCAGTTGATGTCGTGATTTGACGTGAAGTTCTTACAACGTTTTCGTAAAATGCTCCACCCATGTATTGCAAATCAGAAAAGATGAATGTATTTTCTGGATTGAATCCAACGGCAATGATGTCCTTGGCATTTTCAACAGCAAAATTCTTGACATCATCAATAGTCAATTTTGGTTTGAATAGAAACTTTTCATCATCAGTCAACTCAATCACCAATGGGACATCAAAAACATCCTGTAACCATTTGGTGAAAATAAATGGAATCATGTGTCCCAAATGCATGGAATCGGACGAAGGTCCTCTTCCAGTATACAAAAAGAATGGTTCCCCATGCTCATACAAGTCCAAGATCCTGTGTAGGTCCCTTTCAGAAAAGAAAACACCACGTTTTAGGAATGGGTGTGGTTCTTGCCCCGTCACCTCCTTAAAGCGAGCTAAAGTCTCTTGGGTAATCGCTTTGGTGCCAAATTGTTTGATCAATTTGTCGTAATCTATACCTTGTGATTTACCATCAACAACTGCACCCTCGACCTCCCATGGAGTGATTTTTTGTTCGCTTTCGTCTTGGAGTTTCAAATTAGCTACTTTTTCTTCTACTGACATGATTGTAGTGGAGGTGTAAATTGTGGTTCGCTGGGTGTGATCTATGACTCTAAGTTGCAGGAAATTTTCACCATCGGAGAATTCATCCTTCGCTACCACTTTAAAATCGTACGGCTCCGGGTATGGCCAGACCAATATCTGTTATGAAAGTGCAATAAGCACGTCTTATAGCGGCGCAGAAATAGAACGTATCTAAGAAAGATTTACTAATATCTTGTAGAGACGGTAAATAAAATGCTGGAGCCACAAGATTCCACCCACTCAAACTGTGATATTTCTTGACCAAAGATGATATAAAACCCCATTAAATTAAACGTAATTTTAATTGATACTATACAAAACTGACTTCATGCAAATCATCCAAAAACTAACTTCCTCCCCAAATCGTTATTCTCTCTCTATAACCCTTAGAAATGTAATTTTTGGAAAAACCATTTGTTCTTACCAGCTTGGTGTTTTTCTTCAAAAGCCTTCTTTACTACCTTTTTGGCTTCTTCTCTTTGTGATGGTTCTTCTAAAGCTTCTGATGATACAGCTGATTTGAAAGATTCGACATCCAAAGAGTATCTGGTTGGCATCAAGTGGTTGTAGTTGACCAATTTGACAAATGGCTTAACCTTGGTTCTCTTGGCAGTCTTTTTGGCATCCATCTTCTTGGTGACCTTCAATGGGGCTCTTTCGACACCAGCAACAATGGCATGTGGGAATGGGTGAGATTTGGTACCTTCGTCATGTGGTTTTACAATGACAACCTTCTTACCGGCATAACGTCCACGGACAACAATAGCTATAAATGAATTGTTAGTATAATGCTGAAAAATAAATGTGGGAGAATGATGGAGTGAAAAATCGGTTCATGGGGTGGTTCTCATCGGAGATTCAGTAGTCCTAAAACCAAAACCATCATGACTTCTGGAGACGTTATCCTATCGGTGGATAATCACGTTGAATGAATTCGTTGCTGCATTGGGGACTTCCTGGTAGTATATAAACTGTTTGATAAATTTTCTTAAACTTGTGTCCTGAACGAATATCAACCTCACTATCTCGTGCTCCGCCCATCTCTTACTCGATACACATGATTGATTCAAACATACCAACTCTACCTGATTTAATGAATTTAGCCATTTTTGATGTATGTAGTCTTTGGTCAATGAAGTGTAACTGTATCCAATAAGTCTCAATTTCAAAGGAGGTTAGCTGAAATTTTTTTTTTGTCTTGGAGAGAAAGAGTTATTTTGGTACTTTGTGTTCTTTTTAAAATTAAGAGCACTACAAACTATTGCGGCATGGATCTAGATGAGTTAACATGGGTTTATAGCCCTAAAAAGTATCCCACAAAATTTAAGTTATCATCTCGTGACACTTATGAAAAGTTCCACCATCATCTTACATGCTCATCTCCCCCAAATCCATTTGCTCTGTTAAACCAGGACGGTGCCATTTGTTTTGTCAACTAGAGTGGAATGCTGATTTACATTCTTAGTGAATCGAATAAATGAGTCTCTAGAGTATAAGAACGGAAGCCACACCAAGATACCAGCTGGCAAATTGACAATAATGTTTTCAGAACAAAGATCAATTAACGATTGCTACAAACTACTTTTCTCTTGTCTCCATATCTAATATCAAGCTCTATTAATTACGACTTACTTTCTAATGCTTCGGGCTAAGAATTTCGAATTCAGACTTGTGATGACAGGCAGAGTTGGATTACTGGATGTCTGTCCATGCCCCTTGGATACAGCTCTGGTGTTTATCAAGTCAACTTTTCTACCGTCTTCTTTTGTAAAACTGGATCGTCTGTTGGTCGACAACGGAATATGAGCATTATGCGCCACTGCCAATTTGGCTGCTCGTAAAAACCCACTGTCGGAGCTGCTGTCTTTTGGTAACCCAGTTGTATTCATTTCATTTGGGGGACTGACTGGAGGCGGTTTCCTTCTTGGTGTCGAGCGCTGCATCCTGGTTTTCAATAAGTGGGAGGATTTGGGAGTTTCCCGGATGGTAGACCTCGCAGTATCTGGTGGCGAGTGTTTGGCGGCTTTACTTGATGAAGATGGTGGTGTAGGATTTCTTGTTGCAGCAGTGTTAGTGAGGCTTGGTGATTGATTACGTTCCTTGGCTGGAGTTAAAACAAGGCTCTCAGAACTGGATTTGGATACGCTGCCCTTTGCATCCCCTTTTAAAGTTGGCGCTGCATTCAGCTCGAGCTTTTCTCTCTCCAACTGATTATTGCGGCTCCTACTTAAAGAATCTGTCCATTGATTCACTTCAAACTTTTCCACTTCAAACACATAAGTCAGCTCAACTGAAGTGATTGTGAATACTCCAACTGAAGGTAGCATTTTGGAAAACCTATTTTGTGCCGATACTAATTCTTGAAACCTGATAAATGGAAACTTCAATTGTATCGAGAGAATCACTTCGTATTCAGACTCCAAGTTCTTTCTTGCAAATACAAGTGCTCTCCCATGAGTTGTCACAATCATGGTGCCAACTTGAGGTTTCTCAAGGGTGAAAATGTTGACAGCTTCGTCATCACTTTCGTCATTCTTTTCACTTTGGGACAATCCCAATTTCTTGAAAATAGAACGTTTGGAAATCTTGTTTGAAGTTGTGGATTGTGATCTCTCAAGATCGCTACTTTTCTTGCTACTCTTTTTGCTATTACTCCTTTGCAAAAATGACTCCTCATATGGCTCCTTTATGGCAACCTTCTCATCGACATTATCAAAGTTCTGCTTTGTGGGGACCCCATTTACCATCTGAGAAAGTAAACTGGTATTGGAACGATTGCGCTGTGAATTTCCTGCATCCAATGGTGAATCATGTAAAGAGCCCTTGTTCTTTCTCTCAAACACCTCAGTAGATTCTTTGTGAACAAAGACTGATCCAACTCGAAGGACTCTTTCGTCTGGGTGAGTCAAATATGCTCCCCAAGCATCCTCTAAAGTACCCGACGGCCTAACCTCCATGATGTTTGGTTTCGACTTGACTGCGGGCTTTGCCTTTTCACGACTGCTTTTGTATGAATGAAGTGACGGACGCGTATTAATTTGTGGTCTCAAAATATTCGTTCCTGGTATATAATCTGGTTGCGCACCACGAGAGCTCCTCCTGCTGTCATTTGAGTTCTCCTTTGAAGTCGGATTACTCTCTCCAATGCTACTATCTGAAGCAGTCAATGGTTTGTGCAAAGCATATGCTGCTGCATTCGCCGGATTTACATTACCAGTAACTTCAGTCTTGCTAGTTTTTCTTGCCGTCCCAGTGGGCCCGGAAGCACCACCATTGCGTGGTTTCGTTGCGGCAGAATTTTCGTCTCCACTAGACTTCGGCTGTTTGCTCAGCTTCTTTTTAGGAATGACTGTGGAAGTGCTATGCTTGATGATGTCTGGAACCTTCATCATCGATTTTGCCGTCATTTTGTATGGCCCAAGTTCCGGCGGTTCTGTTTGCCAAATTTGATTAAAATCATTAAAGTCGATATCTTTGAAAAAAAAATGGTTTTGAATCTCTGAGATGGTCGCTCTCCTCGACGGCTGTAATACAAGAATCTTTTTGATTAGATCTCGAATTATTGTGGGGAATCCAGCGCTAAAGGCATACTGAAGCTTGGTAATTTTTTGAAATGTCAAATACTCATTCGTTGCCTTAAATGGAGGCTTGCCAGCAATCATCTGGTATATGATACAGCCAAAAGCCCATATATCACCTGGCTTTCCACAAAATTTGCTTTCCAATAACTCAGGGGACACGTACTCAGCAGTTCCTACAAATGACTTGGCCCTCACATCCAAAGGATAATCTTCACTTTCATCGTTCTTTTTCTCCAATAATCTGGCTGTTCCAAAATCTGTGATTTGAATCCGCATCTTGTCATCCAACAAAATGTTTTCGGGTTTGATATCTCTATGAATGACACCATTATCGTGCATGTACTTGATAGCATCCAATATCTGCGCACCAAAATGCCTGGTGCAATCTTCATTCAAAGTCCCATATTTTTTGATTAGTGTCAAGAGCTCACCATTTGATGCATAATCTAACACAAAATATAGCGAATCTTTGTCTTGAAATGTGAAATAAAGGGAAATGATCCCCATTCTATTACTCAATCTATTCAATGCGTGTTTTTCAATGTTGACATACTTGACTTTTTTCTCCTTGATTATATGTCTTTTATCCAACACTTTGACTGCATAATTCTTGTTACTGATTTTATCTGTGGCTAGTATAACAGTGGAATAGGAACCTTCTCCCAACTCTTTACCAAATTTGAAGTCGGTAACACTTCTTCTAATTGTTGATACTTCGCCATTTGGTTTTTTGACAGTCTTGACGGCAGCGCCTTCTTCCCTCCAATTATGTTCTTCTGATTTATACTCTGACGACTTTGGTATTCCATCATCTAACGTGTTTGCGTCGTCATCATTGTGACCAACTGGCGAGTCCACAAGGCTTTTGAACTGGGAGTTTCCGCTCGCTGTATCCAAAAGAACATTCAATGAAGAATTTGTAACTGCTCGAGGGTAGTGTGGCCTAAAGTCAAACGAACCAAGCGAGGACGGGGTTCCAGGTACACTTTTTGCAACGTTTCCTTCGGAACTGGATGGCTCCATAGAAGATAACCGTGATGAAATGTGCACCGTAGGTAGTTGATTGTCTGAAGAGTCGCCATATTTGAAAACATATCGATCTTTTTGAGAATCTAAAGTCTCGACACTCGCATTCTTGGTTGTACTATATGTTTTGTAGATATCGTCAATGTCGTTATTCAATTGTTGAAAAGAATCATCATTATGCTTGTCGGTTGAGTTGTTGATATTGTTGCCGGACATTATGTAAGTATATAACAGGTATTCACTTTATTGTATGTTTTGGCATCGCAGTACCAAAAAGGAGGTCGAAAGGTATCTAAAATAATACTATTGTGTACCCCGAGATTGTCTCCGATGTGAAATAGAAGCAGAATCCGTGCTCTAAACCTCAAAACCGATATGTACGATAAAGGGTCCAATGACAAGTTTTGGCGCTAACTCTAACTGTGTTGGAAGTGAAAGGAGATAATACCTATCGTGTCTAGCGGTAAAAGGTTGAAGACTGATATTCCCAGTAGCAAGGCTTGCGACAATAGTAGCGAAGTGTTAGTTTGTTATTTATGACGTTTTGCCGAGTTCTCTTGATGGTTTTTTTTTGTTGGTTTCTTTGTTTTGCTTTTTGTTTGCTGCATACGTAATAATATCCGAAACTCCATAAAAACTTGGGAACCATCATTTCCTATTAAAACACCACCCACTCCATACCACCGATATTTTCCAGAGTAGCTTGCATTACATGTTGAGACTTCCGCAGATATTCAAGAGTATAAAACTATAATTGTTCTTCAATATACTGATATCATTTGACCAATGGCGTTCCCCTTGGACCAAGCTCAATTGTTGAACCATTTGAGAACATCGTATCTATCTATGGGCGATGAATCGGAATACTTTAGAAGAATCGTTGCCCCCAACTACCCTGATAATGGCCCATATTTCAAGGGGAGCGTTCCATATGCTCCATTGCAAAACTCACCACCAATTACGTTCGAAATCGGGAGCCAAGTGAAGAGGAGAATCGAGAATAGCCCACACCAGCAACGGAAAAATTCAGGCGATGCGGAAGAGTATTCAAGAAGGCGAAAGGGCAAAACAAAACGGCAACTGCTGGGGTCAACTAAACACCAGATACAGCAATTGAATGCAGCTTACTCTGGGAGCTTGAATAATGGGTCAATCAAGGATAATATCCCCCCTTCGGACACAACTGATAGAGTACACGGTGATGACGATAGCGACAAAGACCCCATTGAGTTGGAAGAAGTCCAGGAAAAGATTCTGGGCCAAAATCATTTTGGTGCATTGCACTCAAGACAAAGCAAAAAGAAATCAAAGTCTAAACTGAAAATCCCCATTGTCAAGTTTTTCAAGTCGGGGAAAAATGAACTGACGGATTCAGATAGCAGTGACGATGAGAGACGAGCGTCTATCGTCACCTATGGATCCTCACAACTTTCCACTTCAAAAGAAGATACCACGGATAAAGAGGAGCTGTCTACCGCTGGATACTCCAAGAGCTCACTTAGCATTGACCAAGTCGAGCCACGTAGCAGCTCAATTCAGTACAACCTGTCGTCCGATCAAGTCCAAGACAGTGGGAGCTCCCTTGGATTCAATGACAAGTTTTTGGAGGTCACAACAGATGACGAAGATGACGCTGAAGACGACCATGGTTTCGAGACCGATGGTGAGATATCCGACGACTCCGAGTTCACTGATTTAGATAATGATACAATTTTGGAATCATATTCGCGATCGGACTCCATTAGTAATGCGCTAGACAAACTGATCCAGAATAAGGAGTACATGGGTCCACAGTTTAGTATGGTTAGGAAAAAAAGAGCCAACACGTTCGGCGACCACACTGCTCCAAAGAACGTTGCCAACTATCTAAACAGTCAACCAGTGGGACTCAATTTGATGCAAGTACGATCGTTTGGAAATTTGGTTGAGCTCGAAAAACCTTCGCTTTCATTTCCCAAGGTAGAGCCAAAGATTTCAGATACTATTCATGCGTCGAACTTGAGCTCAATGATTCTTTCAAGATTCAAGTCCACCACCGTGAACCCCTTAAATTATTATCTATTTGTTGATGGCACGGTTAGTGCAAATTCTTCAAGAGCTACACAATTGAATGTATTTCTACCTCCCAAAACAAAGCCAACGTTGAAAAATTTGAGTATAGATCGCAGCGTATCAATAGCAGACTGCATAGGATTCATATTGTTGAATTTGTTGAAACTTTCTGAAGTAAGTGAGTTGAATGATCCTTCATTTTTAAACCCGAACTTTTGGAGGCTAGAGCTAGTTGATGAAGACGGTGAAAACTACGGCTCTTTTGGGGTTTTGGATAGAAACAGAACCTTTGCCTCCTACAACAATCCAAAAGATTTGGCGTTATGTCGTGTAAAGGATGTCGTCGAAATTGACAGAAATGAGACCTTGTCGCCTCTTCCAATAGAATTTAAACAAAACCTAACCGCATTTGAACGAAAGAAGAAAAGCATTGATCAAGGAGACGATGAAGTTCCTAAAGTTGAACTCTTGGTTAGTGTTTTTGAGTACGATAATAGTGGGATTCCAATCAAGGTTTCATTCAAGGCTCCTCGAAATTATACAATGGGGCAAGTATTGAAAGATTTTTGTGTCCAAAGAGGGCTTATCACCACTGAATACCGCTTCAAGGTCGTAGAAGCTGATGGAAGAAAGAGTAGGTTTGTAAAGGATGTTGAACTTTGTGGAAATTTACATCTGACTATCTTGGAGTTGGTTCCTTCTGATACAAAGTTTAATTTGATACTTGACAGAGAGGAAAAAAACAGCCAATTGAAACCAACAACCAGTCCGGATATATTTCCTGCAAATTTAACTGCACCAAACATCACCCCATACAATGACGAGTTGGCTGCCAAGGTGCAGGACATCAAGTTGGAAAGTTCAGCAACACCAGCACAAAATAAGCCAGAGCAGGTTAAATCAAAACAACCGCCCAAGTCGACAACGAAATCAAATAAGGAGCCTATAGCATCGAACAAGTATTTGGATGATATAATACAGGGCAATAACCCACAGCTCCCGACAAACATCAATTCAATTTATTTCAAGTGGAAAGTTTTGAAAAACAATAGCAAGATGAAGAAGATGAAACTCAAGACTTTTACTGAAAAGAGCTTTATAATCGATGGAGACTATATTCATATAACGCCTCCAGATGATTTAATGTTGAAGAATATGGGGGAGTCTATGTCCCAAAATCAACTAACCAATTTTAACCAACATCATACATACCACAACTTGAACCAGCAGCTCAACCGGGTCGCCAATAAGCAGCTGATGAAAACATATTCCTTCCACATCACCCAAATAATGAAAGTGAAACAGTATTCCAAACACCCAACCCATTTTCGAATTATTGTGCAACGGCAACAAGCTGATGGCGAAAATGGGTCCAACTCGAAAGACCCAATGAAGAAGTTTTACTTGGTGTCGGTGTCCGAGTCGGAATGTTCAGAAATTATTAGCAAATTAAGATGGGTGTTGCAAGCTTACAAGCTTTCGAGTGGGGTTATATAGTGCTATTACAGTTAAGTAAATCAATAGTGATATAATTTCTGTTTAAACAGTCCAGAAAAACTAGCAAGGGTCTTCGCCTCCGCGTTAAGTAACTTTTGAACCTCGCTATTTATTTTTTTTTTTTTAAGTTCTTGCATAGGCGCCGTGTGTTGTCTCTATGATTTAATTTTTCAGGGGAAAGCACAATACCAGTCGGACTAACAGATTCAAGCCCAACCAAAGGAGTTATGACGGGCTTGTCTCTGAACTGGAAACAACTCAGTTCACGGATTCAAAAGCCAGAAACAAAGAAACCAAAGAAATCAAAACTACATCAGAATCATGTACGAAATTCAACTGAAAAGGACAAACATCTTCTTCGTTTAAAACAGAATCGAGTCAACTGTGATGGGTCAGTTAATGCCGGTCCTTTAGAATACGTTCTTTGGACAACACTAGGAAATAACCAGATCAATCCGAAAAACTTCCCAACTACTGATAATAACATTACTAAATCGAAAAAGGATAAAAGAAAGGATCTTGGAAAGATTGTCGCCATAGATTGTGAGTTTGTTGGAGTGGGGCCCCAAGATGTATCGGCACTTGCTAGAGTTACAATTGTAAATTTCTACGGTCATGTCGTTATGGATGAATACGTGAGACCAAAAGGGAAAGTGACAGATTGGAGGACTAATGTTTCAGGAATTGCACCATGGCACATGAAATTCGCGATGGATTTTGACGAGGCACAATCCAAGGTTGAATCGATACTCAAGGACAAAATCTTGGTGGGGCATGCCTTGGAGAATGATCTTGACAAGTTGGAGTTGTCGCACCCAACATCAATGATTAGAGATACTAGTTCATTTCCTCCCTTTAGAACAATTTCATCTGGTAGAACTCCAAGATTGAAAAACTTGGCCAAGCATTTTTTGAATCTAGACATTCAAACTGGAGAGCATAATCCAATTGAGGATGCTAGAGCTACAATGTTGCTATACCGTTTACAAAAGAATGATTTTGAGAGCCATTTTAAACTGATCAAATAGAGATTATTAGGTATACATGACCTTTCATTATAAAATGTACATCATTGATTCTCATTAATCGTATACAACAGACTTTCGAAAAAACGTAATCCATTCTTCTATAAAACTCGGTCATGTTTCATACCGAGCAAAATGAATTCAAATTTTTTTTTTTTTTAGTCCGCTTATGCCTCGAAGAATACCTGTTTGTCTCATCAATCCTCCAACTTTAATCCCTCGATGTAGGAACATGCAGATCTGTAAAACATAAACTGAACAGCTTTGATATCATTGTCGAAATCAGCATTAAATTCTCCATCTTCGTCAAGTATAGTTTCCACTGGTTGCAAGTCATCCATTTTCTTCAAATAAGTAATCTTTCTTGCTTTAAGCATCTCGTCAATGGAGTTGATATATCTTTCTGGCTCATATCCTTTTATTTCAGAAACCTTGAATATGATTTTAGATATGCTCTCCACTGTCTCCATTGAATTTGTGGTTGCTAAATCCAGCGTCAAAGCCCGCTCAATCATGTGGAAAATAAGTAATGCTGCTTCAGGTTTAGTATTCAATAATTCATGATAGATGGAAATAAATTTCACTCTGAATCCAATATCAGTGATTTTCTCATCAGCAAAGAATCTTCCCAATTGCACCATGGCAAATTTAGATACTTCATCATTTGATCCTAAAAACTCAATCAAAAAACTGGGAATTCGTTGCCCATTGTTCAACTCAAATGATTCATAAACAATTCCCAACTCATTCAAATACGCCTCCAAATCATTTGTATCAGAAAACAAATACACCATCACAAGAAATGAATAAGCATTATTGGCAATATTGGTTCCATTTATTGGAATCACATCCCTGCGTTCATAACGTTTCTTGAAATACGATTTGATACAAGTCAAGGATAAACTCCTATACTGTGACACTTTAAGACCTTGGGTAAGAATAAAGAAAAAGTAGGTTCGAATGTTTTCCTTGGTAATGCAAATTTCATGCCTTTCTTCAAATTCCGACAAGAATGGCTCCAAGTATCGTCTTTGCTCATATGCCTTCTCGATATGATCGTCAAGACTCATTATCTTCACAATGGATGCAACAACATTTTCAAGCGCCGACTGGTAAAGAAGGGATTGATTCAACAAAGCAAAACACAACTGTGACCAAATCAAAATTGGTGGCAACATTGAATCGACTGGTAAACCTTCAACAATGCGAGCAGTGGCTACAGAAATGCAAATGACGGTATCAATTCTTCTCAATTCCCCATGGGCTACTAGTTTGATTGACCGACATGCAACCGAGTCGGTAATACCTCGCTTGGCAAGTATACCGACAACTAGTATTGCTTTGTCTTGAAATAGTGAAAAATTATTGAATGCCACATTAATTGCATTTGAAGACCATCTAGCTTTCCAATTTGTTTTGTCATCTGAAGTGCTAACAACCTCGATAAACTCATTCAAATAATCACACAAGACTTCAAAATTCATAATTCTATTGAATGCTTGGCCTATATCTGCAAGAGATTTCGACTCTCGCGTCATACCAAATAGCATTTTCGCTCTAGGGGTTGTGAAATACTCAATGGTGTTATTGATGACATCTTGTTGGTAACTTGTCAAGTTCGGCTTGTGCAAAAATGATTGCACGGTGCTGATTATCAAGTTTCTCAAATCAGACCCAACCTCCAAGTACCCATTATCTAGAAACAAAGTGACAAGAAAAATGACATCTGCCAAGTACAATCGTGCAAGCGTGTAGGAGCTGAAAAACAAAGCTGAACAAATCTTCACCAATACTGTTATTTCAAAAAGCTTTGATTGTGAAGCAATAGCAGAGTCAGTGGTGAGGGTGTACCTTATAGCCGTCAACAATCTTGATATAACTTCACCACACACTTCAACCGAGGGAGTAATAACCGCGATAATGAATGACCATTCGGGACCTTCATTTTTGCTATCAATTGCAAATGCCACAACTTCATCAACCAAAGATGAAACCAAGCGTGTCTCACGGAAAAGAATCTTCCAGATATAGTCATTGGTGAACGGAACACGATCTTTATTGATCATTGTAATACGACAAAATTGTCGTACTAAATCAGCCACGCGATCAGGTCCTCTAAATCCACTTTGCGAATAAACATAGTCGTAGATGTTGTTGATCCATGGCGAAATGTACAAGATTGACGTTAATCGAGCTTCCGAATCCATTTTTTCAAAATTGTCAAGATAGGCCTTGAAAAATCTATAAGTCATTTCAGGGAAAGCATGAGATAAATGCCTTGATACCGATACAACTAAATCAGTTGCATCGGTGGGGAATAGCAATGCCTTGGCATGGGATTCCGTGATTCCAAAATCGATTCCAAAATATGACGACAAGGACCCAAATAAACCGGCAGCCGATGATTGAACTTCTTCATCAGTGCTAAGCAATCCCTGAAACACTATATTGTACAATCTTCCAAACCAATGCATCACGTGCACTTCAGCGTGTGATTCCTTTTCAGCATCCAACAATGACGTATCTCTTGGTAATCTTGATGTTGTGAAATATAAAAATCGCAAAATTTCAAGTCTATCGGGTGACTTGAAGGTTACCGGCTCGTTATGCCTAAAATATATTGTAAATTCATCTTCAACTCCCGTAAAGTCAGACACCTCACATCTAACCAAATCAGTCAATCGATGCACCTCCAACGGTGTGAATGCGTTCACGGCTGAATAAGGGCTCTTGAATTGAACGCTTTCTTTGAAACAAATGGTGAGAAATTTCCTACCTATTCGAAGGCTAACTGGTTCGAATCTTTGATTTGTTGGCTCGTACAATTGCACAATTTTGTAAGTCACTTTAGCGTCGCGACTAATTGAGACCGTCTCTGGATCCAAACAAAGATTGCTAACGATATTATCCGGGTCGATCGACGAATGAATAAAGATTTTAGTTCCATATTCTGACCCCTTTTTCCTTATACTTTGCATCGATCTGATCAAACTAGAATACTCAGTTCGCGGAACATTGAAATAGTAAACACGCGAGCAACTAGAAAAGAATTGCTTTGGTGTAAACGATGAAACCAATCGGGTATATTCAGCTGGTGCGTCAATTTTGAAGAAATAAAACTCGGAAAAGTCATAAATGAGATAAAACTTGTTTTCCCAAAGTTGTGAAGCCGTCTCAAGTAGTTTAAAAACCAAGTAATTGATATCATCAGGGCGATACTTCATTCTCCGGAGATTAACAACAATAACCGGGGTCCCATCTCTAAAGATTGAAGACTGGATGAGGTTCACAGCATCAGGTGGTGTGTCGGCATACTTTAATGACAGTTTTGTCATAAAATCATTAAATTTAAGTTCTTCACCATCTCCATTGCTTGCATCAAAAATCTTGAAATTGGACGCCAATTGCAATCGAACACTAGCTTTTGGTTGGCCCAACTTCATAAACACAACGTCAAACGACTTGAATTTCTTGACTCGTTCATGTAACGTGCGTACACTAAATGCCGATTTCCCAAGAAGGAAATTCATTCTAATGGGCGCAAAGTAAGTGTAGATAAACTTGTGCAAATATCTCAATTCAGCAAGTGGTTTTTCACATGAACCTTTTTGAAAAGGGTACTCGGTGAGGTCAACCGTGGAAATGGCTTTTAAAAAAGTCTTGATTCGCGTATTGAAACCATTCAATACTTCACCGTCGTCGACTAAACCTGGCCATTTGATCGTGCTTAGTGTTCCATTGGCCATATTCTGCAATATTTTAACCAATTGCATCAAGGATCGTTTTGTTTTGGAACTTTCAACGGGGATCTTGAAGTATTGTTGCGGACTGACAATTGCTGGACATATGAATCTTAGAAATATAAATGAACCTACTGCAATCAAAGCAGAGTCTTCAAACTTGCTCGATACTGATTGATAGATTCGTGAGCAGACAAATTTGAATGAGTTTGGAAGCAAATCAAACGAATTGACAATCAGATCAACAATTCTTCCTAAATAGGTAATGAATAACGCAGTGCCTTCACTTGACTCTCGTTTCTCAACTTCAAAATAGATATCTTCATTGACAATCTCTTCAACAATGGCTAGTAATTCACTCTTTAAATACTCCAATCCATAATCTTGGGTAAAGTTGAAAAGTAATCTGGTCAAGGTGGAATTTCTTCGAAACAAGTCGGTTGATCGAGTCAAGTTTGCAATCTCATCCGTCAACAAGACAGTAAACAATTTATCCAAGTTGTTGGTGTAGGAAAATATACCAAACAATGATGATGCAAGTAAATTATGCTCAGAGCTGGATGCGCATTCAGCAATGGACCCAAAAATTTCCGTTTCATGAACCAATTCTTCAATCAATTCGTATGGGAACTCCTCCTCCACTTTCTTAACGGTTTTGGAAGTCAACATATTAGCAAAGACATTCAAGAATATGGCTCTAATCTTTTTATCCTCGTGATAACCCATGGGGAGCAAGTACTGAATTCCAATTTCCGAATCGTATTGTAGCAAGTTGGTGATTGAAGTCAAAACATGGTCGGTAACTTGTTGCAACTTGAGCTTGAATCGATCCGATGATGGAGTCTTGGTGTACTTTTGAATAATCTTGTAAAATACTGAAAAGTAATTTCCAAATGCAATATCCTTGTATTTTTTCACTTCATTATCCTTTACGCCATCTGGTATTTCAAGTAACAAATTCTCAAGTTGCAAGCTCAAGCTCTTTGAACACTGAACGGCAAGATCCATTCTTAGATAACTCAATTCCGAAACCTTGCTCTCTGAAAGGTTCTTGTTACTTGAATCTGTATCCAATATGACAATCTGTTCCAACCATTCCAACATTGACTTGCTGTAGAAATTACGAAGTTTGTAGGCACCATGTAGTCCCGTGTTTGATTTATCCAGTTCGAGCGCTTGCACCAATTTACAAAACCTCAACTTCAGCCTAAACTTGTCAGTGATATCAGCAACATTATTGATAAATGTTATGAAAAACTGGCAAATGTGGGGCAACAAGGAAGAAAGTAACAAAGCTCCATCGTTGCGAACATTAATCATTGCACTCATAATAATCATTGCCTCCTCCACAAATATTATGCTTTCTTCAGTAAGCAATTTTTCGTCGGCATAAGTATTTGCACGAGCCATTAGCTTTGTCGTAATGAGATGATATATATCGGAATGCGACTCATTTGACAAAGTATCCTTGATGATTACTCGCACAACCAAGTCCGGTGAATTCAAGAGGTCAATACACTTGTCGAAAAAATCGGAAATGTGAACACTGCTTCTTTGACGAATCTCCACCGCGGTAGTATCAGTGTCAGCAGACATAAAACACCCAGATGTTGACACCAAGAACCCAGTGAAGTGACGGAAAATCAAATTGTTTTCATTAATCTGGTCATTGCGCTTTAATATCTTGTTCCATCGGCCAAGAATAATTAGCCAAACGTGGTATAAGGATTTAGTTGGTTTAGCTTCACGAAGAATCTTGCGGTGTCGCTTTTGTAACGACACAAATCCGGTGAAGACCCCTTCATCGTTGCGAAGTCTTTGGAAAAGTTCAAGTTGATTATCATCAATGTCATCATGCTGGTACAACAGTTTGTTTTTGTTGATTTCATTGATATACCACCTGATACCTTCTTTTGTATAGTTGTAAAACTGTACGTCATGAGTACACAAGGACAAAAGCAACACTTTCTCCACGGAATTAATCACCCTTCCACACGTTTGATACAATTCACGCGATTTAGGATCTTGAATAATTGCATTTGTTCTCAAGACTTTACTAAAACTATCGCGTTTATGCAAAAAATTGATTAAAAACAAAAAACTCGACTTGAACTTGGGTTTCGATAATGCCAATCCCAAACAAGTTTCACAAATTGATTGAACAATGCAATTGCAAATATTGAAATTAGCAAATGCTGAAAGTGTTGTGTATTCAGTTTCAATCTTGTTTCCTCGTGTCACCATTTGCATGGACAATTTTCGTGCCGAGTCAAATAGTCGAGAATTTCCCTCCACTATCCAGTTTGCCTTGAAGGCCAATCTTATGGGAACGGTTACATCGTGACAAAACTCCACCACTTGTCGAAGTAACTCACCATAGGGCATTATTTGCAAATTTGCATCATCCATCAACTTCATGTCATTAAAGTAGAGCTCTGGTGCAGCAGCAAATATTGAAAAAATATCAGACACAATTTCTTCGGCGCCATTTACAATTCTGAAGCTGTAGGTGTTTGATGACGCTAGGGAGATTGCCGCTGGCGACTTGATTCTAGTTTCGTCCTTTGATGGTTGTGTCTTGTCAAAAAATAATGTTTCAGCATAATGATCAATACTTGATTTGTTTTGATGGAAAGCGTGGTCTCTTGCTTGATTTGCCCGCATTTCATTATCATCGATACTTGAAGCATCAGAGTAATACGAAGTTTCGGAGGGTGGCTCGTTGTTTCGGTCTCCATATCCACGTAGAATCTTTAGTGAGCCATACATGATTGATTTCAAGGTGCCCTTGAATTGCAACATAAAGGAGTAGAAAATATCCTTGGCGATTTCAATCTCAGCCAATCCCTTCATCACCTTGACGAATAATTTATTTATCCTCATATCTCCTTCTGATCGCTTGTAGCGTTCAATGATTATCTTGGTGTACTTTTCCGGGCGGAGAACAACTGCAGCAATGTAATAATTTACCAACAAGTAATCACGTTTGGTTGCCAATTCGTCATCGGTTACTAATTGATCCTTGTGTATTTCCTCGTATCTGACCAATTGGTGAAATACCTCGTCCAAATGCCGTAAACTAAACATCAAGACTGGATGTTTCTTAAAGTTACTCGTTTCAAACCTTGCTCCCAAGTGGAAAATATTTATCAATGCTTCAAGACTTTCCAAATTGTTGCAATTGGCAGCATCTTTCAAGATTGTCGTTAGGAATCTGAGTCTTTTATTAAATGCCAACTTCAATTTATTCAATGGTTTGAGTGAATTCATTTCAGCAAAATCACTCACACATAAACTAAGGAAACACGTCAATATGTATGGAGCACACGAGACTAGTGTATAATTGTCTTCAAACACTGACATTGCCGAATCAAATAGCTGCTTCAACGCAGTGGCATGACGTAGATTGTTTGGATCAACCAAGGCGTTATAATCACCCACTCTGGAAAGCGATTGATCTTTGATACTAGTTGCCAAAAAGAACAAATAAACTTGTCTCCAAGTATTTGACTTGATCACGGGAATTGTCTTTAACGACTCCTCGGCAAAAATCACTGCATTCATTTCTGAATAAAATGCATACTTCATTAGTGGACAATACTTTTGAATAGTAGGGAGTGGTATGGTTTGACTGGTATCTGAGTATGCATATAGCTTTGTCTGGATGTATTTGTAATAATCATCTGGATTAGCGGTAGATATGAATCGAAGAACAACTTCGATATAAGAGTCAATATCTGCAATTGCATTCAATACTTTTTCCAGCTCAGTCATTGGTTGATCTTCCCTAGCAATATCCTGCTCTTCTTTGGCAATAGCTATATTAGTCATTGATTTTTCATTCCTCACCATTGCAAGTACTCTTCTAACCACTCCCGTAGACATCAAATTAATGTAAAAGCTTAGGACATCAGAAATTATGGCTGAATTTAGAGGTTGTGGTTGTTCATAGTAGTAGAATCTCGAGTAGTTGCTCAATATATCATTGTCTTCCAAAAAAGTAGTTTCTCTGTCCCAATTTGCTTTCAATATCTCAGCCAAAGTCTTGCATACTAACAATGTTGATGACCGTGATTTTTCATCTCGATACTTGAGTCTGGCATTTTGTGCTTCTGTGTTGATTGTCAGTAGTAGTGATGTGAATGATGTTATAATCAATGATATCATGTGTCCATTTTTGCAATGTAAATCCAATAGTAAATTTCTTGTTGTTATAAACTGAGCATCAATCTCCACCTCTTGTACAGTATGGCCTGTTCTGAATGGAAGTAGTGACTCAATACGCTTGACCAATGAGTCGACAAATCTCCGATCATTTTCTTCTATGCCAACTGTGCTCATTGTGTGTCATTAGTGGAGAGGAGAATTTGAACAGTAGTCGTACCGGTTGTGGTTTTCTTTTTCTCCTCTTTTAATTATATGAGCAACTCGATTAAAAAGCTATTGAGGTACCCCCAACGTCAACGTCGATTTAGTAAATTTAGATAGGGAGAATTGTTAATTTACGCAATGTATTCGTAGTGTAACGTGGTGGTGTTCTGTGATACCTGTGGATGCTATATTGGGTATGGTTGTATTTCTATGCTCAATGGAGTTATATTGTCTCAAATTTAGGATTGACTGTTTTTTTTTTGTTGTTTTTTTTTTTTTATTTTTTTAATTTTGTTTTTCCTTTCTTTGTTAAAAGCGAAATTTAAAGTGAGTGAGTGAGTGTGTGTGTGTGAGTAGCAGTAGTAGCAGTAGCAGTAGTAGCAGTAGTAGCAGTGGCAGTATGAAATGGATAATTCTACGAAATTGTTTTTTTTTTCTTTCTTTTTTTTTGGGGGGGGGGGACGAGGAGGAGGACTTAGTCCAGAGAGAAAGAGAGAGAGAGAGAGAGAGAGAGAGATGGGTTCATATAGTACAACAGTAAGGATATATTGAAGTACAGTTTCGATAGAAGAAAGCTTTCTTTAGAATAAGCTACTATGGTGCTAAGTAACTACTGGGTGTGCAAGTGTGTTCAGCCAGTTGTTGGATGCTTTTTTTTTCCTCCTGCCTCGCCCTCGTTGTTAATTTTCATACAAAAGTCAGTCATTCAGCCGTAGAAGACAACAGCAGTCCGAAACTGGAAAAAAAGACGGAAAATTTCTTCTCTCTATGACATCATCATCACTATATAGTACAACAACACAAGTGTTTTCAAAACAAGAGCATTGGTAATGTATCTTTAGCTCTAAGTGGTACTGTAGGTAGGTCTTAGTGCACTGTATGGTACCAGTAAATCATTCCCTTTCAATCTAGTAGTGGATGGCTGGCATACACACACTAACACACACTAACACAATCTCTCTCTCTCTCTCTCTCCCCGAGGGCATTGTTGTTTGTTTTTCCACTTAATACTTTACTTGAGAGGAAAACACACAAAAGTACATCACAATAAAGAGGTTAAACCTCGCCAGAGCAGTCTCTGTAGCCGACAACTGTAGTCAAAAGAACTCACAATGTATCCTAAAGTGTGGACCTTATTATATTCGGAGCTTGTAAAGACGGAAAGAAAATTACATATCATTCCATCAATAGAAGTTTTTTGTTCAACTGGTCTTTTTGGTATATTTTAGCATGGGAATGTGGCAAAAATTTAAATGCCACATAGCTAAGAAGAGACTTCTCCACTAATCGGATATCAAAAATAACAACGTTCATAATCATTCAGTCTTTATTATACTAGGAATATACTAGGAATATACTAGGAAACTCCCCCTGATGCAAATATAAAGCTCTTTCCTCTCTCTCTCTGTCGGTCTCTATCCTATCTATACACAAGTTACTTTCTTTGCTATTTAAGCAACAGTGAAGAATTTGCTTGTTGTACCTGCATACAATTGCACAATAAAAAAAATTAAAACAACCAGCACTAGCACCAGCACAACATTCTTTTCTCTTGCCGAGAGAGAGAGAGAAGGGCAAACGAGAGAGACGGAGAAAATCAAAAAAGAACAAAAAGAACACACACACTAACACACACCCACAAGTCACACAAGTCACACAAGTCACCAAATAATTAGTTTTAACCCCAATTAGAGGGAAAAGATATCATTAGCAATAGAACCTTATTAAGCATAGCGAAGCATAATAATAATACACACACACACACAGCTACATCAACTCAGACACATTCTCAAGCACAGTAGATTGCCCACATACAGAAAAACCCATTTCGCTTATCTCACACAACGTTTCACACTAACACAATCCTAATCACTAATCATGGCAACCCCGGCACAACAAGGTGATTCCTCATCAGCACAACAACGTTTTGTTCAATTCAAACTAGTTCTTTTAGGAGAAAGTGCAGTTGGTAAGTCATCTATAGTACACAGATTTGTCAAGAACACATTTGACGATGCTAGAGAATCAACCATTGGAGCTGCCTTTTTAACGCAATCGATTACGATACCAGAAACACAAACAACGATCAAATTCGAAATATGGGATACTGCTGGTCAGGAACGCTACAAATCATTGGCACCAATGTATTACCGAAATGCCAATGCTGCATTGTGTGTATACGATATCACTAGTCGCAATTCATTTGCCAAGGCACAAGATTGGATTAAAGAGTTGAAGAAACAAGCACCAAGTGACATTGTAGTGGCCTTGGTTGGAAACAAGTTGGATTTGGAAGATAATAGAGAAGTGCAGCTGGAGGAGGTTGATGAGTACATTTCAGAATTACAAACCGATGGATTCAAGATAATTAAAGCTGAATGTTCGGCCAAAAATGGTGATGGAGTTGTGGAATTGTTTGAAGCAATAGGTAGAGCTTTACCTGTAGAGGAAGTGCTTGCAGCCAATGCCAACAGGTCGAGGCAAGGGGACGCTGCTGGGGGTGGAAGAAGACCCGGCGGTGTTGACTTGAATAGACCTAAGCGTGCGCAAGCTCAAAGTAGTTCATGCTGTTAAAAAGAAGAGGGAGATACGCTATTGTATTATGTTTTGTATAGTATAATGTTGAAGGAAACCCTACATAGTGTCGCCAAAATGCACGACCTTTTTTTTTCACATAAATTTTTTTATTTTCTTTCTTCTCTTTCTGTCTCTCTCTCTCTCTCTCTGCAAAAAAAAAAAAAAAAATTCAAAAAGTGAAAAATTTTTCACCTTCCCACCTACACAAACCTTTTTCTTCATTAACTAAACCACTTTACAAAATGTCATCAAGACCACAAGTTTCCGTCATCTCCGTTCAAGGTGAACAATCATCTACTCAATTACCATTGCCATCAGTCTTTTCTGCCCCAGTCAGACCAGATATTGTCCACTCTGTCTTTGTTAGAATCAACAAGAACAAGAGACAAGCATACGCTGTTGCTGAAAACGCTGGTCACCAAACCTCAGCTGAATCATGGGGTACCGGTAGAGCTGTTGCTCGTATTCCAAGAGTTGGTGGTGGTGGTACCCACCGTTCTGGTCAAGCTGCTTTTGGTAACATGTGTAGAGGTGGTCGTATGTTTGCTCCAACCAAGACTTGGAGAAGATGGCACGTGAAAGTTAACCATAACGAAAAACGTTATGCTACTGCTTCTGCCATTGCTGCTTCAGCTGTTACTTCTTTAGTTTTGGCTAGAGGTCACAGAGTTGAAAACGTTAAGGAATTGCCATTGGTTGTTGGTAACGAATTTGAATCTGTCCAAAAGACCAAGGAAGCTGTTGCTGTCTTGAAAGCTGTCGGTGCTCACAAGGACGTTGTTAAGGTTATCAAGTCCAAGAAGATGAGAGCCGGTAAGGGTAAATTGAGAGGTAGAAGATTTACTCAAAGAAGAGGTCCTTTGGTTGTTTATGGTGAAGACAAGGGTTTGGTTAAAGCTTTGAGAAACATTCCTGGTGTTGAAACTTCATCAGTTAAACACTTGGGTTTGTTGCAATTGGCTCCAGGTGCTCACTTGGGTAGATTTATCATTTGGACCCAATCTGCTATTGAAGCTTTGGACTCTGTTTACGGATCTGAATCAACCAAATCCATCAAGTCCAACTACTCATTGCCAGCTAACATTATCTCCAACACTGACGTTACCAGATTGATCAACTCTGCTGAAGTTCAAGCTGTTGTTAGACCAGCTGGTGAATCCACCCAAAAGAAGGGCCATGTCTTGAAGAAGAACCCATTGAAGAACAAGCAAGTTTTGTTGAGATTGAACCCATACGCCAAGGCTTACTCTGCCGAAAAATTGGGATCTGCTAAAGCCGAAAAGTCTAAAGCTAGACCATCCAAGGGACAATTTGCTTCAGTTTTGAAAAACTAAAGGTAAACATGTGAAAGTATAGGTTTTGTATAGATAATCTATGTGGAACATTGCCCTCTAATCAGGAAATTTGTAAGGAAATTTGTAAGGAAATGTGTCGCTTTGAACAATGCTGCGCTACATGCCATGTGTCAAAACAAAGTATTATTTATACATTGATACATTGATTAACAAAACGATAACTAAAACAAACAAACAACAAATAAAACTTTAGAAAATGAACTAGAAAACTAACTATAACCGAAATTTATATCTTTTCAACTTGTGCCACGTCTGCACTCATTACTGTAACTGCACTTCACCACTGACTGGACGAAGTACATTCTCTTCAAAGTATGACTTACCAGTAGTCCAATCAGTTCCAACAATGTTACCCCTGCTATAATACTCACAAATGGTGTATTGTCTCCAAGCATTATTACAAGTAACATAAGCGCAACCAACTTGTGAAGTAGCTTTCCAAATCAATTGTGTGAAATGTCCCGTTGCCGAAGAGTATCCTGGTGAATCAAAGTTATAATCTTTAATTTCATTATACCATGCATTGACGGGTGAATCACCACCGGGGTATCCAGCAGCCAAGTTTTCTCCATAGGGTCCACCAGAATGGACTAATTGGACATTGTCACATGAAAAAGTACGGGCGGCGTAGTCGACTGCGTATTGGGCCAAAGTGTCGTTCCAGCTCAAGTTTTGTACTCCATGGAGGGAACGGACACGGTTGTGGGCAGCTAAGATTGTGTTGGCGAATGCGGCGTCAGTGGATGGGGTCGATAATTGACTTGATGATGATGTTGCTGGTGTTGATGAAGTGGTAGTGGAGGATGAGGTGGTGGTGGCTGGAGCGGTTGTTGGAGCCGATGTAGTGGTAGTGGAGGATGAGGAGGAAGAAGAGGTGGTTGGGGTAGTTGATGTAGTTGAGCTTGTTGATTGTGTTGATGTTTCGGGTACCGATGAAGAGCTAGTTGTGGGGGTAGTGGCAGTAGAACTTACTTCTGAGCTTGAGCTTGAGCTTGGGCTTGGTGCAGCTGGTGTAGACGACGTTGATGAAGTTGAACTTGGCGAGGATGTAGAAGAAGTTGAAGTAGTGGTGGCAGTTGGTGGTGGACCGTAGATTGTAGTCAAACCTGTTTTTGTAGTGGTTCCAGTAGTAACAGTGACCCAATTGGTATGAGTAGTATCAGCAGTGACGTAGTTGGTATATATAACTGGAGCAGCTTCAGCAGCAGCTAATATAGCAGTGATTGAGGAAAAAGTGGATATTCTCATAATGATCAATTGTGAAGGGTATTTTCTTTTAACAAAGTCAATGAATGAATGAATGTAGTTACTGTTGTTGACTGTGTTGATTATTTACCAAATGAGTGTATATAAAAGAGAGAGACTGTGTGTGTGTGTGTGGTAATGAACGGTGATGCTTTTGAAAAAATGGTCAATTGACTTGAGGGTAAAATTGTTGGAAATTACCAGTTTATATATGGCCGGAGACAAAGGGGAGGGGGGATAAGAACAGAACGAGATTTTGGTAATGGAAAGAAATAAGTTAAAACCCAAAAAGACTTTGTGAATTTTTTAAAAACTCTTGTGTAATTGATTCATTGTTCATCAAACTGCAAGCTTTAACCAACTCAATATTAGAAGGCTTCCACGCTTAATCCAAAAATGCAAGAAAAAAAAATAAATTCAATCTTGCTATAATAATACTTTTGCATCTCTCTCTCTCTCTCTTTTTGTTTGTATATATTTTTTGCAGTCGATATATTATAATTACGTGATATTACACAAAACATTTTATGGCGATGCGTTTGCTGGCTAAAGTCGTTTTTTTTTTTTCTTTTAAAGCTTTGTGTAAGAGCTGCTTTATATACAGGAACAATTCCTAATGGGGATTTTTGAACCAGAAAAGAACAACAAAATAAAAGACTAAAAATGAAGAGGAAAGGTACGTGTGGGTGTATATAGAATCAGTACAATTAGTGTTTTCCCCACGGCCAACCCAACTGAGTTACAAGAATGGTGGTTAATTCTATCCTTCCTTTGTTTTACAATGCTCCACTTTGACAAATTTTTGCGTCAAGTGAAGCACTTTACTGATTTGATTTCATTCAAAAAGTCAACTCAAACAAAAAACACCCAATTAATCTATTCCACAACTCTGCAAAAAAAACTCTCATGCAGTAGAGCTTATTTACACTTACATCTCCTTTGATCATATAGTGGATAAAACCTTTTTTTGGTTACCCCCTGTCACAAAAATTTCCAAACGCACTTCTTTAGGCGTGAACCATAAGGTAAAGAGTTTTCCTTTTTTGGCCTAGCATGAAACTGCCTGACAGTAGTAAAGAGAAAACCCATTCCCGATTTAGATTCTGAAGCAAGACAACACCGAAGACTATATTCACAATAGATATATAAAATAAAAAACACGCTATTGTTTATAATACGTGCTGTTTATTGTTTACACTTTTGATTGATGGTTTTGTGTAGAGTTCTTCCTTTTTAGATCTGTTTTTTTTTTACTTTCTGAGGTTTTGTGGTTTGCAAGCCATGCGACCTTCAACTTATCCGAGAAAAACCAACCAGAAATTGGGTTTGAGTCCGGATGTTTTCAATTGAAAGGCGCTGTTGTTGCTGTTGTTGTTGCTGTTGTTGTTGTTGATGACTTTATAGATCACTTTCCGGCCAGGGCGCAGATACCAATGCCATCGGATCTGGGAATCATGCACGAGGTACCAAAATGACAAGATTGATTAAAAAGTTAAATTAAAGATCCGGATTCATTAGTTTTTAATCCACGGGATTAAATCTCAGTTAGCGTTTTTGTACTAGCTGATCCACTTTTGGAGGTGCAAACATGATGAGGTTTAATATAAACTAAAAATACAGCTTCCTAATGCGAGAGCAATACTGACTATGCTTCACTTTATAAAGCCTCTATTCCGTTATTGGTAATTTATGTCATCGAAAACGTGCAAAGGCTAGCAGCCAACGTTTCTGATTGGGAAACGCAACAAACTTGAAGATGGAGGACTGATGTCCATGGGAAAGTACGTGTAAAAAGAAACCTAGACTTTTGAAGAAACGCCAGTGGTGGTGGGCTCATAACCATAAAGTGGAGGAATTTTTTTCATTTTTCATTTTCATTTTCGTTTTCCGCGTTCTTCTGTCGTTGGTAAAATAGCTTTGCTTGTCAAATGCAAGATTTAATTTGATATTGTGTAAACCAGCTTTATAACTCACATCTTTCATCGTTGATCGTCGATGGTGCGTTCTTCCCAAAAAAAAAACAAAAAAACAAAAAAACAATCAACGTTATTTTTGTGTACTTGTTTTTAGATTTTTGCGTTGTTTTGGTTGTGGCCCAATATGGATGAAAAAAGTACCAAAATGGAGCGAGATAAAGTATTATTATTACCAGCACGAAATGTTCTATTATATTTATAAAGTGAGTGTCTTGTGATTGGCTGGAGCAGAGTATCACGTTTTGGGATGATCAAAGTAGCTTCCTATGTTGAATGTTGAAGACTAGAACATTTATTGCATATCCTGATCAGCTTTGGTCGGAAAAGTACAAAGTCAATCAGATTTGAGAGCCAATGGTTTGTGTCTAATAAGTTACAGTGATGAAGCACTCAATGCTTGCTCTGCACGAAGCTTTGCCTGGCTCACGAAAATTTACGTTTCAACGGTAAGTTTAGACTGAGACGATGCTTGCTATTACTTTGAAATAAGTTGCGTTAAAACCATCTGACTAAACCGTGAAAAAGGTTTTAGCGCACTAGAAAACCGATGCATCGCGTTCATGCAAATATTTACACTCATAACCATTGCGTGTTGACTCTCCTTTACTACAAAAACAACCAGTACAGAAAAGAACAAATTCAAAAGACAATTTGAATTTGTTTATGCTGCATATCTCTACAAGTAGACTTTTCTGTAAGCTTCTACACAACCTGGTCATCATCATGAGATGCATATACTATTGTTTCAAATTGAAAGTTTAAGAAGAAGGTGATTGTTGTTGCCGCTCTTGTTTTCTCAAATCCAACGACTGTAGAATAGGCTGTATCCAACAACAAATACGTCTATGATGCTCTACCATTTTTTGTTTTTGGAGTTTTTCTATTCCATTGTAGAAATTTGAATCATTGTTGACTTGCTAGTGCTCGGTGTTTACTGGTTGGAAATCAAAATGGTTCGTGGAAAGATGCATCTTTTAGTATGATAAATTTTTCTTGGTTTAGTTCTCATCAAAGTTTTGTACTACGATATAAACACGCCTTAAAAAACTGTCAACTAATGTTTGACTTCTCCCATGGGCGGCTAGGCGCGTCCTCAGATGATTATTGAGGAAACGCTGGCTTCAACGCGTTTTTTTTTTTTTTCCAGTGCATTTCCATGAGAAGGTTGCCACAATGTATAGGAGGAAGAGGGATCGTTGGTGTAGTTGTTGCCTAACACGATTGATCAGCAGCAAAGTCGTTTAATGCAGGCACCATTAATCGGAGCCATATAATACAATTTAAAGAAACATTTACAATAAATATAGTAAACCCCGGATATACACATTGGAGACACAATTGTACACAACTACAACGAAACCGAAGACTGCAAGTCATCTCCCTTAGAAGCCACCAATGCCAAAACTCTCCTTTCCCAAATATCCAAACTAACAGAAAACACATCAATCATAAACTCCTCATCATTTTCCGAAACTTCAAAAGCCCACATTTTCTTAAAATATCCATTGATATTATGCTTTAGTGAATCACCCAATGAAACTTTTAAACTATTGGCAACGGTAATCACATTCCATGTATATCTCACGTCATTAAATAAAAACCGAAGCCCCTCAACTTGATCTTGTGTGAATGAATTGTTGCTAAAGTAGGACAATTGACTTAAAATTTGTTTGTATTTCTCATGAAAATTGGAGCTAAAATCAGATTCCGTAGCTCCAACGTCTCTAATTGCGTCTCCATCTTTTAGATTATGTAGTAAATGATAAATGTTCAACATAAATGTCACTTCATCACAACACAATGTCCTAAACACTTCTAAATGATCAAAATTAACAAGCAAACCCGCTTCCTTCAAATCCCCTTTACCCAACTGTGGTTGGTATTGTTGTGGTATACGAACATATGGAATCAACTGCGGTTTTGATGTAGACTTGGTGTTGCTTTTGCAGTTGGCGAGTTTGAATAGTTTAGTGAATAGTTTAGTCATTTGAGTACTAAACAAATAGCTAATAAATATAGTTTGAGATAATATAGCAAAGAGGTGATGCAGCAGGAAACCTTGCAATTTTGAAAGTGAACAAATATATGGAGAAATTGTTTCGGTATTTGAGTACACAACCACATTGTGCTTTCAAGTTGAAGGTACTTTTTTTGATATGCTTGATCAAGGCTCGCAATTCTTATATATAACTTTGTAATACGTCAGGCAAAGAAAATACTAGGACCCGCTTTACTTTGATAGATCCAGGGACACCGCCATTGTAAACTTTGTTTGCTGGTCACCTCGGTGGATATGGTGTGGTGGACCATTTTAGAAATCACCAACAGGTTAACCTTTCCTCTCCATGTGACACCAAAGTCTGTTCAACTTTTTAACCTTTGAAGCATCATCATCATCATCACGTATGTCATCTTTGATCTGTAATACATTGTTATAACAGTGTCAGCTGAGAAACCATGTGTCTATTTGCCACTTCTTCTCGTTCGTTGTTGTTGTCTGGGGCGGATTATCACATGCGGGGAGGACCTGCATATAAACCACACGGCGAAATCGTAAGACAGAAAAGAGTGAGATTGAGGGTTTTTTTTAAGACCGGTCACAGTTTGATGTTCTAGCAAAAGCTGGTGAGAATCGAATGTTCCTTATCAGGTGCTATGGCAAAGTAATAGCTCCAATCAAATACATGACAAATCTCCAATGAACACCAGCCCTCTTTAATGTACTCTATTTTATCTCGCCGTTAATGTGGCGCGTTTGACTTCAGCACATCGGAAATAAATTGACTTCATCTCCGCGTGAAATGCCACCAACATTTTCGAAAATACTTCCAGCATCTCCAAGCCCCCAACTACGCATTCTAGAGGAGCTCTACTATTACCCCTATTTTACTGCCAAAACTAATGTCCAGTTTACCCGTTTAAGAGCTGCTGCATGGTCAAACCGTGTGGTTGTTGTTGTGTATTTCTTTTTTGTTTCTTTTTTTTTTTTTTTCGCTCACTCTCGCTCTCGCTCCGCCTAATTTACTTTTTTCCTAAAGTATACGAGATCAAAAGGTTTTTAATTTTCCACAAATTGACATTTCAGAGATAGCAACAACGACAGGTAAACCCCACTTCCTCAGTCCTCATAGCTCAACGTCCAAGGAGATTTTACAGCCATGTTCAAAGGTTTGAGAAAAAAGGCATCGATATTGTCACTATACCCCACAACATCAAATCAAAATACTGTGGAAAATGCCTCAGCTCTCAACTCCAACAGTAATTATGATAAGATTTTAAAGCAAGTGCATGATTTCGAATCTGCTTTGAAAGCGATGGACTACCTTTTGGATGATCGCTCGAACGAAGGGACAGCTTTGTTGAAAAAGGAGGCACAAACAGTTGTCGAGGATGATCTGCCTCGAGCCATTTTCCCATTGGCTTTAGGAATGATGGAATTTATCGAAGCAACTTTGGGGTTTGAGCCAGAAGTCATGGCCAAAGCACACAAAACACTTTCCGAAGCAGAGAATGCCTCTAGTAACAATTCAAAATACAATACTCGTTACCAATTGGCAACATCCACAATTTACCCACCAGGAACCGAATTTCAAGTAACATTGGCAGAATCTACGTTATTAAATGCGTTGTTGATGTTGTTGAAGGAAAACAATGGGGTCGTTGAAAGTGCCAAAGCATTGTTTAAGCTACGAAAAGCGTACCAGATCTTGGATTCGGTACACAAGAGAATGCAAGAGCTGGAACCGGTATTCAACAAGAACTTGGCTAAGTTAAAGAGAAAGGCAGCTAATGGTATTGGAAAGAGCAATGGAGTGTTTTTGAACAACAATAATCAATCGATTAGCACAGTTGACTTGCCTGGGTTTGATGCTCTCAATGGCTCCTCAAGTTCATTGCCCCAGGATATAAAATTGATGAAGGATTTGGAGAAGATTTTCTTGATGCGGAAAGCTAGGATCGAAGGATCAAATTTGGGGAATACTGAACCACTCAACATGTTTGAAGATCTGAATAGTTCCATCACACTTGCAAAGAAAAACTTTTCTGAGCCCCTGGATGTACAGAATAATAACTCAGATGATGATGAGTTTGAAGATGCTATGGAACATTTGGCAGTGAGCGATGCACCTAGTTCATTTGTCGGGTCAAGTGCTCAATCTATTCTCTCTTCAGTTGACACGTCGCCAAGCTCGCAGGGAAACGGATCAGATACATATCTCCATGTTTCCACAACTGATGAATTTATTCATTCTGGAGTGCAGTTGTGTTTTGGTATTTTACAAGTTGTATTGTCGTTGATCCCACCAGCTATTGGTGCAGTATTGTCCATTGTTGGGTTCAAAGGTAATAGGAGTATTGGGCTTCAACTTTTGTGGAGAACGGCAATAACCTCAAGAAATGTCCATGGTGAATTGGCATTGCTATTTTTGTTGGTGTTTTATGATGGACCGGTACAATTTGTTGATACAGGATTTAGATTACCCGAGTCCAAAGAGGACCATAACGTCATCTCATTGAACAACAAGTTGACTGTCCTGGAGGAAGAGTTGGAAAAGATTATGGATAATCCACCACTTTACACTAGCCAATTGTTGCGTTCAGCACGTCAACATTTCCCACATAACGCCTTGTGGATATTGCAAGAGGGGAGAATGTTGGCAGCAGAGGGTGATTTGGTAGGTGCTAGCACTCTTATGCAAAATTTCACAGACGATCCAAATAACAAGATTCAAATGAAACAAATTGAATCATTGTTGATGTTTGATCGTGCTATTATCTACATTTATATGCACGAGTATGATAAAGCAGCAAGGGACTTGATTCACTTGATCGATATCAACTCGTGGTCCAAAGCCGTGTACTTGTTTATGGCTGCTTCGTGTTATCTTGAGAAATATAGAATGATCAAGATGGGTGTTTTAAAAGGTGGCCCGACGGAAGCTCAAAAGTATGCTGATTTGTTTGCTAAAAACATGAAACTCTCGTTGAGTTATGTTCCTGGGCATGGTCACAATGCCTCAAAGAAAGGTGGATTGGGAGGTAGTGGCAAACAAATGCCATTTGATAAATTCTTGTTGCGTAAACACAAGCACATTGAAATGAGAAAGAAACAGTATCCTGACGTTCAATTGGCAGATTTGGTTGGTACTTCATTGATTCATGAGTTGGTATATTTCTGGAATGGGTACAATAGAATGACCAATGAACATTTTCAAATTGCATTGAAAATGTTGGGATACTCTGGCGCTCCAAATGCCGAACTTTCAGCAAATACCAATAAGCATTCCTTTGCAGTGATTCAAGAAACCGAAGATGAAGCAATGATACGATACTTTCTCCAATCCGTTTGTTTGAGACAATTGGGTCAAATGAAGGAAGGTAAACGAATTCTTCAACAGTATGTGTTGTCAAAGATTGTCATTTCCGATTCCCCGCAATTTAAATTCCACAAGATGACATACAGTCCGTACTTGTACCCCACAGCATTTTATGAAAACACCATGTTTACTTGGGTTGAAGAAACTGGGCCAAATTCCAACATTGACGTGAAGAAAGCTGTTGCTGATAGTAAAGCGTGGTTGAAAAAAGCAGAAATTGTAGGAGATGGTGATTACGAGTTGAGTAATAGAACCAGTATGCGTATAAAGGCAGCTGGCGATAGATTAGACCAGTTAGCAAATGTATAACTTTTCTATAGACTATTATACATTTAGTGAAATTTTTTAGTTGAAGTAGGAATCAACCAACTTGGCAGCCACATTGAATCTGAGTAGGAGAGTCACAAGCCACGCGATGGCCAAAAGGGGCAAAATACCAGCTACAACAATCAATTGTAAAACTCTTGCTGGGTTTCGATCATTCAGCTTGACAACATTTGATGAAATGAATGGCAATGAATTGAACCCATAAAATGTCACGACAAAGTAGTAACCGATACTTCCAAAATATAGTGAGTTCCCCAAAACCAATGCAATGATTGATTTCTTCATTCTTATAATTGGTAATAAGATAAATTGGACGACATATAGTAAACACCAAATAACCAAAAACGAATTGCAATGAATGTCAAAACAAAAACCCCATTCGATATAGTTTGCACTATACTTGTTCAACCCCACTTCCAAGTTGAACAATTTATTAGTCGCCAACCATGTCACTGTAGCAATGACGATCCCAGTGAGGTAAAAGTCAACCACCACCATGTATAAAATCAACTTGAAAATATCCCACACCGAAGGCGAGTATGCCAATCCCCATGCGATTGCACTCACGGAAAGGAAACCAGTGACCAATATCAAAAACGATGGATCATCTCTCGTATACGATGTTTTCCCGTCCGGTTGTTGTTGCTGTTGTCGGTAATAGTAATGCGATCGATACATCTTTTTCGGATTAATGATTAAATGAAAAATCTCCCATATCGCCGTTTCGAAATCCAATGTACTAGGTTTGAATAGTCTTTTAACCATTTTCCTGACATTTTTGAACTTGTTTTTGAATTTGAATGACGTGGAGTTGTGATGGAATGTAGGACGAGGGATATATAGTGACGACGGAGTTGACGCAATTGACCCAGCTCGAACTGATCCATGCTTTGTAGATGGAGTGGATTGAGGGAAGAGGTCCTGGGTAGTATATGGCAAATTGAGTCGTTTAGTCATGGGCTTAGTTCTGTAATGGTCCAAAGTTCATTATTTGTTGGTAAAAAAAAAAAAAAATCGGTACAAATTTTGTTTGATTTCCCGCACTATAAAAACACTATTCACTAAATATAGAATTTGCATCATCCCAGATTTGCTTGAGCTGGAGATCGGTGTTGCCTGAGGAGGCTTTATGTGATAGAGAATCCTGATTGTGGTGTCGCTTTATATATCCCAAAACACCGATATCAGATTCAATTTGTTTCTTACTAGCTTGCCGAGACGAAAATCGTAGTCTGATTGTCGTGTATTGTGCCAGAATGATTTCGTGCTGAACCTTCCAGTCGTAATTGATCACAGGTTGGTCTGGTTGCTCATTTTGGTAAAGATCTTTAAAATCTATTAACTTTTGTTGTGTTCGATTAAGTTTGGTGGTGTAGGTTTCTGATGATTTGAGTGCAAGATTATGCACTATTTCCTCAAAATCAGGCTGACTATCTTGACTTTCAACCAGGTCTATTTCATATTGAGTGTTATCTGTTTCTTCTCCTTTAATACTGAGCCTCTCATCGCTGCTGGATGACTCTCTTCTGTAGAACGATGCCAATCCCTGTGCAAAATTAGACATTTTGTCATAAAGGCTTGAATTGCGAGGGGATTGCTGTGGTGTTAGTTTTTCTAATTCTTTGAACGAGTTGTCTGTGCTCAAGTTTATACTCGATGCGACTGGGTGTTTGGTGTTATACTGGTCATCAAGCATAGTGAATGGACTTATCTCTTTCGAGGGGGTGCTAGTTGGAGGTAAATCGTATGAACTCCATCGTTTGAATTCAGGTCTATGGGTATAATTAAGGTCCCTCTGTCTCTGATGCGGTGCTTGGGTCAAAGACCTAGTGAGTGACGTTCTGTGGTTTACTGCCTGTTGGAGTAATTCTTGACGTGATTTTCTTGTTCTTGAGTCTCTACTTGGTAGTTGGAATTCGTCAAGTGGAGCCCCTCTAGTTGGTGTCCTTCCTCTTTCATGTGTGTGCTTGCGAATCAGCTTCATGCTTTTGCATTTGATAATATCTATCCCTGCACCCTATCACAAGCATTGTCTCAAGATATGTTGATGGTAATTTTTTGATATCAATTTTATGCAAAAGGGTCCTTATCTTCACGTGACTAAATTTCATTAATATTTTTTTTTTTTCTGTTATCAACGAATTAGAATGAGTTATAAATTTGCCATAAAGAGTTTCAGTTTCCCTAAACAGTATAAACTATATAGGATCAAGACGGAGTAATTTTTCCTTTAGATTTTCCTCAGCGCTCTTGACTAACGTTTTTCTTCGCAAGTTGACAAACTCTGCAAGATTGATAATGTCCTTTTTTCTTTCCAAAATCGTTTCCACTTTATCGGGTTTATCAATGGCAATGATTTTTTCAAACACTTCCGACAAATCTTCAACAGTCTTGTTTAAAAAATCCTGATTTGTTTCAAAAATTTGTGAGAAATTCAGCTTGGCCAAGTAGAAGGCAAAACAATATGTCCATTTCAATGTTTTTCTCCCATTCTGTAAAGCTCTCATTGCATCAGGGAGGAACTGGACATCGTTCCAAGAGAGGTTCTGTTGACCCTTTTTCCTAGTCTCCTCCATGTATAACTTAGTAACATTATCAATTTTTTGCAATGTCTTTTGATCACCTTTCATTGATGATTCATGGATAGAATACCGTTTATAGAAATGCAAATACCTTTCCAATGTTGCTCTACTTTTGTTCTTGCGAATTTCATCTTCCTTTGCATTATCTTTGAACCTGTTGCATGAATAGTTGTTTGAGTGGCTGCTCCAATCACCAAAGCAGATCCAACAGAATTCGTGTTTGCACTTTCTGCATGTCATATGGTTACATCCTCCATTCTTTTCAATCGAAGTGTGACACTTGGGGCATGAATGAGTGTTTGCATCAATCCAGTTTGCAGTCTCAGAATCGTCTTCACACTTTTTCACCCATGCTTTAACCAACCAACAAGGACATGGAAGGTGATTTTCATAATTGCATTCAAAACAAAATTCGTGATGTTCAGCACATCCTACAATGGGGATTAATGACAAGTCAATAGAGCCGGCGGTTTGTTTAATCGAAGATGCATCAGCTATTTCTGTAAAGCTGGTACAATCAGTGGCAGGACACCATTTAAAGTTGTTCTTAGTGTCGACCCACTCCCTTACCGCGGTGATGAGCATGGGGTTTTCTCGAAGTGGCTTCTCAGCAACAATCAAGGTCTTTTCTGATTCGATTATGGCTATCATATGAGCAATATCTTGAAACGGTATAGTGTACCTGCAACTAGGATCCATACACGTTATCAACCGACCATTATTCACTTCATTCATAACGTAGTGATGATAGCACTGAATGCAAAACTGATGATTACATGTTAATGAGTAAACTTGTGTTGATGGGTACGTGTCGCAACATATAAAACAAGTAAAGTCATTGGCTGTTTCAAAATTATTGTTGGACTTGCCGCACGGTAGACCACACTGCTTCATTAGATTGCCTTTATCACCAAAATACGCGTCCAAAACTTCATCCAGTTGCCATTTTTTCACATACAACATGGCCAACAAGTCACTAACGGAACATCCTTCTAAGTTGAAACTTTGCAACTTTTTCAACGCGTTGAGAAACTGAGATTGAATAAAACTTTCTATGCTCCAAGGATGATAAGGAGTTCCATTGTACCCGACATTAACCGCGTCATCATTGAACTTTGATTGTGGAGTATCTAAGGACTTCTCTGTGTCAAATAGCTCGCCATCATCTGATTCAAACGAGATATTAGAGCCCTCTTCAAATTCTTCTTCGTCAGATTCTTCAAATTCATAATACTCAAGCTCTTCTTCCTGTTCTTCGTCGTCACTGGGGTCTCTATCTCTCTTTGTCATGTTGTGTAGGTGATTTTGTAGAAAAAGATTGCTGTTAGTGGTACCAAAAAGAATAGGAAATTAGGAAAGAGAGAAAAAAAAAACAAGATAGGAGTGCAGATTCCATATGAGTCAGGAGAAAGATAAACTGGTGGAGGGGGGAAGGAAAACCTTGGAGGGAGTTCTAAGCAGCTTAGACCAAAAATTAAGAATGAAATTAACGTTCTCTTCCTGCCAAACTAACTGGTGTTTGTTGTCAGGAAGATTTTAGTTACACAACAACGGGGTAGTTCCGACCAAGTCGCGACTTTCTTTCTTGCGACACAATAACAACAACCCTCGGGATGTAAAACACACTATATGCAGGAACAACAATCCTTATTTAAAGAAAAACTTTTTCTGCGTAAAAATTTTACACACACTTTTTCTTCTTCTTCTTCTTTAACATCAGTAGTGTTAACTAAATGATTAACATTTTTACATTCATAAGAGAAAGTAGGATGCAGAGGTGTAGGTGATCTTTGCTTCTGTATTTCTACAAAGATTATAAACCCAAGCTAGTCAGCTACAGCAACGTCTAACAAACGTCCATTGTAGTTGACTCGTTTCATCTCTTTAGATTGATACGAACTTTATGCCCAACTCGATAGTGGTTTTTACACAATTGAATTCACTCTTGGACATGGTTCTACATTTTTACAAACATTTGTTGAGTAGGCGTCGACGCCGACGTCGATATCGCAATTGAGATGATGTCGTTATATCGTAGCTTACGTAATGCCAGAATTCCTGTACGAATTTTCTTTTTTTCTCTTCTAAAAAAATCTCTCGACAAAGTTTTTGGTCATGGGTGCTCAAAAGTTTTGCCCTTTGATTCATCTAAATCATCACAAAACATATACACCATGGCTCACAGATTGCTTGTAAATGTGATATTTACCGGTGCTTCGGTATTTGGTAGAGCATTCACGGAGGCATACAAACAAGCAGCCAAGGCGTCAGCTGCAGGCGCTGCTGCCGGTGGGCCAGCCAAAGCTGCCTCTCAAGGAGGAATATCCACCGAGGAAGCAATGAAGATATTGGATCTAGAGAAGAACGAGGTATCCATTGATAAGCTAGAAGAAAAGTACAACTACTTGTTTGATGTCAACTCGAAAGAGAAAGGTAACTCATTTTACCTTCAAAGTAAGGTATATTACGCGATGGATACATTGAAGAAGGAGCTAGAGTATTTAGAGAAGTTGAAGGAAAACAAGAATGGGGCGGCGTCTAGTTGATGATGTATATAGTTTGTAAATAGTATATTGTAATCTAAACGATGTCCCTCGTACAAGGGAAACAAACAAACACACAAAATTTCATTTTTTTTTCTATACGAAGGATTCAACACACTTTGGAACCTATTCTTTTTCCAACAATCTATGGGTAATCAAGACGAAGAACAGCTACTAGAGGATGCATCAACGTTGTTGATGTTTGCCAGTGCTGCTGCACACCAACGCTCTCCAACAGAGTCAGCGGCATCACCACCACCACCACCACAACAACAACAAATAGCAAGTCAACAAGAAGTGCCGTCGCACATAGTCACCATATCAACGTCAAGCCAATCACAAAATGTTCAACAACAAGATCCAGCTCCGAAGCGAAGCTCTATACGTAGTTTGATGAATGTCGATCCCGAGCCAGAACCGGAAATCAAACTAGAATCAATGCCTTCACGCAAAACTGCCTCGCCTCCCTCTAACTTACCAAAGCAAGGTGTGTTCAAAAGGGCACACGAGAGAAGCCGATCAACACCAGATGGGCAAAAACTTATGAGTCCAACTTATGAACGTGGAATAGATTTGAGGAAAGGAGAAAGAGATGGAAATAATGCAGTACTTGCTGCTGCTGCATTGACTGCCGCGGCTGATATACCATTCCCATTAAAACAGGTTGAGAATCTGAGGATACCACCCTTGGAGACATATCAAGTAGATCAAGACTCGGGAATCATTGGGTGTATATGTGGAATCGAAGATGACGATGGGTTTACCATTCAATGTGATATATGTTTCCGGTGGCAGCACTGTGTATGCATGGGGTACGAAAATGGAGAAGAGGTTCCAGAAGATGAGTACAAGTGCTATTTTTGTGATCAACAAAAATGGAACAAGTTTGATCCAAACATTGCCAGAGAAAAGACATTGGCTAGGTTAAATGCTGAACGATTAGAACAGGAAAAAAAAGAGAAGGCAGCAATAGAGGAAAAGATGAAAGAAGCAAAAGTTGAGAATAACAAGAGAAAACACCTGAGCTCTGACAAGGGTGAGAAAAAGAGAAAGACAGAGGAGAAGGTGGAAGTTAAGGAGGAAGAACCTCAAGAAGTGAATGAGGATTTACCGAATAAGGATAATGAGCTATTGGAAGAAGGAGTGGTTGCTGAACCCTACCAATCTGTGTATTACCAACTACGAGAAAACGACTACAAAAGGGAGGGTGTACGGAAGTTTCTTTCCAATTGTGGCACCGAGTTTTACAAAGAGTACGTTAATTTGCCAAAAGAGAAGGTAGAGAAGTTGAATGTCGTGGTGATGTCTGAAAATGAATTTAAGTCACTTCAGAAAAGCAGATTGATTCGACCAAAGTTGGCAAAGTATTTTCAAGACAATAATCGATTTGAAAAGAAAAAGAATTACAACAACACCAAGATAGAAGTTAAACTGTACACCGATAACCAGAAGCAAAGGTTTAACGGGATTTCAAAACTTTCGTTGTTTATAAGCACAGCAGACGAGTCACTTGTTATACCAGAAGGCACACCAATTATTGAATATTTGGGAGAAATTGATTTTTTCACAGACTATTGTAACGACAAGATTAATCAATACCCACTTTGGGGGACCACTAAACCAAAAGTTTTGAAGTCCGCGGTCTTGTCAAAAGATCAGCAACCAGTTGAACTTGTCATTGATTCAAGGTTTGTTGGCGATGAAAGTCGTTTTATCCGAAAATCGTGTTTGTCGTCAGCAAATTGTAAAATACGCCCAGTGTATATCCCAAATACAAACACATTCAAGTTTCTTGTGGTGACATCGAAACCGATTGTATTGAAGGGTGAAAATTCTGATGAAGAATTGCGTTTACCTTGGGAATGGGATCCAGATCATCCGATATTGAGACTTTATGAAGACAGCACTGAAAAATTTGAAAACTTGACTAGTGATGCCAAATCAGCCTTGATTGCCTATGTTGATACTATTTTACAATTTGTCGAATGTGGCTGTTCCACAAATTCCAACTACAACAATTGTGCCATTTTCAAGATCAAGAAGGCCACTAGTTATTTGATGAGATCAACACGAAAAGCTGCCATAATGAACAACACTGGTGCCAAAACTAAGGAAGAGCTAGTTTTGCCACGTCCAAATAGACAGTTTGTCAGTTGGAAAGAGAGAATGATTGAACGGGATAGACAATTACAGGAAAAGCTACTACGGAAAGTTGATCAAGCTATGAAAGTGGAGGCTAATGAACCACAACCCAAAGTCAAACCTAAAGTGTTGTTTAAGGTACCTTTCAAGCAGGAATTGTTAATGCGTACCTGCCAACAAGCGCAACCCATGGTGCAAGTAACGACTGAGACGGAAGAAGCCGATGATACTACTTCAAGCGTCGACGACCTAGCAATTCCTATCATGCCAGAACTTGTAACTAGTATTGAATTGCAAGTTTGTCAGGAATTGCATTTGAATGAAGGTGAAGTCAACGATAATGCAAAGAAAGGTGATGAGGTACGTCCGTTGAGTCGTAAGCATCTGCAAGTGCAAATACATTCTTCGAAGGAACGTAGAAGGTCGACAACGGAAGAAACCAAACCGACAAAGAAGTTGTCGCTTGCTGAGTATATCAAGGCAAAGACGTAGCTGTGTGTGTAATTTGATAATAGACGCTCTATGTATTTAGGAGCAGGGACAGAATGTGTAAACCATTCATGAGTATACTCTGCCGTGTGAGTATTTTTTATTCTTTATTGTTTGTAGGAGTTACGTGTATACAGTTTGACACGGTATAGACGACATCAGCTATCAAGTGGGGGGAAAATTTCTCGTGGAGGATATAAACAGTGCTGCAAATTCTCTCTTTTTCTTTCAACATAATCTTTTTTCCACACTTCTCTTGCTTTCAGACAAGATGTTAGGGGGGGGAAGAACCGTTGACTCCAAGTATTTGAGTTATATTCTTTGTCGCGTCATTGATCTAAGAGTAGCATCTTTACAACTCATTACCGTTTACATTGTGGTTGAAAAGCTCTTTCACAGGGATTTATTTTTTTATGAAATTTGCAGATGAATCCAGGTACAGAGACTGATCCCGGTGGGAAACTTTAATCAATAGCATAAAAGATATTGATTTTTGTTCTAAGGAGATCACAATCATTATTCACTTATCTTGAATTATCGAATGTTTTTGCAACAATGGTCGTGTACTTTTTGTCACGAATACAATGTCGTGTCGTTTACGTTTTGAGACACGTAAAATGATGTAACATCTACAATGTTATAGAGTCAATTACTTACAGTGGAAAGTAGAGTTTGAAAAGAGTAAGCTATATAAACTCGTAAATAAAGTAAAGAATTTATTATGAGTAAACTATATAAAATATATAAAAGTATATAAACTATTTAGTTTCCATCAACTTCTCAGACCCTTCATCAGAAACACCATTACCATTACCATTATTAAATCCCTCTAATTTGACTTGAGCAAACAACTTCTCTTTCTCTTCAGCTGACATCTCATACTTCTTCTTACCCTTAATATGGTACATTGGATTTAACTTAACCAAGGTCAAGTTCTTAGTCAAGGGCAAGTGTCCGTACTTTTCTTCATAAAGCATCAACAATAAGACACATATGACGGCAATCCAATAAACATTGTAACCAATGACTGAACCGTAAGTGGCAGAATTTTGCCATCCCAACAAGGCATTAAACACATCCCAACCGTTATCAGTTTCTGGGTTACAACAATTGACATGCCACACTGACTTGGCAATATCATAAGTACCTGGTCCTGATCCATTTTCAGAAGCGTCACCACCAGTGGCTTGGTTATACTTGTAAGTTTCGAAATACCAAATACCTCTTGAGAATAAACCAGCAGCAATCAAATACAAAATACCAGTAGAAATGATCAAAAAGATTTGCATTGACAAGTTGGATCCGAAGTAGTACAACAAGGTACCAACGGCAACACCAGCAATCAAACCAACGATAACTGGAATGGGGAAACTTGTAGCTGGCTTATCCAAACCAACACCACCAACGAAAACAACTGCTTCCAACCCTTCTCTCAAACAAGTAATGAATGGCAAGATGAACAAAGCATAACGTTGAATAAAGTTGTTCAATCTCAATCTTTCCCAAATAGAAACCTTGCGACCATCTTCAGGTTTGGGTTGCTTAACCAATGCTTGAGCCAATTTGACTCTCCATTTTTCCTTCATCTTGTTGATTCTCAACATTGGGATACCCATCAATGAAATCAAAACAGTGGCAATAATACAAAAAATACCTTCCCATAAATCTTCTGATTGACCCCAAATATCTTTACCCAAACCGTAAAAGGCACCGATGAAAGCACAACCAATGATCAAACAAATCACCACTCCTAGAATTGCCCCAAACCAAATTTGTCGTTTCAATTTCTTGTATACTTTTGGATCATCGGTTGATTTACCTAAACCTTGTTTCAAAAAGGCAAGAAGCACCGACACAACAATGACGGCTTCCAAGGTTTCTCTAAACACGATAAAAAAGATTTGGACGTTGAAGACGTTGACCATTGCTTAGTATAGTGTAGTGTATCGTAGTGTGTGGTTGCAAAAAAAATATAGCTAGTGGTTCTCTCTCCTGACAAGAAATTTTTTTCCTTCTCCTGGACTGACAGTTGAGTAAAATTTTCTTAGCCTGACTTAACTTTGACTATGGTATCAATTTGCAGCCAAAAAAAGTGACGGAACAGTAGATATACGTGTAAGGGTCAAGTGTTGCAACCTAATTAACAGGTATTCGGCTAGCAGTAGTAAGTGAAAAGAAAACTGTTGAGCAAATTAAAACTGTCTTTATCTGGGAAATTGGAATTTACTCTAGATATATATATATCGTTCTCTTCCTAACAATAAGCGCTTCAAAAAGGAAGAGAAGGGTTACATTGTGCATTATGTGTCGAACTAATTTACAATTGGCTGGAAATAGAGAATAGCACTGTGCATTCAACAATACACCTTTGGAAAATCATCTCACTTTTTTTTTTGTTTTTTGTATCCAATATTATTATTGTTGTATAGAAAGTTTATTGTTAAAGGTACTTTGTTTTGTAACAAATCCATATGATTGGATAAAACAAGGGGGGAAATGGATTACATTGAACTTAATATCAGGTGCATATAATGTAATAAAGGTTCATTTTTTTTTTTTCGTATACGGGATTACAGCGTTTAATACTATCAATTCAATCAAAATAAAATTTACCATATGCAGAAAACTGCAACAGGTGTTAAAATTTGAAGCACAAATATCTCTAAAGTAGGTTTTATTGTTTGGAAATTACCAACTACAAAACAATAGAGTGTTTTCAAAAGAAAGATGCCTTCAGAGACTGAGGTTATTCACGTGGTTGGTATAAGAAAGCCACGATACATAATGGATAGCCTTGTGCTCGTTTGTAGTTACCTCTAAATGCATAGGTAGGAACGAGGCGGTTTGCGCTAAGTCAATGTCTAAAAAAAAAAACAATTTGTTCTAAATGTAGGAGTTGGGGAAATGAACGGCTATAGGTAATTGTAATTAATCAACTAAATTCTGATTGGACAAGGTCTTGTTGTAACATTTTGATGGAAAAGATAACCAAACATAAACGTTAGCCCTTAATGCTAAGAAAAATCCAGACAACTATTGAAATAAATCTGTCAAAATTTGCAAAACATTACACATAGAGAGATTATCCACAAACATACATAGAGAACAGAACCGCTTTTTGTTTTTCAAGCACATTGTTTGATTAGTTTTGGTTGGTTGAACAAAGTTTTTGAATGCATTTCACCTCAACCCAACGAAAAATAATTGTACATTTGTACCATCAGTACATTAACAATCGTTTACAGCCAAGTGCTTTGTGTAATTATTAATGGCTACATTCTGTCACACTATTTAGCATGCACATCGGGTTAAAGTTGTATCTCCTTCTGAACACCCGCCTTACCTATTGTCTTTTTTCTTCTAAACTTCGTTTCCTACCGAAGTTCTCTCTCCTTTGTTCTCCTAAGGTTATCGTATAAAGTAGGCTTACCGAAGATCTCGAGGGGGGCTTAAGCTATGGGGAAGACGCCCTTGGTATTCAGTTGTGAAGGAAACATCAACCACCACTGGAAACTACTACGCTCCCCAAAAAGCTGCTTTTTCAACCAATAAGAATTCGGCTGTTGTTTCCAAAAAATATGCAGCCACTCATAAAAACTAAAATTAGCTCTCCTCATTTTTTCTTGGCGGTCTTTAAATATCCGTATTTCGGGTATTTAATTATTTTTAATTTATTGAACAACTTTTCTTGGCAGTTAGAAAAGCTTTTGTGTCGTCATTTTCAAGCCTATCAGATCAATCAAAAACACACAAAAAAGGGACTGACAGTCACATGATTTCGGGCATATACTTCCACTCGGAAGATAATTATACTGAGGTCGTGAATGCAAGAGTGATGTCAATCCGTACTAAAGATCAACAATGAGAATACAATATGGGGAAGACAAATTGACCGGAAATTGTGAATTATCCAGTCAATTTGGGGGGGAACTTGTGAAAGAAATATGAGGACGCCGTCAAATACTTTATTTGAAGGTGTGACTGAGAGCAGTATTTACGAGATAGCTTTTCGTGCTGGTTATCGTCAAGTTGCTACTGGCGCAGATGCTTGGTGATTACGACACGAAAAGCTAAGCAAGCTGAAATGTATCACGATTCTTTTTCTACGGTGGCTTATATATAGACTCCACGCAATACCTTACATAACCAATTCCAATTGTAAATCCATTGACACATCTTGCTCGTTATCACCATCGACATCTTCATCCTCTCCATCTCGGCTCATATCATTTCCACCGGCCTCAGTATTATCAGCACCGTCTCCTATATCAATATCCAAGTCAGTCGATGCATCTCCATTTCTGGCTTGCTCATCACTAGGGCGATCGTCGTGCCCACCGACAACAACTTTCTCTTGCTCGATTAGTTTGTAGTATACTTCTCCCAATTTTCCAGCATTCTTTTGTAATCTTTGATATATATCATTTGAAATCAATTGCAACTTCATCAATGATATCAATTTCAAAGTATATACCGATAAATCTTTTTCCAATTGCCATGTCTTGTCTTGTTTCAATTGTTCTAGTTTGGCTTTTTGTAGACGTTGTTGTTTTTCACGACGCTGCCTCTTTTCATCGTCATACGATGCAGCATCTTCATCATCTTCCGAGCTTACAGTTTCCTTTTGCAACTCCTCTTCCACATATTCCTCATAATGAACACCTTCTTCATCATCTCTCTCCAATTGAATCCCCAAAATACTTGCTAATTGCATCTCCTTTATCAAATATGTTTCGAGCAATTCCATTTGTAAATCTTGCTTTATCATAATCACAGATTTATTCAGACGGAAATATGCTTTGAAATGCTTGAAATTGTTATCATCATGAAACTTGATGTAAAACAACCGAAATGAGATTATCAAGTTGATGTATTGATAAATCAATTGACATCTGAATGCAACCAACTGGTGCAAATCTTCTTTGGTATGGTCGTTCCCATTATTCAACTCCTTCATTTCATCGATATATCGAATTAAATTGCAAACAACATCACCAATCATTTCTAATTCCAATTCAACGTCAATTTGATGTTGATCTTGTTGTGGTATATCAATCAATTTCTCAAATTTCCATCCCCCAATAACGAACACCAATTCGATAATTGAAATAAATGCCTCGGCAAACTTGGGCAATTGTAAAATGAAATTATGTTTCCATTGATTAAGCACCACATTTAAATCAAATTTATTGAATATCCGATTATTAAACTGATAAACCAAATCATCAATTTTTTCCAAATTGGCTATATTAACATAGTTTCCGACTAGTTTGATCTTTTGCACAAGGATGGACACTTCACGACATAGTTTGATTACATGTTTTTGGCGATTTGTCCATAAAATAAAATCCCGATCCATATCAATTGAAGTATCAATCATCTCATTTTGCTCTTGCTCTTCTTCGTGATTATCCCTTAGATATACAGTTGTATTTTCCACCAACTCATTAACAATTCTTTGTATTTCAAATTTGATCGATTCAGTTAATCCTCTCAGATTAAACAATTTTTCAAAAAATGGTTGAAACTCATCAACTAAACTGAACTCATAGTAGTATTGCAATACCGACATAATCATTGCCTCATATTCATCAAGTTTGTCCAATTTGATATAATAATTGAATATAGAATTGTGTTTATCATCAATTAGATCTTGCCATATCGATATGAAAATCTTGTATCGATTATTTGATTTCGAACAAAATGATTGTAGTTTGGGGATGTAGTCAATGAATTGGGTAATAATGGTTGATTTGATTTCCTCTTCTTCCTCTCTGGATGCACCTCCGTTCTTGCCAGTTTTTTTCATCATCGTTGCTTTGATCAACCCATGGATGGCCTCAAGGAGGGTGAGTTTTTCCAAGTCATCAAGTTGAATTAGTTGCCTAATTTCATCCAAATCTGGATCATCCATTTCTACATTATCTTCATCCGCCTCGCTCTTTTCCTTTCGCAAATCGGCAATATCAGTCAATAAATAATCAAGAAACAATCTCAATCGTGTCGCATACACCTGACTCATGCCCACTGACTGAAAAATCACAGCCAATGGCTTTTGTTGTTGAACAAGAAAACTCAATTCTTGTATCAACACTTTGATTAGCAAGATATCCCTTACATCATGATCACGTAAAACAAATTTCCCCCTCTCCAAAACCAATTGATTCTTTTCCAAAATTTGACTCACATTCTCCTCTGTAGCCAGCTGAACAAATTTAACAAATTCATTTTGTAATTTCAATTTCGTCAATGAATCAAATGGAAACAGTTTTATAACCGAATGCCTGTCCTCACCGTCAAGAAATCCCATCTTGATCATCTCCGTCAATATACCACAACAGTTGGTACGTACATTAGAATCAATGTCAACTTCACACATGGCAATGAATTGTGGTTTAAATTTGGAGGAAAACTGAGTCAATCCGTGAACAATATCCTCGTTCTTGTTCAACTTGTACAATTTCAACAAGTCACGAGTTATTTCATTGCGTACGTGATTAACAGGGTCAGACAACAACCAGCCAAAATATTTCAAAAACTGCGATTGACAGAAATATGATGGAAAAGTGATTACCGTATCAATTAGGTATTTTACCACAATTAATCTAATCTGTGGATCAAAATCCTTGTATCTTTGTGAAACAACAGTTGAAGCAATGTCCTCGAAATATTCATTCAAAGTTTCCAATTGAGATTCGTAGTTTGAAATAGTTGATTTGATGGTCTTGTATTTAGTGGATCTCTCATCTGTCAATTTTTGCAACTGTTTTCTTGATCTAGCAACATTAGTGGTGATTGACTTTCCAATCTTGCTCAATTCTAATTGAATAACCACAGATATTTCTGTGCTGGTATAACGCAATGCTCTAATTGCAGATGTGGAAAGACTAGTCACCCAAGTTATCAAATATGACATCAATTGTGACAGTTTCAGAACGCTGTCGTCATCATCATCATCGCTACTGCATCTCCGCCGCTGATTGTACAGGGGATACAACAATCCCTTCTCATGACTAATTTCAATAATATGTTGGAAAAACAGCAACACATTCTTTTTAAAAACAGGAACAAGTTTAAATGGGAATTTGTGGGTTGACTGATTACCGAATGCCAATGTTATTTCTTCAACTGTACTTTCAGCACTTTCTAAATTGGTTAAATCATGAGGTTGGAAAAGATGAAATGAACCACAACTTCTCAAGATTAAATTTATCAACAAGGGGATAGTGCTTGAGTCGGTACTACTCAGTGTAAATTCTTCCTCTTCGTATGTTTCAATCCATTCCTGTGCAAGATCAAGGACATTGATCTCGGGGCTGGATAATGCTTGATACAAGTAATTCTCCTCCCAATCGTCATCCAATTGTGGTTCTCGGGTGTTGCTGCCTTTTCCGTTCCTCCTCTGGTGTGGTTGCTCTGCACCGAATCTTGTCTTTTGCTTCTTTGAAGTGGTTGCATTGTTTGAGGCTGCTTTCCTTCTCTTGTTGGCGGATTTGGCAACACGATTTGGGGCATTTTCTTTATCCTGTTCAGATGGGATATAAGCATCTTCATCTTGATCTACATCACTAGACTCATCGTAATGAACAGTTTTCTTATTCCTCGATCTGGTCAGTCTTCTACTAGTGGTTGACATAATGAGTGCTGGGATGTAACTGTGTAGATCATAAAGAGGTCTCCGTTGCAAAATATGGGATTTTTCGTGTGGTTGAATAAACCACAACACGCGTCGGGTGAAATCTAAACAATGGTAGCGCCTGCATAGTGGTAGTGTACTTTGCTACAATTGTTGGTAGAGGGAGAAAAAAAAAATTCAGTTCTGTTTTCTTTGCCAATGTCAAATCCAAAACGGAACAGAAACAAAGAAAGTTCGGCTGTCGGAAGCGTTGAAAAAGGTTGATACAAACTGCAGATATTGAGCATACACGACGGATCTTACGAATCAATAGAACCTACGCATACCACTTTTTTCACCATGTCTAGTGTTGAACCAAGTGCACAAGAGAATGGGTCTACGCCAGTAATAGACAACCAGCCAACTACAGAGACTCAACCACAAGAATCGAAACCAAACTTGGTTGATGTTGAACAATTACAAAAGGAGTTTCAAGAGAAAGCTCGTAAATACTTGGTTGACCAAACACAACATGTTATCATCCCGTCATTTGCCAAATGGTTCAATTTAAACAAGATCCATCCATTAGAAAAGAAATCCTTCCCCGATTTCTTTAGTGAGGATTCCATATACAAGACACCGAAATCATACAAGTATATTCGAGATTTCATTGTAAACACATTCAGATTAAATCCCAAGGAATATTTAACCATTACTGCAATTCGAAGAAATTTGGCTGGTGATGTAACAAATATTATCCGAATTCATCAATTCTTGGAAAAATGGGGGTTGATCAATTACCAGATTGATCCAAAGACTAAATCAACTATATTGGGACCTCAGTATACGGGACATTTTCAAATTACATTGGATGCACCTGATGGGTTGGTTCCGTATGTACCAGAGGATGCAAAAGTCATTGATCAAAAAGCTGCCGCTGATGAGACGACTGTCAATGCGTCACAACAAGGATCTATTTCCACAATCAAGAAGGAGCCATTGGATGCCCCATTGTCATTGAATATGGAAATCAGAAGAAATGTATACTCCACAGGAGAAACCAAATTTGAATTCAAACCTCAACATAAAGTTTCTTATTCATGTAGCATCTGCGGCAAAGATGCAACTGAAGTGAGGTACCACAATTTAAAGCTTAAATCATATTCATACAACCCCAACTCCACCATCAATAACGCCAGTATATTGTGTTCAATATGTTATGATCAAGGTTTATTCCCGCTGAATTTCGCATCATCTGATTTTGTCCAATTCAAACAAGTGGCAGAAGAAGCCAATGATTTATGGACTGAACAAGAGATTTTATTATTGTTGGAAGGTATTGAAATGTTTGGCACTTTTGAATCAACAAATAACAATTTAATCACTGCTGGATCTAATATCAATGTTAATGTTCAAAACCAATGGAACAAGATTGCCGAACATGTAGTTACAAAGACCAAGGAGCAGTGTTTGAAGAAATTTATACAGTTGCCCATTGAAGATAAGTTTTTACACAAATTGATAGCTCCTGGAGATCTGTTGCGACTGAATGGTGGTAGTGCTGCTGGTGACAAGTTGGATAAATTGACTCTAGTTGAGGAAATTGTTGCCAAACTAATCCAATCCAACAATGGACAAGAGTTACTTCAATCCAATGCCACCGAGTACAAATCACAAGCCAATGAAGAGCAATTATCCCTCATTAACCAAATTATTGACCTCACTGTCGAAAAAGTCAATTTAAAACTAAGCAAAGTTGATCAATTACAACAACAATTGATTTCCATTACCAATCAATTGGAGTCAGAACGTCAGTCTTTACAATTGAATCGATGGGTGCAATTGAACAAAGTGGCAAAGTTGAAACAAGAGAGACCAGAATTGAGTGATATATTGTCTGATTTAATGAAACCAGTTAAAATCAGTGATGTTAATTCTGAAACCAGTAAAGGCAGTACTGGTGAAGATGGGGGAGATGGCGACAAGGCCAATGAAGAGAATGCAATGGATGTGGATCGTGCAGAAGGTAGTGGTGATAAAGATGGTGTTGATTCTGGGCCTATAAGTATTGCAAAACCAAAAGAATACCAATTCTGGTCCGGCTAGGCGTCACGAAGGAGATTTACATTGTTTTTATCTGCTAATGTATACTAATAAAATGTACTATCTATATACATACACGTAAAATAAATAATCACAAGCGCAAAGAAAACAGTTGAAAATACACTGTATAGGTTTTATGAGTGTGGTGCATCACCAGTTGAGTGAATCGATACACGACTAATTTGCGAATGCAAATCGGGTGTGAGTTGTGGTTCATGATGATGTGGTTGATGTGGTTGATGATGTTGTTGAGGTTGGCCAGCCATGGGCGATGGTGATGGTGACGGTGATGACGCATCAGGCAAGATGATTTGGGGAACTTGTGGCGAAGTTGCTCCATTAGTAGCAGGTACTGGTTTGGGTGAAATTGGGTATGGCTTTGATGAGGATGACGATTGAATGGGCGTTGGTGTTGGTGTAGTAGATGTTACTGGCGAAGCCAAGGGTGCTCCTCCAGCTGATGTGGCCGATGTAGCAGTTGCGGATCCTCTAGGGATAGAGTTGCTATTACCACCATTAGAATGTAATCCAAATCCACTATTATTATGTGGTGGATGTGCATGATGCATTTGGTTACCAGCTGGCGGTGTTACTGGTGGAGCGGGCATTTTGAATCCACCACGCAGAACATGCTGGTGTGGAAATTGATGCTGTGGGGGAGGAGGTGCATGTGTTTGTTGTTGATTGGATACTTTTTTCAAGCTTGGAAACACTTCTTCTCGACTGCCCACCACTGGTCCATTGGGATTGGCACTCTCCAAATTACTCAATGTTGAATAACTATCACCACCTTTTCTTCTAGCACCACCATCAACCATTGCTGAAGAAGTGTTGTCAATTTCAGTAGTACTTGTCGCATCACTATCCATATGATCGAACTCATTATCTTCTTCTTCATCAGATGGATCTAAATGTATAGGAATGTCAGGTTGATTGAAAATTTGGTGATTAGGTGGCGATAAAGGAGCTGCTCGTTGTCGTTGATATGTATAATTGGATGATGTTGAACTTGCATTGAATGGATCAGTAGTCAATGATTGTTTTATGGTGGATGTTGATGTTGAAGATGGCATTGATGGAACTGGATGTGGTCTGTATTGACCATTATGCGACAATGTTTGACTAATATCAGTGGCACTCAACCCTCTTTTTGAAGAAAGTATTGAACTTATTGATCGTGATGAGTCAAAGTTTCTTGAAAGACCAAATTTTTCACTACCCAGTAGTTTTCTCGATGGACGGAAATTGTGACCAATACTGCCATTAGGTACACCTACACCAAGACCACCGCCTCCGTTTGGTGCTGCACCTCCATTAACACTACCACCGCCACCGCCGCCTATATTAAGACTATTAGCGCCACTCGATTTAATCGAATTCGACTCGGGTGAAAGTAAAACTGATGATTTATTCTGAGCATGACATTTTTTGTACAAGTCAATAAACTGTCTCCTGTAGGAACTAGCAACATCCTGACGAAACACTCTGATCAATCCGTATTGGTCAGTAGTGACAATAATATCCCCTTCTCCTGGACCTTCATCGAAACGAGCACATTCTTTACCATAATTCTCAGGCGCAGCTGCAGAAGCACATAAACTAGGATCCATCTTGCATGCCTCACCTCGTTTCTTTAAATCGAAAATCAAATCATCAGATAAGCCGAGCAACGTCTTCGTTGAATCTGGTGCAAACACCGCCACATTGCATCTAGAATGATGAGCATGAAAGCATGCATAACTATTATTTTCATTAGCAACGAAATCATGACGCAAGTTTTCATCATCAGATCCACTGTCAAGCAATTTACCAATCAACTTGTTTGAGTGAAACAATTTGGAATACTTTTCATGTTTGTGATGGAAATCACTCATTGTTTGTTTCCCATCAATGACAAACTCCTTAAGTGATTGTTTGATCTTGTTGTTGATGATTCGATTATTGTTTTCCCAAACATAACAGTAATGGTCTTCCGATCCTGAGATTATATATTTATGATTTTGAGTAATTGATGCAGCTATTGATGATGATGTATTTGTCAACCCTTTAAAACGAGTAATCAACTTCTTTTTGGCAGTACTAATCATTCTCACTCGTGAATCGTTGGTAGTTATAAGAACATTCCATTGATCAAATGATACATCAAGGTTTGAATTAGCTGGGTCATGATTGGGATTGTGGAAAACTTCAATTCCAGTGATTTTATTGCCACCTCGTTCGTGGAATGCATGAACTATCGACCTCTCTTTGATTTCAGCTCGATGGACAACATGCAATCCTTTAGTTTCCAACACAAAGATTGATCCATTAAACCCTCCAACCATACAATGCAATCCATCAGGGGTGAATGCCAATGCCGTCACCAATACCTCTTCACCCAAATTTCTCCAATATGACACTGATTTCTCCAATATGGACCACAATCTAACCTCGTTATCCAAAGACCCACTTAAAAAGAATCGATCATCCAATGGATGGAATTCCACAGAAGTGACAAAATCTTGATGTTGAAATGTTTGTAAACAATTTGGTCGATCAACATGCCATAGTTTGGCAGTTTTGTCCATACTTCCAGTAATGAGAAAATTATTTTTACTCCAAGCTAGTGAAATGATACCACTAGTGTGGCCACGCAATTCAATGGGTGTCTTGTGGAAAACTGGTGCTGAATCAAACACGGCATCGCGTTTATTGCTTCGAACAGGACTGGTATCGCGTTCATTCTGGTTGTACTCCAATCTCCCCAAAGGTGAAGATATAACTTTCCAAATACGAATCACTGCATCTCTTCCAGCAGCAGCAAGATATTTCCCATCCTTACTAAACTTCATAACAAATACTTCTTTGCCAATGCCATATTTTTCGTATCCGGGATTGTCAGATGATGCATATTCTTCACTTTCCAGATGCAGATGCAGACGCAGGTGCAGATTTAGATGATCTTGTTCCGTATCACTGCTTTCATTTGACTTGATACTGGCATTGTTTGCTTTATAATTGTCAACATTCAACTCTTGAGCAAGAAATAAGTTGTTTATAATCTTGGGGCTTTTCTTTGTGTGACGTGAAGTTTTAACGTATTTTGGTATCAAGAAAGATTCATAAGTTAACCCATTCCATGGTGCTTCCTCTTCGCTGGTTATAGGTAGTATCATGTTTGAATCGCGTATAATTTGATCCAAGTTGGGGAATGCAACTTTTTCATCAACATTGTGGTTTAGTATAGTACTTGATCGTTTGTTGTTGTACCCATTGGACTTGATCCTGCTCAACATGGAAGGTGATCTACCTATTGATGCACCCAGTGATGTGTCAGAAGCGTATCCCAAAGTGTTTGTGTCATCACCAATGTCTTCATCATCATCATCTTCATCATTGTATAACAAGGAGTCTCCATCATCAACGTAAAAGTCTCTTCCTTCAGACAAATCTCTTTTCCTACTCCGACTGCTTCCGCGAGTAGATATCTTTTGTAACTTGTCTCCCTTTGACCTGCTTCTGGAACCAATGGTGGACTTTAGTGATCCCAGTCTAGATGGTTTGGAAACGTCACCAGCACTACCAGAGTTACCACTTTTACTTCCCCCTTTTCGTTTGCTGAATAAGTTTAACAAGTTGTTCTTTTTGGAACTGCTTGAACCAATGGTTGAATTCGGTGACAGTGGAGTAACAGATTGAACCATTGTTGAGTGGGAGTGGTATTTTAGAATTGTACAAGGAGGGTAATACAGTTGATAAGTTGGAGTTGTCGTAGTTATGGGTGTTTTTATATCATATGCTTGTAGTTATACTCCTGTTAATCCTGTTGTAAACCTGAAATTGGAGTGTAAGTTTGCTATTGTTCTTTTTTCTCTTGAAACTGTTTTTTCTTCGTATACGACAAGCCTATTATGTTTCTATTTATAGTTGTCTTTTCCACACTTTCCGACCAAGGAGTAGAATATAGTTACGAAAGAGATGGGAACGTAACAAGGGAAGTAGTAGTAGTATATTAATATATTGGTTCTGCCACTCAAATGGCTGAGTTTTGTTGTGTGTTGGTTGTGTTGGCTGTGTGTAATAAGGCTGTTGCAAAAAAGATTAAGAAAAATGTGTGACAGCAATACAATTCTTACTACTGTGACTATATATATATATATACTCATAACCCTGTACTATCTGGAACACAAACTGAATTGTGATTTAGTGTACGATGTTAGAGCCAACAAGAATCACCCTTTAGAAATTTCTATTAACCATCACTATATTCCTCACCTCAGATGGGCTCTACAGCTAGTTTTTCTTCGGCAACGGGGGACAAACACGGGAACTCGCATGTTTGCACACATTTGAGCTAAACTCCGAAAGTACAGAACAAAAAAAATATTTATTATTAGCTACTAATCCCCGGGTGGAACTTAGTAAAGATTTATCGGCAAGAGGTTGATGTTTTTGTTAACTCCGAAACACACAATACACTTTACATATACTTTTGTAGATGAAAAACATTACCGAAGCTGACATGGTGGATCCAATGCCTAAACAGCACCAGCTCAAAAGACCGTTATCTTACTTAGTCTTCTCTCCAAAGACTGCTTCGTTTTTCATTTACTTCTTGGCTCGCAAGAGAAGTCTAATTAGCCGTGTTTCTGTGCTCTACTGCTATGTCCGCATCTAATGTTGTTCTATAACTCGGGCCAAGAATTTCTTGAAACCCAGCATCATTGTCGTTTATCATTGCATATTAAACGAAGTCAACACAAATTGAAGCCAGAGACACGCATCAACAGTTCAGTACAAGGTGTATTATTTCCAGAAGCCATAATGGAAAGATCGAATATCGTTCGTTCATTAGTACCGCGTTCAGCACAGATATCACCGAGTTTCAACCATGCTCAAGACCGGGTTTCTCGTACCTAACACCGCATTTGTAGAGCATACCCAGGTCTGTATATCACAGTGCCGAGATTTTCGAACCAGGGTAGTAGGAAAGTAGAGTATTACTTCGATTTGGTATATCACTGTTATGACAAAGTATACTTTATATCTCACAAAGGAATGATTGCTCGAGACAAGAGCAAGAAACACGAATCGTGGCTAATCCGAAATTATGGGATTTCAAAATTTGTATATTAGTTGTACGTTGATGTATCATCTAAATAGATTTGTCGCTCATAAGTTTGATTCCTTCTCCGCATTCTTTAATCCTGATCTTCCGCAATAGCAATCCTTGGATCTTGTAGCAACATCAGAAAAAGCAAGTTTTTTGTATAATGTCATTCCGTCTTGGCAACGGATGGCCAACTCAACTTTGAATCACGCTCGACTTTGGCACCCCAAACTTTCAAATGATTTTCCCGAAACCCGAGTAATGCAATAACTCGTATGTCTTACGTGTAGTCTAAATTAGAGAAGAATGTACAGATATAACGCCATTATTAAGCTTACCAAAACTTAGGAATTGCTCTACAGCTAGGATCGTATACGATGCCCTCGTTACAACTGACTATAAAAGATAAATGCAATTACCGTTTTGACTATACAGCACCAGTCCATTGATTTCTGAGTAGTCCGCTTTACAGGTCACGCCCATACCAACACGGTGTCTCCCTTACGTTGGCTTCTTCTTTTTAGACCATTCCAAACGTAAAATCAACGAATGGTAACCTTTACCATTCAACAAATCCAATGCTCTTTGAGCAATTTCTTCCGTAGCAAAACTAACATAAGCAAACCCTCTACTTTCACCAGTTTCTCTATTTCTAACAACAACAACTCTTTCCAATGGTCCGAACCTAGCAAACAATTCATTCCTCAACATATCCTCATCAACAAAACTATTCAATTGTGATACCTTCAATGTAGTTGAATCATCTCTTGCTTCTCTTGATGGCAAGTTTCCACTGGCGTCTGGTCTCAAATGTCTTGGAATATACCTTCCTGGTGCTGTACCATCTCCTGCACCTTTACCTGCATCCGCGCCACCTTCTTGACCTGGTTCTGGTGTAGTTCCTGTTGGAGTTAAACCAGCCGCTGCTCCTAAAGTATCTTTAAATGGACATTTAGAAGTATAATGATCACCACCACACACTCTACATTTAATGGTCTGTATCGAAACAGCAGATGCTCTTTCTTGTTGCTTATCTTCTTCTTCTTTCTTCTCAGCTTGTTTCCATGATAATCCCAATTTCAATTCAACTTTTTCCCCCAATTGAGTTGTACTGGTATCTGGTCCTGGTGGTTTATTCTTTTCTTTACCAAATTTGGCCCAGTTTTTACGTTTGGCAATCAAAGGGTGGACTTTTTCTTGAACTTTAACTTCTTTAATACGTTGTGTTATTTTCACTTTTTTACCTTCTTGATTGGTTCTGAATGTGATTACCGTCTTAGTCCCATCAGGGTTGTTTATGATATCTGGTGGGGCTGAGAACTCGTCTCCTGCATCAGCCCATGATTCTATTATTCCGGAAGACATTGGGAAAGGGAGGTGTGTAGTAGTTGTGTCGATGTAATGGCTCTGGTAATGTCATTGAAAAGAAAATTTTTCAAGAGTCTTTCGCGATACCTGCATACAACCGCACATGCACAATGATAAAATAAACAATCCCCACCACTACCACTTCTTCGACAATGTCTACATACAGTTATGGGAATGACGAATTGCAGCAAATCAAAGTATGGAACTACAACCCTGATAATAAACACACGTACATTTATATTCACGGCGGTGCTTGGAAAGATCCCAAAAACACGTTTGACGAATTAGCACCAGTTGCCAACACCACCCCAGAGTCTACATTCATTGGCATCAATTATCGATTGACGTCACAGAGAGTGAAACATCCCTTACATTTGGTTGATGTAGCCAGAGCTATCATTTATATTGCTACCAATTTCAAGACCCAACAGAAGCATTTATTAGGTTACTCAGTGGGGGCTACTATGATTCTTCAATTCTTACAATTCAAATACCATTTCAGTGAAGCTTTCGATTTTTACGTACTGTCGAATCCTGATGATGAGAACTATGGTGAGTTTGGTGATTTGTTAGTTGCTGATGAATTACACCTACTTGAAGATAACGAGAACCTAATTGCCCGACTTGATGAGTTGATCAAGCTGGACCAATTGTACTTTACATCAGTCAAGTTTCTCGATGGTATTTATGACTTGCCGGAACTAATTGAAGAGTATCCCCAATATGCCCCCTGGTTCATTAATGAAGCGTACCCTGACGCAAAACTAATTGCATTGACTTCATTATCCAATCCGATTTTGATTAACAATGGCAAATTAGCACCAGCGACGTACACTTCCAATGCCAGCATGATTGATGCAAAGACTACCATCTACATTGTCCATTCATTACAGGATGAATTGTTATCGCTAAAACAAACACAATTGTTGTCCGATTTCTTCAATAAGACATTGCATGGAGGATGTATTGTCATGACTGGCAACTGGGGTAAACACGACGATGTATACGGCGACAACCGCAAGGAGATATTCTTGTTTGGTGGAGGGGTGGCATAGTGGGGAAGTCTCTTGTGCCTGTGTAGGAATATACATAACGGTTCAAGTTTGCAATTGCCTCTTGGATGATACAAACTAAACGAAAACAACGAATCGATTGCCAAACTTACTTGACAACCGCATTGATCGATTTCCCTAGAATAGTTTATATCATTCGGACAAATCTTTCTTTCAGAATATAAAAATGGAGTTTCACTTTAAACTAACAAAAATCTGGTAAACACTTCGGTATTGGATAAAAAAAAAAGACAACAATAGACAAATTTGGTAAACACTTCAATAAGGATAGAAAAACAAAACAATAGACAAATTTGGTAAACACTTCAATATCGGATAAAAGAAATCAATAGACAGATCAAACAGCCCCGTTCCGTTCCTTTAGAATCTGTTAGGAGATCTCTCACGGTGGTATGAAGAGCCTTGTCTGTCCTCATACCCACCACGGTCGTATCCTCCTCTGCGGCCACCATCTCTATCACCATAACCTCCTCTTCCTCCTCTGAATCCACCTCTGTCACCATAACCACCTCTTCCTCCTCTGAATCCACCTCTGTCACCATAGCCTCCTCTTCCGCCACCGTATCCACGATCAAAGCCACCTCTTCCACCACCATATCCACGATCAAAACCACCTCTTCCACCGCCGTATCCGCGATCAAAACCACCTCTGAAACCACCTCTTCCACCTCTAAAACCACCTCTTCTTGGGGGTGGAACATATGGGGAAGTGTCTTCTTCAGCACCAATAGTGACCTCGCCAAACGTAGACTTATCCAACAATGGAATGGCTTTTTCTAAGTCATCTCTAGATTCAAACTGTAAATCACAAACAGTACCAGATTCATTCGTAAAGACTCTGACAAAACTTGGCTCAGTGCCAGTTTTGTCTCTAACAAAGTCTTTAATATCTTGCCAAGCCGTACCATCGATCAAACCAGTAAGCTTTACTCGATGAACCTCTTTTTTAGGTTTTGCAAACTCCACTTGGAGTTGCTCCCCATTAAGCTCTTGACCGTCCATTTTCTTTAAAGCAGCATCAGCTTCGTCTTCAGTCTGAAAACTGACAAATGCGTAGCCCTGCATAAGACGCACTTCGACAACTGGTGCTGCTGTCGAGAAAAATTCGATAAGATCGTCCTCCCGGACGTCATCTCTGATTGGTCTAACAAATAACTGCTTGGTGGGGACTTGTTCCATGATATGTTTTGTTGTGACAAAAAATGAATTGATGTATGTTGTTTTTGTTTAATTGTAGTTTGCGTTTGAAGTGGACCAACCTTTTATTATATCTGTAAATATCAGTTAATACCTTCGACCAGCGTATGTCAGTTGTGAAATCAGCCTATGTTATTTGTATGTTTAGCTGGTGTTAGTTGTACGAACACCAACAAAGTTAATTAGGATCATCGAAAGGTGAAAAGTTTTCGCACATCGAGCAACGCTGAGCTTGTGGCCATTACGCTACCAGTCCTGTATATAGTATTGCGCGACTTAGTACCGATGCGAGCAAGATATATCGATGTTGCCAAGTGGGAAAAAAAAAATTAACCGTTTTGAGACGAAGCGTCAACAGCAATATTCGTGTCTCACTTTTTTTTTAGTACGAAGGTACACGCTCTTTTGATTTTTTGCAACAAAGGACAAAACTGACAAAGTCTGCAATCAACATTCCAGCAAAATACGCTTTTGTTTAAAGTACATAGTTATCGAACAGCAACGTATATAACTTCTTATAATCATTGGTGAGAAATCCTTGTGCCCGTTTGAAACCCGGGAACACCAACAATTGGTAAATGATGTAAATGATGTAAATACGAGTTTTAGGTATTGACACAATTTTGTTTTGTACGTCAGCGCTCTTTTTCGTAAAATCTATACACGGTGAATGATTGTTTGTAGAATATATATGAGTACATTTAAATAGTCTCATATGTTTTGTGAACCCCTGACGACCAACACAAACGATGTCGACGAAATTACTGTAAATTAAAACAACTAGGCAATACAAAATAAAACTACACAAAAAGAAAAAACAACAGCAACAACGACCACCTCACCACTTTCTTCTCTCTACAGCACAATCTTTTTCAAAAAAGTTCTAAACCCCTTCTTCTTCTTCTCTTCATCTTCTTTTCCTTTTTCCGTTCTCTTTGTAGTCTTGACAGGAACTTCACTAGCAGCAATTTGTTTCTTAGGTGTGGTTGCTTTAGAGGTGGCGGTGGTGGTGGCGGTGGAGGATGCTTTATTATCTTTGGAGCTCAGTTTAGTTGATCCCTTTGAGCTGAGGACTTCTTCTTCAGGTACAACAACTTGTTCAATAGTTATTGGTCCGTCAACTTGTGATGCCAATTGTGCCTCCTTGGTGAGTCTTTCTTGTTCACTTTTTGTGGGGGTAATCTCTTCAAGAGTGACATCGTGACCCTCAGTAGCTTCAACGGCAGCAAGAATATCATCCTGGTTTCCTTGTGCAATAATGATTTCTTCTTCGCCTTCATCGTCGACAACTGGTGGAGTTGTTGGAGCAGTTACTCTACTCTTTGGTGCAAGAGCACCACCAACAATTGATTGGTCTTTTGCCACTGGAGACGCATTGACTTCTTTACCTTCTCCTAAATCGGACCCAGTTACTGGCTTGATTTCAGGCTCGGATGCAAGTGTTGATGGAGCAGTTGTTCCCGGTGCTGGTTTGTCTTGGCCTGCTTTTGGATCCAAAGTGATTGGATGTGCATCATCAACAACAACTGGAGCCGTGGACGCGGTTGGATCTGATACAGATTGTTTAGCTTCTTTTGAGGTGGAGAATGGGCCATGCACAAGATCACCTTGTTGATTGGAGTCGGATGCTAAAGCTGATCCTAAACCAGCACCACCAACACCTCCCAATGCAGCAGCGCCCAAAGTCTTGCCGGTCGAGTGGTCCTTCTGCTGTTCATCTTCAGGCTGCACTGCTGCAGGTGCATTAGCATCCTTGTGCTTTGGGCTTTCAAACTCATCGCGCACTTCCTTGTTAATTTCATCGTTTGCATCAGCTTCACGGTTTAAAAACCCAGGGGTAACCTTTGGATCGTTCTTGTAATCCTGGCTTGATGCCTCATTTCCAGTCTCAATTGCTGCAGGGACAGGAACAAATTCTGCATCCTTGGAACCAGTGTTGGAGTCAATCCTTTGATCAATTCCGGTGGCATCCTGCTTTGGTTTAGATTTGTACTCGACTCGTTTCACCTTTTTCAAGTTATCGCCTTGAGTGGAGGAAGAATCAGCAGCTGTAGCACCAGCACCAGCACCAGCACCAACGGCACCGGCAGCTGCGGCAGCTGCTGCAATTGCTCCAGCAGATGCAGATTCCGAATCTTGAGCTTGTTTTGAGGTGCCTAAATCTTTGGAGTTTGATACACCAGTGGTTCCAGCTTCATCTTCATTAAGTGCCTTTGGATCAGTATCTTCAAACTTTTCAAATGCTGATGTGTCTTGAGGGATTTGGATACCTTGATTGAAGTTTTGTGATTCAGTGTTTGCAGTTCCAATTTCTTTAACATCTTCATTCAATGCTTTGGGGTCAGTATTCTCATATTGTTCAAAAGCAGCCAATTGGTCCTTACCTTTAGGGATATGAATACCCGGTTCTCCAGTCAAGCTTGTTTGATGTGGCTCTTCCTTTGGCATAACTGTGGTCTTGTAATCACCCTGTGATGAGCTCACAGTAGCATCTCTATTCAAGTCATTTGCCTCGACATCTTTTGTTGTAGAATTATTGTAAATCAAGCCAGATTCTGGAATCAATGATCCTGGAATACTAACCAATTCTTTTAAATCCTCAGGATCCAACACGTTATTCTCATTTCCTTCGAAATCCTTGGTAATTTTTTCATCGGGATTAACTCTCCATTCACCATCAACAACATACTTGTACAAAATGGGTTCGTTTTGGACTCGCAATGGCACTTGCAATGTAAAAGTGCCATCGCCATGTTTGAAGAGGGTGTAAGACTTGGACCAATTGTCAATTGTTCCTGTTACAATAACCTCTTCGGGTCCTTGAGGCCTATGGATTTGGTTAGTATCTTGTTAAAAGTATATAGCAAACTTAACCCACCTCCGAAAAAGTAAATGCATGACGACATCTAAAAACAACAGCCGTTTCTTCCCAGAAAAAGTAGCATTACTGGACAACCGTCGAGGCAATTGAATTGCTGGTTTGCCATAAACCCCTAAGAGCTGTAGAAACATACCACTTGAATTCGTAATGAGCTGACATTTTAAATGTGCGGTGTAGTGTAGTGTGAGTAAAGTGTAAGCAATTGTCGAAAAGAAAAGATAAACAGAAAGCAAAATATTTAAAAAATTAAAATTAAAAAATAAAATAAAAAAATAAAATAAAAAAAAAAAGTTACTAATGCAAGAAATGCAAGAAATGCAAGAAATGTAAGAAATGTAAGAAGAAATGAACAGCAGAGTAAAAGTGTTGATTGTCGTCTTTTTCTTCTATTCACACAATACAATAGATTTTATTGCGTCACACAAAAAAAAGCAAAAATAGTAGTTTGCACATGGTCATGGTCATGATTTTCACCGGAGATGTTAGTTTTGTTTATCTCCGAGCAAGTGTGAATACAGTGGGTTGGTCTATAGTATAGATACAAGTAAGTCGTTAAGGTTTATTCTTAATACGTCTACAGTTGATTGAATGGGAGTCATACGTTTTGTACTTGTAAAACTTCTTTTTTTTTTTATTTTTATTTTTATTTTTTTCTTTTTTTCGTAAATCAACTGCCAAAACAAAATAGAAGGAACTAGAACAAGCTGGACGACAGTAGCAGCTGGTGTATAACTTTGTACAAACTGGGTCGGTCTTGGCTGTTGCTGTTTTGAACACTCTGTCTGCACCATCGCCAAGGCTAACAACTGTCCAGTTATAGTGTCCACCTATGTGGTAGCGACATAACATTGCTGGCTAGCTCTCTATCCACAAACGAGGTGTTGATGAATCCACCAGTATCTTTTTCAGATTGTACTGGAAACACTGAAACCTATCTTTGCTTCCATCATCTCATTGCGTTACCGTGTTGTTGTAGCTTCAACAATGTCTCAATTAGGAAATTACATGGACTAATGGGGAAAGCGAAAAAAAAAAAAAAAAAAAAAAAAAAAAAGAGGAATATTATCTACACAAAAGGATACACTACTACTACTACTACTACTACTACTATTACTACTCACTATATTCATCATACACAATCGTATTTGACTTGTTCAAGTCGCCAAAGTAGGATAACAATATTGGCAACAACACCAACGCATGTACAGCAGATATAATGATCAACAGGAACCACATTCTGAAATAATAAACTTCAAAAATCTTTGATCTCGTAAATGCCAATATCGATATACCAATCAATTTTGTAAATGTAATACCACCAATGATGGATCCTCCCACGGTGACAATCGAGTTGAACGCCTTCAGGTATCTAATCTTATCATTCAATTCTTGTACAGATGCCGAAGTTGACGAATTGACACTGTTGTAGTTGATGAAATTCTCATACATATTATCCTCATTCTCATCCTCAAATATTGATACTTTGGACACAGTATATGCCCGAGTTAAATGAATGGTAAATTCAACAGCTAACCCACAACAAATGACCAAATTAACCAACGTTACTGCATTCAATGAGATATCCCACAATGCCAATACTCCACCAATATCAATCATAATTGAAGCAATGGTGATGGTCATTACTGTACTTGACCTAACTGACCCCAACAACACTGTACAAACAACCCATATAATGGCAATGGCTCCAACAATAAGACTAAAAGTTAAACCAACAATGTGCAAATACTGTACAAAAAAAATGTAAAAAGGTGACCAACTGAAAATATTCAACCCAGGAATCAATTGCTTTATTTCATCAACAATCCTGATTGAATTACGATAAGCAGCAATGAAATCATCTTGTGAACGTAATGGAGTATGTGAAGTTCGGAAATAACTAGCATCAATTTTGCTCTCAGTTCGGGAAATACTATTGCCATATGGTGCCTTGCCTCCCAATGGACATGGATCACTGGGTTCTTGTATCCATTGATTGAAATAAAACATGAATTCATCACCTTGTGGAAACCCATTCATATTTGCATCATAAGGAGGATCATGATCAGCAAAACATGTTTGACATTGACGTTCAGGATCATTTGGTGCACAAAATTGTGGTATTTCAAATAGTGACAGCTTTTTAAATCGACAACATTGATCAAGGTCCGGGTTCAACCAAGTGAGGAAATCATCGAGCCAATTACTAGTTGGCTCAGCAATCATTGATTTTTTCAGTCTTTTAAATTCTTGTTCCAATATGTTGGCAAGGGAGAATTTATCACAGGTGGTGAACCGTCCACATATTTCTTGTTGGTATTCACGTTGGGTTACATCCAAGTCGCGTACCACGAAAAACACCGGTGGACCAGAATTGAAATAGTCATAAACAGAATTAAAGTAATCAACAAGGTAGGAATTTTTAGGAATTGCAATTCTTTGATCAAGCCCGAAATTGATGCCGGGGAATAAACTTAGAGAAATACCAAGCCAAAGGATGAAAAAAGTGAGGATCTTGGGGCGGGTGGTGTTGCTCAATATGAAAGGAGCATATCGCTCTTTAATCCAATGAGAAAAATCGTACTCAAGATGGTATTCAAGATGGTCTTCTTCTAGTTGTACTGGGGCGGAGATTGTCACACAGGGAACACAATCTACTCTATTCTCTTCTAATCGCTTTTGATCCAATGCCAACAATGCCACAAAACATGTCATTTGTAAGACGAAATTAATCGCCACGGCTCCTGCACTGTATATGGCAAAGTTTTTCACTGCTGGCATATCCACGGACGTTGCCAAGATAAACATTGATACTTGTAGAACAGCACTAATGAAACATGACGGTCCAATATTTCTCATGGCAAATGATATTCTCAATGTCACATCCAAATCTGGTTCATGCTCAGTAATCTTGTGGAGTTCATGAACAATAAGAAAAATATTGTCAATTCCAATTGCTAAAACAAGAAATGGAATCACCTCAGCAATGATCAAAGTCGATTTAAATCCCAACATGGAAAACAACCCCACTGATGAGGTAACTGAAAGGAGAATAATGATAATTCCACTTAACCCCAACATAAACCTCGACTTGACCACCGATTTCATTGACTTTGATGGCAACTTACCACCAAGTGCCAACGATGCATAGATAAACATGACAATATACGAAATGGCAATAATTCTAATATCAGTGTTTGATGACTGATTGAGCTCTTCAGTGAGGGACACTTCGGTGCTAAATGCCACATTCAACCCCAAGTAATTATTCTGGAGTTGCTTCGCCCATGCTTGGAATGAGTGCTCATAAGACACAATATCATCAACCAATGTCGTGTTTGAAGAATTATTATCAATCAAAACCGTCATTGTGAATGCTGTTGCTTTCAATATATCTGAATTGTCAAACAACAATGCCGGTTTCAAAGGTTGTTGAAATAAAGGTAAGCAATTGACGGGAGAATCTGCACAATTTTGCAACTTGCGCGCCCATGTATCGTTACTCAATCGATTGATATCACCATCAAAGTATTGAGTAAATGATTCAATTGCACATGCGCCTCCCAATGGTTTAAAACAAATATCCGAAAGACGTGTGTGCGGGCTTAAATTTTCAAGTATCAGCTCCTGCTTAAACCACCATTCGATTGTATCCCAATTGAAAATTGGTTCACCATTTGCAGTACTGACAATAACTTGTTCAATTCTAAACCATTCACCAAAATTAGACTCGAAATACTGTTGATTGATATATGCTGGCTCATTAGGACTTACCCAAAGATTGATTGGATTCGTTTCAATATTGAGCTTCAACATACCAAGGGAGAACAATAATGACACCACCAACGACGTGCCAATTGTCACTCCGGGGAACGTTGAGCAAAATTTAGCCAATTTTTCAAACCCATCCTGAACTTGTGAATTTAATTTATCGGAAAACTGACGCACAACTGGTTTGCGAACAGTGACATAGTTTAATGGACTAATAATCTCATCCTCCTCATCATCTTCATACGATCCACGTCTTTTGAATTCGCGTTTAGCATTTGCAAGGTAGATGTGGTACCCACCAAGTAGAATCACCAAACACACCAAAACCATCCAAACGGAAAATGTAAAGCATGGAACTAAACCAACAGTACATCTCTTGCTCAAATTTTTGGCATGAGGTAGTTTGGGACATGATGATTGACAATCGGTACAAGCACATTTATACTCTTCATCACTACATGAAAACATTTCATCATTTCTCAATTTCAACCCTTGCTTCTCTTGTCCCTGATTCAATTCGTATTTGAAATTAATCTGATATGGAGACCCACCAAGTAGCGGTTTCTCATCACCCAAGAATTTCAAAAATTGAGAATAGTTTTTAGCTCCGCCACCAATCAAATCCGTGGCAAACCCATTAGTGGCCAGGAATTTTACTTCTTTACATGAATTAAAAAACTTTTCTGCTAAATCTGGTGACACATATTGATCAATCTCGGTAACGATTTCCTTACCGGTGTCTTTAGCCACTTGAGTCTTGACAATTTCCACAAATGTCGATTCATTAGGTGAACAACTAAATTGACAAAAAAAATCATAGAAATTCTTGTGGCACGCTGGACATGACGATATAATTGCATCCACACGTTTCAAATTCGATTCTAGTTCATCAATTTGGCTCGATGAACAACAGACATAATCAAAGTCTCGACCACAAATTTTTGCCAACCTGTCTCGTGATTCTTTACTTGGTTCAGTTGCGGGAACGAAATTAGCACACGGTAATGGTTTGCCAAATATCGATTTTTTACCACAATTATCGTATGTGTTGCAGTATCCAGGTGAGTGGCCAGTCCCAGCGAGCACCAATGTAAGCTGTAGAACTGCAATGTATAGTGGTAGTAGATACATTGCTAATGTTTGTAGCAGGGGGAAAACTAGAGTTCTCAGGTAGCCGCCGCTGTAACTGCCCCCATTCTTTTTTTCTAGAACGTCATTGACGCAGAAAACTTCTGTGTCGTAAATCATGTGTCACAAAAAGTCGTCTAACCCGCCTTTGAAAATAATTTTTCACAATTTTTTACCCGATCTATTGTAAAGGATTAAGGCGGGTTTGGAAAATATTATACAAATAAAGAAACAACTGCCCCAATCTTCTCTTCTCTGTTTCTTCAGTAAGCCATGTTGATTGGTATTTCAGGGACCCTTAGTTCAGGGAAAACAGAAGTGGCGCGGTACTTGACATTCCAAGGCTTTAAAGTTTTGCATTATCAGCCACACCATGCCGAATTACCTGATGAGTTAAATGTATGCACGCCAGAGTCGGAAGATATCAATTACGAAATGGAGCAACTTGCCATTAAGCAATACTCCAACATGGAGAATTTCAAAGTGTTCAAGACATTGGATAGTTTGTTGGAGTTTGTTACTGTCAATTGGCGAGATAATTATGTCATTTCTCATATTGAAGATATAGCCATGTTGAGAGCATTGCAAAAAAGGCCATTTTTTCTTCATATATCAATTGATGCACCATTGAGTTTGCGGTACAAGAGGTATGCCAAGAAGAAGCAGACTTTGGAGGAATTTGTTCAACATAACGATGATACATTATTTAATTCGAAATCGCCATTGCTTGAAATTAATAATCAAGCGCAGGTCAAGATTATCAATACATCCACCTCAATCAAGGACTTGTTTATCAAATTGTCGGAACTAAACTTATTAGATCCTTCGCGATTGCGTCCAACATGGGATTCATACTTTATGCGACTCGCTGATTTGGCAGCTCTTCGATCAAATTGTATGAAGCGGAGAGTAGGATGTGTTATTGTACGAGATAACCGTGTTGTTGCTACTGGTTACAATGGAACACCAAGGCATTTAACCAATTGTAATCAGGGTGGCTGTTCACGATGCAACAAGGGCCATGGAAGTGGTGCTTCGTTATCAACGTGTCTTTGTTTGCATGCTGAGGAGAATGCTTTATTGGAGGCAGGGAGAGACAGAATTAGAGATGATAGTGTATTGTATTGCAACACGTGTCCATGTTTGACATGTTCGATAAAAATTGTTCAAAGTGGCATTCGAGAAGTTGTTTACGCACAAAGCTACTCAATGGATCAGGATAGTCATCGAGTCATGAGTGAAGCAAATATTACAATACGGCAATACCAGCCACCAATAGATGGAATATTCATATAGAAAAAATGTGTAAATAGAGATTAAATCAAGTTTCCTTGTATTCGTAATACCCCGGTTTGGTTTCTGCTTTAAACTTGATAGTTTCAATAACCTCACCACCAACGCTCAATGTAGCTTCCACTTCATCGCCATCAACAATTGGGCCAACACCTTTAGGCGTCCCAGTCAAAATCAAATCCCCTTTTTCCAAAGTCATGATGTTTGACATGTAACTCAAAATCTTGTGGATAGGAAACAACATCAAATCCGACTTATCCTGCTGCTTCACCTCACCATTAATTGTCAACTTCAATTCAACATTGTATGGATCAGGGATTCTTTCCCTTGGGATAAATTTCGATACTGGTAAAAATGTATCAAATCCTTTAGCAATTGACCACGGTAACCCCTTTTTCTTGGCTTCATCTTGAACATTTCTAGCAGTCATGTCAATCGTCAATGCATAACCTTCAATACTCTCGAGTGCCTCTTGTGAGGAGAACGTATCGGGTAAGTTTTTCAATTCACGGTTTAAAGTAAATGCCAATTCAACTTCATGATGGACAACCACACCTTTGGGGATCAAGAATGGTCCCGAGTTTGGTTTCAATATTGATGATGATGGTTTAAGGAAAAAGAATGGTTGTTGTGGTTTAGCGCTGTTTAATTCCTTAATGTGGGCAGCATAGTTACGCCCGATACAGAGGATTTTTCTGGCGTTGTCGAGGTATTTCAATGACATTGGGCGGTAGATAGTATTGGGTTTGGGGTTTGAAGAATTTGTTCGGAGATTCTCGAGAAATAAAAATTGACTTTTCCCCACACCTAAATAGAGTAGGCAATTGCGACCACGCCAGATCCATCAGAACATATTTGGAATCTACCACAGGTGACCGATTGGCGAATAGACTACGCTCAAAGGTGACTCATCAGCATGATCTATCACGGCTATGTTAGCGGCCTCCCAGTTTCCGACACCGCCATTCATCAATGCTACCAAAATCCGTTTTGAAAATTTTGGCGCATCACATTTCCTGAGCAGACTACACATCAACAATGATCACACGACACACAATACAAGGAACTGCTTGGAAACTACTACGACTAGCTCCAGTACGACTCTACACTGCTCATACACGTCCACTACCATACTACCCCAAGTACAACTCCCACTCATTACCATATAGCCCCCAAGAACCAAAAAATGAACTTTCACCACAGCAAAACTATATCCAATCACAACCACAACTTCACGACAACATCATAGTGGCAATGTCTTCTGGAGTCGACTCTTCAGTATGTGCTGCACTATATGCCAATTACCCCAATGTACGAGGGATATACATGTCAAACTGGTCGCAAACCGCCACATGCACCGAACGTGATTGGAAAGATGTGCAAAAAGTTTGCCACCAATTGAATATCCCCTGCGATCGAGTCAATTTCGAGTCTGATTACTGGGGCAATGTGTTTACTCCAATGATTGAACAATATCGTGCTGGGTTAACTCCCAACCCTGATGTTGGATGTAATAAACATGTCAAATTTGGTAAATTAGCCCAATACTTGAATGAGAACTATGGTGAAGATGATGGTAATTGGTGGCTAGTCACGGGCCATTATGCACGAGTCATGCAAAGTGCCACCACCGGAGAATACCATCTACTTCGTGGTTTGAGTACACGCAAGGATCAATCGTATTACCTTTCATCAATCCCATCATCAATCCTCCCCAGAGTGATTTTCCCACTAGGTCATCACTTGAAATCGGAAACGAGACAAATGGCAACCCGTTTCAACCTCCACGTGCAAAAAAAACCTGATTCTCAAGGATTGTGCTTTGTTAATCCCCATCAATCGAATTTCCGTGATTTTCTCAATGAGTATATTGAACCTCAACCCGGTGACATTGTCACTGAAGACGGTAAAGTCTGGGGCCATCATCAAGGGCTATGGCATGCGACAATTGGACAGAAATCAAGTGTATCCATGCCTCAAGGTGATCCCAACTACAAGGGTGTTTGGTTTGTTGCGGAGAAGAATGTCGCCAAGAATCAGTTGATTATTGTTAGAGGTCATGATAATCCAAAGCTTTACAAGTCAAGGGTTGTAGTTACTGATGTTGATTGGGTTTGTGATGCGGGGAAAGTTTGCGCATTAGATTCTCATGATGTTGAATTTCAACATCATTCATTATCGAAACCGACTCGAGTCAAACTGTGGAACATTGGTGAAAGCAAGGAGAAAGTTGTTGTTGAGTTGGAGTTGCAAGAAAGTGTAAGAGCATTGGCTCCAGGACAAGCTGGTGTGTTTTATCATGGGAATCAAGTTTTAGGTGGTGGTGTTATATCAAAAACAGAAACATAGAATCAAAATTGCACATAGGGGCAATAAGCTACATCTCTTTGTTAAAACACTTAAATCATTGACTAAAACAAAACATAAATTAATATACAAAAATTACATCATAATTGAAATAAAGACAAAACCAAACTAACAATCAAAGAAATGCACATCATGGACACCAGCCAAATCCTCCCAAAAACAAATAAAAGAAAAACCATAAATAAACATGAAAAATTTAAAAAGCAGTAATGGTTGGATACAACTTCTTTTCTCCATAAATTGAATCACGTTTCAATTCATCAACTTCCTCTTTTAGTTGTTCATCTTGCTTCTTTTCTTCATCTTGTTGTTGTTGTTGTTGTTGTTTTATTTGTTGCTTCAATACTTCAACAACATGATGAATCAAAGCTCTGTGTCTAGCAACGTCTTTAAGATTGTATCCGTCGACAATAACACTCTCATCATCATCGTCCGCTCCATCTTCTTCTTCTTGGTCTGCACCACCATTCAAATTCAATTTATCAAACAAAGAGTCAATTTCTTCTTCTTCAGAAGACTCTTCACTTGATTCATCATCAAACTCTTCCTCTTCTTCCTCTTCATCTTCATCTTCATCGTCCAACTTCTGGCCGGCTTTTTGATACACTGAAACGCCATTAAACTCCAATCCATTAGCATGTGGTTGCTGTTGACCATAAGACAAGTTGTAACCCATTGGTCTATTAATTTGTGGGTACGAAGACAAGTATCCGCTAGAGCCAGATGAAGAAGTAATTGTACCAGCACCATTGTGGTCTTTGATTGAGGTTGAAGGCAATACTGGTAAAGTAGGGTATACGTGAGATGATGAATGCTGTTGTTGGTGTGATGATGATGAAGATGATGTACCGTGTGCTGCACCACCGCTCGACTGACTTCCATGGCCATGACTATGTTGTTGTTGTTGTTGTTGATATTGTGAGGACAAGTTCTGATATTGCATGTCGATTGAGTTTGACAATGAGTTGAAAAACTTTTCGGCTTCATAGATATTGCTATTGTTTGCAGTGTGGGTATATGATGGATGTGGGTGTTGTTGCTGTTGTTGTTGTTGTTGTTGTTGTTGGTATTGTCCATTGCCATGTTGTGGTCCGTGATGTAATTGATCATCCAAATGATTCAACTTGTTAAACATGTCAATATTGTATTCAGTATTTGGCTTCATTCTCTTTGCGTCAGAGTATTGTCCTTGTTGTCCTTGTTGTCCTTGTTGGGTGTATCCATTATGGTTAACTTGTTGGAAGTTGAAATCATTCAATATACTGTTAACAACATACATGTTGTGTTGTGAATTATTATCAAATCTTCTCTTTCTTGATTCCTCGTCAAATCCATGACCATATTGTTGTTGATGTGGATGTCCATTGGCAACAGTGGCAAAGTATGGCAAATCACCATTAGCCTTATTCAACTTCATTTGTTGCTTGGCTTCCCTTTGTTGTTGCTTCAACAATTGTTTTTGAGCCTTCTTCAACTTCTTTGGATGATCATCAGCATGGATCTTGGAATGTTTCTTCAAATCTTGAGGTCTCTTGAATGATTTGGGACATAAATCACAATGGAATGGTTTTAATGGAACATGAACACGTAAATGTGAAGTAATGTGATCTCTTTTAACAGTTGTAGTTCCACAATTCTCCCAATAACAAGTCAAACTCAAGTTATTTGATGATTTCCTTCCAACGTGATCGTCACATAAATGGTCATACAAAACTTCAGGAGATTCAAATACGATGTTACAATCACCCCATAAACACTTGAATGGACCACGCAAATCTGCTTCTGTAATCTTTTTATAAGTCTTTTTTGGTGGCTTTGCCGAATAAGCATTAAAAGTGGAGCTCATTCTAGCATCATTCATTTGTGGCACTGGTTGTGTTGAAGAAGTGGCACCATTAGCACCTGCAGCAGCAATGGCAGCACCACTAGTCAAATACGATGGGTGGTAATGATCGCCAGACAACTCTTGGTAGGCTCCGTGAAACTGTTGCCCTTGGTGTGGTGGTGGTGGAGCCTGTTGTTGAAGTTGTTGCTGTTGTTGTTGTTGGTGATAAAAAGCATGGCTATTATAAAGTGGATTCAAACTTGGATGTAATTGTGTTGGTTGCTGTGGTAAAACTGATGGTGCTGAGTTAATGGCAGAAGCACCAGAGGCAGTCAAAGCTGAGCCAGAAGTATTCGTGGTGGTGGTGGTGGTTGCAGTGTTGTTGCTGTTGTTAGATCTAGACACTTCTGCATTATTAATATCCAATACATCACCATTACTTGAAATGGGTTGGTGTCCACTCTTTGCTTCATCCATAGGCGAGTTAGCCAAAGAATGTGAAGTAAATGAAGAGTGGGGTGATCCATTAGCATGGTTAGTCCTTGGTGAATGTGATGAAGTTATTGAAGAAGGAGATGTGACATTATCCATTTCTAAATCAGTCGATGGTGATTTTTTGGTAATACTGTTGCCACGAGACAGTTGTGAGATGTTAGACACTTGTTGTGATTGTAAATATTGTTGCTGTTGAGAAGTCTTTTGGTTGTTGTTACTGTTGGTATAACTGTCTGCATTCAAATACGAGACAGGATGTACGTTGTAATTCATGTTTGTAGTGGATTTGTGTGTGTGTGTGTGTGTGTGTGGAACTCTGGCGTAGAAGTTAGAGTCTAGTAACAAAGTATAAATAGAAGCGTGTTGTGGGCTCGTTGGCTGTTGTGTTGACGGTTGTCTGTTGTTTTTATGGGTAGGTTTCGCAAGAAAAAGTGTCAGAAAAATTAAAAAGGGGTGGGGGGGGGGAGAAGTTTATATATAAAGCAATCGTTTGTGTGCGAGTGTCATGTTTTGAAGTTTTTTTGGGGTTTTTTTTTTTTTTTTTTGTCTCAATTTCTTCGTCTGCCTGTTGATCCAGTCCGTTATCTCCCCCAATCACTCGTCCCGCCCTCTGTCTCTGTTCTGTACTAACTCAGTTATAACCACGACCTCTATTGTTGGGAGTGTGTGCGTGTGCGTGTGAACAAATAAAAAAATGCCAAGAGAAAAATTCTGAAGCAAAGAAAAAAAAAAAAAGTCCACCTTTTTCTTGTCATTTCTTCAAATCTCAGTTGAAAGCATTCCACTTTTTTTGTTTTATTTTCTTAGTTTCTTGGAACGTAGTCCAACGTATATTGAGTTGCATTATATGCATCATATTTTGTGGCTATGTTGTAGAATCACATATAGCAAGGACCCCCTTTCATATTCGCTGCTCGTTAACCTTTTTCCCTTTTGTTGAAACATACTGTGCATACTTCCTCATATCCTAATTGCGCAATTTACTACAATCTATCTCCCCTCTCGTTTATCACCTTTTGTCGCAAAAATAATGTCGCATTACCACGTTGTGTGTGTCTCTTTATTTTTTCACTACTTATTTTATTTTTAGTCCTATATTAATTTGGTTTTTGTGTATTTTGACAATATGGTATTTAGTAGACAATACACTACCTTTTTACATCCTTACATCAATACACAAGAATTTTATTTAATTATTTTTCTTATATGCAGGTTTTATGTGTCGTAAAGTCAAAAGTGTACCCGAAAATTTTATTATCAATTGTCACTCACTCACTCCCTTCTAGGTTAAGACAAAGTCATAACCTCCGGCGGGTTTGAGCTTTATATGATAATGTGCCAAAGTTCCCCACCCTGAAATCAAAAAAGGCAGATCTTCTTACTTGATAAGGTTGGGGTACGATAAGAAACAACAAAGACTTTGTACATTTGAAGAAGAAAAGCACACGTACACACAGCCTCTTTGTCTTTCTTTCTTTCTTTCTCTTCTCGCACACTTTTGATGTTTTTGATGTTCTAGATTACAAAGATTCACGTCAACCCAATTTTGTGTTACACTTTTTTTTTCCATTTACGGGGCAGCTCAAACATCTCCAGCCTCCTTCCCTCACTTTGCTTCTTTGACTTCTACTGCAGGCAACATCGTATCTGATTTGTCCTCCTCACTTATGTCCGAAAAGATTACGCAAAAATACACTAATACACTTGTGAAAGTGATGACGTATTGATACATACATTTGCATATCATGTTCTTTTGCTTCGCTTCTTTTATCGTATTTCGTATCTGTTTTCGGCAACATGTAATATACTCTTTCTGTCGTGAGTGTTTTATTTTCCTCGGCATTTGCTTTCCTGTGTGAATTTATTGTCTTGGTTCTGAGGAGTCATCAACACCTATGAAATGTTTGCTATTGGATAGTTGCGAATCTATTTGGTGGCGAAGTTGCGGAGAAACTATGCGATTTGCTGGGGTTGGGTTACTGCAATGGCTGCTAATTTTTTCTTTTATACTTTTGCAGATATGGAAAGGGTTTTCAGCCTATAGAGGGGTTTCAGAACTTTCATGAAATACTGGATATGTATTCTAGGTGTGGCTGTGACTTCGACTCTCCTCCACTGCAATTAATGCATAGCTGCATAGCTATGCACTTATTACACATTTGCAGGACACCGCCCCTCTCTGGGCATTTTCGGGGTACATTCTGACAATTTCATGACATCATTTACAGAATAATCACATAGAACGAAATGTTATAGAGGTAGTACATGTTGTATTCATCCCTCAAAAACTATCCAAATAACAAATAGGTACAATTTGGCTAAATCATACATCTTGTTCCAAATAGAATTTGCATCCGATTTCATCACGTCATCATCATCATCACCCCCAGCGTCGCCAACACCATTGTCAATGCTGCCTTCCGTCCATGAGTGTTGTTTCTTCAGCTTAAACTTATCCATCTCTCTGTTTAATTCACCATCAGAAGCATAGTTGGCTTGATTTTCAACACTAACAACACCTTCATAAATGTACAATCGAAAAGGACCAGACCCATTCACTGCTCTACTAGTACCATTGACAACCGACTCGACATCATTTATTGGTTGATTATCATTATGCGACAACATTGAAAACTTCTTATTGTCCCTGTTCTTCTTCTTGATTCTTTTGGCCCCCTTGGCCCATCCCCAAGTTCCACCTTCATCGTCAGATGAATCATCATCATCCGAACTAGACTCCCACATGGTTGAATGTCCATCACCAATGGATTTCTCAAGGTATACACCAGCATTTATTTGCCAACCGGATGATGTGGTTTCGCGTTCTAATTTAGTGCCTTGAATTAACGCAAATGACTTGTTGTTGAAACTGTTGGCGTTGTTGGATGTCAAGTTGGAAGTGATGAGTTTGTTTGGGCCGTTATCATTATCAACGTTGTCATTGTTGTCACCCTTGAAGACTGATGCGGCGAAAATCAATGTTGGTAAGACGAGTAAGATCAAGTGGAGTGATAATATACGTGACGATTGGTGTGTATTCTTATAATCGAGCTTGAGAAGCATCTTGCTGACCTTGATCTATCACTGGGATTTTTGGAAAGGAAGTTTTTGTTCTCTTTTACTGTTACCTTTTTTTTTGGATATGTGGGTGGTAAACGGGTCTTTTTGCTTTCGATTTTTTTTCATTATGCTGCAAAAAATAAGAGAAAGACGCCGGCACTTATTGCGAAATTTTCTGCGATTTTCCATTTGATTATTGGTTCTTAACACTTCATAGCTTTCAATGTATTACAAAGTATCTATAGCGATGTCGCCTAATTGTAATGAATAGTAAATTGATTCATTGTACTCATGGAAGTATCTTATCCTCTTTGTACATAAAAGTCCAAGATCACGTGCTTGTCCCTGATAACAAATCGAGAGAAAAAGAAATGACAAAAACTGAAAATGATATGATAGAAATACCCACCCACACATGAATTGCTTGTATAACTGGCTCCACTGAAACATCCATAAACATACACACACACGCACACACACAGTGGCAAACCATGCAGAGTCAACAACAGCCAACCACGGGCTCGCGCACCCAAGTTATAGACCCCACAAACAATGTCCTTCGTTTGCGTCCCTCTAATGAGCAACCTACACAACAACAACAGGAAGAAGAAGAAGAAGGAGCTCCCACATCAGTGTTGAAAAAGACCAAATCCAAGCAAAAGAAGCCGAAAGTAAGGTGGACTCAAGATGTCGTTGATAATGAACACATGAATAAGAAAAAGACGAAAATATGTTGTATATTCCATCCACAACGATCGTTTGACGAAGAGGAAGCTCATGATCATGATCACGATCATAATGGGTGTTCCAGTTCTAGTTCTGACTCTAGTAGTGACGAAAGCGATGCTAGTGATGGAGAAGGCGGTGGCCCTGGTGGTGGAAGTAGTGCTAATGGTGAAAGGAACAAGAATAATGGTGGTGGTTCGTCAAATGTCAATGCGTATGAGTATCAACCGAAGTATGAAAATCAGTCTAAATTGCCTTCGAATCCAAGTACGTGAATAGTGGGAGTTTGAAGTGATGGGTTTTTGTTGCGACATATAGAGTGTACCGGTATCTAGGTAATGAGATGTCACCTTGCGGCTCCTTCACAGTGTAACAAACTCGTTATTTGGCGCCATTATGAAAGTAAAAAAAACCGAAAATTGGTATTACCGGTGATATTATATGTTGACTATATAACAGAAGGAACGATGTAATGTTTTTAAAACAAAAAAACGAGGAAGTATGTATTAAAAGTATTGAACTTGTATAAAAGAAAAACGAGGAATTGAAATTTCAACGGGGGTTTGAATGTGTAAAATGACTGTGTAGAATGAATGAATGAATGAATGAATAGATGACAAAGTGTAAAAATGAATGAATGAATGAATGAATGAACGTGTATAAGTGAAATGAACAAAATCAGATTCGTAGTCAATTGGACAACGACAGCACCTGCAGGCAACTACTGGTGTTATTCATCATGTTGTTGTCTCTTTAATCCGGGTTGGCAATCTTTAAAGTACCACCACCGGCACCTCCGTTATGATGATCGTGAATGTCATCAAGTGACTTACTAAACATTGGCTGGTTATTCTCATCAATTGGAAACATGATAATGTCACCATTATCATCAGATGAATCACCACCATTGAGAACATAAGCGCCACCACCACTACCCATGCCACCGCCATGATGGGATCCCCGCAACAATTTTTTGCGAGACAAGTTCCTATTGATGCCCAGACCCCCACTACTGCCGTAATCATTATTATAGTAGTAATTGCTATTAGCATTGGCTTTATCTTTATCGGAATTGTTATTACCACCACCCATAAACAATGAAAATAAAGTCTTTGTGGAATTATCGCGTTTCAATGATGATGATAATGACGATCGTTTGCTATGACGATGATAATCCGGGGGAGGAACTGGTACTGGTTGCCCTGGAGCTGAAGGATAGCTACCATTACGTTGCTGATAGTTTCCTCCTGCTCCCCCGCGTTGACTCTTGTTAAAAGCAACAACTTTTTCATGATCAACATCCACATCATCGTAATCCAGCGAGTATCGATTCTCTTCTTCATCTGAAGTGTATCGATCATCATTTCTTGAACGTTTGCGACGCGCAGCCGGTGTACAACAGCAGCAACAGTATAGTATTGCTGAAACGATTCCAAGAACAACGACACCTACCGCGGTAAATGTTCCTGCAACTTTACCTGCATCTGAAAAAAATGCATTCTTGTTGCTTTGGTTTGTGGATGAGGCTGCTGCTGTTTCTGATGTGTATTCGTCACCATCTGATGACGTGGGTGATGACGTTGATGAAAGTATCGGGTCAGTCGATGGTGATGATGATGCTGATGGAGCTGCCCCTGCAACGCCAACTAAATCTGTAGAAGATGATTCTGATGATGCGCTTGCTGATGATTCATTGGTGGTGCTACTTTCGTCAGTAGGTGGTGACGATTTAATCAGGGTTGAATTTGCCGATTGGGTGATATACATTGTACTCACTTGTTGTTGACTTTGGGTACCGTTGAGAGTAACCACTGAAAAAACAGTTGATGCTTTAACTTGCGTTGAAATGAGTACAACTGTGGACGACACAACACTCGGTGATGAAGGAGACGAAGAAGTTGATGATGATTGGCTGGTGCTTGAACTTGATGGCGTCACGGTGTAGTATTCGGTCACTTTAATTACGTCATTTGACAGGTGAACTTGTGTAACTTGAGTTGTTCGTGTAACCATTGCTGTTTGTTGTGAGGAGGGGGATGTAGTTGTGGAGGTGGGAGTAGAACTTGGTGGAGTGGATCTAGGCGAAGAAGTACTTCGAGGTGTTGTTGATGATGATGTTGATCTTGACGCGCTGCTCGTAGAAGTAGTCTCAGCAGCATCCGTCTCCGTGTTTGTATCAGTGCTTGTGTCAGTGTCAGTGTCAGTTTCTGTTTGTGCTTTAGTTGAGGACGATTCACCACCTACAGTTGCGTCAACCTCACCAAAAACCAAATACCCAAAATGATCCTCATCACCACATTTTTCATCAGGGTATCCAGGACACGAAGTGTCACAATCGCTCAAATCAATTTGATCAGCAGGTACATCATTGCTGCAAAAACAATCAAATCGTGATAATATCGCCACGGCATACCCTTGTTTACGACAATAATCTTGACAATAGCCATTAGACATGTACTGATCCGAAGTTGAATCTGAGCCCAAGTTTTGTGATGAACAGTAGGTTAATGATAGTGATGATGCGCATGGTATTAATAATAAAATGAATGACAATAGTAGGAAAATTGGATGATGTAGTGGAGATATTGTTGATGATGGGATCTTGTTGTGAATCATCAAGTATCGACAATGAAGAAAGATGATAGATGATAGGGTATTTTGTATGGTGCAGGATTATGCTGTTGGTGATTTGTGAGTTCTTGTTCCGAGGAAAGATGGATAAAGAAAGCCTTGGTTGGTTTTGATTTTGTTGATGATGGAGTAGATTGAACCGAAGATATGGGTTTAATGAGAAGGGTGAAGTTCACTTCCAATGGCTTTGGACTGGAGATTTCTTCACTCTGTATGAATGTTGAAAGATGAGTTTGGCTTTCTAGTAAAAAGCAAGTTGGGTGATGAACAAAGGTTTTTAATTAGTTTTAATGTGTAATTCCTTCTTCTTCTTCGTCCTTTGTATTTGTTATGTATAGTTAATTTTGTACTATTATCCTATTGTCTTTGTTACCCTGTTTTTGCCTTGTTATAAAGAATAGCTTTTAACTTTAAAACCAATTGTTATCCAGTATGTATTTATTAATGTTAAAAATATATGTTGCAGCTTTTTTGTACCCTCTTTTAGTTTTGTGTAACAATAAACCTATTATTGTTTACTATGGTTATTGTTATTCAAATTTCTTTTTGTTATTGTTTCCCTTCTCCTTGTTTGTTTGTTTATTGCTGTGAAATTTTTACACTACCAAAGATATACTCAATATAGTCGCAGTAGTAGTTGTAGTTGTACTGTGGAAAGGGATTGTAGTATTTAGATGCTTTGATTGTAGTTTGTTAGTTGTTGTTGTGGGGGGGGCATAAAATACTTGGCTCACCAACGCAGTTGCCTTATCTCTGACCGAACAGTAGTAATCTCCCCCTTGATTATGTTTAAGTGCTTATTGCCTATTACAGCAGAACTTTATTGAAGTGAAAGCGTAGGATTAAAGTAAAATGTCTCTTTTCTCCTTGGCTGACTTTTCTGTATTTTGTGTGCAGAAGTTAGATGTAAGGCGGTAGATCTCTCTTCTTCTTCTCTCTCTCCTTTGCTTTTTGTATACGTTTGGTAGATTTCTTAGTTTACCCTTTCGTTTTATAATGATATAGCAAATAAACTCGAGTGGGTAATTTTTTGACTTTGATTCTAGTAGAGAAGTAAATTGTCGATACCCTTTTCAAACTTGATATGATGTGCACGTGGTGGGGCGTGAGCGTCAGGTACTTCGATCTAAAAGTACGTTGAGATATCAAAACAAAAAGAAACAGTATTTCAATGCAAAGTGGAAAGGAGAAGTAGGTGCATGCAACTTAAAGGGAGGAAAGATAATGCGGTATATATATAGAGATACGTGTATTTGCAGGTTCCCGAGTTAGTTGTTTTGTAATTCACATTCATAACAGCATTTCCTGTCCGTTGTTAATCCGTTATACGACACATTCCCCATTTGATCGGAAGTTATGGGATACTATGAGTCTCAAGAATCTTTTCAATTATCCATTGACTCCAAGGAAATAGAGCTTAAAAGCGCTTGCTGTTCGAGAGAGTTTTCTATTGTTGTTGTTTACATTTTACAATTCGTTTGGTTTTATTTTTGTTACTCTTTATGGTTATCTGTTTATATATCTTTGCACAACCTTCCCCCACCGCTTGCTTCGAGTGTAAACATTGTCTTGTAACGCATACTCATGCACATACAGACTCGCCGATTGGTGTGTCTCCCTTTACTCTTGATTGTGGTTATATCAGTATTTGCAATAGTAAATTTAGATTTTATGCATAATAAGATTTTGCGCATCAGTTGGCTGCACAAAACTGGCCGCCAACTGTATTTAGCTTTTGAAGAAACAACGGAAAATCACGCAATCGAGCTCGTGTAGTGGCTTTGGGAACCCAACAAAGAGCACTTGTGATTATACTCGGTGAATTTTGAAACGGTATCTAATGTAGTCAAAAACCTCATCCACCTATGACATGGCCTGTTATGATTTACCAACTGTAGAGATCTTATATGAATCGGAATTCCTGAACAAGCACAAAGATGTAAAGCTCAAGAATTATTTTGTACTACTCTGAAGAACATTTTTTGTGCTTCTTCTTCTTCTTCTTGATATTTACTCTTTCCCATACTATCAAAGGCTCAATCTTGCTGTGTTCGAAACACAATGTAATAGAGTGAAACAGGTTAGAACAGTACTGAAAGGTTTATAGTAAGACACAACACGGCCATATTCATGGTTAGGAGACTTGCGTTAAAGTCCCCGTATACAACCGATACGTTGGTGCACAATAAAAATTTCATCAGAATATGGAAAACCTTATTTCCCTCGATATTACACAACTTTTGAGGATTACAATACAGCAATCCACAAAAATTGTAATTTGCAAAGACACAAAGTATACTACCGAATTAAAATTGCGTCATAGGGAGTGTAAAGCTTAATGAAATTTTATAGATAGCAATGGATTTTCCTTGTCTAAGAATTTCATTCACTTTAAGGGTTGTACAATCCTTCATGAGGTTGTTCAACACCGAAATGTAGCGGACGACATTTCTCTGCTCGCCATTTTCTCATGCTCGGAGAATTTTTGCATCCGATGGATCGCTCGGATGATAAACTTTTCTTCCCCCCCTCATAACCCATTACGTTCCGGATGAATTTCGCATTGGACAAAGACATTCTCCATACCATCATTATATGCGGTAGAAAAGACAATAAAGGGGATATTGTATTGTACTGCATTGTAGTTTTGTGCAAGTATAAATACAATAAGCACCATTGTGGCTTTCTGAAATTCTTTGTGTGATGTTTGAATTTGTAATTACTGAATTGAGTAACAACTTTGCCAAATGGAGGTTGAAACGTGCGATAATAAAGGGATTCAAATATAATTTGATTTCATGATATAGTTGAGATGCTTTTTTAACATTAGCAAACGGGTAATTCGGATTGTGAGAAATTGCAAGTTGGGAGGAAAGATCTTAGATCTCGCGAGTAAAGAGGTGGGTGGACTCGAAAAAGAGATTTGTATGGAAGAACAACCGCTTTCCGCCACAAATCATGAAAAAATCCTTGGGGTTTTGAGCCATGGTATTTAGACTACGCCAACAGCAATTGAAACCACATTATTGATGGGTTATCTCGGAGAACGAAACTATTTTGAATTAACTTTTACCAAGTTCAATTGTGATCGGAGATTGAAAATACTAATTTTTTCAATTGCGTTTTGCGTTACAATCACCAACCGGAAATAAAAAGTTTGATGTTTTGTTAAACTGATAAACGTTTAATCGTCGAAAGTAGCAATCCTATATGTAAGATACCAGCAGGAACGAGTTCATACAATAGCTATGCAACATCAGTAGTAGCAGCAATAGCTGCTATTGTAGTGCCACCTGTCATAGTAGAACGCAATTATTTTCTCCTCCTCGTGTGCAGGGGCTCATGAAAAAGTCGTGCGCGTGTGTGAAAAACGCTTCACCATGAAAGTGAACATGAACGTGAGGGAGGGGGGGCGGCGGAAGCAGGTGTTGCACATCCTGATTGACTGGTTGCTTACATACATTCGTAGGTGAATGAATAAAGCCTATAGTCATAACACGTGTTTTCTCGATCTTATCTGCTTTTCTTCATGTTTCGACATTACCAAGTGTTCGACGAGTTGTAAAAATTTTGCCTCAAATTTGTTGCAAATGTAACTATAAGTCTATTGACTTCTCCACTACAATCCGGGCACCCATTTTTCTAATCTACATCTTTGTTTCCTCTATTAAGCCTCTATTTACAATTTTTTCAAATCCCGAATCATTTTTCTATATAATGCATCACAAATAGGAATCTTTTGATGATCCATTTCATCAAGAAACTGTTGTTTCAAATATGGTGAAGCCACAATATCATAAATACGTGACCATGTAGTTAAATTCACCTCCACTCCAGCATCATTAGCCAAATGCAAATACTTCAACACCAATTGCAACGAATTAGCTTTTGATCGTATTCGTGATTGTTGGCGAACTATACTGAGCATAGTATTGATGGTTAATGTATCTATACCATGACCATCGCGATTCATCGATACAATGAGTGCACGCGCAAGAAACGATTGGTTCTTGATGATGCCAAAGTAATGCATTAGGTGATTGTATGACATTGTTGATCGGTACGGTGCTAATTCGTAATTAGTTAATTTATGTGAGTCAAGAAGAATTTGCGGGATTATGCCGGATAATTTTGATGCGTTTTGCCAGTGATGACGAATGTGTACTAAATCATGAATGTAGTTGGTGAATTGCTCTTGGGTTAACGGTTGCGGTAGATTGGGTAAGGAACCATAATTGTTGCAGAATCTAGTTGATGGTAAATACAATTGATGCTGAGCTAGAGACTCTTGTGCCAATATGTGATGTTTATATGTTTCACTATGGATGTTTTTCAAATGTGGTGGAGTGATTTCAACTAGATATCGAAGCATCTTGTGGAATATTTGTCGGTTTTCGAAATACACGTGTAATTGATCTTGTACTTTAGTTGATTTGCGTTTAGACCAATTTCGCCTCGCTTCTTCTTCATTGTATTTGTTTTTGGTGGCTGTACTGTCTGAAAGCAGCTGCAAGTTGCCGATGGTGGTGGTGGTATCGTTTTTGTTTTGTTGAGTTGTGGTGGTGAATGTTTTCAAATTGGGCATATCTAACGGTTCCAAGAATTCTCGAAATAATTGTTGATACGGTATATGTCGATACGTGATGGGGTATGGAATCGAGGGTGGATCATTAGTGAAGGTGATGATTGTATTTGATGAATTTGAAGAACTTGATGAATTTGCTGTGCATTTGTTTGCATTTGTATTTGTAGTAGGTGGTTGTGGTTGTGGTTGTGGTTGTAGTTGTGGTTGTAGTTGTGGTTGTAGTTGTGGTTGTGGTGGTGGTACTACTATATTGCTCGGTCGTAGGATACGTTCAGGTACTGACTTTGTTAGTCGAAGTAATGTTTCTTTCAATGCATTCATATCATTTTGATCATTGATAAACTGTAACACGATCTTATACAGAATTTTTCACTTTCAGATTGGGGCTTGAAAAAGAAAAAAAAAAATTGCTCCATCATCATCATCATCATCATCTTCATCACCCAAACCTCCAACGTATAAGATATAGACCATGGCATCACCACAAAGAGAAGGATTCACGATCCCTACATCGATATCACACGCCGCATCAGCACAAATCACTAATAAATCCCTTGGTGTTAAATACAACTGTGCTCAATGTGCTGCTTCGTTTTCATTGGGAAAGAATGATGCTATTAGGTGTAAAGAATGCGGGCATCGTGTTATTTACAAAGCGAGAACGAGAAGAATGGTTCAGTTTGAAGCTAGGTAGAGAGGGTGGCTCAGTGGAAGGAGAGTAGAGGTGAGAGGTAAGATTTGAAGTGTGAGAGATGGGCATCGTTTGACAAAGTGTGGGCTTATTTGCTACTATGTTTCAAATTAGTGTATTTATGTATAATAGAAAGCAGAAATTGGAATGATTACAGCTTCGTAAACCGAGAGCTTACTCATTATTACGTAGATTAACTAATGGAACTATCGATGGTCTACCATGAGCACATTGGAAGGGTAATTTACATTTACTCAAGTCATCAATCAACTGATGCATTTCTTGCATGGTTAACTCATCACCAAACATGATTGCTGATCGACAAGCTCGTGAATTGATCATATTGATGATAAACTGCGGTGTGTGATGCATAACGATGAGCCAATCACCATCATTGGCAATTGTGGCATTAACGATTTGATTCTTAATGTTGTTTTGTAAATCAAAACAATGCTGCATTAATAAGCTCTTTATGAATGGGCCATCATTGCAACTGGGGATGAGAAGTTCTGGCACGTTGGTGATTATTAAGTCATTATCCTTCTTTTCTTTACCTAAATAGTAAATTATACCTAATGATTTGAATTGAGCAAGATATTGTTGCAATAAAAGGTGCTCACTTGAGGATACCTTAATACGTAGTGGTTGCACAAGCCGTAAATTGCGCGGCATGTTGTAGACAAACTCTCGCATCAATTGTTCCACTTTAACTCTTTCATCCGCTGCATGTTGGTCCAAGATAACTAGTTTTGAATTAATAATCAAGAGGATAAATTTCTTGTCAATTTGTTTGATTATTCGGTATTTTGTAAGATGTAGTTTGTCAAACTGGATATGTTCGTATTCGTTCAGTTCACATTCTGGTTGATGGTGATGGCAACAATCGTGGGCTATTTTAGTGGTTGGTGGCTGTACTTGCGGCTTCAGGGACAGTGATTTCCCACAACTAACCATACCTTCAATCTCTCTCCTATTGACATCTCCCCATCGAACATTTGTGTTTAATATAAACTTGTCAGTTTTGGCTCTCTTGGGACTAGGCAGGAGTTGAAACTCATTGTTGTCATCAACTTCATTTGTTGATTGTTTCAGTTGTCCCAAACGCACAAATTTGATGAAAATCCGTTTCAATATATCAAGTATAACTCTCCATGAGTAAGAACACTCAGTTACATCTTTATCACATGTTATTGATATCAAATAAGTGGGGTATTTCCGCAACATTTTCTTTTTTGGACTTGGATCTAAATCACCAAAATTTTCAAAGACGTCAGAGAATCCAGCAATCTCGGTTCTCGTTAACGTCATCAACTTGTTGTTTACGAAAACAAATTGATGATTTCTGGTGTTTATTCTTTGGAGGCCAATAATACCTTCAATTTGATATGTTTTGAACGTAGCCTTGACTGGTTTGAACTGGACATCAATTTCAAACAAATCTTGCAACAATTTGGTGTGTGACGCGGCATTTGTTGTTGACATCTCTTCAAATTGGAATTTTTGGGGATTATACAACTGTAAACTGACTTGGATTTGGCTCCTCTTGTATAGCACTTGCAATAAAGCCAACTTGACATTGTTTATAACCTTATACATGGGGGTCGATTTAAGCTGAGCCTGTCTCACTGGCAAGTTACTAAATATGTTGGATACCATATATATTGTACCGTGTTTTCCTATAGGTTCAGGCTTACAGTAACTATTTTTGGAATCAGGTTCATCGCACAATTGTGCAATGGGGGATCTTCCAACCGTGATTGTATATGGACACTTAAACTCCTTGAACTTGGAAATCACTTTGATATTTGATACGACTTCAAGTCCGCCAAAATTTCCACCTACAGCAAGCTCCTCTAGCTCATTGGGTGTGTATCCAACATCATTGCTTTGAATAAATACAGCAACTGCTTGTAAATCAATCTTGATGGTAATTGTTGATGCTTTCAACGAGGAACATCGTTGTAAGATTGTTTCGACAATGGAGTCAATGGTGTTGAAGTGGAGATGGTACTTGATTTGATTGATTACTGAATCATCAAGTCTTTGCACTTTCATTTCATCACCATCTTTCCAGTACTTTGGTGGAACATTGTAGAATAACCTAGATATTCATTGGACTGTCTCTTTTTTTTTTTCTTAAGCGAGAAGAGTCTGGGTTACAAAGAATAACTAGCCACAATTGGGGATTTCACTCCCCTCGTAACACATAGATGTGAAACTATTACAGACGGAAAGCTTACGGCATTTAACACAATTGGCTACTTCTGACTACATATAGAAACAACATTTAAGATATTCATGATGCTATTGCTTGGGCACAATTTAAAGCTTCAACGAGAAGGAAAGTGTTTTGTGTCGGGTGTATTTGTGAAATAGACAGAAGGATATGGAAATCCACACGTTCCACACTTGGGCGGGCCATCTTGCCATAATGTGTAATTGTGGGTTGCTATTTTTTGGGTGGACTTTATTTTGCGCTGATCATATATTTGTCTAAATCTTTTCGCATTGCAAGATGCAATTCCGTAATTTGTGGTTCATAGTGGTAATTCGTGGTGGCAATTGTTGGTGAGAAAGCTAATATCTTCAGCAACTCTAGTTTAGTTCTGCTCTGTTTTCGTTTACAATTGATGTGGGTCGTCCATTGATGAACTCCGAATGTCATAAAGCTGTGTAATGTCGCATTTGAAACAATTGTGACATACATACGAGTAGTAGTGTATGTTGTGTGTAAGAGGGGGATCATCCGATCGAAGTTTATCGAATATTCTATCAACTGCACACAAAACACATTATATGCAGTACATGCCAATTCTTGCAACCATAACTCCATAATACACCCCTTTTTATTATTGCAGTAGTAATATAGTACTATATAGCAAACTAAAGAATTCAAATATAAATACCAATTGACTTTTCTTCAAAAAAACCACACTTTATATCTACTCCTTCTCTCTCTCTCTCTCTTTCTCCATCAATCGATTCGATACGTATATCCCACGAACATGTCTAAAGCTGTTGGTATTGATTTAGGAACCACATACTCTTGTGTGGCTCATTTCGCAAATGATAGAGTTGAAATTATTGCTAATGACCAAGGTAACAGAACTACACCATCTTTTGTTGCATTCACTGATACTGAAAGGTTAATTGGTGATGCAGCCAAGAATCAAGCTGCTATCAACCCTGCCAACACTGTTTTCGATGCTAAACGTTTAATTGGTAGAAAATTTGATGATCCAGAAGTTCAAAATGATATCAAGCATTTTCCATTCAAAGTTATTGACAAGGGTGGTAAACCAAACATTCAAGTTGAATACAAAGGTGAAACCAAGGTTTTTACCCCAGAAGAAATCTCATCCATGGTTTTGGTTAAAATGAAGGAAGTTGCTGAAGGTTTCTTGGGTGGTACTGTTAAAGATGCTGTTGTTACTGTTCCAGCTTACTTTAACGATTCTCAAAGACAAGCTACCAAGGATGCTGGTTTAATTGCTGGTTTGAATGTTTTGAGAATTATCAACGAGCCAACTGCTGCTGCCATTGCTTATGGTTTGGACAAGAAGGGCTCAAAAGGTGAACACAATGTCTTGATCTTTGACTTGGGTGGTGGTACTTTTGATGTTTCATTGTTGGCTATTGATGAAGGTATTTTCGAAGTTAAAGCTACTGCTGGTGATACTCACTTGGGTGGTGAAGATTTCGATAACAGATTGGTTAACTTTTTCATCCAAGAATTCAAGAGAAAGACCAAGAAGGATATTTCTGGTAACCAAAGAGCATTGAGAAGATTGAGAACTGCTTGTGAAAGAGCAAAGAGAACCTTGTCATCATCTGCTCAAACCTCAATTGAAATTGATTCATTGTATGAAGGTATTGACTTTTACACTTCAATCACTAGAGCTAGATTTGAAGAATTGTGTGCTGACTTATTCAGATCCACTTTGGACCCAGTTGAAAAAGTTTTGAAGGATGCCAAGATTGACAAGTCACAAGTTGAAGAAATTGTCCTTGTTGGTGGTTCAACCAGAATTCCAAAGATTCAAAAATTGGTTTCCGATTTCTTCAATGGTAAAGAATTGAACAAGTCTATCAACCCAGATGAAGCTGTTGCTTATGGTGCTGCTGTCCAAGCTGCCATCTTGACCGGTGACACTTCGTCCAAGACCCAGGATATCTTGTTGTTGGATGTTGCTCCATTGTCATTAGGTATTGAAACTGCTGGTGGTATCATGACCAAATTGATTCCAAGAAATGCTACTATTCCAACCAAGAAGTCCGAAACCTTCTCCACCTATGCTGATAACCAACCAGGTGTCTTGATTCAAGTGTTTGAAGGTGAAAGAGCCAAGACCAAGGACAACAACTTGTTGGGTAAATTCGAATTATCTGGTATTCCACCAGCACCAAGAGGTGTTCCACAAATCGAAGTTACTTTTGATATCGATGCCAATGGTATCTTGAATGTTTCTGCTTTGGAAAAGGGTACCGGAAAGACTCAAAAGATTACCATCACCAACGATAAAGGTAGATTATCCAAAGAAGATATCGAGAGAATGGTTAACGAAGCTGAAAAATACAAGGAAGATGACGAAAAGGAAGCTGCTAGAGTGCAAGCCAAGAACCAATTGGAGTCATATGCTTATTCATTGAAGAACACCATCAATGACGGTGAATTGAAGGATAAGATTTCAGCTGACGATAAGGAGAAGTTGACCAAGGCTATTGATGAAACTGTAACTTGGTTGGATGGATCACACTCTGCTTCTACTGAAGAGTACACTGACAAACAAAAAGAATTGGAGTCTGTTGCTAACCCAATTATTAGCGGAGCTTATGGTGCTGGTGGGGCTCCAGGTGCTGGCGCTGGAGCTGGAGGTTTCCCAGGTGGAGCTCCAGGTGCAGGGGGTGCTGCTCCAGGCGGTGGTGATGCTGGTGGACCAACTGTTGAAGAAGTTGATTAAAGAGGGGGGTAGTTTGATGAAGTATACCAAGTTTTATCGTGTATAAAATTATAAATCATTTTCAGTGACGTATAAATTCAACTAGTAGACAGAGTAAACATGTAACAAACCAGTTCATAATGATAATTGTACCAACTTTTTTGTCCATGTTCCAGGAGTTTTTCGGAACCAATACGGAAAGAATAGCCATGTTACAAAACAAGGCCACAATTCCGATAAAAAGCGTTGGAGTTATAACCAACGCATGACTGCTTCCAATTATTAACCCACTAAATCCAAACGAACACAATGCCATTAATGGGCTTCCAAAACAAGCTGCAAATGCCATAATAGGATAACCCATGCGAGCAATTGTATAATTAGTTATAAAATCACCGACTGAATTGCCCAATGCGAAAAGTGTAATACCCAATACATCATCACTTAGGTGATATGCAGTTGACACAACTTGCAAGATATTGATAATCTCAGCAGCAATGATGGATATCCAAGTGATTGATACAACAAGACCAAATATGGCGGTAAAGTAATTGATGATTTTCATTCTTTGTGCGAAATGAGCTGAAGTTGATGATGGATATAATCTGAATATACCGTCGCCAACACCTACGCTAATGAGAGGAAGGATGATGATTTTTGAACTTATGGACCAATTTGTGTTCACCAGGAAGAAAAAGAGGTTACCAAGCCCAGCTTGAACTGTGAGTAGTAGTCTATCTTGTGAATAATGGAACACATTGTGTGCTGTATTTGGTTTGTAATCTTGTTCAATCGTAAGTATGCTTGCATGGTCTCTCACTGGAGTTGACATTTTCAAAGCTATTGAAATGGGGAGTAGGAGCAAATGTTTGAGTTTTTCACCAGTGTGCAATTCTTTGAAATGGGAAAGCTGAGGGCAGAACAAGTTTAAAAATTGATTGACACGAGAATTGTCCACTTGTGAAATGTCCTCCTCTTCTCCTCTTATTCCTTCAACTGATATTGACATCAATTGTCTCTCGGTGTCCAATTGAATCGCACCTCCTAAATTGGAATGTAGTGATAGGTCTTGCATCAATTTCCGTAACCCAAAGTTGCCAGTGGCACTTGTGTCGACACCCAGGTTATCACCCAAATTGACATCATCAATTGTAGGTAACTGCGATACTTCATCAAGATATACTTCATCAATCGCAACATCATCATCATCAACAACGTCTCCAAATTCACCTCTTGATCTTCTATCTCTCAATATAGCATTAATACGTGACTGTTGCATCTTGTGGGAATATATCGCCACTGCAACATAACATACGTAAACACTAACCAATATCATGGAAATGACTCTTGTCAATTTACCCATCAAAAAACTCACCAATATCAATGTACAAATTGTACAATACATTGCCACATCACGTCTGAATAACAATTGTGGCACTTTAAATGGCTGCACAATCCCAATACACCCAACAACACAAGTACTAATAAACAATGCCGCCCCAATCAATTCCGCCAATGCCAAATGAATCATTTCCATTTTGATGGCTTCATATGTGCCAAATATATCGGGAGCACTGTTGCCAAATGCCAAAATTGTCAAGCCAGCTAAATTATCGGGGATTTTGAGAAAAGATTTCGATATTGTGTGTAAGTTAGGACACAAGTATTCCAGCGCCGTGATTCCTAATGAAGTAAACATGTAGATTAGTGACACGAGTAATGGGATTATGGCCCAGGCACCAAACACTTTCAAGTCGCAGTAGTATAAGTTGTAGTAGTTGAATATGCCATTGTTGTTGCAGTTGTCTTTAGCAAATTGGCATTGGAGTTGGTTGGGTTGTGATGTTATGAGGGAGCAGTTGAAATGAGAGCTGGATAGTGGAGAGATGTCATTGGTCGTGAATGTGTTGTTGGCTGATGCAATTAATGGGGCCGAAAGGAGGAGGAATAGTAGCGGCGGTAGTCTCATGAGGATGAGTGGTGAGTTGTATGATTCCTTCTTTGGATTATTTTTGCGGTCTATTTCACGAGAATTGAAACCTGATATCGGAGGTGTCCACGATGCATCTACACAGTAGCAAGTAAATATCAGGGTAAGAAGAATACGTTTTTTTCTCTTAGAAAAGCCACCTATTTGCCAGCTTCTTTTCTACAATCTCTCTGTTCTCTACATTTATTCCTTACAAATGTACCATTGATCCTTGCACCATCCCCCATACGGACGCACGAAGGCAATTCCTTAGAAGCAAGAAGAACTTGCTCAACACATGGGATGCTGCACCCAAGATCAATTGTTAGGTTTTTATTCTCCAGGCCATCGCTAAAAAAGAAAAGAGTAATTAAACCGAAGTCTAAATAATCTTTTCCTACAACAATATCCGAAATGGTCATGGGTCAAGAACGCCACATTGGGATTCAACCTCTAAAGAATGCTTTAACGTTGTGGATGGCTGTGAATTTTTGCGTTAAAGAAGAAGAAGAAGAAGAAAAAGAAAAAGAAGAAAAGGAGGTAAAAGTTGAAGTGGGATTTTTTCAACATTTGAGAAAAATTTATCGCACAGTGATGGAGAGATGTCTTTGGCATGGATGCACGACTTTTCAAAAGGAAGTGAAGGGCTCTAGGCTTATTGGAGAAGTAGAAGTCCAAAAGGGCTGAGTTCATTGATTCCAATACAGGTACAATATCGCGATGGGTAGTGGATGTTCATGACTCGTCTTTATTAATCCTATGTACAAAAGTCCTCCAACTACATTCTTCAACTAAATCCCTTCAACTAGATCCTTACAGAGGCCCTAATTGTTGTTTTCAATCTTAGCCAAGATCTCCTTATCAGTGTATAGCAAATACTCTTCATCACCGACTTTGACTGGATTACCACCAAATGAGGGCAACAAAACTTGGTCACCGGCTTTAACTGAAACTGGGATTACTTGTCCAGTAGTGGTGTTGGTGATACCTGGACCAACGGAAATAACCACACCTTGGTTCAACTTCTCTTGGTTCTTTTCTGGGATGTAAAGTCCACTAGCGGTTTTGTTAGCTGCTTTCAATCTTTGCACCAAAACTCTATCAAATAATGGTTTCAAGGCTTGAGCTGATTTCAAAAGGGTAGACTAGGTGGGTGTGGAGTTAGTACTTGTTGAATTTTGCCATTGGATGAAGCTTTAATTACATACCATTGTAGTGATGCTTATGCTCGATGTTTACTGAATGTGGTATTTACGAGTAAATTTTCTCGTCGAATCCTGTGGAATTTTTCAAACGGTATTTATAGATTTCCGGTATACGCGCACGACTTTGTTACTTTTATTCAAATCTAACTTAAATACTTGTCCAATGGTTCCCCTAATACTTTTTCAATAACTCTGACCAATCCTTCTCTAACTTCTAATTCAACGTGTTCATCCTCGTCTTCCAATAATTCAGCAATGTGCGGCACCAATGTTGGCAAGTATGGTAACCACAGTTCTCCCATCTTTTGGAAAATTGTCTTGAGGGTACGGATCGTCCAAATCTTTGTGTTTGAGCTATTCTCATTATCGTAGGAAATAAACTTAAGCAATGACTCCAAGATACGTTCATTGTATTCATTGGAAGAAACGTCAGAAACAAGGGCGCTTATTGCTTTAACCAAATACTTGCCAATGGAATCTTCAATGTTACTCAATTGATTCAAAAGTGGTTGAGCAATACTGTCAAATCTTCCTTCTTGTGACCAGTACTCATCTTGATCGTAATTGAATGAAGATGTCAATGATATCAATACAATTCGACGAAGACTTGTGTCTTTCATTGTACCACTTGCAAAATCACCAAGCACCGATGAAGTGGTGTCAATCAAATAAGAGTAATAAGATGTGACGATACTTTTCAATTGATCTTGCAATTTGTTGAAAAACCGGTAGAATGACAACAATCTTGAGGTGAATTTGATCTCCAATGTACTCCCTTCACCAGTTGTTGCCCAACGAACCAAGTTGGCAAACAATGGACGGAAGGTTTTGTCATTAAGCTTCATAACAAGTGATATAGCACATGAGTAGAATGAACTTTCAATGCGTCCGATGGTGTTTTGATCAAACTTTTCATTTTCAGAATTGCAATATTCTCTAAACTCAAAAGATTGCACCAACAACTTGAAAAACATTGACGCCTGTTGTGTCGCTTCCTTCTTGTCCAATTTCTCAATAGCAGATTCCAATGTGCTCAAATACAATCCGATATCACCAGCGTTATTAGTCTTGTAAAAATTCTTGTTGATCCAAATATTGCACAACGATTTCAATACTAATCCTGCTTCCATCTGGCTATTGACCAAGTTCAACACTGCCGACTTGACCAGGTTTTCAGTCATGTCACTTTCCAAAGTAGTAGTCAAGATAGAATCTAACGTTGTAGCCATAAATGCTGGCATTTTTTTAATATAACTCGAAAGCAATAATAGTACCGATTCTTGAACCAACTTGGATCCTTTGTTGTCTGTTTCGGTAGTCGACTCCCAAATTTTGAAAGCAGGTGGGACAATTTTTGGAAATAATCCTAGAGTTTTAACTCCAAAAATTTGAACCACGCTGATAATAGCATTGATGGCAGCAACGATGACTTCCGATTGAGAACTCAACAAACCACAATCTGTAGTTATACCACTCAAAGAGTCCAACATGAATTTGGACATGTCATCAACGACGAAATCGGTATTGGCAGCACCAACTTTACGTGTCACCACGGCAAATGTGTTCAAATATGCCTGTTGCAATTCGGAAGTAACGTTTTTACGAATACCTTTGACGATTACACTAAGCAACTTTTCGATAATGGAATCGCCAATCTTGGTGTATGTATCGAAGCTGATTTCTTCTTCAAATTTGTTTGCCGACAAAATAGCATAGTTTTTGGCAACCTTAATAGAAGCAGTATCACTCAACTTATCAACATCCAAAAAGTCAACAATTGAGTCAATAAAGTTGGGCAAAGGCAACAAGTCTAATAAGTTTGTCAAAATATGGTACAATGCTGCACATATTTGCTTATTTGGATGGATGTTCGAAAATGTCTCAAGTTCAGACAAAACGAAGCTGGTGAGCTCTCTAAACCTGTCCAATATTGCTTGCTTCTCTTTAACGTCTTCATCGAGTATCACCGATGCGACCTTGCTCTTGAGTGACAATGCATCATACCTGGATGAATCAAGACGTAAAATCACATCAAAGTACTCAAATAGCGACCCTCTTAATTTCAAACACTCTGTGTCGTTAAGTCCAACAATTGCGCTTCCGTAAATTGGTCTCATCTTCAAGGCTTCATAATCAGGTGAATTGACTTCCAACTGCTTTATTGGAAGTTCCTTCACCAACTGAGTAAACTGAACAAACCCAGCCAATTGGTCATGGGCCGAGAATGACTTTAAGTAACTTTCAACGAATTCAACAATGGCTTCGGCGTCATTCATTTTCTTCTTTTGAACGAGTTCGACATACTGCTGGCCCAATAACAATAAAATAATGTGCATTGAGTTTGAGCACCCTAGAGTTTGAGTCAATGCCACAAAAAGTTTGACTCTACGATGAGTAGGGATGTGACCAAATGCAGCACTGAAACTTGTCAATAAAAACTCAATTTCAGAGCCAACAGATCCCGACGAGTTTGCCGTCAATGCGGGAATAACTTTGGCAACAGTTTGCTGCAAAGCATTGTTGGAAAATTCATCATCTTGTCGAATTGTGTGAGCTCCCATAAAAGTAAATATTGGCATCACTGAATGCAATATGATTTCCGGTGCCAATGCTGCCAACTCCGAAACAACCAACAATAATCTGTTTTGCACTTGTGGTGAGCTCGAATTTCTAATAGAGTTGACAATCAAATCAGCTCTGATTGAATTGGAGTCGAGCTTGAGATCGGTATTGTTATTTTTCATGTTGGTTATGTCCAAGAGCACACATGTGGCCAAAAGTTCTTGGGTATACAAGACAGGCAAATTTCCGTCATTACCCAAATAATCCAAATCGGTCAAGATATTGAACAAAACTTTCAACAATTTGGGATCATAAAATGTGGTGTCCTTTCTTAAATTCGTCTCCAAAACCTCCAACAAAATAGCTAATTTTCTGACATGTAACGCTGCCAAGCTAGTCACGTCATCTTTTGCCATTGCTTGTTTGGATGAGTTGGATGATCTTCTTCTACGTTTAACAACGACTTGCTCGGGTGTGTCATTCCCAATTTGAATATTCCCCAAAGCTTGCAAGAATATGGTTGAGCTTAAATGGAGCTCTTGTAAGGTTGTCATTGGATCAAACGAAACAAATTCGTTATTCACCAATAGTTCGATCAATTTGTTGACAATTTGTAGTTGTGCCTCTGTTGAAAAGAGTTGGAATACAACCTTTACACGTTGCTCAACAACTTCCAGAACACCGGAACTAGGGTCCAAGCCCTTGACCAACCACTCTGATTCTCTTGTAGATGTCTCGCTTGAGATTTTCTTTCCACCCACCAAACCGACCAAGGCTTCATCGATGGTGATAAAGTTTTCAATTCCGGCACTTTTTGCCTGTAATTGCCTATTGGGTCTGTTTTCCACATAGGAGGAGACATCGCTACTCCAAAAGAACAATCTTTCATCTCCCCCTTGCTTATTCAATTGACTTACAATCAGCCAAACTCTCTTCTTGAATACAACGGGTAAATGAGCAAGTGCCCATTGCGATAGAGTGAAAGTCTTGAAAACCGCACCCAAGCTCTTTTTCCCTTGTTTAACTTGAAAGCTTGAGCTAACCAAGTGGACAACTTTGGATGAGTCGAAAGCTGCGTCATCCAACTTGTTTCCTTCCGTTAAATAGTCAAGCAAGACTAAAGCATCTTGTGGTGAGACCATTTTCTTTTCCTCTGCCGAGGTGTAAATTGAGTCTTCCATAAATAATGTTGTCTTGACTTTTTTCTTACTGGAGTGTATGTCGTTTGAGATTGATGAGATTGTCCTAATAACTTGGGAAATTGCCATTCGCTCACTCTTGGACTCGGAATAGAGTCCCAGTAGAAGTAAGGGAACCAATAAGTAAAAATCTGTTTTACCGTTTGATGACTCCTTGATTTTCAAAACAATTGTTCTGAGAGAGCTGATTCTAATACTTGGTGGAACAGATGGCGTGAAGGATGCACGAAGTAAAAACGATATCGCAACCTCAGATGATTTGAACACTTTGTAACAAAACTTTGATATCGCCGACTTTTGAGATGATATTTCGATTGATGAGCACAACTTTAAAAGTGAGGACAAAATAGATTCAAACTCAGAGTCATTTGCTGAGTTCAAGTACGTATTCGCATTGGCTTTGACCAAGGCGAAATCGAAAACTTCCACCTCCTCTTCATTGAACTCACCATTGTCTTCCTCGATAACTTCATCAATTTCTTCAACGACTGCATCACCAATAGTTGTTTGCAATCTGAGTTCCAAATCACTCAACTGTAAATTACGTTTTGCGAGAAGCTCATTAAATTGTGTCTCGGTCTTTTTGAGCATGAGTTTCACAATTTCAACAAGTGCTAACCTCTCATCTTCGCTTAAAGCTGTGTTTGAAGCAATAAAATCAATTACTTTTTCAGTGACAAAATTGGATATATCCGAGTTGTCGAAATTGATAAGCTCAAGCAATTGTACAGACTTGTTTGCGGGAACGGTTGAAACAAAGTAACACGCGGCAAATCTTCCCACCTTAAACTTTGCCAACTTCAAATCGTTCAAAACACTAACAACTTGGTTGCCCAACTCTAAATGGATAAAAACGTCTTTATTCACAACCAAGTCCTTGTTTGCATTCCATAATTGAACCAATAATGTCAATGTAGGTTTGAGCAAACTATGCGAAAAACATTCCTTGTCCTTGCAAATGGCCACTGTTAAAGAATTTATAACATCAGAGTTTAAGGAAACAATGGATGAGATGACTGACAACAATGAAAAAGCGGTGAGCTTCAAGTCTGAATGTTGGATGTGTGATCCTTTACCGTCGTGATTAAGCAACAGATCAACGGTTTCTAAAACGACCGGAATGAGGTAATCATTCAATTTGTCCAAGTTCTTTGATAACGATGCAAGTATTTGGATTGCAACAGATAAGTAAAAAACCAATTGATCTTTGTAAACGGTGTGGTTCTTAATCAGGTTATTCAAGAATGACGAATAAAATTTAAATAGCGCGTCATCATTGTAAAAGGCTCGAAACACAGACTGCAATGTGGGGCTTCTCAACTGCTCTTTAAAATTGCTAAGCCATTCAAAGATCTTTGGGATGTTTTGTTTTGGAATAACATTCAACACTTTCACAAACACTGGCTGTTGGTAATATGATAATGCTGACAATATCAAATACTCCGCATTGTGAATATTAGCCTGAAACCTTCTAATTAACCATTCACTTGCCGTGAGTGCAGCAGTAAAGTTGTAATAAGGACCCAATAGGGTAAAGAATGCATTGATGTTTGCATCGACTTGTTGATTTATGTCCTCAGTTTGCACATTTCTATCAAAATTCACAGAATCTTCTGCAAACAAGGAGGTCTTGAATTTGACAAATCTTGTGTCCAATTCACACAACTCTTCAAGCCCATCACTGGCAATTTGATGAATGTATTCAAAATCCTGGGTTGCGGCAACTTTGGGGTCGAAAATTAATGAACGTGAGTGTAGTTTCGACCTTTGTTGTCTATTCAATGCAACAGACGAAGTCTTTTCATTGATCGACTTCAACTGTGACGCCAAGGTAGACATTGGTGGCTTATTGTTAACTGATGTGATGGAATGTGTATGGAATAAGATTATACTGAATTTTTTTTTTTTCTGGGATGAGATGTGCAAGAGTGGATTTTTGTGTGATGAGCAGCCTTCTACAAATGTGCTTAACCAAAAACATCCTCTTTTAAGATCTACTAAATTCTACACAACTGATTAGTGAATGGTTGCATTGTAAAACTCCTTCAAACCTTCATCGTAACCTTGTTCCCATTCCCAGATGTTCTTTTGAGAACCTTTCTTATTAGCAAGAGCTTCAAGTAATCTTGATCTCTTAAGAGCTTCCTTTCTTCCGATTCTGGAGGCATTAAACTTTGCAAAAGAGTCGGCATCTTTCCAAGCAGTGCTGAAACCATCCTTAAATAAGTCTGGTTCGTACTTTCCTTTTGGATCTTGGTCTTTCCAGTAGTTGGCATGGTTATTGGTAGCATTGTCTACTGCTTGCTTGAATTGATCATCAGAAGGTGGGTTTGATGGTTTTGGGAACGGTTTGAGTGCTCCTTTGTCAGTCATAGTTTTGAAATCCCACTCGCCACCATTTCCCGATTGAAACTTGAATGTCCAAAAATAAGACCCACTAGCTCTTTTCTCAATGGCTTGAAGTTCATGCTGTCCGTATTTCACAACCAAGTCATCTCTATTGCCCTTTGTGTGATCCCACGTTTGTTGGTCCAACACACAGGACCATTCTCCAACAATGAAGTCAACACCTTTCCCATTGTCATTCAAATTGGTTAACACGTCCCCATTCAAGTCATCAATAATTTGTTCAGCAGACTTTTTTTTATCGGAGTCTGAAAAGCAACGATACACGTGTTCATCAACGACGATACCAATATATCCATCGTCTCCTTGTTCTTGTTGGACCCATTTGACCCATTGGTCAGGCCACCAACCATCTGAAATAACAACTGGAACCAGCTTATCACTCTTTCTTATTTCGGTAATTGCAGCTGCGTAATATGTAGTTTGCTTCTTTGGCGGGTCAGCAAAATTTGCCTCATTCACTACTTGAATACCGGCAATGTTTTCATAATTCTTCAAGTCATTGGCAACCCATCCCAGTAATTTAGCCATCTCCAACTGAGCTTTATCATCTTTCCAAAATCCACCATTGCAGCCACTTTCGCCAGAGTGACCTGAGTCGTTTGCTCCTCCAGGTAAACCATGAATGTCAACCAAGACTGAAATTTGGTGTTTCAAAGCAGGCTCAATATACTTTTTCTTGATAATTGACCAGGCGTTGGCATAAACAGCCTTGTATTTTTCAAACTTGAACCCAGAGGTAAAGTTTCCACCATCAACATCCCAATATCCAATTGGTAATCTAATTGAGTTGACTTGATGATCCGCCAACCACTTCCAATCATCATCAGTGACATAACTGTTCCAGTGATTTTCGAATTTGGCCCTGGTATCATCAACACCATGCTTGTCAACCAATGATGAGACAGCATCCAATTCGGAGTCGCCTTTAGTTTCACCAAATAAATCACCAAAAATCCATTTTTCTAAAACAAAACTGGATCCAAAGTTGACACCATAGTTTAACCTAGATTGATAAATTTGTTTTGTACTGGGTGGTTTACCCGAGGTAACAGCAGGATCGGCGTCAGGGATGTTTGATGCTCTGCTTTTCAACTTTAATTTCGAGAAGGGGTGTTGCATAGTGCTTAGCTAGGGGGCGGGATCTTAGATTCTATTTATGAATTTCAAAAAAAAAAGGGAGTGGTCAAGTGTAATAGTATTTATATCTTTACAAGTCAAAACTCAGCCTTTGGTGAGTTAAATGAGCCATGATCCGATTGCTGTTTAGATTGCTATATTGATTCTTCGTAATTACACAAAATCACTACTATTTTTTAATGCCGAGACGAAAATATCAGGGGGTTGGGACATCAGTGTCGCAAAACAAGGCAGCAGTGTCATTAAATTCATCAACGCGACTTTATGTATTGATATACGACACGCCAACTTCCCCTCCAATTTTTTTTTTCTGATATGCAACTTCCCGGAATGATATCAAGATGGAACATACTCCGATCCCTTCAGATTGGTCTCCATATTTCAAACGCTTATTTTTACTATTTCATGAAATAAGCAAGCATGCAACTTTTTTTGCATCCCATTCACGAAGTGTTATCCCCTCTGTTCACCTTTTCCAGAAATTGAACAAGACAATCACAACCACTGATTTAGCTACTATTAAATACTTGTTTCCAGAAGATGAGATTTTTTTTGATTACGTGGACGAAAACCAAATAATGGTGTCTTTTGTGGAAGAGGTGAAATTTGGAAACAAGGGATATGGCCAGACTCCCGTAGCCGACAAATTTGATGACAATGGCGTGCAACAATCAAAGCAAATCCTAATTTTCGATTTCCAAGACGTGAAAATACATGGAATAGGGAAAATGGTGAAAGGGAAAAAGAGGATGAAGATGGATACCAAACCCAGGGAATTTGACGCGTCTCTAAGGCAAGGATTTTTTCTTAGTAGTACCAATTCTGCCCTAGAGCCGTTGGATAAAGACAACTTAACCAAGATCATTCAAAGTAGGGACAGCAGATTTAAACAGTTTATTGTGGACTTCATTAAAAACTTTGATGATATGGACCGAGCAGAAGAAGCCTTGACAAAGAGTGCATTGAAGTTAATTCCAAAAGAACCACAGTTGAATGATATGGTGGAAATGTTGGGGGTCAAGGAAAATGTTGCCAATAAAAGCAAAGTGTTGTACACCGCTGATGAAATGATTGACTCGTTAAAGGGATCAAGAGCATATGCTGATCAAATAGTGTCGTGTCATACCTTGAACGAGTCGCAGCCGCCTCAGTTTGAAACAATATCAACTAGCGCATCCGAGGCTCTCCATCCAGAACTACGAGAAGCTTTATGGAATTCTAAAAGCATCGACGTAGACAAAGGTCTTTACACCCATCAAGCGCAGGCATTGGATACACTTTTAGATGAGTCCAAAAAAGCACATCTCATTGTGAGCACTCTGACTGCATCGGGAAAATCCCTTATATACCAATTACCAGTGCTTAATTCCATTTTGTGGGATATGACCAATGGCATGAAAGGAAGGCATACAACTGCATTATTTATTTTTCCAACCAAAGCTTTAGCTCAAGATCAAATAAAGCAATTTCAATTCTTGTTGAATCGATTACCTAGCAACAACAAACGACCTATAGTCATAAACACTTATGACGGTGACACACCTTTTACTGAGCGAGCCCAAATCCTGAAAGAATCGGATATACTTTTTACCAATCCTGACACCATCCATGCCTCGATACTCCCCAATTGCAACTTTGGATCTTGGCGAGAATTCATTAAAGGTCTCAAATACGTTGTTGTTGATGAACTACACATATACAAGGGAACTTTTGGTATAAATGTAGGTTATGTCATGGCACGACTTTCACGGATAAAGGATAGGTTCTGCCCAGACGAAAAGGGTTTTTGTTTTGTGTCTTGCTCAGCAACGATTAACGACCCCATTCAACACTTCAGAACAATATGCTCCATCTCCGAAGGTCAGCAGATTGTACATATCTCTAACGATGGAAGTGCCAAGTGCGAGAAGAAAATGCTTGTTTGGAACCCACCAGTTTTAATGAACAACCGAGGAATTCGGGGACCAACCGATTCTAGTAGTAAATTGATTACAAGAGTCAGCCCAATTTTTGAGCTGGCCAGGCTCCTTCTTACTTTGTTGACCGAGTTACAAGGTTTAAAGATTATTGTCTTTTGTCCTATTCGAGTGGTATCCGAAATGATGATGAGAGAAGTAAGAACACTTTTACAAAAGCCACCTTTCTCCAAACTGGGATTGGTCCAGAGCGACATCATGTCTTATAGAGGAGGGTACAGTAAATCGGATCGACGCATCATTGAAAAAAAAATGTTTGATGGTCAATTACGAGCCATAATTGCTACAAATGCGTTGGAGTTGGGTATCGACTTGTCGGATTTAGATGTGGTGATTACATGTGGGTTCCCCATGCTGAAGCTGAATTTACACCAGCAATTTGGTAGAGCAGGTCGGCGAAAAGATGCCAGGGGTAGTGTTGTGATATATGTGCCAGGCAGGTCCCCTATTGACCAGTATTATGTCGAACATGCGGATGATTTAGTGCACAACACGTACGAAGATTTGTGTGTAGATAGCTTGCGCGATATGGAGCACGGGCTGTTAATATTGGAGAGGCATTTACAATGCGCAGCTTATGAAGAAGCAATTGATTTAAATTACGATTACAAGTGGTTCTCCAAAGGCAGGAGCTTTAATTCGTTTGAAAAGATTTTGAAAGAACAGTTGGTCCAAGATGTGGGAGATAAATTCATTCCTAGTTCCAAGTATATGCCCAAACCGTCAAAATTGGTGTCTATTAGAGTTGTTGAAGATGATAATGTTGCAGTAGTTGATATCACAAACAATAGAAACATTGTCATTGAAGAAGTTGAGCTTCTGAGAACGGTTTTTACAATCTACGAGGGAGGCATTTTTTTGCATCAAGGACAGCCTTACTTGGTAAAAGAGTTTAATCATGAACAAAAGTATGCCAAGGTGGAAAGGGTCAATGTGGATTGGACAACCTCACAACGGGATTATACTGATGTGGATCCAGAAGAAGTTGACTTGGTAAAACCATTGGTTCCAATCACGTCAAAAAAACCAGTTGATATACCGGCGTTTTTTGGGCTCATTAAAATTACGATGAAGGTGTTTGGATTTTTCAAGGTTAATAGAAAAGAAGAGATTCTTGAAGTAGTGGAAGTGAACAATCCTCCAGTGGAAGCTTACGCTAAGGGATGCTGGCTCAATGTGCCTAAAGAGGCTATAGAGATAATCAAAGCGAAACATCTTTCTGCGGCTGGAGGAATACATGCCGCAGCTCATGGTATTATGAATATGCTCCCCATATTTGTCAACTATTCTCAAGCCAATGCCAATTTGGGCGATTTTGAGTTGGCAACGGAGTGCAAAGCGCCAACAAAAGAGTTCAAGGCAACCAAATCAGAACGCAAAAGACCCGCCAGATTGGTATTTTACGATACTAAAGGTGGCAAAAAGGGTTCCGGTTACTCGTATAAAATATTTGAATCTATTGATGAGTTGATAAATTCTACATTCCAAAGAATCCTCAAATGCGACTGCCAATGGGGGTGCCCCTTGTGCATCGTTAGCAACGCTTGCCGAGAGCAAATGCGAGTGATGTCTCGCCCAGCATCGTTGATCGTACTAGCGTCGCTTTTGAGTTTGGACTTGGAAAAATTGGCGGAAACATTGCCCAACGGTCCTGAGCCGGGAATTCCCCCCATCTTGCACGAAACGATCATAGCTGACAGTTCAAGTGTTAGGTTCTCCCCTGATGTGAGAATTCTCAATATAGCTGCTGAATAGGGTATTTTCTTCCTTCAAAAATTCAGTATTTTGCTTGCTATTTTACCTGTAACTGATGAGCTCTTTCTGCTAAGTTTTTGGCCTAAATTCTCTTTCACCGGCGGCTTGGGACTGAAACTTCGTGTGCTAAAATCGTCCCCTGAATTTCGGAAATTATGCTTTCCCAAATGCGATCCTCTTTTTGAATTTGTAGACGTGCTTGATGTTCGTGATTGTATATACAGTGGCTTGGGCGATGCAAACTCGCGACTAGATGTCAGCAGCTGCTCCAATTGAAGCGCTGGCGATTTCACAAGATGTTTATGTTTAGCCAACCTGAATACACTTTGCACTGGCTTGAGATATATTGATGCCAATGAACCGAAATTGAGCTCCAATTCCTCAAGAATAGCAGGGTTTATACTATCATTTTCGGAAGCGATATGTGGATCTTGATTAAAAACGATGTCCTTTGTATTCTCTTGAAATCCGTTTGTCGAACTACTGGCATATTCAGAAGAAAGCAACCGCCAATAAATATACCCACGATCCCTAACATCAGGGTTGCTTGTCTCCTCTGTAGCCCATTTTAATACGTCAAGGAGCAATTCCTCGCCGTCCAAGGGGAAAACGAGATAATATTTGGTCACTGCTGTCAATACTGCTAGTTGAACTTCAATGGGATCTTCAGTGAATGAGGCCATCAATTGTGACAAATGCTTTTTAGGATTTGGAATGGTTTTGCAAAATTGACCCACCATCCAGATCATTGACACCTTGGCATCTGGCTCGTCAAAAACTTTACAATACTTGGTAAGTTCATCCACAGCATAATTGTATCGGTTAGGGTACCTCCTCACTATATTTTTCACAACAACGGCAGCTTCCTGAACAATGTATGTAATCCCAGTTGAAAAAAGATCACACAAGACTTCAACGCACCTATCAGCCGCATTTTCCAATTTTACTGCCAAATTTCCAAATGCTCTAATCGCTTTTCTCGCCATCGCAACATCCACCTCTGTGGCATATTCTTCTAGTTCGTCCAACACCAGCTCGATGTTTTCTTCGTTGGCCAATAAGTAAATAATCTCAAGCTTGGTATCTTTCACGTAAATAGGATCATCGAATCGACAATAAAACATTTCAATATCAAATTGAACCAAGTTCTTTTTACCAAGTAAAAGTAAAATGACATTCCGCAACACTAAAAATTGAGTCTCCGAAGGTTTGGCAAGTAGTGAGTTCAAAGAGGCGCCAATACGCTTGGGAAGGATGGGGAAATGAAGTTCGGGGTTTCTAGCGTAATTGCTGTAGTATACGATGATCTTGATTGCATTGAGAACCACTGCTGAATTTTCATGTTGTAAGGATGGAAGTGCTGCCTCTATCAAATCCAAAGCTTCATTTTCTGTTTGAGGAACATATGCCATGAGTGAATTCAACAAGTAAACCTGTTGCCATTCATTTGCAGTTTTCAACAACGAAATCAAAGTGAGCGAGTGTGCTTTATCGATGGCTAAATTCAATGTTTTGCTTCTCTCGGTTATTGAACTCAATGCAGCTAAAGCGTCCGAAATAATCACCAGATCGTTATCATAAAGCAACTCATTCAATTCGTCAACAAGTGACTCTCGCTCGGTTCGCGTTGCATCGTGTTGATATAATCTTGCAATAGCATATGCCGCTGATCGTCTCACATATGGATCCTTATCTCGGAGTGCCTTTTTTACAGAAGCAAAACTGAGGTCCATGAATGCGGGGAGATTGATCGACGACATTGTCCGAATGGCCAAACCTCTTAAAATGGGCGAGTGCTCATCTTTGAAGCGGTTCAAAAACGGAATTGCTTGTTGTACATCTGAGGATAAATGGGCATAGGTGACCACATATTCACAACAAATCTTTCTGATTTCTAAATCGTCCAACTTCATCAAGGCAATCACATCCTTCATCATGGCTGCCATTTCATGGTTGTTTAGTATCACATTTGCTAAAAGTTTCCGAAGCACAACTTTGATCCGATTCACTGGTTTCGATTTCTTGAAAGCTTGCTCTATTTCCGCTTGCAATTCAATACTCTTTGATTTGGTGAATAGTTTGGCGTCACTCATGATTGATGAAAGCTCTAGATCTTGTTGTTGAATAGAATTATGTTTTTTCGGATAAATCGACTATTAACCTTCGCGGTCTAAAAAATGGGACACACCTTCAATTTGTTTGCGATCATGTTACAAATCAAAATCAGACATTCTATTGACTGTATAGATATATAAAAAGAAAAGGGCTGTATCGAAGTGAATCAACCTACCCCTCATAACTTGACGTAACCGGAGGCGTAAGAAACACTGCTGTCTCTTGAGGACTTTGCTGGATTACTCTGTGAGTATCCAAGCCAGTTAAACACATCTTGGCCATCATTTGATCTATACTGCTCTAAAAGTTGCAAAATCACAGCTATCGGTTTCTGTCCGCAAATAGTGTTTCCAGAAATGCGAATATATTCCTTCCACTCAGCAGAAGAACCCTTTGATGCAATTTTAAGAGCCATACGATCTAACCACTCAATAGACTCGTAAACAGGAGTGTCGTTCGGAGCGGATGAAAATCTCAAAGAGTGAAGATCCGTTTCCAAGGTATTTAGAGTGGTATTCTTATTGGTCAAAACCTTGGTGTACCCAAACCTTGAACCCCAGTGGCAAAAATCTGAACTTATGATAAAATGATTTTCATCGTTTTGTATGTATGGATATAATGCATCCACCAATTCAGTCTGAAGTTCCGAATCCATTCCACTAATAAGGATCGGCACGATTTTTGGTACCCCATGTTTAGCCTTCCGTCCTTGATGGTAGATAAATGGAGCATGCATTTCAAACGAGTGTTCATCTTCATCAATCTCCTCTGACATCAACTTGAAAACAGGCTGTCCGTGTTTCTTCTTGAACCTTTTCTTGAGCAAGTCATTTATTGTTTCTCTGTCAACTGGTATATCCCCCAAAGGCGTTTCATAAAAATCGAATGGCGAAAGCAAAGCTTTGTCTTTGAAATAGACATGATGCGAAGGTCCTAGTAAAAAGACTCTTTTCACCGTAGATGTATCCCATGCGTTGAAAGCTTCACCTAATCTTTCGCCTGAGTAGGTATACCCAGCATGTGGGCCGACCAAGACTCTTGCCCCACTCACTCCGTTACTGCCTGATTTTTGTGCCACGTGTATTAAGGTTTGAACTTGAGCCTTTAGTGTCTTTGGATCGCTGCTGTACCACGACCCAGCATGAGTTGCTTGACGAACATTCATGTGGCAGAGTACAGTAGCTGTAAATGGAAGAAAAAGGTTTGGTGTTATCGGCTGGTGTTTCAAAATCTATTGTTGCCTTGAAACAGTGTCGTGTCAAATAGCAAGACGGATTTAATTTATGACATAGAAATGGAGGAACTCCGCATCAAACTTTGACGTAATACACAGATTGTGAACTTCTTGTTGCCGCTTTCCGGAAAACTCGGGATTGAGTTGAAATAGTAAAAACAACCCCGTAATACCAACTACACAAATTGATGGGTTAGGGAAAGAGTGTACATGGCGTAGTTGCACCACGTAAGTCAGATTCGGAAAAATAAGTGGAAAATCTTCCAATCTCGTTTCTTTTCCGGAATAACGGTCTTGATCCGTTGTGACGCCATTTACTACAACCTCAACAAACGCAAACACCGCTACAACCTCAGAAATCGGCGAACTCCTCAATTTATTGTACGATTCTTTCTATTCCCTCCTACTTAGTGATTTCCAATGTCCATTGAGTAGAGAACAACTCATCGTCTCCTTCATAGTAAGTAGTGGTTGCTTGATAAGCACCCCTAGCTACCCATGTACCTGGGGTTTCATCTTCAGGGGAGTCAACTGCGTAAACTTCAGTTTCAGATGGTTCGCGTGTACCCAAATCAACCTCTTTGCTCTTGATTGTGAATCCACCCTTTTTGATAACTTGCTTGTAACGCAACTTTTCCAACTTTCTATTCTTGACCTTGAATTTTAATGTGGTTACAAACTTTGATCCACCTGGGATCTTGACAACAAGGCCATCAACTTTTCCTTCAAGTTCAAATACTTGTGGTTCTTGTCCTTTGACTTGCAAAATGTTTTGGCATGGAATAAAATCTGGATGTGGGACAGTCATTTTTTTGACAATTGATATGATCGTTGTAACTAGATAAAGGAAAGAGTTTCATTAACAAAAGTAGGAGGGAATGGGCCTGGTATTTATAGGAAAGCAGAGTTAGTCCTCGGTACAATGCTCAATTTTGTGGCACAATGAAAATTAGGAACGCGCTTCGGAACGACTTGTTGATCAACAACCGAGCCTAGATCAACAGTTTCGGGACAGACTTGTTGCACGAGGGATGAGGGGTTCGAAAGGTACTTATCACATAGCATACGTTTTATGGCTACGGCTGGCAGCAATGCCGTTCATAGATCTGTCGACGTTCAGCAAAGAGATTTGCACCAATAGTACTCATTGTAGAGCTTTTCATTTTTGTGTCACTTTACATTACATTGGGGAAATTTTACACTAAATGAACGCCCCCCCACCTTGTGGTGCAAGCAAATGCAAATCTGTTGCTTTCGATCCGTTTTAGTCGTTGCTCGGTTAAAATAAAGTAGCAGGGCTCAAAACTAATTAAATTTCGAAATACCAAAATTGTAAGGAACTAATGGTTAGCCAAGGATTCAATTTGACAGAAACGTATTTTTTGGACAAACGTGGAAGCGTGAGGAAAGATACACCTGGCTTTCTCCACTTAGCTAAAAGTGAACTCGTCGTTAGCCTGAACTTGTTTCATGCACTAGGCCCTAACAATAAGCTGGATGACCGGATCTCAGTCACTTGTTCTCATTTATCTCCGCACTCAATTTATTGTGCAAAAATGTGGAGAGCGACTTATTTGGCTGATCTTAAACGGAGTTCAGGTCAAAGGAAAAGAACGATAAGAATCGTTCGTGCTGTCCTATATCAAGTCACTATTGGATAACAAATCTATATAAACCACTACTGATCTAATCTAAAGTCACCGGTACATTTCTAAACTAATTCCAATGTCCAGTCATCGGTGTACAACTCCTTGTCACCTTCATAATAAGTAGTTGTGCATGGGTACTTACCCTTGGTCAACCATCCCCCTGGGGTTTGATCCTCTGGTGTTTTTACTTCATATATTTCGGTTTCAGATGGCTCAAAGGTTCCCAAATTCACTTCAATCTTTTTGAAGGTAATACCAGCCTTTTTCGTAATTTGTACAAATCGTAAATTTTCCATCTTTCTATTCTTGACTTTGAACCTGACGACTTGATGAAATTTTACACCGCCTGGGATTTTGCTGTAAACGGAATCCTCGCCTTCAACTTGTACTACTTCCGGCTCCTTCTTTCCTTCAATGTAAACAACATATTGGTAAGGAATAAAGTCAGGGTGGTGGTGGATTGTCATGATGAGTTTTATTGGTTATTTGAAAAGTGGTAATAAAGAAATGAAGAAATCTATTTACTTTTATAGTAGTTTCATAAAAAAAGGGGGGCCTACCGGACCCATGTTTTGCTTTTGTTTGTACATTAATGTTCTCAACAAAGTGTTCCGATTTTGGTTCTAAAGTTAGCTAATTCCGCAAGTAGTAATATTACACAAGATTTTGTCAGTAACAATAGAAAATTCATACAGTTTCAGAGCTACCTGATGCCATCAACTTCCAATTAAGGAAACAGAGTGGGGGTGGGGCATCACACTACACTATCATTATTCATCATCGTTTATTGTTAGAGTCAAAGAATATACTACCAAATCCACTTTCAAGGAAACGTTTTCATCACGTCGTGCTCAAACGTTTTCAACACTCCCCAATGTTGCATGTCTCGGTAAAATCACTCACTTCCGCCTCTAATACTTCCTTTAACCGAGGCAAACTACACGATTTCTCCTCAAAACTGAAATCAAATAAAGATCTGCTGCTGGCTTCTTCGGTAACGTTTCTCACATACTTGAAAAAATCTTGCTCAAGAATTTCGTCAACATTGCATCTCTTTTTGCAATCCCATTGTAATAAATTGTCCAACAATTCGATTGCTTCAGTTGGGGCGAATGGGTATATTGATCTCCAATTTACTGGTTTGTATTTGACCCACAGAATCCCCTCAATCTTCCAGTTGTATTTCTTTATTGTTTCTGGAGGTGGACTGCCCAAAACTTTAAACAATTCATGTATCTGTTCATGCAGGTTTTTCCCAGGGAAAAGTGGTCTTCTTCCAAAGAGCTCCCCAAGTATACATCCCATAGCCCAAACGTCAACTGCTTTTGAATAGTTTTTGGTAGATAATATCAATTCGGGAGCACGATACCATCTAGTGGCAACATAGTTGGTGATTGTAGCACTTCGATTCTTGAAAAACTTGGGACTTATTCCACGTGCTAAACCAAAATCGCAAATTTTTAGTGTCCCTTGCGTGGTTACCAAAATGTTTCCTGGCTTCAAATCCCTATGGATAACATCTGCTGAGTGAATATACTTGAGGCCACATAAAATCTGGTACATAAAGTTTTGAATATGAAACTCCGATAGCTGAACATTGGAATACAAAACTCTTGCTAAATCAAGGTCCGCTAACTCCTGGAAGCAGTAAAGACCATCATATGGCTTGACGTAAACAATGTCCGAATCGAGTAATGAGGCAATCTATTCAGGTTAGTACATATACATATCCACAATATGCATTTCAGAGAGCAAGACGTACATTCTTATGACCCTTGAAAAATTTCATAAACTTTAATTCTCTGATTGCCCTAACCAAAAGGATATCTTTGGTAAATATCTTTGTCACTTTCTTTATTGCAATCTTATGCTCGAGGCCGGTGCTCAAACTTTTAGTGTCTATTGCAGAACAAACAACTCCATACGAGCCTTTACCTAAAACCCTGATAATCTCGTATCTGGAATCAACTAAAAAGTAATTTTCTTTATCAGTATAAGTTGAACACGATTCGAAATATCCGTGTTTACCTCTCAACGAGGCCATGGTGATGCACTTTTTTTGATGTGTGTTTGATGGGAGAAAATTGTGGTGTATCAAAAAATTGTTGCAAAATCTTAACAAAGTTTGCTCTTTCTATCTTTTCTCTTTTCATTTTTGGCACCAAAATAACATGAAGAGGTGAAAAGTACACCGAGACGCACACAACTCTATTGGGTAGACAAGCAGTAAGATGGTCGGATGACTTTACAATGGGAACAATTGCTTATCGATGTTCAATATTATATCGACTTGTTCGCATGCCACTCTGGAAACTTAACTTGCAGTAGCTACTAACAAAACAACAAAAGTGTGGGTTGTTTTTCTTGAAGGATAACTACAACACTATGGCCTTTACTATATTGCTTTCGCTCTATAAAAGGACATACGCTTCAACGTCTCATGTGGTGTTGATGGTGATAATCACGGATTTACATGGTAGCGCTGTAGATATAAATGTGCCGAAGGCGTTTCCTGAAATCTAGCGAACTACGAATCAACAGCAGCACAAGCCATGACAGCAAGCCTCAGTTTGAAACAACTTGACGCAATTCAAGACCTCATATTTGAAAAACTAGTTGAGAAGTCCACCCGAATAAAAACCATACTTCCTTGTCAACTTTATCTTGTGGAACTGTTTGTGTCACAGTGCAGGCTATTAGAACAGGTTGGTTATTGCGATTATGAATTAGCATATATACTATACACCTTGCTGGAACGTTACATAAAGCACTTTGATGCAAAGATAAAGAGTGCAAGCAGTGAGGTTTATTCAGTGGTAAAGAGTGTGTTGAGAGACAGGTCACACCAAAAAGAGGTGATTCATAGTCATTTACAAACCGACACAAACAATGATGATCTACTTGATCGCTTCAAAGCATTGAAGGAGAACGGCACAGTATCTAAATTACCGCCAGCGGTAAGTGTCACTGCATATCAGCAACTGGTGAGCCCAGCGGAACTCCGACAACTTCTAGACAACAAAAAAGTTTTACTCATTGATTATCGACGCCGCAAAGATTACCTACACAACCACATCAAGCATCCCAATGTCATAAATATAGAGCCATCACAAGCGAACGACCTCCCGATCGAGGCAACGAGTCAGGATCTAGAAGCCAAATTAAAACACACTATGTCGCATCGACACTATAAGGTGTTTGAAGACCGAAGGAAGTTTGATTATGTGGTGATTTACGACTTCAAGTATGGTGTACTGGGGAACAACAGATTCATTGAGATCCTTAAGAGTGTAGAAGAAGAGACACCAACCAACCCCTTCCAACGTTTAATCGAATTACTAACAACCAAGAACCCATTAATATCGTCTCAACTCAAATGGCTACCCATGTACTTGGCTGGTGGTATCAAAAACTGGTTCGATACATATGGCGCTGAGGCTATTGAAGACTCGCGCAATCAACTGGCTGAGGTGGAAGTGAATGGGCTAGTTTATCCAAAGTCGTTTGATGATTACTTGTCCTCAGCCAGAAAAGACAGCCCTTCAGAGTCAAAGGTGCATATACCGGCTCGAGCAAACAACGGTTTGGTCAGCAACCAACACACACAGTTGAAGCCACAGTCAATGGGTGTTCAACCATATGACCCCTCGTCAGTCAGTACGAGTGATCACAAGCCTGACACAAAGGAAACTGCTTCACCTGCCATGTATAAATCAGCCCCCACCAAGCCCCCGGAAGGTGGTCAAATGTCAAATTTACTTAATGAATTTGCAACGGGTTTGTTCAACTTGGGTAACTCTTGTTACATGAATTGCATGATCCAGTGTTTGGCTGCTACACCACAATTGACGTCTTTCTTTTTCCCCTCAGTAACAACGAACGGATCTTACAAGCAACATATAAACGTCAACAATAAACTTGGTACTCAGGGAAAACTAACAATGGGGTTTGTTGAGTTACTTTTAAACATGTTGAATAACAACGGAAAAGCATTCAGCCCGTCAAAATTTAAGAAAATTGCCGGTGAATGTTCCCCGGGAAGACAGTTTGCCTCTTGCTCACAACAGGATTGTACAGAATTTGTTACATTTTTGCTTGATGGTTTGCATGAGGATTTGAATCAAATGCCAGTGTTAGATCCGAAAGAAAAAAAGAGAATAACTGAGTTGACTCCAGAACAAGAAAGAAATAGAGAAATTTTGCCAGTAAGATTAGCATCAACCATTGAATGGGAGAGATATTTGAAGTTGAATTTTTCAATTATTGTGGATAACTTTCAAGGTCAGTATTTGTCTCAGTTGCGTTGCTTGGAATGCGGGACCACATCAACTACTTATAATGCCTTTTCATTATTGTCGCTTCCTATACCAGAGAAACTAAATCAGTCACTGAAGGTTACTTTACACGACTGTATTGAAGAGTTTACCAAAACAGAGTTGCTCGATGATGGAAACAAGTGGCATTGCTCGCATTGTAAAAGGTTCACCAAGTCAACGAAAAGGATTGCAATCACACGTTTGCCTCAAGTGTTAATTGTGAATTTTAAGCGATTCAAAGTGAATAACAACGGACAAATACGTAAGTTGGAAACATTTGTAACATATCCAGTGTCCGAAACCTTAGATTTGACGAAATACTGGACAAAACGTGGAACCACAATGGGAGATTCAGGTTCACCAAAGATGTCCTTAGAGGAGGAGACTACAATTCTTGAATCGTTTCCAGTAAGGAATCAAGAGCCACCATTCAGGTATCAAATATATGGTGTTGCCAACCACTTTGGTACTTTATCCACAGGTCACTACACTTCTTATGTGTACAAGAGTGGAAAGAAGCGGTGGTGTTACTTCGATGATTCAAAAATCACCACCAATGTTGCTCAAACTGAAGTGATGAACAAGAATGCATTTTGTTTATTTTTTCAAAGAGTATAGCCTAATACAAGTCTACCCTATCCTCAGCAATCTCTACCACCTTCAACTTGGGATGATTCATCACCAAGTGCTTGCTCACTCCAACCCAAAGCCAGGGAACTTTATCCTTGGGAAATATCTTCACAGTTCCATGAAAATTTGTGACAAACAATCGATCATTTACAGTAATGTTGGTTGTGAAATTGATAAACTCATTAAAAATTGAAATCGCTGACCAAAATTGTAGTTTTCTCAAGCACGCAACTAGTAGGCTTGTAATTTGTCCGCCATTCAAGCAATGCACAAACACCGGCAGATGCTTTTCATGCACCATTAAATCGAGTGCCGCTATTGCTAGGTCATAGTCCAAAGGTACTGACCGCTTCTTTCCTTTACCGCCAGAGGCGCATTCCAAGTGCACTAAACGGATACGGTGGTCTTGTGCCCATCGATACAAATCAGGATCCGTTTCCAAGGTGATTGGCTCTGGAATCAATGAAATTATCGTCTTGAGTTTGAGTGTTTCTAAGAACTTGAAATTTGGTTTTCGAGGATACGCACCACGATATAGGTTGGGCTGTACGAGGTTGAATCGTAGTGGAGGTGTATAAGCTTCTGGAATCACAGTCATTGTGGGGAGAAAATGCTTGTTTGTTATGTGATGTTGGATATTGGAGTGAGTCTAGATATCCTTATGAAAAAATTACACAAAACAGGGAAAATAAATCAATCCAATTTTTCTAGACATTTTTCAGACAGAAATTCAATTAGCTATACAGAGCTCTACAGCGTGCTATTCCCAGTCATCATCGTCTTCTTCATCATCATTGTTTTCAGTTTTCACTTCCTTGCCCGAGACTTTTTGACCCTCTTGTGACTTCCTAGGATTTTCTACCTTCACTGGAGGTTCTTCATCGTCTTCGTCCCAAGCGAAATCATCTTCGTCCTCCTTCTCGGCAGTCCCCTCCACATCACCTGTTTGCCTGCCTTTGTTCTTGCTAAGAAGCTCCTTTCTCTGTTGGTCCAAACTCTGTAATTTATTCTCATTCTTGAAATACCTATACCAAAAAGTATTGTAACTAACTTCGACTGGCACAAGCTCATTCATAGTTTCTACTAAAGTCTCAGGGTACTTCTTCAAAAGACGATCAATTTCAGATGTTTTTGCATCCGAATTGAATTGTTTTAGCTCATCCGGATCGTCAAGTGTATCTTCGATATAATAGCTCCGCGTTGTGTGTAATTTTAACAAATCTTGGTCATATCTTGTTGTTCCATACTGAGAATATTTATTCAACGGAGAGCTGTAAAGAACCTCCTTTTCTTGCATAGTGTCAGTCTCTGGCCTAACGGAGACTATATTCGAGAAGAACGACGCAAATTGCCCAACGTACTCACTGGCTTTGTTTTCGACAACTTCCAATCGCGAATCCAAAGCATCTAGTGCACTGGTTGCTCCTTTCTTTAACTCGTCTATGTGCAACCGTTGTTCAAGGTTAGCTTGTTTCAATTGCTCTTCAAATGCTCTGAAGCTTTCCCCTACTGTTTGCAAATTTTTATTCTCAGCAACGTTTGCTTTCAATGTGTTTAGTTGTTTAACCAAATTTTGTTTATGCTCCTCCAATTGTTTCTCTTGAAACAAACCGGAGTTATCCTTCCACAATACTTGAAACTTTGATTCAATCACTCCATACGCTTTGTCGATATCTTGCTCTAAATTTCCGATGGTTTCCTCTGTTTTGCTGGTCTTTTCAGCTCCTTGCTTAGGTGAAGAATCCGCATTAAATATCTCTTCCTCCTGGATGTACACTGTATCAATTGGATCCATGGTTGTAAATGTCTAGAATAAACCTCTTGCTATCTACCAAAATGATAACTTTTTTTTTGGTGAGCGGGGTGTGTACCTTGGTAAATTCACTTCACCCTTAAAACCTCCACTATTTTATGCACAACTTCGATGAGTTCGGGTTAATTTGTAGATAACAATCTCGTCGGCAACAACCACAATAAGGAGATGAGAAACTATACTCAACTCATTCTGATGTCTGGGTGCATAATTGGTACCACAGTGTATCTTATCGCATAAGAACTCGAAATTTGAGCATTGGTCGCATTCTCGGGAATCGATCCGGTCCAACGGACTTCGATTTATTGACGCGCATTTATAAGTACCTCTCGCATTGTCTTGAATAAAAGACCCATCAAGGCATTTTCGCAATCCACACAATGACTAATGCAGTTAGAGGTTGCTTGTTGTCAATCAAGAACGCTAAATTCAAAACAAACTCATTAAAAAAGACACCGTTTGTATTTCGGAAACCCATTGCAGACTTTCAAGTAACGTGGGGGGAAAATGATACAAGCAGTACCAGTGCAAGCACTTGGGCCGTGACTGGACCATCGAAATCGACATTATTGAAGATAGCAGCTGGTGAGTTTATGTCATTTCCACCGCTTTCAAGGTCTTATCCAAATATCAACGAACCAGCTACGCAACTCCAATTATTAAACTTTAATGACAAACTGGGTCTCGATAAGGTTCATATGTCTGCGAGGTATGAATCATACTCTTTCAAGGGAGTTTTGGAAATGAGTGACGATACCAACTCTGTATGGAATTACGTAACTGGCTTGAACAACTTCAATACGCAGCATAGAGATGTGGATATTCCATACATCAACCATTTATTGACGCTTTTCAACTTGACTCACCATCAAAAGAAATGGATTAACTCATTGAGTAATGGGCAAATGAGACGAGCAAGGATTGCCAAGTCATTGATGAGTAAGCCAAGATTGTTAATCATCGATGACCCATTTTTGGGTCTTGATCCATCCAACACAGAGAAAGTGAGCCAAGCATTGAGCAATGTACATGAAAATTTAGGGACTTCTATGATTTTGGGGTTGCGGCCACAAGATGACGTCCCCAAATGGATTCAAAACATAGTCTTTGTAGATGAAGAGGGAATATCGTTGATCGGCCCACTAGCGGAAGTTTCAAATAAGCTCAATGACATCATCAACTCCGACGTTGACCTTAATTTGGATAAGAAGAAACTGAAAACAAACTCGTTGGTGAAAATAGACCCGGAAAGTGTTGCTGAGCCTGAAGAGCTTATTCATATTGAATTCAACAATGCCAGAGTTGCTTACAAAGATTTGATTATATTGAAAGATTTTAACTGGAAAATTCCCAAGGGAAGCAAATGGAGAATCATGGGTGACAATGGAACTGGTAAAACGACCATTCTTTCGTTGATAACTGCTGATCATCCACAAAGTTGGAGATCGGTGTTGTCAATAAACAACAAGTTGAGGAAAACTGGAAGTGGAGTCACATTTTTTGACGTCAACAACCAAATTGGGATTTCATCCCCTGAGTTGCATGCCTTGGTCCCTCAACATAACAGTACAATGAAGGATATAATATACAATGGATTAGTGCGAGACATTGGCAACTCAAACTTTGCGTATAGGGCCAAGTTGGATAAACTAGATGAGTCAACACGGAAGCGAGCTGATTACATCTTGGGTAAGTTTAGTGATGTCCTCGAACAACATGGAGATTCAACATTTATTGATTTGAGTATGACAAATCAAAAATTGGCTTTGTTTCTCAGAGCATTGGTTAAAAATCCCGAGATTTTGATACTCGACGAAGCTTTCTCCTGTATGGAGGACGCCAAAGTAATGCGTCGCTGTCACGACTTTATCGCTCATGATCCTATTTTTAGAAACATGACAATTTTATCCATTGGACATATAGACTGGGAGTTAAGCAGCTATGACTACATGCTAAAGCTAACGGGTGATGAAAATAGATCCTACGAGGTATACAAAGTTGACAAGTCGTAATTTCAATAGATACATATTTGATTAGACATGTCCTTGTAGTTTCCTATCATTTACATGTTCACAGACCCTCTTTTTATGCGCCTCCACTTGATGAGCATAACACTTCAGGAGGCACCACACAACAAGTATTTGATACTACTCGCTCCAGCTTAATGGCTTCTTCATACAAAGTGAATCTGTCCTGACAGTTCCCCCTATATTTTTGTTTTGCAATTGTTTTTACCTAAGCATCGCGTAATCACCATTTTTTTTTTTTTTTACATTTGGTTTTTTTTTTTTAAACTTTTCCTTTGGTCGAAATTTATTCTTCTCTCAACGGAAATACAACAGAAGGATTGATAAACTCACACGATAGACCTTCAATTCATAGACCATTTTCACCGTACAAATCTCATTACACTCCAGTTTCCATCTGGCCCTAAACCATATCATTCACATAGTGCAGTCGCCCAGTCTCATTAAGCAATATTCGCTGCTGTGATGTCAACATCTACAAAGACGTACTCAAAGTCCATTCCTAATGCACCGGAGGACAACCGACCTATTGAGGTGAGAAGTAATCTCGAATATGGGAAACAACTGTCAAATGAGTATTTGTATGTTTCAAAACACCCTGTTGGAGAACCTCTACCCACCCCAATTGATGATGACCCACCATATCCTATTTACTTATTAACTTATTTGAACTACCTCATTTTGATTATTATTGGACACATTAGAGACTTTTTTGGAAAAATATTCAAGCCACAAGAGTACAAGCACTTGGTGGAAAAGGATGGATATGCACCATGGTATGATGGCTTTGAAAGTTTTTATGTTCGTAGGTTGAAAACAAGAATTGATGATTGTTTTGCTAGACCGATCTATGGAGCTCCCGGAAGATACATCAAATGTTTCAACAGGATAAGAGATGGAAAAACTGGGTATTTGTATGATGGAACTTCAAAAGAATGTCTTAACTTGTCTTCGTACAACTACCTTGGGTTTGCTCAATCAAGTGGAGTATGTACTGATTTTGCATTGAAATGTGTCGATGAATATGGTACCTCGGGGTGTTCACCAAGGTTGTATTGTGGAACTACTGATTTACACCGTGAATGTGAACGAGTGATTGCTGATTTTGTTGGAAAAGAGGATGCTATCATCGTAAGTCAGGGTTATGGAACGAATGCAACTTTTTTTGCCTCAGTGGCTGATTCCAAGACTTTGATCATATCAGATGAATTGAACCACGCATCAATCAGATTTGGTATAAGAATCTCTGGGGCAATTGTCAAAGTTTACAAGCACAACGATATGAAAGATTTGGAACAAGTTATTCGCACTCAAATAGCTCAAGGACAACCAAAGACCCACAGACCTTGGAAAAAAATCATTATTGCTGTGGAAGGGTTATACTCCATGGAGGGTAACATGTGTAACTTGCCGGAAATTATAGAGCTCAAGGATAAATACAAATGTTATTTGTTTGTTGATGAGGCACACTCTATTGGTGCTCTTGGTCCTGAAGGCAGAGGTATTTGTGACTACTTTTCAGTCGATCCAGCAAGGGTTGATATTTTGATGGGTACTTTGACCAAGTCCTTTGGCGCTACCGGTGGCTATATCGCTGGTGATAGAGTGTTGATTGATAGAATGAGATTAGACTATCAAACCAATTCCTATAGTGAGTCTGTTCCTCCTCCTGTGCTAGGACAAATCATTTCATCATTGAATGTTATAAGGGGCACACTCAATCCCGGTGAAGGACAGGAAAGATTACAAAGAATTGCATTCAACTCGCGGTACTTGAGATTGGGGTTGAAAAAGTTGGGATATATTGTTTATGGTGCTGATGATTCACCCGTGATTCCAGTGTTGTTGTTTTTACCTTCCAAAATGCCAGCGATTTCAAGGATGTTGTATGATTTGGGAATTGCAGTGGTGGTGGTTAGCTACCCTGCAACGCCTTTGGCCAGTGCAAGAGTAAGGTTGTGTGTTTCTTCAGCATTAACGAAAGAAGATTTGGATTACGTGCTTGAAAAGTTTAGTCAAATTGGCGACTTGCTATACTTAAAATTTAGTAGTGGTATTGCCGGGGGTTGCAAAGTACCTGGACAACCACCACGTTGGTCCATCGAAGATGTCCTAGCAACCAATGTCGAGGATAGTAAAAGACCCAAATTATTGTAACGTGTAACCGATGTGTAAAACGGTAGTGTATTTAATAATAATTAATTGTGTTTCATTTTTTGAGGAAAAAATTGTAGAAACCCGAACGTTACTCCGTCCGCAAATACAAGCACCCACAGTTATGAGCCATATGTACAATAGCGGTGATTTTGCCCCTCCGTATCAAATGAAGTCGCCATCAATGAACCTGATACCAAGGCATTCAATGAGTGCCCCTATGAGTGGGATTAGCACTGGTATGAGTTCGGCTCAAAGCAAGTATCACAAGAATGATAAACCATCTAGTCTCCTGGTGGACACAAGTGGAGGCAAGTCTACAACAAACCAGAAGCTGTCTGCAACCACATGGGCGGCCGCTAATGAGGACTATAACAAGCCTCGAAGAATATGGGTAAAGATGTCACGAGGAACACCAACCACGATATTGGCTCACAATGACGACCTTATTGATGATTTAAAGTCACAAATTATTCAAAAATACCCAAATTCGATCGGGAGGTTCAATGATGCTGCCAACTTGACTCTTAAATTGGAAAAGCTCAGCAGTGCAAATAATGACAACACTCTGGAGACGCCATCAGGTAAACGCACTGGGGAATTGGTTTCATTGGAGCCGGATCAAAATGTTTGGCAAGTACTTGACACGTATTTTCCGCAAGGTATGGGGATGAAGGATGCAATAATAATTGAGAGTTCAATCTCTGACAGCTCAAGGAAAACAACCCCTGTCGAGTCAAATCATCGACACTCATTCTCCGATCAAGACGGACCTATCACGAAAACTTCCAATGATAGATCTCAAATCAAGCATCCACAACCACTCCAAGCAGATCCTATAAGACGAACTTCCACAGCCCAAAACATCTCATCACAGCAACAGCAACAACAACACTCACAGTCACTGATTCAAACATTAAAGAATTTTCCCGAACCCAAATCAAGCTATTCTAGTATGCCAGGAGCACCTTACAAAGATAGATCGGTATCGCCTTCAATAACAGCTGCAAAAAACTCACCTATTCCTCGAAACCAATCCCACACAAATGTTGTTCAATCACCAGTTCAAAAGCCCAACTCACAAGCTATACTTCTTTTACCCAAAAACTTTTCCATCAATTCCAACTCTAATGGTACCCCGTCAAGGGCCAAGACTTCACATGAACTAGGTACAAGCTCTAAAGAGGATATTCAAAATGCAAAAGTTAACACCGATCTTCCAGAGGAGCGTTCTGTTAATAAAGATAAGCAAGGCGATGTTGGAATTGTTTCGTCCCCCTCGCCTGCTCCACAAGTAAGAACATCCAAGGCCGATATTCTACCCTCTTTAACAAAAACCATTAGCTCAAACAAGGGTTCTGACAAGTCAAACGACCCAGCATTAGAAAAGGTTTTCCCTTCCATTTCGGTACTTGTCGTTGAGGATAACGCCATTAATCAAGCTATTCTAGGAGCATTTTTAAGGAAGCGAAAGATCCACTACCAAATTGCCAAGAATGGACAAGAAGCAATTGATAAATGGAAAAAGGGGGGCTTTCATTTGGTATTGATGGATATTCAACTTCCAGTAAAGTCGGGTATAGAAGCTACAAAAGAAATACGGCATTTGGAGAAGTTGAATAAAATTGGTGTTTTTGATGACACTGAATTGAGCAAATTAGCATTAAACGAGTTGCAACCGGATGACAAGTTGGACACAAACACGTTTAGATCACCTGTCATTATTGTTGCTTTAACGGCGTCGTCCAACTCCTCTGTTGATCGAAAGAATGCATTAACAGCTGGTTGCAATGATTATTTGACCAAGCCAGTAAACTTGGTGTGGCTTCAGAATAAAATAACTGAATGGGGCTGTATGCAAGCATTGATTGATTTTGAAGGCTGGAAGGGCAAGAAGAACTGGTCAGCCACGTAGAGATCAAGAATGTTTCTTTATAGATAGTTTAGTGTATAATATCGTATAGCTCTTTGAACTTTCTGTCACCACTAGAGTGAAAGGCATCATACAAAAAGCAAAAAAAAAAAAAAGAAAAAGAAAAGATATCGCTCTTGGGTAAAGTTCACCAACCCAAACAACGCAACAGAGCAGAGGCAATATGAGTGAGGAATATCCCGTTGAAGGTACCAGCGATGCAATATCACAGCAAGTGCTTCCGTTGGAGGTCATCGATAGATCAATTGGAAAGAAAGTTCGTATATTAATGACCAGTGATAAAGAGTTTCGTGGGACGCTAATAGGATTTGATGATTTCGTTAACATGGTATTGGAGGATGTTACTGTGGTAACGGACAGTGATAATGACGCTGATACAAAGGACGAGGTTGTTAAAAAGATGTTATTGAACGGCGGTCAAGTAGCTATGATTATCCCAGACGTGGTAAACGCATAAACATGGGATTAGAAAAATGCACAGATCTAGGACTTTAACCTGAGATGCAAGAACTGGTCACCCAGATACTCCAGTGTATACGTATTTGTAATCAGTTTCGTTTTTTTTTTTTGCCTCTGGGCGTTGTATCAAGCATATATAAACTGTTGATTTTCTTTGCCCTCAGTTTGCAACTTTTTTCTCGACTTCCAACGGCAATGCAATTAACTATTTCATTAGACTTTAGTGGGGACATCATCTCTGTTGATGTTCCTGAGTCATTATCACTAGATGACTTCAAAGCTTATCTTCAAGCCGAAACTGGAATTAGCCCCGAGGAACAAACCTTGAAGTTGAATGGGAATACGTTGAGGGAAAACAAGGCATTGGCAGAGTTGGGGATTGTCAATGATGATTTGTTGATATTGTCAAAAGCCAGACCTGAAGGACGGATGCCTGTCCCGTCACTGCAACAAGTTTCAGCACTGACCAATCCTTCGAGCTCACAAATCAATGAACGAGTGGAAATGGTTCGACAACAGATTTTGTCAGATCAGCAGGCTCTCGAAAATATTAGATTAACCCAGCCTAGTCTTCACAACGTCATTAATAATGCAGAGACGTTTAGAAACTTGATGATTGAGCAATTTAGAGAACAGGAACGAGATTCATCATCGACACAAGCAGAGCTACTTCGCTTGCAACAAGATCCCGATAACCCTGAAACCCAAGCGCGTATTATGGAGTTGATTCAGCAAGAAGCCATCGAGGAGAACATGAAGTTGGCATGGGACATTAGTCCAGAAAGTTTTACCAGTGTCAATATGCTTTACCTCAAATTGAAAATAAATGGTGTTGAGCAAATTGCGTTAGTTGATACCGGTGCCGCCATGACAATCATCAGTCCTGATATTGCACAGGAATGTGGCATTTCCAGATTGATTGACAAAAGGTTTCAAGGTCAGGCTGTTGGTGTGGGTACTCAAAATATCGGCGGCAAAATACATAGTGTGCCGCTCGAGATACAAGGTACCGGAGTTGAGTTACCTTGCTCATTTTACGTTGTTGATACTTCTGTGGGTATCTTGTTTGGATTGGATATGTTGAAAAGACATCGCTGTGTTGTTGACTTGGCTAGAGATGTGCTAATAATTGGTGGCCAATTTGAGGCAAAGTTTTTGACTGAATCGGAAATACCTAGAAAGTCTCTTGGTGGTAACATCTTTTCTCGAGAGGCATAAGAGCTCTTGTTTTACTACATTTATAATTAAAACAACATGTCAATTCTACAAAATCTCTACTTTCTAATTATGGAATCACATTCGATTCATCTTCTTCAGACTCCCTCTTTTTCAAAACCAATGGCTTTCCTGTGATTCTGAAGTAGATGTCCTTGACATCATCAGTAGTAGATTCAAAGTGGGAACTGGCGTCGTAACTCTTTGACAAGTATATACCATTCTTTGTTCCATCATCCTTTGGTTCGTACAACTCAGCAATGCCCATCAATGTGTCCAACCTTGGGCCCAACAATTTGAATGCAGGCTCCAATTCGACATGTGGTGCATCAGTTTCAATTATCGTCGAGACGATAGCAAGAAAATGACCCTTTGGAACAACGTTGTGGACATCAGACAACACAGCAATGTAAATGTCATTTTTCCTGCCAACTTGATTCTGCGGGATGATGATTTGCAAAGAGTCCAAATCGACTCCCGGAACTGAGTGGTCCAACAAACAAATAGCCCGAATCACTTTTTGTCCGGTTTTCTTTACATATTCTGGGAAATAAGTAGGGTCAGCAACAACGATAGGGGCCTTGGCTGTACCTTCTTTTGTAACGACACCGGCAAATTTTTTGTCGTCGCCCTCGCCTTCATACAACACTTCATCAATTGGTGTATCTAGCATATAAGTTCCCCCGTAGATGGCTGATAACCTTGCAAACCCCTGAGGCAATTCGCCCAATCCATACAATGGGTATATGTAAGGTGATTTCCCGTACTTGGCAACAGACTGTGCATACAATAAAATCCTCTCATAAGTTGGCCTAGCAACCTCATTCAAATAATCATCATTTGACCAAAGTGCCATTGCATGTCCAATGAAATCTTTGGTACCACTCTCCAATCCAAAATAGCTGTAAATCTCATTCATGGTGTTTTTATCCAAGTCGAAACCTTGGTGAGTAGATGGATTCTGCTCATCATAATTTTGAATGTACTCCAAAAATTTCCTCATTCTTCTCTTTTCAAAAATTCCCATCAATGGTGAAGCCAAGGCCTCCTTGGCATTGGACGGAACTTTGGCAATTCTTCCGCTTCTGTAAACATAACTTGCTGCAATTTGTTTAAATTCGATATACCTTGTTACCTCAGTGTGGACCAATATATTGGTCAATTCACCATTTGCCATGAGAAATTTTGGAATCAAGTCAACACACCAGTCTCTATCTCTACCTTTCAACTCGGGTCTTTGGGCAGTTGGCTTGAATTTGCCATACAATTGTGCCAAGTTTAGTGAAGCCGACTCACCCCCATAAAAATCTTGTCTATCAATATGCAACACCTTCTTTCCCTCAACGGATAAAAGTCCCGATAAGATACATTCGGTCAATCCGGTTCCTAATACAATAACGTCGTAGTTTTCGTCCATGATTGAAGAATTCCAAGTGGTTGAAGTTGAGTAAAAGGGAGCAATCACAAAGGAAAAAAACTGAAAGATAGAAAATGTCGGTCACAGGAGAAAGAAAAAAAAAAAGTAAAGAACGACTGGAAAGGATATTACACAAAAAAAATTGATTCAATGTGTTGTTGCATGGAACTTTTAGAGATCAGCGATAACTCAAATAGTTTGGTGATCCGACTCACCTTTTGACATTTCGTCGTTATACTATTTACCACTATACAACATTGTGATAGCTCTTAACGCCCCTCTCGTAAGCCGCCTTTACAATTTCACTAATCTCCTTGGGATCCTTTGTCACCTTTGTGAAAATTTCATATCCATCCTTGGTGATCAAAACATCATCCTCGATTCTAACACCACCCACATACCAATATCTGTCCAACACGTCTTTGTTGATGTATTTGCTCTTCAACGGATCGTTCAATGTCTCCTCCAACAAAAATGGGGAGAAATAGCACCCTGGTTCATTCGTGACAACCATATTTGGTTCAAGCTTTCTTCTAATCCTAAGATAACATAAAAGAGGATCCGGGTCAGAATAATTGGCGTACCCAGCAGTGTCATGGGTATCCATACCCAACATATGGCCCAACCCATGAGGAAAAAACCTTGCACTGGCTTTAGATTTGAAAACTTCATCCACTGAATATTCATTCTTGAATATGCCCAATTGTTGAAATTCTTCAATTAATACCCGGTGAGCTTTGAGATGGAGATCTTCCCACTCAACCCCTGGTTTCATCAGTTTGTAAACTTCTTCTTGCATTTTCAAAACTAGATTGTAGATTTCCAAATGTTCCTTTGCCCACTCACCATTTACTGGGAAACACCTAGTAACATCACTTGCATAACAATCCCATTCAGCTCCCGCGTCAATCAAAACAGAACGTTTATCGGGAGTTATGTCACCGTCATTTTTCACCCAATGCAACGTGGAACATGATTCACCACTGCAACATATAGGATCATAAGACTGGTTTTTAGAACCTTGGCGCAACGCATGGTACATAAATTCTGCATGTATATGAGTCTCCTTAGTCTCAATAGGCAAAGCAGACATAACGGCGAGGTGGCAATTGTCGGTGATCTTGGCTGCATGTCTCATCAACTCAATTTCATAATCATCCTTGAAAGCACGAGCTTCATCCAACGCATAAAAAAAATCGTCATCCTTTTCAACCAAATAGTCTTTGAATTCCAAGTTGAATTTGTTAATATCAGTGGTGCACGCTTTACTCAGCAAGCCCTTTAAATCGTTAATAATGTCAGCAGCATATTTGATTTCGTCAGCGTCAAATTTTTTTGCAGCTTCATCCTTAGACAATGGTAAACCAGACCACATGATATCCTCCTTGTCCACATTTGGCAAATAAATAGTCAACTTGTCCTTCACACTTTCATACAACACGTGCGAGCCAGGTATATTGTTTCCAGTCAAGTAGAAAAAGTACCTATTTTGTCTAAATGGCCGTGTTTGGTCGCAATACTTGTACAACTCCAAATCCTCTCCACTAATAAAAAACGACACTTCTTGTGCTTTAGCAGAGTTTTTTTTCTTCAAGTGGGAAAGTACATTATGAGCATGGCTTTTGGCGGGGTATTTCTTCCCTTCTAATGACTTTGGACCGTCTGGCATTGGAAACAATTGGGAGTAGTGAAAAGTATACTCTTGGATTGGGGTTTGAAAAAATAAAAAAAAAAATTATCAAAGTTACATGACGGCGGAGTTTTCGTACTCCCTCTTTTGAAGCCGTTCGAAAAATTTCCGTTTGTATGCAAGTATTGCACGTGACTTCCTTGTTTTCAGAAAAAAGATTGAAAAAAGTGTGAACAGTGGCGATCAAAAGAGAGAAAATGCTACAGTCGCCACTGGTAATTTCCTCCGATTCAATTCATTGCATAACGATGGAAAGATTACAACGATTATTAGGTCAAGGCGCTGGTTTTGGTGGAGCAGCACCCCCTCAAACAGATGGACCAGCAATAGATAATTCCGAAACCGTTTATATCTCGTCACTCGCATTGCTTAAAATGTTGAAGCACGGAAGGGCTGGTGTACCAATGGAAGTTATGGGATTGATGTTGGGTGAGTTTGTTGATGATTTCACAATTCAAGTCTACGACGTCTTTGCCATGCCACAATCGGGTACAGGTGTTTCCGTCGAAGCCGTGGACGATGTGTTTCAAACCAAAATGATGGACATGCTTAGGCAGACGGGAAGAGACCAGTCTGTTGTGGGTTGGTACCACTCCCATCCAGGATTTGGTTGTTGGTTATCCTCAGTTGATGTGAATACGCAACAATCGTTTGAACAATTGAACAAGAGAGCAGTTGCTGTCGTTATAGATCCTATTCAATCGGTGAAAGGTAAAGTGGTTATTGATGCATTTAGAACAATTGACACCACCACATTGATGATGGGCCAAGAACCTCGTCAGTCAACATCCAATGTGGGTCATTTGAACAAACCATCGATTCAAGCATTGATACATGGATTGAACCGTCATTACTACTCGTTGAACATTGATTATCACAAGACCACGAATGATACAAACATGTTGCTCAACTTACACAAGAAAAACTGGCAGTCTGGATTAAATCTTACAGACTATAACCACAATGAGATTGAGAATTTGGAAAGTACCGAAAAGATGGTGAATATTGCCAAGTTGTACAGCCAAAGAGTTAGTGAAGAGAAGGAACTTACTGAGGAACAATTGAAAACGAGGTACGTTGGTAAGCAGGACCCCAAGAAACATTTATCAGATACCGCAGAAAAGTTAATTGATGATAATATTAAAGTACTTCTAACAGGTGGAGTGGATTCATTAGCTATTCGATAGATAAACATAGTTTGATATATATCAAAGTTAGTTGTTTTCCAACACACCGTAGGATTTGATGATTACGTTTGGAAACCGGCTCAATACCTCTCCCATTGCTGTATCCTTTAAAAAGCGATTGAAAATAATGACGAAAGCGGCAACTTTGTATTTTATAATGGATTGTTCTTGATCCGAACTGTCCAAGTAGTCTTGTAACTGCTCGAGTGCAGTTTCAAATGCACCGCATTGTATTTCATAGAATGACTGCAAGTATCGACTCTTTTGGTAATGTTCAGAGAACGAAGAATGTCTGGTGGAGAAGCTGTTCCATTTTGGTATCTGTCTCTTCAATTCATAGACTTCCAATTCATTGTCGATACCAAAGAGTTGGTGAAAAGTTGCGAGAGATAGCTTTTCCGCTAGCAAACATGAAATCCATGAATCAAAAAGAACCGTATCGACAAATTCATTAATAAGGCGAATTTTTTCCGTCTCTATGTTGTTGGACGCAATCTTCTTTTCAATTTGCTCAGAGTTTTCAATTGTTCTCACAGAACCATCACTGATCAAAATTGGGAGTGAGTTTGATGGAGATCCACGAAATGGGATACGAGTGATACCACTACCGCTCTCACTTGTAGTGTCTGGTAATCCAAATCCATTTTTTTTGGCTAGTATTATCAACGTGAAAAGTGAAACTGGGTCAGTTGGCAAAACATCCTTGCCAAGCTCAAAAGTGTTGTAAACTCCAAGTATAAGCGGATTTGGTGGGGATTTCAGGGAGAACGAATATAACTTCTCAGGCGTAACTGCGTTCAGTTCATTGGGATACGTCCTCAATGGTACCGCATCAAAGACTTTCTGGATAGGTTGTGGAATCATAAGCATTGGGCGGTGCAGATGATTATTACATTCTTCCGTGCAAAAAAAAATAAAAAAAAAATTACCGGTTCTTCATGTTCATACATTTCAACACTCAAGCATATAACCTATAAACGTTTACATATACAATTCTAAAACTAGTGCATCAAAGATCGTCAGCGGGCACTAAATCTATAGCCATGTCATACCAAGTAGTATTGGCGAATTTGCATTCACTCTCACCCATATTATTGAAACCAATTTTTTCATAAAATGGAATCAATTCCTTGTGTGCAATAAGAACAACTTGGTCTCCCATGTCCTGATTTGACAATTTTTGAATATAATCATGCAATAATAACGCAGCCAAGTTTTTACCTCTCCATTCAGGTGCGATTACTACTGAATGGATTCCAATATATCTCGAAGCTTCGCAATGACCGGAACCTTTGACATCATTTGATGGTAGCTCCATCGAAGCTTCGGTAATCCTTGAGCCATCTACTTTGGTAGCTATAATATGACCAATTAAGGTTTCCTTAACCACAGACGACTTTTCTGGGAATTCTTCATCATCTGATTCCCCTGCTTTAGTCTTTTTTGATTCCAGTTTCTCTTCAGCATCATGTTTTTCTTGAAGTGATTTGGCGACATCTGGTAAGTTGATATAGTTGTACTTGTAGTCATAGTCTCTAATGAATAAACCAGAACACAATTCTGGTGCAACAGTTAATCTATATTTAAATTTGGCCGGCGAGCATCTTTCTTCCTCTGGAAACCCTTTCTTTTCCAACTCTATACACTGATTAATATCTTCAATGGTCAACGGTCTTATTGACACGTTAGGTGGGAAATCAGACATGCTGGGGTGTTGTTGACGTGACGGTTGATAGAAATTGGGATTTATGACCAAAATGTGTAATTTTTTTTTGTTTTTCTGTTGTTTCGTTTTTTAATTTCTACAATTTTCTCATATCACACGACTGGTTATTTTTATCATGAAAGTATATGGGTTTTATAAAACTATTCAAGAAGACTATTCAGAATGTTATCAGTTGTATCTTCATTCACTAGCAAGCCTTTGCTGACCTCCCATAAATGGACAATGTTGTCTTCAGCTACAGACCCTATCGTCCATTCTTTGAACGGACACCAACTCAAATCCGTGACTCCAGCTGTGTGACCAGCATGTATCATGAATAGCTCAGGACATCCATCCTCTGCATCTTCTTGTTGCTGCTCCTCACCGATTTTGAACAAGTCCCATAATATTAATCTTCTATCCAGTCCACCCGTAGCCAATATTCCATCATTATGTGGCGAAAACTCCATACACGTTATACCTTCAGTATGGCCCATTAGTGTATGCAACAACCCGGATGTACCTTTACTGTCAAGTTTTCTCAAATCCAACAAATTTATACTTGAATTTGAATTACCAATAGCGAGTAAATTTTGTGAAAATGGTGAGAATGTCAATGAATTGATACCAGAGGATGCTTTTGAGTAGTACTTGGACGCGACTGATTTTGCTCTGGTATCGTAAATGTAAGTGTATTGGTCTTCAGAAACTGAAGCGAATAGATTGCCATTAAAATGGTGCCACTTGGCGTCATTAACAATGTCACCCAGGTCTCCGTTTTTAAATACCAACTCATTGTCCTTGTTTGTATCACTAACACATACTAGTTTATCATCAGCAGCTGTCAATAATAATCCCTTGTTGATCAAATTCCAGGAAAGGCCATAACCATTTTCTGAGTGGGGACTGAAATGCGAGTAGCTGTTAATTGTATCACTATCCAAACGATACAAGTCAACCTCTCCTGATCCATTAATTGTACCTGCTACATTTGGATCTTGTGGCATGTACCTTGCTCTGCATATCTCTTGATTGTTGGTGTACTTTTGCACAACCTTGATTCTGGAATTGGCTTTCTGCTCGCCACTTCCAGCAAGCTCGGTTTCAGCAACTTTCAAATAGTTTTGGTCATTGCCTGACGTATGTGTACCAAGAAGAAGCTTTGTCTTGATGATTCCACTTTCAGTAGTGTGGTTTGGAAGCCATTGTATGGTTAGTGATGGCCATGTCAATGCCGTTTCACTGACAAACTCATACATGTATCTGCAATTTTTTCTCCATAATTGGTACTCCTCCTTGATAGATAGCTCTTTTTGCTCTCCATTGTATTCGGTGTCGGACATCTTAAGTTGAATTGACTTAGTTAGTAATGGAAGGTGCCTGTCAATCGCGTTTCTTTCGAGTTGGTTGACTTTTTTGTTTTGTTTCTTTTTTTTTTTTTCGACTCTTTCGTTGAGCTTCTATTAAGAACCCACACGTCAAAAGCCGGACATGGATGCAAGGGTCTTTCTCGATGAAGCTATTGTAGGTAGCAGCACCGTGTCATCTGGATAAGCTCTTTTTCATTTTGTGAGCTCACAAATACGGCTCTCACTGAACAATGTATCTCTGGCGAAGAACTTTTTTCGTAAAGCTAGATCTGTTGTCATACCAGTTTACTTATTGTTCCTCCCCCCCTCAGTTCATATCACAAGAAGTCTGTGGCGGGTTCTACTGCCGTCGTGCTCCCTATTGGTATAACGTGTGTGGATCGCTTCGCCGGTATCGCTTTAAATAGAAACCCTGAGCATAAAGGGAAAAACAGAAAAAATAATAACAATCTCGGAGAAAAACTTTAAATATATTCTCCTCACCATTTACGAGATGGAATCAAGCCACATGAACTCTAATTATAACTATACAGAGACGGTGGCGTATCATAGCGTTTCAGAAGACTCCCCTGCCAGAACCGCCTCTGACCACAATCCAAACTCGGTGTCCTCATTTGAGTCACAGCTAGGCTTTTCCCCTGACGGATATATAAACTCCATTAATGACGAGATCTACGCTGCACAATTAAATCCAATCTTAGGTGAAACCCGCGTGAATAACTTTGACGTGGGATCCTCGAATGGAGTGATGGAATCTGCGATGAGTCCCTCGAAGCAAACTGTGGATGCTGTCGAGATGGCAGGTTCGAGCCATGAAGTGGAGAATGCTGTGGCTCAGTCTGTTCGCAAAAGCAAAAGAGCGTGCGATTCGTGCAGTATCAGGAAGGTAAAGTGTGACTTAAAAGTACCATGCAGTCGATGTGTAACTCATGGATTGGAGTGTACAAATATCAGGGTAAAGAAAAAGTGTGGCCCGAAAAAGATTCACGACAAGACAAGAGATGCAATTAAGAAGTTGGCTATAACTAGTGCTTTGGAAAGCAATCTGTTTGTTCCCATAATTGGCATGGATAAGCTTTTATCTTGCCTCAATGTTTACCAGGTGTGGTACTATGGAATTTGGCCTGTTATATCAGTCGCGGAATTGATTTCACGAGCAGTTGAACCACCTGCATATGCCTTGAGTTGTGCTGTGTGTGCAACAATTGCGAGCCAGGTGAGGTTCATGACCAATCAAAAGCTTGTCCCCAAGAGCATACTTGACATTGATTTTGCATCAGAAGCAATTCGAGTCAAGAAAACAGAACCGACACTAGAGAGTATTTTGACATCGTTCTTTCTCCATATCGCATTAGCTAACGCAGGGGCTGGTCCTACTGCTTTATGTTATTTGAGGGAGGCAATAACACTCGCACAAATCCTCGGTCTTGATAGGGTGGATACATATTCAAGATCACCAGCCGAAACCCATCGAATGAGAAAGATCTACTACCTCTTGGTGGTCACTGAACGATTTGTATGTTTAGAGCAATCTTTGCCGGTGATCCTTGAACCAACGGTGCCGTTTCCTTCACTTGATGATGAAGAATACTCAATTTTGATAGGTGGGTTTAGAGAATTGGTCAAGATATTTGCAATTCCAAACAAGTCTATTTTTGATCAATTTAGAGCGATCAAAAATGATGCACACTCATTACGTTTGATCTCGACCGTGCAGAATCAGTTACAGCAAATTACTATACTAGATGCAGCACCGGATATTCAAAAGGCGAATATATTATTGAGCAAGTATTGGATGATGACCTTAACATGGGACGTTGCCATTGCAAACAACATGATTAACAATCTGGAGTTTTGCTTGACTAATGAGTTCCCGATAGCAATTGCTAAAGAATTTTGCGAAAGAACTGTTGGGTTGCCCCTTGTTTCATATGAGTTCAATGGGCCTGGTGTTTGCCTCAAGCTAGAGGTCATTGCAAAAGCTTTAATGAAGGCTGTCAATATAACAAGAGATTCGAGGGGTTATGAGTATGTGCGGCGCATCTTTGAATTGTTAACGTTATTGAGAAATGAAGTACGGCTCGCAATGGACCAATTTCATATGCTTGAAGCTACATTGACTGAGATGGAAGCGATGTTGAGATTCAAAGGAGCAAAAGTTGGGTACATAACGAATATTGATACGTTCGATGGTGTTATCGGTCTGAATGTATACGAAAATTGATGTTTAATGGATATTTATGAACCGACTATATTCTTTGTAAAGAAATCTAACGTTCAAAGGGATGTTCTTGCATTAGCACAGCCAAGACGATCTCTGCCAAGCTTTGAGGGAGGGGAGGGAGTGCGAGAGAGTATTAGTCATTGTTGCTACGTCTATCCCGATCGTCCGTTATTTACTACTTACACTCGGTGCCAAGTGGTTAGCAAAAACTGTGCAGAAGGCAAGAAAAAAAAAAAGACAAGCTTAGAATAAAAACAAATCCCGCAACTTCCAGAACGCGAGAAAAAGAGAACAGAATTTCCATAGGAACCGAATGTTGCATTTCATATCTGAGTGAGCCACTAAATAGACTCTATTGTGGAATGCATGGGCAAAGAGTGTGTGTTTCAGAACATTCATTTGAGGCACAAACACAGAACCAGTTTGTAATCAAATAAAGACAAAAAGAATCACTATACAGCCGACATAGTATAATTAGTAACCGATATCGGTTCTAAATCGCTTATTAAATTTTGTTTGTGTTACAATTTTATGCATACTGCAAAATGGGTTAAATTGTTTTAACAAAACCCATATGCGGCAATATTGTTAGGCCTTTCTTTTTTTCTTTTGTTGTCTACACTATTGACGCAGTTTATATCACTCTACCCGATTAGGAACGAACGGTTGCAAATATTTATTGCATTTAGCTACCGAATAGTAAGCAAAGCCTAATACTCATAACCTGACCAACAGTCCCCATTAAAGGGTGGTTATTTAAAGGATGCAGATTCCACTTTTAGAATGAGAAGAAGAAGAACTGTTTTTGCTTTCGTCATCATTAATCATCAAAACAATGTCTCATAGAACAGATTCAGATACAATTGATAATGCAAGCTTGGATTCGGAAAAACCAAGAGAATATGGAGAAGCTTTACAAAATCAACAAGGACACGAGAACAGTAACATCCACCGGACTGAAAGCAGAATATCAAAGCTCCTTTCACATTTAGGTTCAAATGATGATAACATTGAACTAGAAAAGTTGGTAACAAACAATCCAGGAATTGAGAGAATAAAGACCGAGTTGCAAGAGGGTGCTGGTCGTTTGGGTCCATTGGAAGAGCCATTGGATGTGAAATTGGTACAAACACATCCAGATCCACAATCAGATTTCAATGAAAACGATCCTTGGAAATATCCCATTGATATGGATACAGGATTGAGGATAGTTGAATGGGTGGACAATGATAAAGAAAATCCAATCAATTGGGGCTCTGGAATCAAATGGGTGTACACGGGGATCTTGGGTGCCGTTTGTTTCGTTGTTGCTCTTGGTTCTGCTATTGTTACTGGTGATATGGAACGTCCAGCTGATTACTTTGGTGTATCTCAAGAAGTTGTCATTTTGGCATCAGTAACCATGTTTGTTTTAGGTTTCGGATTTGGTCCTTTAGTGTTTGCCCCAATGTCGGAAGAAGTGGGTAGAAAACCCATTTATGTGGTGACGCTTTTTGTTGCATTGATTTTTATTATACCATGTGGTGCAGCAAAGAATATTGGAACTTTGATTGTTTGTCGTTTGATTGATGGGCTTTCATTTAGTGCTCCCATGACATTGATTGGTGGTTCGTTGGCTGATATGTGGATTGGTTCCGAAAGAGGTGTTGCCATGGCAATCTTTTCAGCAGCTCCATTCTTGGGTCCTGTTTGTGGTCCAATTTTCGGTGGTTTGTTGGCTGATCATGCACCTACTTGGAGATGGGTGTATTGGACTTTTTTGATCGTTGCTGGCGTATTTTATGCAATCTTTATTTTAACAGTGCCAGAGACTCATCACGGAACATTGTTAAAGAAGAGATCTAGAAAATTGAGAAGAGAAACTGGTGATGAGAGATACAGATGTTTGAACGAAATTGAGGTGAGAAATTTTGCCGAAGTGGCCAAAACGTCCCTTTTGAGACCATTTGTGTTGATGAGTGAGTTGATTGTGTTTTTGGTCACCATGTATATGGCTGTGCTTTATGGTTTGTTGTACATGTTTTTCTTTGCTTACCCAGTGTTGTATATGGAAGGTAAAGGCTGGTCTGCTTCTAAAACCGGTATCATGTTCATCCCTATTGGTGCCGGTGTCATTCTTGCCACTCTTGTCGCTCCATTGTTCAACAAAGATTACAACAAAAGAGCTCAAAAGTATAGAGACCAAGGAGAGTTGCCACCTGCTGAGCTAAGATTAATTCCAATGATGATTTCTTGTTGGTTTGTACCTACTGGTCTTTTTGCATTTGCTTGGTCATCATACAGCTGGTTATCATGGGCCGGACCATGTTTCTCAGGATTAGGAGTTGGTTTTGGTCTTTGTGGTTTATACAATCCAGCAAACAATTACATTGTTGACTCCTACCAACATTATGCGGCTAGTGCCTTGGCAGCAAAGACATTTGTTAGATCAATCTGGGGTGCTTGTGTTCCCTTATTTACTATTCAAATGTACCATACATTAGGTTACGAATGGGCCAGTACGTTGATGGCATTCATTTCATTAGCATGTTGCCTTATTCCTTACTTGTTTTTCATTTATGGAGCTAGAATCAGAAAATTTTCCAGGTACGCTTACTCACCAAACATGGATGCAAAGAAGCCAGATATGGAAAGTCACGGACATTAAATGTCCGCACGAGTGAGGGAATTTTAAGGGAATTAATATTATATTTACATAGAATCATTCATTTTATACCATTTAGAATAATAAATTAATATTTATCTAATTGAAAAACCGTTGAGTATTGTATTTTTGAATCTTACGATGAGAATCTGTACGTTTGCAAATTGCGCTTTGGGGTAAGGGCTTCTACTCATGGTGTGTATAAATTGAGTGCGTTAATCAGCCGTTTTGATGGTTAGATTCAAAGAATTTGCAGCCGTACTTTATGATTTCACAAAAACAATTATTCATTTAAGGAGATTAAGATTTCTCGATAATGAGCAGAAGTATCACTAAGGGTGCGTTTTTCAATGACACAAACGAAAGGGGGAGAAGGGGCATTTGAAGCTACCGGTATGACTCTAGAACCATAGCCAATTGCCACAAGAGGACTCATATACGGCTCACAAAAACGGCTCAAAAAAAAAAAAAGGAATGTAGCGCATATGCATAAAGGGTTATTTGTGTAACATTAATTAGTTAATTTTGCCGATGATAAAAAGGAATCCGTTATATTATCCGCTTGTGACTGCCTGGCCTAGGTCGACTGTTCGATAAAGATGGCCAATAATGAACCAAAATGCTCTAGCTTGCTCCTGGGAGCGTCAACATCATTTGAGTCTCTAGCTCAAAAGGAATTCATTTGTTTGGAGTAGGTGTTGCAGTTCTGTCATCGGCTCTGGAAACCCTACGGCTGAATTTATTGTTACACAAAACTCGTAACTGCTACCAACTGATTTTGAAAAATTTCTATTTCTTCTTCTTTATTTTTGTAAAATAACGCAAATAACAATAAAGTAGAGGAGACTGACTTTTCTTTTAGGCGTTAGAAACTGTGTGACACAATAATGATTTACAATATGAATGACAAAGTAACAACAACACTATAACTTTATTAACAGAAGTTTCATTTTCTAACCGACTTTGAAATAGTTTTAAAATTACACAGAAATTGATAAAAAGGACTTCCATTTTGAATACAATGAAAGCAATATAAATAGGGAAGCTTCTTCCCTGTCTAAGAGAAAGTAATAACATTTGAATTTTCCCCAACTATAGTCCTTATTTATTACCCTTTTTACTTCACTATACATACTTTGCATTTGATTTAGCATATCTACTAAATTTTATACCCTCAGTCATTCACATTTACAATAATGACAAATAATAACTCAGACACGAGTAGTATCGATTCCAATAAAGTTACCCCCTACCAAGAAGAGACTGGTCATCATCATGAACCACTTGCAAAGAAGATAAGTCACAGTTTGGAACATCTCCGTTCCCGCGACTCCCAAGATGAAAAAGAATTGGAAAGATTAGTCACCAATAATCAGGGTGTGGAAAAAATCATTTCCGAGCTTCATGAAGGTTATGGTCGTTTGGGACCTTTGGAACCAGAATTAGATGTGAAAAGAGAATTGACACATCCAGATCCACACTCAGATTTCAATGAAAATGATCCATGGAAGTATCCTCTTGATTTAGATACTGGTTTGAGAATCGTTCAATGGGTTGATAATGATAAGCAAAATCCCAAAACTTTTGGAAAAGGTAGAAAATGGATGTTTACTGGATTGCTTGGTTCTATTTGTTTTGTTGTTGCTCTTGGTTCCGCTATTGTTACTGGTGATTTGACGCGTCCAGCTGAATATTTTGGTGTTTCCGAAGAAGTTATCATTTTGGCATCAGTAACCATGTTTGTTTTAGGTTTCGGATTTGGTCCTTTAGTGTTTGCTCCAATGTCGGAAGAAGTGGGTAGAAAACCCATTTATGCGGTGACGCTTTTTGTTGCATTGATTTTCATAGTGCCCTGCGGTGCAGCAAAGAATATTGGAACTTTGATTGTTTGTCGTTTGATTGATGGTATTGCTTTCAGTGCTCCCATGACATTGATTGGGGGTTCATTAGCTGATATTTGGGAAGGTCCAGAGAGAGGTGTTGCCATGGCAATCTTTTCAGCAGCTCCATTCTTGGGTCCTGTTTGTGGTCCAATTTTCGGTGGTTTGTTGGCTGATCATGCACCTACTTGGAGATGGATTTATTGGACTTTTTTGATTATTGCTGGTGTTTTCTACGCCTTTTTCATCGTTTTCGTTCCTGAAACTCATCATGGTATCTTGTTGAAAAAGAGGGCAAAAAAGTTGAGAAAAGATACTGGAGATTCAAGGTACAGAAGTTTGAATGAAATTGAAATCAGAACCTTTGCGGAAGTTGCAAAGACATCACTTTTAAGACCATTTATCTTGTTATCCGAATTGATTGTGTTTTTGGTCACAATCTACATGTCCGTTGTCTATGGTTTGTTGTATATGTTTTTCTTTGCTTACCCAGTGATCTACATGGAAGGTAAAGGCTGGTCTGCTTCTAAAACCGGTATCATGTTCATCCCTATTGGTGTTGGTGTTATCATTGCTACTCTTGTCGCTCCATTGTTCAACAAAGATTACAACAGAAGAGCACAAGTTTACAGAGACAGAGGGGAATTGCCACCTGCCGAACTTAGATTGATTCCAATGATGGTTTCTTGTTGGTTCGTGCCTGCTAGTCTTTTTGCATTTGCTTGGTCATCATACAGCTGGTTATCATGGGCCGGACCATGTTTTTCTGGTTTAGGTGCCGGTTTTGGCTTCTGTTGTTTGTACAATCCAGCAAACAATTACATTGTTGACTCCTACCAACATTATGCAGCTAGTGCCTTGGCTGCAAAGACATTTATCAGATCAGTTTGGGGTGCCGCTGTCCCATTGTTTACTATTCAAATGTACCACAGGTTAGGATATGAATGGGCCACATCATTAATGGCATTCATCTCATTGGCTTGTTGTGCAATTCCATACTTGTTTTACATTTTCGGTGCAAGAATCAGATCATATTCTAAATACGCTTATTCCCCAAATATGGATAAGAAGTAATTAAACCTTTGTTGCATATAGATTATATATATAGAAGTCTAATACATTCACCTTTGAAATAAATTTTAGAACTCTTTTCGTTTATTTTATCTATAACATGGCGCTGATTTTACTTTCTCTATTGATGCTTGATTGTGGGATATCGGAAGAAGCAATTTCGTTTCCCAACTTGTAAACTTTTGTAACAAATCCATCTTTATTCAAAACCACCAAGTCAGCGTCACATCCTACATTTAAAAATCCCTTTTCATGCTCCACTCCAATGGACAAAGCAGGGTTATTTGTTGCCGCTTTCACTGCCTCTGGTAAGCCAATGTGAGCCCATTTCATCAAGTTTCTTATACATTGAGGTAAGGTTGTGGCAGCACCGGCTAAAGTATCGGTATTTTTCAAGTATAATCTATCGCCAGTCTTGACAATTATTTGCTCATCCCATTTGTATTCTCCGTCGGGTAAACCAATCAAGTGCATAGCATCAGTGACCAAAACACACTTGCTAGGGTTAGACTTGTAAGCTAAGTTGACCATGGATGGATCAATGTGCACACCATCACATATAAGACCAAAGTATGGGATTTTGTCAGGGGAAACCGCAGGCGTGTTTATCAATCCAACAACGCCTGCATCACGGTGATGTGGTTGTGGCATTGCATTGTACAAGTGGGTAATCATCGTGCATCCGTTTTCAATAGCCTCCACACCTGTTTGATAGTCAGCCATAGTATGGCCGATTGCAAAGACACAGTTTTGTTGCTTGACATAGGGTATTAATTCCAATACACCTGGAATTTCGGGAGCAGCGGTAACGATGCAAACATTTTCAAGAAGATTGTCTTTACCTCCATATACTTCTAGTAGCTTATTTTCGCCGCCCTTGGCATCAACAAAAGTTTCTGGAGGATGGCACCCTTTCTTTTCCAAGTTTATAAATGGACCTTCAAGGTGTGCCCCCAAGGAGTCAGTTTGAATGGATAATCTTGATTTTTTATACAACGGAAGCACTTTTGTGTAAACGCTGGGGAAATTGGAAGTAACAGTGGGACAAAGTGCAGTGACCCCGGTGGACAAGTATTTTGTCATTGCATCTCTATAGAACCTTTGAAAATCTTTGATGTCTTCTTTAGTTGAGTTTTCATTCAAACTTGAGAAATTCAATCCATAAATACCATTATTTTGAATATCAATGAAACCAGGGGCAATAAAATGTTCATGTAGATCGAAAGTTTTTGTGACTTGGTGAGGATCTCTAGGTTTGTTGGCAATTTTCATTGTGTTGTTGTCAATATACAAGTCAGTGAATTCGTATAGCTCACCATTATCAATAAGATGGCAATTGGTAAATTTTGTGTATGACATGATTAATCGGGGTATCTGTTTTAAAGGATTTTAAAGGGCGAGTCAAACTGTCTCAAGATCTGTAGTGGAAAATCCAAGTCGTAATCTCATATCATCTAGAGATTTCCGCATGTATATATATATATATATCAATATATATTGATTATATTTGTGGGAGATGACCCCATGTGGGTTAATCGGTGATATAAAATGCGGTTATATGAGTTACAAAAAAGAAAGAGTGATTCTTAAAATGTCACATCAATTGCAACAGTAACAATGTTGCATTTAGCACAGTCTACAGTATCATAATGGAAGTCACGTTCTTTCAATCAATACTATTTCTATGCTTCTGGTGTTAGAACACGTAGACCCAGTTTGGTGCTACAGTTTATACAGTAGCCAGTTGGCTTCCCCCCCCCCCCCCTTCCTTCCCCCACTCTTTTCCCGCCCCTGTGTAATTCGGTAACATCGCCCTTTGTATTTATAGTTGGATTGCGTGCAAAGATAATAACGTCAAACTTGCGTCTTGGGCAGGAAATGTAACATGAATTTTCTCGCAATGTTACATCGATCAATGTTACATTAGGTGTAGGCATTCGTCAAAAAAAAAAAAAAAAAAAAAAGAAAAAGAGACACCAAAAGGGATTTCGAGTGTAGTTGCTGCAACACCGTATGGGGTCAGGTGGTAAGGCGACTTAGTTGCAACCTCTTGGCCAACTTCCGGTCTTGTCTCGTTTGAGTTGTCGTTGTTTGCGCTCAAAATTTCGTGCCACACTAGAGCTCTTCCTTTCTTTTTTTTGTGTAATCCTCGGATATCTCTACAACATGATGACAATAAACTAGGTGACGATGATGATGAAGTACAAAATATTTTAGGTTTCATTGACATACAGACACTGTTAAAGGTATATATTAATAGCTGAAGCTGTACTCCTTTTCTACTTTGACGAAAAAATGAACCATACCACTGCAAACTCACCATGAAACAAGTTACATTTTCATCCCTGGACGATGCTTCACAATATTTGGCTGACTACATCATTCACAAGATCAAGAGTTTCAAACCAACCGCTTCAAAACCATTTGTCCTTGGTTTGCCTACAGGATCATCGCCTGAAGGAATCTATGCTAGATTAGTTGCTGCTTACAAACAAGGAAGAATTAGTTTCAAGAATGTCGTTACGTTCAACATGGATGAATACCTAGGACTAGCCCCTGAAAACCCACAATCGTATCATTACTTTATGTTCGACAAGTTGTTCAATCACATTGACATACCTAGAGAAAATATCAACATTTTGAATGGATTGGCTAAAGATGTAGAGAAGGAATGTGCCGATTATGAAGGCAAGATCAAAAAGTATGAAAGAATCAATTTATTCCTCGGAGGATTAGGACCAGAGGGTCATTTAGCTTTTAATGAAGCTGGCTCTACCAGAGATTCGAAAACAAGAAAAGTTGCACTAGTTGAATCAACCATCAAGGCTAATTGCCGATTCTTTGACAACGACGAATCAAAAGTTCCCAAACATGCTCTCAGTGTTGGTATTTCAACTATTTTGGAAAACTCTGATGAAGTTGCATTGATTGTGTTGGGTGAGAACAAAAGGTTTGCTTTGGATAAGACCATCAATGGGAAAAAGAATGATCCTAAGTATCCATCTAGCTATCTACAAGATCATGATAATGTGCTAATCGTATGTGATAATGCTGCCGCTGGGTTGAAATTTAAGTTGTAGGCTAGTGATTATAGGATATAGTGCAATAAAGGCTAGTGAAGTGTGGTCGAGTGTAGACAAGATGCAAACCTTTGCATCAGTTTTAATGCCAAAAAAAAAAATAGAAAAAAAGTAAAACCTTTACCTCGACGAATAGCCTCCTCTTACGTAAAATGGTTCATCGTGTGTCAAAAGCTGTTTATCCTCTTCTAGTCATTCTCTCATAAAATCTGTCTATTAACCATTTTTCAGTCCTATTTACTTTGAATAGTAAGCCGCACCTATTGCAGCTCCAATTATTGAGCTATTCTCAATCAACTTTAAGTCAATCTCGTAACCACAAGTTTTGGCATCTTCACTAGAATTGACATAACTGATGATCAAATTTCTATAATTGTGGAAATGATTTAACACCGATCCAACGTAACCAATTGTTAACAAACCTTTCAACTCCTCTTTCTTGTTGTATTGTTTGATGAGTTTGAAAAATGCAATAATTGCATTGGCAACAATAAACGCTGCTCTTTGTATGATTGCCTTGATAACATATTTGATAATGACTATATCCGAGTTTAAGACGATTTTTCTCCACTGATAAACCTGACAAAGCTTTTCACCAATAGCATTAAAGTCATGACTTTCATTGATGAAGCACATAAGCTCACCTTCGAAACCGTCATATTCGTCGTTGACAATGGAGTTGAGTTCACTTTTTTCAAAGTCTTTGAAAATCTCTCCATCTTCAATCAATTCTGCCAACACCAAACGAGCCAACTCAGGCAAGTACCTCCCACTTGTCATCAACTCGTGAGGTTGGAAAATGGTGTTTGTGTCTGGATCAGGTTGTAAATACGTTTTGAAATGATGTTTGAAGTTGTTGAAACGGTTATCAATAATTGCATCATACTTGGTGGCAAAATCATCACACAAATGTTGACCAAACAACGACAACTCGGTATTGATGAGCATCTTTTTGTCAATCAATTTACTTGGATGCATTCCATCTTTGTTTGCCTCTAATGAGCAGCACATGTTGAATCCCGTCCCCAATACCATGGCTAATCTCATCTTGTCGTCTAAGAATGCCCCTGCTGCATAGACTGCTAATGAATCATTCAAAATAGACCTTATATCAACTTGTAAAGTAAACTCTTCTTGCAACACCGATTCAAACAATTGCTTCAAATCTTTGTCCGAGACATCCTCTCCGATTGTGTACCCCTTTGAGACATGTCGGATTTTTCCGTTATTATAACTTGTCGTGTCTAATGGGAAAGACCAAGTGATTCCGGCTCTTATGACATCAGACAACTTCAAAACTTCTTGCTTGTGGATAGTTTCCATTATTTTTGATCCAATGAATTTGAAAAAGTCCCGATTGATAACCTTGTACTTATTTGATATTAGCCATTTTTTTTCAACGACGACATCTATTCGGTCGACTCTGGATGCGTATTTTCCATCTGGTGGTGCAATGGTAACAACAGCAACACGAAGTGTAGATCCACCCAAATCAACAACCAAATACAGACCACTTTCATCACCCGTTGGTGATATGTTGAAATTGGGCAACATTGTGATGGCATTTTCCGATAACGATGCATTAAGGTCAGATAAAAGGAGTTTCGAGTGCTTGCTTATATTATCCTCAGTTAACCTATCCTTGAACGATTTTATAATCAAATCGAGTGATGGTGAAGTTTTGAATTCATCGAAGCTAATTGAATCTGTGCTTGAAACTGGGGATGAACGAGGTGATGAGAAAGAAGATGATGGTTCTGATAATGAATGAATAGACTTTGATTCAGCATCAATGTCTTTTGTTTCTATGCTAGTCATTGAACACGCTGCTTCATCATTGTTATGATCCATGACACCAGCCTTTACCCCATACGAAGGGAGTTTTTTATTGATAAGTGTGTTGATGCTTTGAATCATGGGGTATGCTGGGTAAGTAAGTGAATAAGCTTAGTGCATTCTCTCATTCGATGCTGAATGGTTTGGATCCTGAGGTTTATTTATGTAAATAGAATATAAATGTGCTACGGGCTGGAGAATATTTTGAGTCTTACTATATTTTAACGCTGTTACATTTCAGTAGGTTTTGGTTTTTTTATTTTTGTCTTTGTCTTTTTGTGTAACTTGGAACTTTTTTGCACATAGGTTGCAAATGAAAGTAAAAAAAAATGGGTCATGGCTGGATTTCCCGTCTGCTGGATTGGCCACTTGCGAACCTAAGAAGGAGAAAATGCATCTCCACTCAACTGGCTTACTTGGGTTTCCTCAAGAATGTACTTTATTGTTGTGTTTGCTCTTTAGGGCGTGTTGTAGCTTTTGGAATTGCCTTTCTAATTTCAGGTTACATTCAAGCATTGTGTGTCAATGTAATGATGTTACATTGGAAATATATTGCGCTACCAAGTGATATAAACAGTTTGAACACCGCTACATGCAAGTAACCTTCTCATTACAAATGCTATTGAACTATGCTCAGTAATATTATCCCGTCATGTCGCCCTCTTACAACGTAATCTTACAGGTGACCCCTATCCTCAAACTTCTCTGCTTTAATTTCAAAGATTGAAAACTATTTACTACTCAGTTCCATCATCGCCCTCATCCTTGACAGTCGGTTGCACTGTTGTCATTTCTATCTCATCGTCGAAATTTGCATGTTTCACCTTCCCCGTCATCTTGTCAAGATTACGAGCTTGGATCTCATGGTCATCAATCAACACCTCGCGTAACTTTTCTTTTGCAATAACCACTATGTCATCAATTAATCTTTGACCAACAGCAATTGCTGGCTTCAACAAGTTCAAGGTGTACAAAATGTAGATTGACGCACCCAACACAATGGCGAGAGCAAAGGTAAATGGGTTGCGTATCACTGCCATGAATTCATTCCATCCCAATGTAATGATGATGAGATAAACGTAGTATGGAATTTGCGTGACATGCTGAACAATGGAGCGCTTTGTCTCCACAAACTTGGCATCTACTTCTTTCTTGAATTTTGACAAGATTTGTGCCTTTTCCAATTCGTTGATAATATCAGCAAATGAATGGGACTCCTCCTCGCCTGCGTCATCATCTTCGTCATCGCTCTGACTCGCCTTGATATTCAAGTATTGTGATCTCAATTTTGGATTAAAGATGTCCATGCCTGGTACAATTTCGGAATCATCACTGAGTTTAGCAATTGTGAGAATTGGCAAAACTGCTAAAGCGTGCTCTTTAGCAATGGCAAAATTAGTTTCCAACTCCCTTGCATCTTGATACAATCTTGGTAATCCATTTGCATCATATCTGAACTTGTCATCGAATCTTGTTTGTAGAATATCAAGAACCCTCTCTTTATAAATGAACTTATGGATAAGTTCGTAAAAACTGTTCCATGATTTGAATTTGAATTTCTTGATAGCCTCCTCATTGTCTTTTGCGGAAGTATTTAGCCCAAAGTCACCATCATACCTTGAGGTAAACTCGTTGACAAAAGAGTCAAACTGTTTTAAGGTATTATCCCAAGTAGAGTCACTAGGATCATTAAGCTCAAATTGAATTGTTTTAGACAAATTCGTGGACAATCTTTTGGTAGCCTTATTGACGATACTATCCAATTCAATCTTTTGTTGTTTAGCAATAGTGGTGGCAATCTCTTTCTTCACTTGCTCTATTGTATCATCATATGCAAACACTCCGTTCAATGAGATTAAGCCCAAACTTGAATTAATCACACTTATAGCCCTGGTGGATAAAGCTTGACATTGTTGAACAAAATCTTTTCCTTTTAATGCTGCTAACTCCAGTCTAAAGGAAGCCGTTGTAGTATCAACTAACTGTTTGGCATACAAATCAAACAATTCTTTGAATTTTGAGTGCACCAACGATTCCAACTTGAGACGTTTCTGTTCGTAAACCGACTTGTTATATTTGGCTGCAGCGTGGTCGTACTCCTCAAGAACATCCAGCTTTAAATCCGCAAAAACAGCCCCAATATCATCATAAGATGGATCCTTTTCAACCTCTTTAAACAACTCATTAAATTTCTTCAAGAAATCTTGGTATGTCTGTTCAACAATCTCATCACACTTGAATTGTGCAACTAAAATCTGTTGCGTTGGTAAATCCAAGTCCTTATTATTTTCAATCTGTTCCCAGCATTTCTCAGCATATAAAGTCCAGCCCTCAACGGGAATATTGTGGTGATATTCTGGTTTGAAAAGGCCGTTTTCTTTTACTAATCTGTCACCAAGTTTACCGATACCTTCGGAGAACTCTTTGGGTTGCAAAATTTTATGATTCAATGCATGGAAATCCAAATCGAAAAAATCCTCAAACTTCAAATGGCCCAATTCGCCTGGCTTCAGCAATGAGTCCCAAATCTTTTTCAAATCCTCAGTAACCGTTTCGGCCAAACTTTCAACTGGAGTTGCCCCTACATGGTCTCGAATGACAATCAACAACAACACCTTGTGGTCATTATTGGAATTCAACTTGCTTTTCCCAAACAAGGTCATGTTAACTTCAAACACTGTTTTCAATAATCCTAGATTGGCACCTTGGTAAAGCCCAACTTGATTTTCCCAAATATTGAGAATCAAAACTTCCGACGTGGATAAAGCAAATAATGCAGCCTTTCTTTCAAAATCTTGGTCTTCGCCTCTTTCTCTTCCATCTGTTCCTTCAACATCCATAACGAGAATATTCGACTTTGTAGAAACGTGTCCCGAAGTTGATGAAACACCCGGTGAATATGCCAACCAAATACCTTTTGTTGTCTGTTGCCTGCTGTGTTCATTCATGACATCAAAATTAGTGTTGAATAAGTTGTTCAACAATGTTGATTTACCAGTTGATTGTGATCCAAATACTGCTACGATATGATAGTTGTGACCAACGTTTGCCAGTGATGTTTTGCTGACGTAGTCTAGTATGGCATTATTGAACTTCTTGTTTTCGTCAATGACCTGAATCGCATCCTGCACATGAACCTGATCAACAGGCACGAAGGACGAAGATGACGAGGTTTCTGATATCGGCTCTTCACTCATGGTCAGTTGTACTTGGTGTGGTGGGGAAAGAAAAAAAGAAAGAGTTGTTGGACCGAAAAGTAAAAAAAGAGAATGTGGAAAACACAAAAAAAAAAATTATCACAGGGCAATTACAATTTTACATAGTCTTTATACCAACTACAAACGGTTTTTTCTTCTCTTTAAACCTCATTCTAGCATCTTCCAACGATTTCCTTGTTTTATTTAGCTCCTTGAATTTACTTTTCTCAAACTTGGTCCGCCTTTTTAGTCTTACTGCCGCTAATACTAATGTAGCCACACCTTTAAATGTAGGTTTAGGTTTGGTCGATCCACCAACGTATTCCGGGTATAAACCAACAACAGCTAGCTTTGAGTCATCATTAATTTTGAGACGACTGCTTTTGATTTGGTTTATTGCAAAGTCGTACATGAATTTGAAATCTCGTGCTATGAGGGTGGTATCTCTATATCTTTGCTTAAAGTATTCACATTCATTGGTGTAATATTTGGCACGCTCGATATCCCCAACCAACTTGAGGTTTGTTTTATATTCAAATAATTTGTCTGTGAGTTGTCGGTAATCTTTTATGGTGTTGCTCAATTGAGATTTGTAGTCATTTAATTGTTGCTTTAGCTCCTTCACTTGATCATTACATGAGTTTTGTATTTTAGCAACTTCAGCATCACGATCCAACTTGGTATTCCTTAGCTGTTCTGTGAGTTCATTGAGTTCCTCACGTGTCTTTTTGAGTTGAAATTCTTGATACGCGTGCACAGCGGATTCTTCTTCTTCTTTCTTTTCGCTTTTCAATAGATTCTCCACAGACCTGAGTTCTTCCTCTTTGTTGACAACTCTACCCTCTAGGAATCTGATCTCTTCGTGTGATTTTTGAAGCTCATTTTCCAACTTTCTCACAAGCGTGTCACTATCTTTCAAATCATTTTTCATAGCCACTATTCTATCCCTCACGTTTGTCTCAAAAATTTCAAGCTCTTCTTTACTTGATACTCCCAAGTCCTCGAGTATCCTTTGCAACTCCTTGAGCTTTCTCACGAGTTCCTTGTTGTCGTCAAAAAGATCCTTGTTCTCGTCAAAAAGCTCCCTGTGGCTTTGCTCTCTCTCCTTGAATCTGTCCAACTCGTCTTCTAATTGGATAGCCAATTTCGACAATGACATAACTTCTTCTTTGAGAGCACGCTCGTTAGACATTAACCTTGATACTCTTTGTTCATCCTCTATGTCGTTGTGATTCTCAAGGTCAGCAATCTCATGAATGCAACGCTGAAGATCGCTTTTCAAGTTCTCAACCTCTTTACTTAGGGATTCGTTTGCGGAAACAAGCTTTGCATGATCATCAACCAAGCGGAGGTTGACCTCCTCAAGGGTTCGAAGTTCAGTTTGTTGTTTGAGGAAAACTTTATCTTTGTTATTAAATCTGGTCTTTATTGAATCCATTTCCGCTTCCAAGTCCTGGCAATGGGATGCCAACTGCTTCACCTTGTCTTGCAAGATTGCATTCTCCTTTTGCAACCCGTTAGCTCTATCGATGGCAGTGTGATCGTGTCTGGCGTTTTTAGAGATGGCTTCCTTCAACAACAAGTCCAACTCTGCGTGTTCTTGTTTTCCATTTTCAATCTTTCTTTGTGCCACGTGAAGCTCATTCACAAGATCCTTCACCCGCTCTTTCTCTTTGTCAAGCTTGTCAACTAAAGAGCGATTGTCGTTGTTGCTCTGGCGTAAATCAATACCCAATTTCGACGACTTCTCCCTTTCATGCTCTACCTGACGTAACAAGTCTCGATTAGTCCTTTCAGCCTCGTCTAACTGAAGTTGCAAATGTTGCAGTTTTTTTACTTGACCATCGAGTTGTTTTCTGAGCTCTTGCTTGTCACTGGTTAGTTTATCTAAGTCAGAATGGAAATGCCTTTTCACATTGGAGGTATTAACAGCATTTTCCCTCAACGATTGTATCTCTCTTTCAGCTACATCTAATTTAAGCTCTGCACTCTCAAGTAACGACTTCAAGTGGTGTAGCTCTGATTCGTGTATCTGATCATTCTCCTTGATCAAATGCTTCAACCTCTTTATATCTTGATTATCCTCTTGGGATTGCTGTTGCTTGTCTAAAGTTAACTCCTCATACTCCCTTAGCTTTTTTTCGTACACGTTAATCTTCTTCTTCAATTCGAAACACTCGTGTCTTAAATCAGTATCGTCAGCATCATTCAACTTCCTCTCCATTCTTTCCATATCTTCAACCATTTCGTGCATCATCTTGTCCTTATGCTCAAGTTCAAGGAGGTACTTTTCATTCTGTCCATTGTTCTCCGACTTTATCAATCTCTCTTCCAACAACTTCAACTGACTCCTAAGCTTTGCATTAGCCTCAATCATATCATTGTCAACATCCATCTGTTCCACTACACTGAGAAGGTCCTTGTACTTGATTTTCCAACTAAGCGCCTCCGATTCTAAGCGGTGAATAAGCTCCTCCAGCTGGTTCACTCCTAAACCAACATTCTCAAACACGGTTTCCCGCCTTGTTGTCTTTTGATGGCGTTTCATCGGAGATGGCTTTCGCAAATCATTCTCCCATTCTTGCGTTGTATCAAAACTAAAGTCACCTGCATCATGATTGATATTTGTTGAGTCCTTTAAAGTGTGAAACAAGTTTCGATAATTGGGACGGTTCTCATCAGCGTTGTGTCCTCGAATAACCTGGAATTTGGTATTTGGCCTTCTTTTACCAATGGGGGTAAAGTCAACGCTAGCCATCACTTGGTGTATTATGAAAGTTGTTTACAATTGTACCAAAAATGTTTGTTTACATTTCTTCACGCGTGGAATAAATAAAATAATAGAATAAATAAATACGAGAGCTACCAATTACACATCTCCATAAATCATTTCAAAACAATCAATCAACCGTAAAGCTTCCAGAATGTGTTCAAAATAAGGGTCATTCCCTAGCAAACCGCGGCATCGCAAAACTATCTCGTTTCCACTGTGATTCGCCAACTCTTGGATCTCGTTGTACTTCAAGTCTTCAACATCCCGGTTGAGGAGATCGCGAATTCCTGCTTGCTTTAATATAGGCTTGACATTGTTTGACACTCGTACGAATAATGACCTGATATCCCGCCTTTGGTAATTTATTATCAAGTTCTTTACCGTTTGAGCTGCCGACGAGTCAATTGAATTCATGCTGTCAAGATCGAATATCACATATCGTGTCATTCCTTGATCACGGCTTCTCTTCAGCGCCGGGTGAGCACGAGTTGAGCCATACATTTCCACTCTTTTCAATCGTGCCACCAAATCGCTACTATTGGTAAAGTTTAACGGCTCAGGGATCTTGATTATCAAGCATCCTTCTACCTCCTCTATAGCGCCAATGTTTAACAGCGTTTGTCTCATATCATTGAAAACGTTCAACCGCGATAAACTTTCATCAACCTGCTCGGCTGGAACATCGGCATCCACAAACGTGTTTGAGTTTGGAATTCTTCCCAAAATTTGAATACGCGATGCAGTGGAGTTTTTGATAACTCTGATCAAGGAGTAGATAAGTCCAACGGCAATTCCTCCTTCAATGGAAAAAAATAGAGTGGTGAATACCGTAATTGCAAATGTAATGCTCTCATCGTTTCCTTCGGTTCTCCAGTAAAACAATAACTCGTAAGGAGCTTCTTCGATCAACAGGATACCAATTACACTTGTGATTACACTCAACATGCATTTTGGAACAAAGTATAGATACCCAAGAAGGAATTGAATTGTTAAGAGAGTTAGTATTCCCATAATGGCACCAGACATGGTCGTCTTGGCTGAGATTGCATTGATTTTGCTTCTGCCATAGCCTCCGAATGCTGGTAATGCTCCAAAAATTGAGCCAATCACATTGAGGCTCCCCAAAGCAACTAACTCTCTGTTGGTGGAAATGGGCAAATCGAACCTCGTACCTAATGATTTAGAAGCAGTGGTGGACTCAAAGAACCCCAACATGGCACATAAAAATCCCGAGGTTCCCAACTGCTTTATGAGTTTCCACAGGCTAAGTGGGTTGTACAAAGTTAATGATGACTTGTCTTTCACTTTCCCGATGATGTCAACACCATCGAGATCCCATCTGAAATATTGGCATAGGATAGTTGCACCGCTAACAACAATCATTATCTCCGGAAAGAGCACCACAATAGATTTTTTGGTCCTTTTTTTGACAATTCTGCAAAGCATGATAATCAAAAACCCTACAGCGCCGATTTTTGCACTCAAAGGATCAAATTGACTAGCGTTTTTGATCAAAAACATAACCTTATCAAATGGAGAATGTATATCCATCTGTGAAGGATCATCTGAGATCTCTTTCATCAATTTCTCCATTCCCAAAATTATGATAAGCGAGTTGATATTCATAACAACCCCTACCCCAGCGATGAAACCTTTCAACAACGATCCACTTAGAACGTTATCCAAAAATCCCAACCTTCCAATCCCAAACCCCAACAAACTAGCCCCGCTAAGAAATGTAATCACCGAAACATAATCCAAAGGATCTAAATGCTTCTTTTTCATGTGGTGAAGAAGCGGTTCGATTGCTTGGCCAACGACCAAAGAAATAGGAGCTTCGGGACCAACAATCATTTGAGGAACACTGCCAAACACCAAGTAAACAAACGGTGCAATGCCTAATGAGTACAAGCCGGAAATGACTGGCACGTGTGCCAATGTTGTGGCATATGACAAGGACAATGGGAGTTGAAAAAACACCAACGTCAAACCACCAATCAAGTCACCAACAAAATACCGAAGGTTGTACTTTCCAATCCAGGAAAGAAAAGGCAAATAGTAAGGAAGTATGTCACTCCATTCCAAGTGTTCTAAATTTACTGTGGATGCGGGGGCATATTGTTTGTAGTTTATGGAGTCTGTTTCCGAATTTGAGGAATCATCGGTGTATTTGTTTATATCGGTTTGAATAAGTTGTTGCCTCTCAGAGTTGAGAACGCGCCTGGTTGATATAGGCCGTAAACTTGGTGAGGGACTTGCTATTCGCCTTGAACTTGACATGGTTAACTGTTGAAAGATTTAGATTCGCTTTTTAGTGCAAAAAGCGAAAAAAAAAAAAATTCGGACGTCACCTTTCGCTATTCACTTTTCATCCACCAACAAATGATATTCAAGAGATTGTTTTCCGTTACGAGATCTTTGAGAGATAGTTTGGTCTTGATTGAAGGATCCAAGGGCCAAATCAACCCCGCGTCCTTATCCACCGTTTCCGCCGCGGCACAAATTGGTGAGCCGATAACGGCATTGGTTGTGGATCCAAGTTTAGCGGATGGAGCGGCCAAGGTAGAAGGTGTAACCAAAGTGCTTAAAACTGGTAAAACATACGATCATTACTTGTCTGAGCAGGTGAGCCCCTTGTTGAAGCAATTAATTGATGGAAAGTTTACCCACTTTTTCATTTCCGGCTCTTCTGTGGGAAAGTCTATTTTACCAAGATTAGGTGCTTTGCTAGACGTACAACCATTGAGTGATATAACCAAGGTAATTGATGCAAAGACTTTTACTCGTCCCATATATGCCGGAAATGCTTTGGCCACCGTCAAGTCTAAGGACAATGTGATTCTTGCGTCTGTTAGAGCATCTGCTTTCGCACCAGCAAAGGAACAAGATGCAGCAGTGTCAATCGAGGAAACAACTACGCAAGCTGAATCAGGAAACAGTGTCGAGTTTGTCTCTGAAGAATTGGTGACATCTGAAAGGCCGGAGTTGGGATCCGCCACTCGTGTGGTTGCGGGGGGTCGTGGGTTAAAGAGCAAAGAGACGTTTGACGCATTGATTGATCCATTGGCTAAGAAACTAAATGCAGCAATTGGAGCATCGAGAGCGGCTGTTGATTCCGGATTTTGCGACAATTCCTTGCAAGTCGGTCAAACTGGTAAAATTGTTGCTCCTGAATTATACTTTGCAATTGGTATATCAGGTGCCATTCAGCATTTGGCTGGTATGAAAGATGCCAAAGTGATTGTCGCCATTAACAAGGATCCAGAAGCGCCAATTTTCAATGTCGCCGATATCGGACTTGTCGGTGATCTTGATGCCATCGTACCAGAGTTGACTGAAAAGATTTAACTGTGTAACCTGTTATTTACAATATTAACTACTCTACTTTTTTCTTGATCTTTTGACGATCTCCCTTGGGCACTCTTGCCAACCAGTAAAAGAAGCCAGTGAAGACGATGTTGATTGCAATAAATGCAATCACCAATCCAAAATTTCTCCATCTTTCACTATAGCTCGCGTCAATTGAATCCAAAAAGGTGTTTGTTGAGCTCATTGGACATAACTGGCAACCATTCTTTCCATCCAAGATGTAACCACCAACCGAGTCAACGTATGGTTGTAAAAAATCATGGCATGAGTAACCGGGAGGTGGATTCAAATCCAATAATTCTGCCTTGCTACATATAACATTAGAGTTTGCCAAAGCTGTGCTTAATATCCCCTGCACCATGTAAGTGAAAGGATTGGCTCGATACATGAATATCCAAAATCGAGGAAGCTTGTCACCTGGCTTGAGAACACCACAGAAATTCAAACACATTGTAAACAATATCGTGGCAAGATTTGCAGCATTATCGGCCAACTCAAGAAATGAGATACACATGAAACCCATGGTACTCGTGTAAATAAAGAATGAATTGATAAATAACCACATCAATGCACCACGTTCCTTGACAGCATGTGTGGGCTCAGCATTGGCATAGAGACCGATTGGGTAATACCAACAAAAGTATGCCATTGTACCAACCAAAATCTGTGGGGGAAACTCAGCAGTAATCTGCGCCATAATGAATGCAAACCAGTTGAAAGTTCTAGAAGGTGCCTCTCTAACTTCATAGACTTCTCTTTGCTTCACGTATTGCGGAAGCAATTGCTCAATAAGAGTATTGAACGGGACAAAGAAAAGAAACACTGAAAACATTTGATTTTGTAACCCTTGAATCGACTTATCAGCCTTGAAAAAAGAGAATCCATTAAACAAAGACGCCAAAACAACCAAAATAAATTTGGCATAAATGAATCCCGGTGATCTCCAATTTTGCACCATTGCCCTTTGCGTGGCTAGGAGATATTGCTTCCACAATGGCGCTGCATATTTAAACTTTGTTTCTGGGTCTTCATCACGAGGAAGTTTTGATAGCTCCTCCACCATAGTATCAAGCTCCTTTTGCACTTCAGCGTACTCGCGAGAGTTTTTCCAAACCTCAAAATAGTCAAATTTGGCATGTGATCCAGGAGCAGCACCAACAACTTGCAACATCCAATCGGCCGGGTTTGCCTCTTTGGGGCACGGATCAGCTCCATTTCTCTCAAAATAGCTAATCAAGGTTTTGAAATCCTTGCCCAAGTCACCGAAATACACAGTTTGCCCACCCTTTTGTAAAAACAACAACCTGTCAAACTCTTGCATCAACAACGCCGAGGGTTGATGGATAGTACACAAAATAGCTTGTCCGTGGTCTGCCAATTTTCTCAACAATTTACAAATAGCCCATGCTGTTTGCGAGTCCAATCCTGAAGTTGGTTCATCAAGGAATAACAACAACTTGGGCTTGGCAACCAACTCAACACCAATTGTTAACCTCTTTCTCTGCTCGACATTCAATCCTTCTCCAGCAACCCCAACCAAGGCATCAGCATAGTTTGACATTTCCAACAAGTCTATGATATAGTCAACATATGCATCCTTTTCACTTTTGGGTATCTTGTTTGATTGTCTCAAGTAGGCAGAAAATTGAAGTGCCTCACGTACTGTTGACGTAGGAAGGTGAATGTCTTGTTGTTGAGCATAGCCAATGCTTCTTCGGAAGGATGAGTCGAGAGAGTGACCGTTTACCATCCTAACACCATCGGTAATGACTCCTGTTGTGAGTCTCTCGGACAAACAATTCAACAATGTTGTCTTACCGGCACCAGATGCTCCCATCAATGCTGTTATTTGCCCCGGTTTCACCCATCCATCAACATGATTCAAAATCACTCTATCCTCGGTTTTGATTTTAACTTGATAGGTCAAATCTCTCCACAAGAAAATTTCATTGTTACTTGAGAGTTTGGACTCGCCTGCATTCTTCTCGGCTTCCTCTTGGTAGGGGAGCTTCTCATTTGCACCAGATTCTGGGTCAGACAGTTTTTGTCTTTTGATTTTCTTTAAGGAGCTCCTCAAAAACAAGACAATTTCACCCTTTTGCATGGCACCTTTGTTAACCTCAGTCAATCCAATGTAAAGGAAAAAGAAAAAAACGGCAAACCCAACTGTGATCCCAAAATTTCTCCACTTGTGTGAGTTGTAGTAACTGTAAGCAACTCTGATATAATCGGATCCATTGACAATATGGCTTCCCGGCTTAGATCCCACCGTCGAGCATATCTTATTCACATCGGGTAAATTGTCGTAACCGGAACCGGAAGGCACAAACTCGGTGCATCTAAACTCTCGATCATGAAACTCATTGCACATAAGTGACTCAAATACATATCCAATAGGGTTAATATAATTGATCCATCTTGACCAACCCAACATTTTCGGGGTGGGGATGACAAATCCAGTGTAGATAACCATTGCCAACAAAATTGTCGTTGCCGGGGTCATTGAGGATGATATAGATTTGGAAATGGCCCCGATAGATCTAAAGATATGTGACATGACCAAAGTACACCAAAAGCAAATCAACCAGTAAAAAAAGAAACGTCCTGGGTTTCTTCTGAAATTCACCATAAAGTAGAACACAAAATTGAATGACATGGATGACAAGAGTTTTACTGGTAGTTGTGTTATGATACTTGCAAACGCTTCAGCTGATGGTCGGTATAAAGCATACTTTTTGTGCTTTTCAATAATTGGTCTCGAATCAAAAAGGGCTAAAATCTCCAAAAGCGATGAAAATGCATTGTACAAGACTGCATAGAACATAGCGGCACCTCTGTAGTAAAACGACCCTGTATCTTGTTGCAAATTGTAGAACACTGAGCAAAGAATGAGACCCATAACGAATTGCCCCACAATTGTGAATATTGTCACCGAGGGTTCACCTTTGGTTAAAAGCCAGTTTCTATACATCAAATACTTCACTTGCATGTAGAACGATACTGTGTACGGCGACCCTGGTCTAACATGATTGGACTGTTTGGCAATATGGGACTCTTTGAAATTCTGTTTCGTGTTGAGCTTTTCACAATCAACAAAGTATTCGTCAATTTCTTTGATCAATGCGGCATATTCAGGGGAGCTCTTCCATCTTGCTTCAAACTCTTCAGCCGTACGAGGAACTTTATTTTCAAATCCCGGGCGAGCTTTTCTCTCTGCTGGGTTTGTCAATGATGTTAAGAAATCGGCAGTGGTTTGTCTTTGAGGACAATCCCACCCCATGTTGACGAAAAATTCTTTGGCTTTATCAGCGCGACCAAAGAAGATTTGATACCCTTCGTACAATACAACAACCTTGTCGAAATGGTTATAAGCATCTTGTGAACATTGGTAGATCGCAATAAGTGGTGTGATTTCCAAAATCGTTGCTGACGTCTTCAATGCTTTGATAAACTCCAATGCGGTAGCCGAATCCAAACCTCTGGTGGCATTATCCCAACATTGAATGTTGGATCCATTCAATGATGCTTCTGCAATTGACACTCTTTTTCTTTCCCCACCTGAAACACCTCTGACAAAGTCATTACCGACATTGGTGTATCTAGTGTGTAACAAACCATAAGTGGCCATGTACACATCAGCCATGTGCTCAGCATACTTTTCTCTATCCACATTCTCACCTCTATTTTGTGGTGTTCTCATCCTGGCTGCAAATTGCAAAGTATCACCTACATACAAGTGTGGGAAGTGGACATCAGTTTCAGCAGAGTAGATGACATCGCCTCGGTAGTGTTTGGCAATCTCTTTTGGTGTCAATCCATCGTAGGTGATCTTTGACTCTTTGCCAATGTGAAAACCATACGTGTTGACAGCAATTGTCTTCAACAAGGTGGAACAACCAGCACCTGGTCTACCCAATACAACAGTAAGCTCGCCTGGCCTCACAATTCCGTCCATGTTTTTAAGAATGTTGAACTGATGGCGTTCATTATCCTTACTCACATAACTAAATGCTTCCGTTGTTAACTTCCATAAGGCATTTGAAACAGTTGGTTGATAATCTGTGTCATTAGCAACTCCATGGGCTCGCAAATCACGATACGCAACTCCCAAACTTGAAGGTTTATAATAATCTCTTTCCTTTTCGAACAACTTTCTCTGATTTTTGACCCAGAATTTGGCATCAAAATTGTCTGAATTTGGATCAAGTCTCTCGTCTTCAACTTCTCCCGTGATTGGATTAACTCCTGGAACTTGAGACATGTGAGTTAGGTACCGTGATAATCCTTCTGCGGATGTCGCATCCTCATAGGTATACGTTCTAGCCAAATTTTGCACCCCTTGAGCATCGAATCCTTCATAAGCCCCCATTGTCAGGGACGACAAACTCTCGTGCTCATCCAGTTTGTTGAATGAATCTTCCTTTGTTGAATCAGACATTTGGTTTTGTCCTGGCTACAGAAACTCACTTTAAGTGACATTTACGACCACTTATATAATCTGTGACTAAATGCAAAAGAAAATCAAAAATTTCGGATGCTGATTTTAGTCCGATAAACTAAAGCACAATGACTCTGTTGGGGCTTAATTCCGTGTGGCTTCGTGACAAAGTATTGTTATTATCGAGATTTTCGGGAACAATAGTGCGGCTGAAAGTGTACTACATAAAGCCGAAAAAGTTGTGTGGATAAGTGACTGGTCTACCACACAGGAATGTCTCAGTGTGCAATTACACTGAACTATCTCCATGACTCATTATACAAGGTCTTTTCAGTAGCATAGCCATTATTAGGTTTAAATTCAAAGCAGAATTTAGGGATTTATCGGAATTTATCTCGCCACCCGTGTTTTTTTTCTTTTTCTTACGCCGAATTTTACTAAAACTTGATGAAAAATACTTTCTTTAAAACTTTAAAATGGTTCGAGTTCCCTACACCCTAAACAGATGGAGCAAATCGTGCACCATTCCTCGAGGGCTCTCGTTTTTACGAAATATTGAGCTATCACCCTTATAAAGGAAAAACTTATCCAATCGACTATTTATTACACTACACTCTATTGTACAAGAGCATGATCTACTCATCAAAGTTGTTAAATGGAGTATCATTGTATCTCTTTGTTCCTTCCTTTCCTTCCAACTCATTCAAAGCATCGAAATCCTCCTTCGACAAAGTGAATGTCTCAAAGTTTGAGAGAATTCTCTTTTCAGTGACTGATTTGGGGATAACAATTGTGTCCCTTTGCACTGCCCACGAAACAAGAAGTTGGCCCGGGTCGACACCATTCTTTTGAGCAATCTCTTTCACAACTTTATTCTCCAAAACTGGTGCCTTATCTGAACCGAATGGAGAATATGCGGTCAAGTGAATGTTTTTGCTCTTCAAATAGGCAATCAACTTTTCGTGGTTGAGCAATGGGTGGGTCTCGACTTGGTTGATTGCAGGTACGACATCAACACCATTAGCGTTGAGCAACTTCTCCAACTTGTTGATGGTAAAGTTGGCAACACCAATTGCTCTCACTTTCTTTCCTTCTTTGTATATTCTTTGTAATTCTTTCCAAGTGTCAATATAATCCTCGTATTTCAGTGGATCATCCACCTCTTGGTCGGTATTTTGTGGCCAGTGAATCAAGTATAAATCAACATACTCGAGACCCAATTTCTTCAAAGATTCATCTAAGGCAGCTTCAACATTCTTGTGGTCAGTGTTCCACAATTTGGTTGTGACGAATAATTCTTTTCTTGGGATGCCCGAGTCATTAATAGCTTTACCCACTTGCTCTTCATTTTCGTATAACTTTGCATCATCAATGTGTCTGTAACCATGTTTCAATGCATACAGAACAGCATTGTAGCCATCGTTGTCAAGAGCTCTCCAAGTACCCAATCCTACAGCTGGAATCTCAACTCCGTTGTTCAAGGTGAAAACTTTTGTGCTTGGTTTCAATGTTGCAGGCATGTTGTTTGTTGTGGTGACTCTAGGACTTTGAAAGAAGGTGGAAGTGAACCCCTTTTTATATTGTAAAAAACTGTGGCACATTAGATAGCAAACTTACAACTTATAATTGCTGGCAAATTGTAACACAAACCAAGAAGCGGAAACTGAGGTTTCGCAACCGCAAAATTCAACGGAAAAGACTTTGTGTTATTGGACGGAGCTACTCCGATCTTGGCGACGATAGCAAACATTTTTTACAACCGCCATCGTGAGGACAAAACACTTTTGATTGCTATGATCAGTAAGACACAAGTTTACACAAAACGTATTCACTTTAGCGCGTGCTTTGATTTACTCCAAACATAAGCTCCGTACTTGCTGAAAAAGAACGGCACCAGAATTATCGACAAGCCTACACATCCTAGCAACATAAATGCCCATTTAATAGTTAGATTGTTAAATATTTGTTGTGAGAAAAGGGGGGATGCGGCACCAAATCCGGATCTGATAAATGCTAGTCCCGCTAAAGCAGTCGTTGCCACATAACGATAGCAATCATTTATGTATGTCATTGTGGGCAAGAATATCAACATCAACCCATTACCAATGAAAAAAGCTCCAATTGTGGGGACAATCCAATGAACACTTTAAGGATAATCACCTGCCCAGTCTGGCCAGAAAATACCAATGAAAAATCTAACAGCACCAATCATCACCGGTAACAATCTTGTTTTGGGAATACGGTGAATCTATGGGATCTACTCCTATAGTTACATCTGCATGTTGGTTAAGAAGTTACATTTGGAGAACCTTCAGTACATCTTGGGTTACCCACAACAACGGAAGCTTTGGAATCGTTTTGACATCGCGCGCTAAATATTTCCGATTTTAAAAAGTTTTCCGGCTTTTTCTTTTCTCTTTGCGGGGTAAACCGGAGAAGACAGTAGGAGATGCGGCTCTAACACTCACAAGATGCTTTCAAAATTTGAACCCTTGGGCCAATATTTTGCTAGTCCAAGCTACTAAACCATGACCACCACCGCCATCACCACCAGCAAAAATGAGAACCCGTTTGAGGAAATGACTATTCTTGCGGCTGCTCCGAGGACCCCGCCGAGATCAAAAAAACTTTTCCACATTGTTTCATCAAACAAGTTTGGCATTTCTGCAATCATCGCTGGGTTTCTATGCAACTTTATGGTGTTTGGAATTGGGTTTTCTTACGGTGTTTTCCAAGAGTTCTACGGCAGCCCCTCAGGACCACTTGCGCTGCACTCTGATGCTAAAATTGCACTCATCGGAACAGTCAGCACCTCGTTGACATACATTTGTGGCATATTCAACAAGAGTCTTATGTATTACCTCGGTGCATGGAAAGTTATGTTGCTTGGATGTGTTTTGATGAGCATTGGCATCACTGTCACTGGCTTCTGCTCCGATTACTACCAGTTCATTTTGTGCTCAGTACTACAAGGGATTGGTGGCGGTATTTTGTACCTACCACCAGTCGTCTGTGGTCCTGTTTATTTCGACAAACATAGAAGTTTAGCCAGTGGCGTGTTGTTCTCGGGTACTGGAATTGGAGCTTTTGCCTTGGCTAATTTAACAAAATACTTGATTAAAAAAGTTGGATGGCAGTGGGGAGTTAGAATATTGGGATTTATGAACCTTGGTGTTACAGGATTGGCTAGCTTTATGGTTTTTGAGCCCAAATTACCCAACTTTAGAAGTGCCAATGCTATTTTAAACGTTAGTCAATTAAAGTCACCAAAAGTTATATCGCAATTGCTTGGATCTTTGTTGCAATCGGCAGGATATTTGATGCCACTTATATTCATGTCCAAGTATGCTGTTTCACTAGGTTATTCGAGTTCTCAAGGTGCCTTTTTTATCGGATTGAGTAATCTAATCAACGCTGCTTCCAAGGTGGTTACAGGAATGATTGCAGACGTTGTTGGAAGAATGAATACTTTGATATTTTGCAGCAGCGTCTCAGCAGCGCTAATTTTTGCACTTTGGTTACCTGCAATAAAAAACACGTTCATGAGCTTGGTTGTACTATATGGTGTCTTTTCTGGGGCAATTATATCCTTGTTACCACCTTGTTTGATTGAAATATTTGGAATTGGTTCATATACTCAACTAAGTGGAATGATGTATTGTGCTAGAGGCATTGGTGTGATTATTGGCTCTCCAATTGGTGCTTTATTGATTATTGGAAATGGTGCAAACCCAAAAGATTATACAAATATTGCCGTATATAATGGTGTGCTACTAACCGCGTCTACTATATGCTTAGGGTATCTTTGGATTGGGGCATTCGGGGATAAGAAACCCAATAACTGGAAGGTTTAATATATGTAAATAAAGTTTTTGTTGAGACCAAAAAATGTGATTAATTATGATTATGGGTGTGTAACAACAAGACCCTTAATCTCGCTATCTCTTTCGATAGTCTACGGAAGTTTTCAGTATATTTCCTGACGTCTATACGTAGTGCATGAGCGATACATGAAGCAACTTGAAAAGTTGACATTGTATGAAACCCGAAATAATAGTCTGAAGCTACCATCACGTATTAATGCAATACTGATTACAAATTGCAAAATGGTATTCAAATCCTATATTGGGAATACTGGAAAAGTACTTGAGCTTCTCGAGATGCAATCTAGAATTTACAAAGTTGACACTCGGGTTTGCTTAGGTATCTATTTCTGGTCGGATGTAATTTGTCAAGATTTGATGTCGAATCACCTGCCTGTGTTGAAGAGGTTGACTTGTCGCATAACAACTTGGAAGAGACCCCAGCACGGCTTACTTGTTTGAGGACCTTACTTTAGTGAACCTCGCAGTTAACAAACTTTGTAAAGGTCACATCCATTTCCTGACATGCTCCGTCGAAGCGTCGGATATATCATGCAACCAAATTGAGGAGGTTAAGTTGACGTTTCCAAGACCAACCAAACTCACGTATCTTGCTTTGCATGGCAATAAGATAAAAGGGATTTCAGATGAATCCAGTGGTGATAATCCAAGGTTGTATAGACCTGAATGGGTAGAAAAAAAAGGGAATAAGTCTAGATTTAACATAACAGTGCCAAATGGAATCGTCCAGAACTACTTCAAAGAGTGACAAATCAGTTATGCTTGGGGAGAATGAGTGAAATGAAAGTATAATACCTGGTGCAGGCCAACATTTATATAGCATGACGGCATAATGGAAGGTTGCAACTGTGGATGTACAATAGTCAATTGATCCAAAGTAGTGACGAATCGACCCAGACGGCTTCGCACTAGCATTAGTGGAACTCTGGCTCTTGACTATGGAGTAGTTAACTTTTTTAATTTACGATGAAGTCTACACTGTAACCAATGGGTTCCACGCCTCATGGCATTGTAGTTTTCAATTGAGTCTTTCACACTTAGCATTTGTTTCCTCCTCTCCATGCCTAACCCATTCGTAGTGTATTTTGTATTAGCTAGCTCAGAATTGATTAGTAGATGCCGATCACATTTGAAGATGCCAAGAATGTATGCTGCTCAGCTTGTGTCAATATGTATGCGGCGTTGTTTAGAGATCTCTACAATGGAACTTTGGGAAAAAATCAAGGATACAAGTACGCAAATCAAGGGTATATAAAGTAGAGACAGATACACTACAACAGTGACAAACAGTGATGAAGAGACTAAAAAGTGCAATCATAGTATCATTGTAGTGTCATTGGCCATACTTTGGCAACTGTTTTATAATAAGTACAAAATCGCACAAATTTTGTTGTAATTCTTAGACAAAGTAGTACTATTACCATGGAGACGAAAAACTAAGCACACACACAATCGACTGGGAGTGTTAATATGACAACTGGCTACGTTACTAGGAGAGTCGTTTGTGACCATGGATACTCTAACTGGTTCACAGTGGTGTGTTTAAGTGCAGTTAGATGGGGCAATGTAGCTGAGATCTAGGTCCGGATGTTGATTATACTGAGGTCCGGATGTTGATTATACTGAGGTCCGGATGTTGATTATACTGAGGTCCGGATGTTGATTATACTGAGGTCCGGATGTTGATTATACTGAGGTCCGGATGTTGATTATACTGAGGTCCGGATGTTGATTATACTGAGGTCCGGATGTTGATTATACTGAGGTCCGGATGTTGATTATACTGAGGTCCGGATGTTGATTATACTGAGGTCCGGATGTTGATTATACTGAGGTCCGGATGTTGATTATACTGAGGTCCGGATGTTGATTATACTGAGGTCCGGATGTTGATTATACTGAGGTCCGGAT